CGGCGCCGCACTTGGCACAGGGCGCCGCTCCAAGTGGGCCGTGTCCTGTCTGCGGACGGCCGCCAAGGCTCCCGTCAGCGCGGGGGTGCAGGACCCCCGCCGTCCGGCGCCGTCAATTCCCAAGATGGGAATCGCGGCTCTGCTGCGCGTCGACGATCGCGCTGCCGCCGCCGGCGATGGATAGGCCCGCGGGCGCAAGTCCCTCTGGGAGGGAGTTTGCGCGCGCAGCGGCCTCTGCCAAACGCCGCGAGCAGCGCCCGCCGACGAGCACCCGAACATGAACGCAGACCACGTCCCCACAGATATCTCAATGTCACGATCGTCATCGCTGCCCCCCAGCGGGTACCAGCGGCACATGGCTCGAACTGCGCTCGGCGCGGCTGTGTAGCGCGCGGCGCGCAGCAGCACAGCAGACCCTTGCAGCGAAAGCAGGATAACGGGACGGCGAGCGAGCCTCGGCGCAGGTCCTCCAGCCCGCACGCTTGCGCGCGACAGGACTTGGAGAATGCCCCGCTTTGTGACTGCCCAAGCCACAACACTCGCGCCTATCCACGTACCGAATCGCGTTTCCACTTGCACTGCGCGCACCACACCTATCATGACCCCGCCCGAGACTTGTACCTGATTGGTGCATCGGCGCGTCCGCTTCCTACACGGGCGGTGCGACGCCCCTCGGACCGGACCCTCCGACGCGCGCTGTCGATGTTCACGCGTCTGCCGCACGCGCGACGCGGTAGCTACCGCCATGAACGGCGGCTCTGCGCCCGCGACGTCGCGTGCAACGAAGGATGCGATGACAAGCTCGCTTACAATCCGCTGCGTCTACACGACGCTGCAGCCGTTACGATTTGCCATCGCTTCCGAGCACGCAAAAAATCATGGTCACTCGCGGGATCAGAAATGCAGAGCATGGGGTTAAATGCGATGCGCCTCCGCGTCCACAGCGGGCGCGGCTGCGGCCCGCAAGTCGCGCGTGCAATCGCGTCAGCCGCAAGCGTGCGCCGATCGCGGTATGAGCGCCGCGCCAGCGCCGCGCCAGCGCCAACATCAACAGCACGTGCACACAGCGCTCTTGAGGCGCAGACACCTGCAATAGTCCTCTGCACAAATGCTGATGATACAGACCCGTCGAGTTACTTTTCACAGCGCATATCAGTGTCAAAACCCAGGCATAGAATACGGATGCCATAGACACGTCGAAGACTACACATACCGCAGACTCCTGCAATAGTCCACTACACAAATGCTGATGATACAGACCCGTCGAGTTACTTTTCACAGCGCATATCAGTGTAAAAACCCAGGCATAGAATACGGATGCCATAGACACGTCGAAGTACTACACATACCGCAAACACCTGCAATAGTCCACTACACAAATGCTGATGATACAGACCCGTCGAGTTACTTTTCACAGCGTATATCAGTGTCAAAACCCAGGCATAGAATACGGATGCCATACACACGAACGAAGGACTTCACATACCGTAGACACCTGCAATAGTCCACTACACAAATGCTGATGATACAGACCCGTCGAGTTACTTTCCACAGCGCATATCAGTGTCAAAACCCAGGCATAGAACACGGATGCCATAGACACGTCGAAGTACTTCACATACCGCAGACACCTGCAATAGTCCACTACACAAATGCTGATGATACAGACCCGTCGAGTTACTTTTCACAGCGTATATCAGTGTCAAAACCCAGGCATAGAATACGGATGCCATAGACACGTCGAAGAACTTCACATACCGCAGTGCTCATCTAATATCTCCCCCATACTAACGCGTCCATCGCCGTTGCCTGGAATCCGTTGCCGCCACATCATCCCACACATGTGTCCATGGTCCACGCAGAGTGCGCGTCAGAATGCGCATACATTGGGCGAAACCGGTGCCACAGACGCGGCTCCAGAATCATCTCACACCCCGTATGCACCCGTTGCGGGGCACTGGCCATGGCAATGGGACCTCCTGGACCGCTCCCATGCCACCGGGATCCGGCGCGTCGCTCGGATTCCATCCACAAGAGTTTATGATCAGGGCGCGCGAGCATCATCGGCACCGGTACGTTCCCCGAAACCTGAGGCAGATGCCAGCCTGGAGCGAGGCTTCGGCCGAGACAAGCCGCCGGCGACTCATCGCGAAGAACCTGTCCGATCAGGACGATTCACTGAGCTGTTCGCTACGTTCCTGTCGTTCGATTGTTTCCGAAGATTCCTCAGATGCACAGCATCGACATTCAATGTGCAGTAATAACGGCTTGCCAACGCTCAAGTACTTTTAGCACTTTCGGTCGACCGGTCGGGGTGCCTGTTTCGAAGCCTCGGTGGAGGCATTCATTGCACCATCGTCATGAGGATGATTCGCAGTGCCCTCGAATACGGGCACTTGACACCCAGGTACTACTGTCGGATGCTTGCGTATAGTCCTGCACTCTTCTCCATTCCATATGTGTGGCAGACTCAAACCACACAATCTTCGAAGACGGGATCATTGGTTTTCAAAGCAGCCCCTCAGCGGAATCATTCGCGCTGCCGCAATCACACGGAAAGAACCGGTCAACTTGATCCCTTGAGGTCTTCTGGAGACGCTCATGCCGGCGATTCAAGAAACTGCTCACCGAAAAGTAATCAATTCCATCCGAATGACATATCGTCAGCTCGTCATGCACATCGACAAAACGGGATTCTCTAACAGTCCCAAGATACGTCGCATGGGATATGTTCCCATTTGTTCAAGTGTGTTCTCCTCTCATCGCAAACAGTCCTCGGCTTTGTCTATTGGCATCCCTGGGATCGGTTCCAGTTAGGAACGCACCATCGCTTTCCACGAAAGGAGCGTACACTGATTGTCGCACGTTGACTCGTTCGGCAGTCTGGATTTTCACTCCGAGCCTCGGTTCATGATGGACAGCATATCGTTTCACAAGTCCTCTACGCAAAGGATCAACCTCCACTTGCGCATGCACCGTACTGCGCGGTCGTCGAGGGCGCCACCCAAAACATGCTCGTGATCGCGCGGTATGATACCAGGCGCGGAAACACAGCATGGCGTCCAGCGGAGCCCTCTGAACCCGTCAACAGCATACACGAATCAATGGAGCGAGCGGCCACGTGCCCCGGAGAGGCTCTTGGAGTTCATGGCGTTCCTGACAAATGCGGACAACCGCCTAGAGCCAATCGGAGCCTCTGCGAAGCAAGCACCCGCACGACGGACGAAGAAGATGAGCAGTGTATGCGAAGCATTGATCGCTACTTTCCTGCGTGCATCAAGTGCGTAGCCAATCGCCGAAATCCGTTAGACCGAGACGTGAATGCCTGCCATCAACATCCTTCGACTGTGGACCATAGACCCGGAGCAACACGAGAGCCCGACGTTGTCAAACGCGGAAATGAGGCAGAGGGAAACGAACCAGCCGCAAAACCATACACCAAAGAGTTATCTGGTAACCCCGGGTCGATACCAAGAATTTAGAGTGTACGTCCAAGCTCGTTCAGGTCATCCGTTCCATACGATTCTGGCATGAGTCTAGAGGAATCCGAATCTAGATGAGCGCTTCTGATCCTGCACCCTACCACCGTCAGCTGTGCAGTGCCTTGGGCCTCTCAAGCAGCCTCCATCCCTCTAGAAGGGAAATCCGCCACCGCTTTGGCCTGTACATTCTTTACGCTGTGATTGAAGGCGCGCACCATTGCGCCAACACGAGCAATGCCAGCTCTGATAGAGTCATTGGAGATGCTCTCGATGGTTGTCGGTGGCTATTGGAGATCCTCGTAGCGCGGGCGTATTCAGCGAAAGCAAATGCCACCACTCGATACGTTCTTCGACGCGCCTGCTGTAGAATCCGACGGAAAATATAAGAAGGAGTCCTGCTTTCCAGCTGATCCCTGTGCCGATTTTCCCATCGGATCATGCGCGAAGCTGGAACTTTCGCAGCTGTCGGACACTTGTCGCGGATAGAGCGCTTGGCGAGCGATACACAGGAACGGCCGATTCTGTATCCTGCTGGACCTCCGCCGAGTATCCCGTCGCCTCTGCGACGTGCTCAAGGTGCATCGAGTATGTAGGCAGCCACCGAAAATCCCCAGCCTCCGGTCATGCCGCATTGCAATGCGGCTTCCGTTGCACGTCGTACCCCAGATCGGACCAGAGGGTCTCGATAACTTCGAGAGCCGTTACCCGAGGCCAACGATCTTCCATGGTATCAAGCTCTGGGTGGGAATACACATATCTGTTCGATAAGAGTGCAGTGCCTCAAAAAAAGTCCAGTACCGTTTACTGTAGCCTACGCATCTTGGTAGGTATGAAGCTCGGGGCAGGAATCCGCATATGTGTTTGATCAGACTACATTGTCTCAACGACGCCGAATACCGCTCACTAAGACCCACTCGTCCTGCACAAAACTCTCCTCGAGGTGAAAATCGGCAGCATAGGATGCCCATACGGCAGCCGTGTGTGCAGCGAGCATCCCGGAAAGTGCAATCCGGCCGCCAGTGCGCACGAGGCTACAAAACCTTGGCGCAAGCTCTTGCAGTGTCGGAGCCAGAATGTTGCTCACCAGAAGATCGAAGCGCTGCTCCTGGAGCAGGTGTTCCGCTTCGTCTGGAGTCGCAAATACGAGACCGTCCAGCTGATTCCGCACTGCATCGCGTTTGGCGACGGCGATCGCTTCTTCGTCGATATCGATGCCGACGCTGCGCGCTGGGTCGGCACCGAGCTTGCACGCGTACATCACCAGGATTCCCGAGCCACTGCCGTAGTCCAGTACGCGGGATCCAGGCTGCACATGCAACTCCAGCCAGCGGGCGCACAGCTGCGTTGTGGGATGCTCGCCCGTCCCAAAGGCAGCTCCAGGCTCGATGGTGAGCTGTACGCGCTCCTTCCCATCGCCATCGAGCAGAGACCGCACCGACACTTCCGTGTTCCACGGAAACCGAACCAGAAGCCGCTCGCCGATGAGCAGTGGCTGAAAGGATTCGCGAACAGCTCGCACCCAATCGCGACTACTATCGACTGGTTGCTCTACCACAGGTACCTCCATGACTTCAGGAAAGACCGTTGCTGCCGCCTGAAGCAGCGCCTCCGTTCGGATTTCCTGCGGTACCATAGCGACTACGTCGGTAATGGTCCAGTGCGGACGTGCCCACGTTTCCGCAGCAAGCGCGGCATCTCCGGTAGGGCGCTTACCATGAGCCGAGTTGTGCGCCTCCAGCGACACCGATACTGCACCCAGCTCCAACAGGTACTCGCTAAGAAGCTCGCTTGTTGCAGTATCCGAAATCGTTAGCCGGACCAGCCTGTAACGATCCGCCTTGGGCTCGGGCATGCTTTCAGAGCACAAGCGACGACGTCCTGTCGACGAATGACTGCTGCGTCGGTCGGTGGTCTATAACCACACCGGTCAGCGGCGTGATTGCGCCAGTGTGGCGACTTGTTTTCACAGTGCAGCCACAGGCGTCAGGCACCCCGCAATTCGGAGCGAAGCTCGATAGCTATCAGCTACGCAGGCTGCGGAGAACTGAGCGCTTGTGCCGCGATTCGTTTACCATAGAGGTAGTCACAGCAGCAGCACACTGCGTCGTCACGGAGACGGCCTCAGTCGTGCAAGCTGCCTGACGCTGACCGCTTGCAACTGAGGCTTCACCGGTAACCGCCCCGGATAACTTCGGTGGACAGACGCTTCTCCGCCGCCGGCTGAGCACCGCAACGCTCAACGCCCGCCTCGACCTCTACTTCAGCCTACGACCGCGAGCGACACAGCGAGACCTAGGAACGCCAGTCAATGCCTGCGGCAAGTCTTGAACTGCCCGTAGCGCCTCGAAACCGCAGCGTATTTGTGACGTTGCAGGATCTCGTTTTCACGAACGAGGAGATGCCTGATGGTGCGATGGTCATCGGCATCCGGGAACGCGTCTATGTATCCGCAAATGTACTGCCTACTTCCACCATCCACACCACGATAACGAACACGAACACGACTACGTGTACTTCTGTGCAAGGACATTAGCCAGTTTGAACGATCTTCCGGGCGCCGAGCGTATCCCGGGCGCCCGCTAGGATGTCTCCAGAGTCGGTGCGGATCCTGTGCCCCGACTGAGCGGATACACCATTCCGTCAGGGGCGTCCATCCGCGGAGAATCTCAAACTTGTTCTCAACGTGGCTCCACCATTGTTGTAGTTGCTCCAGAATAAATCTGCTCGCTCTGCCAACATGAGATCTGAATCGAGTGTATGTTTCCAGGGCGGTGCCTCGTCGTCGAGGTCGGGCTGCGGCATGCGACGGCTCTTTCTTGGCTCCACATCGATGCCCGTTGCCGTGCGGCGATACTCCGAACAGCAATTCGCCTCTGTGCGCTGCCTTCATGTCAGATGAAACTTCTGGAAACGGCTCTGCACCGCCACGCATTCTGGACGACGATTGCGGAGGCCGCAGCAGCAGCTCTGACCGGTTCATTGTCGCCAAACGCATCCATTTCATACAATGGCGAGCGCCGTCCACACGAGGAGCGCTCCACACAGACCAGACCCTGCTGGAAGACCAGGTTGGGTCCGGAGTCCCTGGTAACTTTGAGGAGACGTCTTCGATTCTGGCGGCGGATGTGGCAGCGTTGCCCAAACCCGCGGAGTCGCTCTGGAACGGGGTTGCTGCTGGCGACGGATGCGCAGGTTTTGCAGCCGCGTTCGAACCTTCCGCGTCCAACCGCCACCTGATCGAGGTATGTTCAAAAACTATGGGACAATCGTTTCATCCCGCGTTCTCCTGCATGCCTGTATCAGATGATCGCTCTCTTTGAATCCGGGACCCAGGATACAAGGGCCTTTATTTCGCATCAATACCTTTTGGCTTGGGAGGATGTTAACTTTTTCTGCATTTGCGCTATGATTTTCATTTTCACTTGCACGATGAAATGGTGCCGATGCTTGGCCTAGACTCACGCTGTTCGTCAGTAGCCCCAGAATACGGTGGCACTCGTGGTCGTCAGAATACCATGTGGCGCATCGGCTGGGAGCGTCTCCCATGCCCCTGCGTATCACAAGCATTCAATGCGGCACTTTGCGGATTCGAGACATACTCGACTTCCTTTCTTTTTCTATCGTCTCTTCGTAGGTCATGACCCCCGTCGTCATCCCTTTCATGCTCCTAAGGCGACTCGCGCAATAAGAATAGTTGATCGATGTCTACCACACGCACATTCGGCATTTACCGAACCCTCTCCTTGACCGCTTTCAAAGTGCCGCACGTCGACGGGCGATCGGATGCCGAGCTCCTGCATTCCGGTTCCCGAACCCGATGACCGTCTCGTAGCCACTCGGCACCAGAGAAGCGTGTAGATCCCGAGGCTTTGCTTCTGGTCGGACAACTGACGCAGAGCACCTCATTCCCTGGTATGCAGAACGAGCTCTGTTGTTCAGTCATTTCGCGAGAACGCTCAAACACGCTCGCAGATAAGTTTTGGAAGGAGAGTCCGTCGCCTTCCAGCTGTGGAAACGAGCTGTTATATCATCTGTCTGTTGGTTCTTTTCCGATGTTCTTCGCGCTCTGAACGAACCTCGCCTCGTGCTCACATCTTCTGCTGCGGTAAGCAGGCGTTCCTCACGCTGTACTCGAGCCCACAAAAATGACTTCGTCCGAAAAACCCAGCTCGAAACCAACGAGTCTTTTGTTATCCTTCAGAGACGGGAGACTTTCGTTGTCGCTCTTTCGCCCCGAAGTTTTGCCCGACGCTCTCAGCTGGACGACGATATCGTATCTATCCGAGAAAAAACGGGAACCGAATGGAGTATGTATCGGTTAGGCAGCTCTGATATCGAAGGTTTCCTGGTCAATTTTCGTCTTCATTTCCTACCTCAATTTGCTTTCGTTTTCTTTCATTCTTCTGACGCCGTGGCGTCGCAGAGCACCCGTGACGCTCGCGTAAATGACGGGCATGTAACCAGACCTGTGAAGCCACGGTTCGTCAGCAGGACAGACAACTTCTTGGGGCGGCGTAGGCCGCTTCTGCCTTTCGCATCCTATGCTATCCAGTTATTAGAGGCTTTACAACCCTCTTGTGAAATTTTCGAAGTATAGAGGAAGGACCTAACGTGTCCTGGACGACTTGTTTAGAGACAAGCCCTCGGGAATATATCCCCTCAGGTCTAGAGCGATCAGAGCCGCCAATTTCATGTCTCTCGGTTTCGCTTCTCGACCATTCGGGGCATGAGAACGTCGAATCTTACAAGCGACCGAGTGGTTACGGCACAGATAAACTGTATCTTGGGAGGTCCATGATTTTGTATCCATGCGTCAGCTTGATGTAATGAGCTGCACCAGACCCAAGTCTCATCTGGACGTGGTTCGTTTCTGTCGTTCCCGTCCTTGTGGTAACGTCCGTGAGCGCCCGCTTCATTCCAAAGACATACACCAGAGTTGTCCCGCATTGTTCTTGCCCTTCGATTTTTCCTTTCGTGACCCCGGGTCAAAGACGATCAAATTTATCAGCGCTTGATATACGACTCGAGCAGATGTTCTCTCGAGACCAGCACGATTGCTCTCGGTCCAGGCGATCAAGCAGGCGTAAAAAAGTTCCTACCGAGGAACGGGAGCGCATTCTGTGGTCGCTCCGCTCGTTCAGTCATTTAGCTAGTTGTACCCACATCGTTTCAGTGTCTGTAAGAAGGGCAACCAGAGATCATCTGACCTGGGTCAAGGGTCGCGAGACACCATCCCCAGCACGTGGAAGTTTGCAAGCGCGTTGACTTCGCGTTCCAATCGGTTGCCGACGATGACCCGCTGTGAGACGAAGCATTTTGTCCGTTCACGATGGCGATCTTGGAGGAAAGCGTACAACTTCATCTCGAAGACGAGAAATTGCCCTGCGGTCACGTTATCTCGCTCGTGATCCATGCTCTCCCCGAAGGGCTCGAGCGGCATATTTCTCCCCTCTACCAGAGGATGCGATCCGCTTCTCGCAACAGAACCATTTGGTCTTCCCGGTGAAACGAACCTCCAACCATGAACTGGTCGAGAAACCGGAAGACTCGAAAATTCTCTCGACTGATGTAGAGGAGGCGTCCCAGAATTCCATGAGCGCTTCGGTATGGTATCGGGGGCGGGCGCTCCGCGGCGGCCGCGCCAGCGTCTCCAACTGCAGGCAACAAAGACAGCACGTCAGAATCTGTTCATAAGCGAACATGATGGAATATGATGGTATATCATGGGACAAAAGGAGACTCGGATGCATGCGCCAACACACACCATCGACAGGGCGCGCTTGAACTTGCGATGAACCCTGGTGACACGAGGGTCAGCTGCCCGAGACACCGTGCACAACGTTCGTCACTGCGCTCTTGGGCACGACTTTTTGGTCTTTGACGGACTCGAAGTCGCCTACTGCTTACGCTTTGGACCGACTGACAAACATCATTAGGGTTTTTTTTTGAATCCGTGTGCGCTGTCCCTGTGGGTGCTCGTCAGCAGCTCAGAGCCGGGCGCCTTTGCGAGCATCCAATCGCCGTCTGGTCGGAGTGCACGAAGAATCAGACATGCTCAAGTTCTTTCGCCAAGACGGGTCGAATGAGGACAAAGATGATACGAAAAAGCGTGCATCAGTCCTCGAACGCGACGTATCGTCGCCGCCGGAGCGCCAGGAGCACGGCACGGACGACTTGTCCGAGAGCGCGCAACGCTCTCGTGTTTTATTCGGGTTGATTGTGGGCTCCATGGTAGCGCTCTGGGGACGGCGTCACCGTCCGAATCCTAACATGGAAAAACGACCAGCATCGAACGGTTCTGGTAGAGAGAGACAGTCTCGATGTTCAGCCTTGGTGAGCGCTGCCCCTGTAATTCGCATGGGACTAGTCGCTGACGTGCAGTACGCTGACAAGGACGATAAAGAGGTCAGCGGCTCGACGCGCCACTACAGGAACGCCATTCATAAGCTGGCACGAATCGTGGAGGCTTTCGATAGCGAGGCGGGGTCGCTGGACCTTGTGCTCCAGCTCGGAGACCTAGTCGATGGCCAGGAGCAGCTCGATGGATCGCGCGCCGATCTTGAGCTCGTCCTGGGTCAGTTCGCTCGTCTTCCCGTGCCGCTGTACCATGTCTTGGGTAATCATTGCCTCAAATGCGGTCGCGACTGGCTTCTGAAACGTCTTCGCACACGTGCGTTCTACGATATGCCGCTGCGCGCACGGATGTCATCGGGCCCGAGCGCAACAACCACTCCGTCGGAAACGCCGTGGCGGCTCGTTGTACTCGATTGTCTGGATATTTCATTGCACTGGGATGATCCAGAAGACCCACGACGTTTGCAAGCAAAGCGCTATTTAAAGGAACACGCCAGCACGGCTCCGAATGCGGTGCCATATAATGGCGGTATCGGAGAAACGCAGCTGGTTTGGCTCGAGAACGTTCTCGCCGAGGCTCGGACGCGACAGGAGTTCGTCATCGTCGCCGGGCACGTGCCGATCGCTCCGCAGAGCGCGGCACCGTCTCTGTTACTTTGGAACTACGAGGAGGTTATGGCCCTATTCCGGGTCTACCGCGACGTCGTGAAGCTCGTACTAGCCGGCCATGAACACGACGGAGGCTATGCCCAGGTTGATGGCATTCACTACATCACACTGCATGGAGTGGTGAATTGCACCGACGGTGACGATAACGCCTATGCTATTCTTGAACTTGTAGGGCACTCGTTTGCTCGCTTACATGGATTTGGACGCGTCGAGTCTCGTCTGCTGCTTTTCGACGCATCCCCATGAAATGGCGATCAGCTCGCACTGAAACTTGGTGTGCCATACCATTGCTGGCAATACTTGGATCCTGCGTCTGCGTTCATCACAGAGCGATCCAGCTCGCCGCTGATGCGCGCTGCGGAGCGAATCGCAGGCGGCTAGAATGGCTGGGCATTACGGAGCGCCTCGGAAGCGGTGCTGTTCACGTAAAGCCCGCACAGCAGACAGCTACAACGCGTGTTGTACCCGAAGGAACTCGCTGAACGAAGACAGCAGAGCCTCGGTAGTTGTTCTTACCAAGGATTCGGATAGGATCTGTGGTGCTGTCGCCGTCAACGTCGCTGGGGCACTGAGCATGCACCGCGCGTGGGTATCAACGCCAATTTGGATGATCGTGCTGAGGTTGCAACCTGGACAAGCTAGCGGAGCACTGTAGAATACCAGCATTCTTGTTTGCTAGAAAGCTGCACGAGAGCAAAATTGAAACGAAACATGGCCCCTAGTGGGGATACGGGCCTCGAGCTTGCGCCCGAAACACCAACGCCACGAGATCAGGCGACGTTCTGGCAAGCAACGCTATTGAATCGATTAGAGTTTGCCGTAGTTTGGAACTGGATCTGCCGCGGGTGCTCATCATTTGGGTATTCAGCGGGAGAATTTGCCGTAGTTGTGTTCGCAGTAGGAAGCGTCAGAGCTCACTTCTGTACGCGTCGAGTCCAAGAACCGATGCGTGCGGAACGATCGTGCAGCCGTGTCCGCTGCAGAACATAGAGGCGTTCTTCGTTCCGTAAACGATCGGCAGAAAGCTTTTCAGTATCGAGTCGCTTCTGTACAGTAGCCGTGGTGCGTAGAAGCCGATGCACGCTGCTCCCCGCAGCGAGCACAGCGCTTGCGAAGCGGGATCACTTGTCGGCATTATGCAACGGTCCGTGTGCGGGCGTGCCGTGCACCCAGGGTTCAGTTTAGCGCGCTGCTCGAATCTCCATTCGTGTCTGCATCGAATGGAACAGCTCCGCTTTGCCAACTCGGGCGTACACACTTCAGTTTGGGTCTCCTGGTATTGTCATCAATACAAGCCTTTGAGGGCGTTTTGTTCAACTGCCTTCTTTCCGTCCTTCTAATCCGCGGCGTGGAATATGTTGGTCTCTTCTTTCTGTTCTTCTCAGTTGGCAAGAGTCGAACGATGTTGGTGGCAGTGTTCAGGTCCCGATTTCACTGCTTCCAGCTGGAGTCGACGCATGTCGTCCCTAGATGATGCATTCGATCTACGCTTCGCTTGCCATGTTTATTTTCTTTGCATACAGCATCGGTACGCAGTTCGCAGCGGTTGCGCTTGGCTCTATGCAGGCGTTCCCATATGATCGCAACCGCCACTCCTTCTCGTTCTTGTGCTGCGCCTCGTCGAAGCGCTGCCCTATGGTGCGTGAGCGCTTGCCTGTTCGTTCGTTGTAGACGCCTGACGGGTACAGAAGGCTCGCATAGATACATGCCGTCTTGCGGCGCCTGGTGCCGTATCCTACGATCACGTGCTTGTTCTCAGTGATCCCCTTGGCGAGTACTCTTCCGGCTGCACGTACAAGCGTACACTGTTCCGTTCAATAAAAAATTTGTGGAACGTGATATTGTCCATGATGAAACTAGCACCCCTAGGATAATCGTGAATGGAGAAACTTCCGAGCCATGTCGATCCGCCTTCGCACCTTTCCTGCAATTCCGGAACGCGCTCTCGCCACCCGAAGCGCTCGTAACGATGACTGAGGTTCGATCTCAAGGCCCTTGCACCGGCGCTATAGGCGCCAATGCTGTCGCTTTCGGCAGGCTCGGCACACGATAGCACGTATGACACGACCAGAATATCCGAGATGAAGTGTAGGTAATGTACTATGGAGGTAGGGCGTTTGATAGATACTTCATCGCGCACTGAAAAAACAACACAAAAAAGTAAGAAAAGAAAAATGCACATAATCGGAGAACGCTGGCCTAAGTACACGTTTTGTCAGTTGAAAAATCTCAAGACCCTTTTACGTGCAAAAAGAAGAGACAGGCGTCGCTTGGAGCGTATCCTGCGAGCGGTGCCATATGGCTGGCGAATTCTGTTTCGTCGATGACCGTAAAGCGAGGAGGATTACGCTTTCGAACGGCATCGACTATTTGACTTGAGCAATTCAGTGAGTGCTCGGTATGAGTTTGTGCACAAGTCGTTGCGGGAGAATGTCGGGCTTCTTTCCACGTCAACCTGGCCATGCTCATTGCTGCACCATCGAGTTTGCCTTGAAACAGAACGATCTAAAACAGCCAAGATTTCATGACTTGAGCATGCTTCACATGAAGTAAAGAGAGACATGGAGGCTTTCGGGTATAAATCGGATGATGATATCGGTTGTTTTGCGGACCCGTGTTAAAGCGCATCGCGAACCACATTGATTTCGGAGACGAAACGAATTCCAGTGACGAAAAGTAGAAGCATTCACTCCGAAAAAGAAGAGAGAACATATGAAAACTATTTATGAATCTATAATCCCTTATTCATGCTTTCCACATCTCGAGAAGCTCGACACCTAGAAAAGCTCGCGAAAAATCGAAAGGCAGGATCAGAGAGAATCGTTCCAAGCTCCATCTTCATCTGATATGGAGGTCGGACAAACGACATCCGCGTTGTTCAGGCAACAAGCGCCAGCGCGTTAACTCAAATAACAGAAGACGCGTTTCTTCGAGTCCGCTGTTAGGTTTTCAAGTCAGCGCGTAGACCAAACGACATCCGCGTTGCTCAGGCAACTAGCGCCAGCGCGCCGACTCGAGTTACAGAAGACGCCTCTCTTCAAGTCAGCGCGTAGACCAAACGACATCCGCGTTGTTCAGGCAACTAGCGCCAGCGCGCCGACTCGAGTTACAGAAGACGCCTCTCTTCAAGTCAGCGCGTAGACCAAACGACATCCGCGTTGTTCAGGCAACTAGCGCCAGCGCGCCGACTCGAGTTACAGAAGACGCCTCTCTTCAAGTCCGCTGCTCCGAATGGATAAAACGTCGCACCCACAGGAAGGAGTGGGTTTTGGGTTGCTGCTGCGATTGTACTGCGTGACGGCGCTTCTGAAGGCTCTTTTGGTGCGCGCACCTTACTCGACGGACTTGCTTGTGCACCTGCACTGGAAGAGTCTCACGAGGCGGTTCCCAGTGTCCGCCTGGTACACGCCTGCGACCGGGCCACCCTATCTGGACTATCCCACATGTTTCGCCTACCTCGAATGGTTCCTCGGTGCGCTGGCGCAGTTGCTCCGTATTCCACTCGATCACGAGAACGGTAGTGTGCGTTTATCGACGTTGATCTTCATGCGAATAACAGTTATCGCACTAGACGTGTTTCTGTTTCTCGGCATGCGACCATGGTGTGCAGGCCCGGAGACAGCCGCCGCAGCCTCTTTCCCGTCTGTAGTACTCGATCGATTGCTTTGGGTTGTTACGCACCCTGCGCTCTGGCTCGTAGACAATATCCATTTCCAATACAATGGGCTGGTAATTGGCGTCATTCTATACAGCCTGGGCGTCCTGTTTCGCGAGAGCGTTTACGCGGAAATGGAAAAGCGTCGATCCCAAAGAGGCATGTGGCGAGCTAGTGCGGCTTTTCTGGTGGCGTTGGGCTTGAAACATACGACTGCGCTCAGCATTGCGCCAGTAGTCGGACTTGTGCTGTGGAAACAACGCGCCTGGAAGAATATCTATGTTGTTGTTTCCGGTTTCGTTTGGTTGCTTCTGATGCTCGGCTTGCCTTTTGGGTGCGTGGGTTGGCGCGCGCTCTGGGAACGCCTCTTCCCGCTGGATGAGCGGGGCCTTTTTCACGCGTATTGGGCGCCGAACGCGTATGCCCTGCTCGCAGCCGCTGACAAAGTTGTCGCCCGTTTCTGCGCTCTCGTTTTCAGCAGACTTGTGGAACGAGGGCTTGCGAAATCTCCGCACGGCTCTGATCTGCTACCGATGCTACACCGATCCGGCCGCGTTTCGAACAGCGCCGGACTCGTCCAGACTGCAGGGGGCGGTTTCTACCTCTTGCCAGAATGGACTCCGATGCTTGCCACGCTATGCTGCGTCGTCGCAATGACACCGAGTCTGCTTGCTCTGCACTGGGCATTCCAGGAAAGTGCAAGGCATGGCGAAACACAACCTGCCAGCTCGGATGCAACCGCCGTAGACCGGTTAGATCAGCGCCGTTGCATGGAGTTTTTGGCGAAGATATGCGCACAGGTGTCCCTGAGCTTGTTCTTGTTCGGATGGCATGTCCACGAAAAGGCGCTCATCCTGCCGGTGTTCCTCGCGGGCCTCGGATTAGGGCCGCGTCATCCGGTAGCTGCGGCCCTGAGCACAGCCTGCTCGCTGGCGATGTTCCCGCTGGTGTCCTCGCCAGGCGTACGGCTGGTTCGGCTCGCGCTGCTCTTCTGGCACTGGCTATACTTTGCGCCGCTGCAGCCTTGGCCACCGACGCGCGCGTGGCTGTTGGTGTATTCGTACGGTGGAATTGGGCTGATGATCGGCGAGCTGTTGGCCTCGTGGCACGGCTGGCAGCGTCTGGGTCTACCGTTTCTGCCGCTGATGCTACAGTCCGTGTACAGTGCGCTCGCTGTTGTCTTCGCATGGGGTTATCTCAGCTGGCAGGTGTGGCGAAGCACGCGAGCCGATTACATGGGATGCAGCCCAAATGCCGAAGCCAAGCACTTGCTCATCGCACCGTCAGTGCAGGCCGGTGCGCGACCTCTGCTTGTCCGTAGCTCCTCCAAGCACTGAAATGTAAAATATCTACTGTTAAGCATGATATCGCTCGATCTCCCATGGAGCAGAGCACTTTGACAACACCAGGCACTATTAGGACAAGGCGAATGCGTGGTACTCTCGACGACTTTCGTCTGCGGTACCTGCGTGCGGTACAGCACCTTATCGCGTTGCACGACGATGCCGTGCCACCCTCACCTGAGTGCCAGTCTGCGTAGCTTCAAAAGCAAGCAACACGGTTTCCAGAAGTGCCAAAATACGCCCATATCATTCTCTGGAACGGAGTCTCCAGGCGACGGACTTTTTTATTGAGATATGGCACAAAGTCTGCACGCTGGACGAGGAGTCTGTGTGATGACACCCTGAAAACAAACGCCGTTCTAAAGAAAAAGGCTGCTGTCGCCAGTGGTGCAGTAGTGGCGAGAAACCCGCCCTAGACAAAACGTCTCCAACTGAGGAGCAGACGCCTCCCAGTCTTGATCGACCGGCCATCTCCTACTGCTTCCAACTTCTTCTCATATAGGTCGACTTTGAGAGGTTGTCCAATAAAGTTTGTTCTTGTCGACTCTGGAGGTCTCTTCTCCAGCACCGCACATTTCCGTCCATTGAATGCGGCGTTAAAGTCTCAATTGACAAACTCCATACGTTTCTTGCCATTGGTTGTACTTACGAATGCGAGTAGTCCACGAACTTTTGCCCTCCTTTCCATTTGCTCTTCCGTCAGCGCTCCGTACTTTTTTATACCCTCAGGGCTCCTCTGGCACTTTTTCCATCTCGACACTCTGAGGTGTACACTCCAGTTCGTGATGTGTATACGATGTTCGGAACTCATCTACAGGTATCGTAACAAAACGCCTTGCGCACTCCTTGTACGTTCACGTCGTTGGAGCTGGTGTACACCCTTTTTTGGATTCCCAGCGTCCTGCTCCGTATGCGACTACGAGCCTTTGAATTTCATCCTCCTTCAACGCACTCAACTCATTGAAAAAATTCGCGAACGCCCGCTGTTTCCCGCCGTATCGATTCATTCGCAAACGAGCCCACCGGGGCTTGGTATACTCCTCCCACAGCGTATCCCAATGCGCAATGCGAATATCATAACCATCGCTGTATCCAAGCGTGCGGAAGATGGTATTGATGGTAACGTACGTCAGAAAGCAATGCGTCTTTAGAGGTTATCGACAGCGAGATTCTACCGGGAATCAGGTATAACGAATGCGAGGAAGAAAACTGCTGCGTGGAATGCAGGAATGAAAGAGCACCTGGAAGCTTCGAGCGAGGCGACGAGCCGAGGCGCGGACTTTGAAGCTTTTCGAAAGTGTATGGAAGTTCGCATTGCGCATTGGGATACGCTGTGGGAGGAGTATGCCAAGCCCCGGTGGGCTCGTTTGCGAATGAATCGATACGGCGGGAAACAGCGGGCGTTCGCGAATTTTTTCAATGAGTTGAGTGCCCTGAAGGAGGATGAAATTCAAAGGCTCGTAATCGCATACGGAGCAGGACGCTGGGAATCCAAAAAAGGGTGTACACCAGCTCCAACGACGTGAACGTACAAGGAGTGCGCAAGGCGTTTTGTTACGATACCTGTAGATGAGTTCCGAACATCGTATACACATCACGAACTGGAGTGTACACCTCAGAGTGTCGAGATGGAAAAAGTGCCAGAGGAGCCCTGAGGGTATAAAAAAGTACGGAGCGCTGACGGAAGAGCAAATGGAAAGGAGGGCAAAAGTTCGTGGACTACTCGCATTCGTAAGTACAACCAATGGCAAGAAACGTATGGAGTTTGTCAATTGAGACTTTAACGCCGCATTCAATGGACGGAAATGTGCGGTGCTGGACAAGAGACCTCCAGAGTCGACAAGAACGAACTTTATTGGACAACCTCTCAAAGTCGACCTATATGAGAAGAAGTTGGAAGCAGTAGGAGATGGCCGGTCGATCAAGACTGGGAGGCGTCTGCTCCTCAGTTGGAGACGTTTTGTCTAGGGCGGGTTTCTCGCCACTACTGCACCACTGGCGACAGCAGCCTTTTTCTTTAGAACGGCGTTTTCTGTTCGTAGCGGATGCCAGAGAACTGACGTTCATTTGATTCGCAGAGTAGAGGACGCTTATGCGTTCGGGATTTCTGCACGAAGCAGAGCCGCCGGCTCTGGATCCTGCAGATGCGGTGTGGCGACGTCTCAGTTCAGTTGAGCAGCAACGATACTTTCTTCATCGCATCGTGCTGCACACTTTTGCGCAGAAACCCTTAAGGATACCGACGGAAATACTCGAACACAACTCAGGACAAAGTGGCGTTCATGAGTGGCAAGGACCGGTCGCCAGTTTCCTGCGACTGCTCCGTCGACTCTGTCACGGCCTCCGGTGGGAACACCGCGGTGCCGAGCGCTCAGTCGTCGTTCTCCACCCTGGTGTGTACGTTGGCTGTGTTGCCGACGAACACACTGTCGACGACGTGCCTCTCATCGTGCACCGTTGCGACGACCTGGGCGCTTACTCGGTGACGGTGCTGCTGGAGCCCTTGCTGGTGCTGGCCCCGTTCGGGAAGCAGGTGACACGAGTGCGCTTTCGCAAGGCCGTCACCGAGAACAGCAGCCCAGAGACCATCGATGCGTTTATGCACGTCACACTCCCGCTGGCACAGGCGCTTCTCGGAACGGATTCGTGGTCAGAGCTGGCACCTTGCCGGGCGCTTCGGGTCCAGCTACTTCGACGGGATGTGCCTCAAAGCGGCTCCGATACGCAGAGGATGCACGCACCACGCGGCGTTGTTCTGTTCGAGTGTCCAGTATTGAAGACGGGGCTGCACTGGGAGACGCTTCGTGAGACGCTGGCGAGGGGCTCGTTCCCACATGGACGCAGCGTTATTCAGCGGCTGGGCGGGGTGGTGTCCACGGCAGGTGTTGCGCCAACGTGGGGTCTGCGCCTCATCAGCATGTCGCGTTCGCATTTCGAGCGCTGGTTGAGCGACGTGTACATAAGCGCCGTTCGAGTGCCGAAATCACGGACACCCATGTGCAGTCTGACAGTATGGGCGGAGAGCGCTGACAACTGCGCCTACGTTGCGAACACGAGCTGGTTTGAGGACTTGGATACTTTCTCGAATGAGCGCCGGGACCTACTCGGTTTTGCCGCCTTAGAAAAGATATTTTACAGCAAACTGCTTCCTCGTCTACGGCGGCGTATTCGGAATGCTGGACGCGCGGATACGCAGCATCACCCCCTGTTGCTGTGGTTCATGGCAATGGCACCTCCGAAGGGGCCACTTCAGACGTGCCTCGGGGCAGAGGTAGCGCTGCCAAGCCACCTACTTATACAGGATTTGGAGCATGTGCTTGGTGTGCGGTTTCATCTGCAACAAGACCAGAAAACTACGCTCTGGTGGTTATGCTGCCAAGGTTTGGGTTACCAGAACTGGAGCCGCGTTCGCCATTAGGTTATTCAGCGGGCTGGCTTGCTCTTGCTGAGTGCGATTTCCTGCTTGTCTCGTTTGATCGAGGCTGACTAGCACAGTCTGCAACGCGGCAGGGGCACCAGTACGCGGGATGAGCGGAGCGCTCGATCCCGGATCCTGTTCGACTCGGTACGAGGCGTAGGCCCAGAGCGGGGTCGTTGCCAGCGCGTCGACTCGCTGCGAAGCAGGTCTGACTGCCCACTGTGGATCGTAGGCTGATGGGAGCTGCAGCTGAGCGCTTTCCCAGTTGCGATCCATCGCTACATTCGTCCAGATTGAGGCAAAAACGCCAACGTCCTCTGTTTGCGTTGCAACGGTTCGTGCTTGTGTACGATGGAGTTCCACTAGCCACTCGGGGCGGCGTCCTCGCTCTACGGCCGGATACTCCCATTTACGGGCATCTGTGTCCGGAACTGGGTCCACCAGGCCAGTTCGATCCGGTGCGGCGACTGGGGTATCAGTTTGCGTCGCGCGGGCGACGACGACAGCGTCGGTGCCAGCCCGACTGGCTCGCTGCGAGTCTGCAGTAGCCGCCGTCCAAGCTGTATGCGTTTCGCTTGGATCCGTTCCGAGTAGCGTAGCCGCCTCAGGGGCTGCGGCCTCTGGTCCACTACGAGAGCCGGCTTCGCTGGCGCTGGCTCCCGTTGCAGCACGCGTCGTAAAAACGCTTTGCTGGACGAGAGCGCCTGGAGCCTGCGCTCCCTCGTAAAGCGTATGGAGTTGGAAACCAGGCGCAACGAGCACTGAAGCGCCTGCTGCTGTCGACGAGGCCCCTAGCCAGCTGGGAAAGGCCTGCCCCAGTAAGCCCGCTAGCCGACGGCCGAGATCGTACCAGAGACGTGCACCTCGCAGCTGCGTCTCTGACAGCCGGTCCAGCGAGTCCGCGTCAAAGTACCCGGCGAGAAGGGCCACTATGCGTGCGGACAAGCGCCTCATTCGGCGCTGCAGCAGCGCGCGACGCCTTTGCAAGAGACGTGCCGCGATAACCGCCTCACCTGACGCGGTAACTTCCGTACTGCGCGCAGCTGGCTCGTCTTCCGCACCGCTTTCCTGGGGCGTTTCTCTCTGGCGCCGCATATTCGTTTGTGGAAGCGAAGCGCGGCTTCAGCATGCGCACATTCGCGTGTGCAAAACTCCAGGTATTCGCAGCGCTCAGCTGCTGTTGCCCTTTGGCGGTTTCGAGCTCCACCTTCGTTCACTGTGCAACTGCTAAAGCCCACGTGTCCTCTTACACCAACGTTCAGTCGCGGTGCCGCCTGCACGAGTGCGTCTCGGAACGCTTCCGCTGGTGCGCAGGCGCTGTGCCTATGCGCCTGCGCTCATGCGATCCGTTGGACGAGCGCCGGCCAATGGCGCGGCCGCTTTCGCGCAATGTGGACCTATCGTTTCTACGCAGTCCATGCGACAGATTCCGTAGATTTTATGGATGCTCGGGACGCTATATTTGGTACGGATGATATCGACCGTGTTTCGTCATTCCGGGACGGTCGTCTGCGTTCAGTAAGCTTGCGTGATATCACGAATGACGTTAGCCAAGGTTCACAAGTACGTGTTTGTCTACGTCTCTGCGTACCTGCACGCATCCAGAAACATGGAGCCCCGACCTTCGGATGCAGTGCAGAGCGATCGCTGTGGGCGGGACGCGATGGCGCTTGGCGCACGCTCCACAGCTGCCGGCTGAGTGCGCCATCGATACACTTGTCGCTACCCGAACAGGAGAATATCGAAGAGAAGAGCCATGTGCGTCTGGAGGAACGAGCGCAGTCAATTACGCTCTGTGCAGTGCATTCTGGAGTACGCGTGAACTCCAGAATGGTCTTTTGTTCTTGCTCGCAGGTATTCAAGAAAAGAAGTGAATCCCCTGGATCGCAGAAAGTTCGCGGAACGAATGTGTCCCGTCACTCCTAGATTGCAAAGAAAGGCCTTGCATGGACAAGTCAAATGTGCTATGGTCTGCAGGCGGATGCTTCCCTCTTTTCATGGTTCTTTTGCTGGACGTCGTCCATCGAAAATAGAAGTTACCAAACTCAAGCTCAACGACTGCCTCCGCCTGGATCCATTTCACGCCAAAGGACCTCCGAGAAAAAGCTGCAGGATGTGAAGCTTTCGCATCATGGATAAGAACGACGGTGACGATGCGCGAATGAACAAAGCGACAGGTACCCATGTACACGAGACCATCGCGCGATGAACAGCAAACGCTGTCGGCTTGGGAGGGAAACGCGGTCGTCCATCGCGGGACGGACGAATGTTCGGCTCATCCGGTGAGACTTGATTCGCGAGAAATTGCGGAGCTGTTCATGGGCACTCAGATAGGCGTGGAACGCAGTTCGCAACCGAAAGACAAGACGGAACGACGGCGGGAGCAGTCCGTGGGCCCTCTCAAGTGTCTGGATACGAAAAACTCGTCAAAAATACAGGATCGTTCAACACCTCATCCCTCGTAGAAGCGCTCCCCGGGGCCTTCTCTGTCACGCATTCCTCTGTCCTGCTCTGAGCCGACGTCGCATCCCATCACTCGCCAGCCGGAAAGGAATATGCTGCTGATACTGGGGTTGAGGTACTCTTCGTACCAGTCTATGCTGCCTTGTGCAAGCTCATCGAACGCGTCGTCTGTCGTGTTGGACGCCATCTCAAGGCTAGCGGATCTGAATACGAGTGGTTTCCACCCATGACATCGAAGGCAATCGAGAAAATCATTCTTCGACAATTCATTGTCTACCTTCAACAGCCCTGAATTGCATTGTTGTTGCTCGTCTGCTCGTGCGCGTGAGGGTAGCGCGAAGAAGCGCTGCGTTTCACGAGGCGCACCCCGTGTCCCTGGACTGCGTCGAATCCTCAGCGTGCTGGCGCAGCAGCATGGAAACTGACGGAGACGATCTCTCGAGATACTGATGGAGGCAAGTCACGAGCTGATGATGTCATATTCGTTCGCGGCGGTAGCCAGTGCCCCGGAAACGTCGCAGTGAGCTCGAGCGTCACCTCTGATCACCAGAGCTCAACGTGGCGTACTGGACCCCGAATCGCCGAACGTCATATCCAAGGAATGGTAGACACATCGTGCCTGGCTGGAAGCCTTGCCTCCTGCGGAAATGCGTGTTCCATGAACGAGCATCGTAGAGCAAAGCTGTAGCAGAGCCCGGATCCGAGCGCATTCGCCTTCTCAAGCTCCTCCCTGATGTCTTCCTGATTCGTCAGATCGAGGTCTATTGTATCACCAAAGAGTCTTCAGTGGTATATGGCCGCTCTCAGTGAGCTACGACTGGTCTCTGCAAGCAACGATGAAGCATTATGACAACTTTACGAAAAGCACTGGTGGAGCTCGCTCAATCTTTTCCTTCAACACAATGGAAATAGAATGAACTGAACAGGGACGATCAACACTTTCGGACGATCGACCTGCATGCACTTTGTGAAACCCTGGTCTCAGTCGAACAATGAGACTCATTTTCAACCGTTTTTAGGTAGATGAATAGAGATAGTTTCAGATACGCGGGAGTCCGGGTTCCGGGGCACCGCGGCCGTCGCCATACCAGCAGATCGATCGAGGCGGTGGAGCCCACGACCTCACAAGAAAACTAGATGGGGCTGCGCATCTTCTTCCAATGCTAGGTTGCATCGCTGGCCGGGTATCGTGGCCACCAGGACGCATATGGTCAAGCGGAATGACAGCAACGGGATCGATGTCGACACCCTGAGCATCCTGTCGAATCGAGACGGCTGTTTCATGCGCTTCATTCAGAGACAATATATGACCGTGCCATCGGCGCATGCGGACGATCTTTGGCAGGAGGATCTGACAGACTGCGCTGCGATCGCGAACAGTATCGGTGGTGCGGAGGCAACAGGCGTGGCTTTACCAGCCTGTTCAGTGCACCACATAAGGAGCTGATGGATGCGTCCCGTTATTTGGTCATAGCCTACCGCGCTGAATATGCTGTAGCGCGCATCATCTGCACTCCTGCTCCTTCGACGTGCGCGGACAAGGAAAACAGGAATCGATTCTGTAAGATTCTCATCGATGCGTTCAGGACGACATCCACACATGAAGAGAATGGGAGCACGTTGCATGATCTAGAAAAGATAACAGTGAAACACAGCCGAATGCTCGATACGGTGCTGGGTAAGCTGAGCGAGCGTCGGAAGGCGAGGTGCTCGAATAGCGAGGCTTTCTATGAGGTCATTTCACCTGTGCAACAATGGACGTTACCGCTTTCCACACTGAGCATTCTACACCGCGATCAACTTGCCGGAATGCACCGTGCCTCGGCAACATCCAGCAGCTTTGCGTTGAGCGAAATTCCGTCAGAATCCCATACTACAAAGTCTGCGCATTGTACTGAAACTCTGAAGACCTTTGGTGAATAGAGAACCACTGACCAGGAGCGAAGACTCCCAGAATCCTCTACGGCAAAGTCTGGGCAATGTACTGAAACGCTGAAGATGTTCGATGAAAAAGGAACCGGTGACCAGGAGCGATGCGTTCGTATGTAATCGCCCGGAGCAAGGCGCTGGTTCGGTACGAGTCAGCTATCCGGCAAGGTTGCGACGCCGTATAATCCACCCACTCACACACATTCACACAAGGAAGCAGTGTCCTGGACATTTGATAAACGATCATGGTAACCCTCAATTCGGTGTTACGAAATGTATCGGGATCGTGAACCGCACCTCTTCCGCAAACGCTTCCTGGGTTTCAGACCCCTTCGATCACCGGCATACCCCCTGCTATGCAATTCAGGTTGGATCACAACGGCAGTGTCATAGACGGCACACTGTCGGACGACTGCACTCTTTCAAAGTCAACGTTCTTGTCGTCGGTGTTCTCCCCGGTGTATCATCCATGAGTCTGCATACGAAAACTCCCTGTCCGCCATTCATCGCATCTTGTGCGGCATTTTCCTCTCCTCGCCTCCGCTATTCCCATCGTTATCGTTATCATCATCGGAGTTTTCCACGAGCGCTTCTGCTCGCCTGAATGCGGACGTCGCCCGGACAGTACATTTGCATTCGGCGACGGCGTGACGAGCCCAGGTAAACGCACCACCTCATGATCGTCGAGCAGACCTGCTCTGCATGTACGGACTCGTGCCTGTGTCACGAGACATGTCCCCATTTTGTCGGATACAGGGAACGCCTCATTCTCGAGCAGCAACGGAACAATGGGCCCCGCCAAACCGCTCGTCGATGGTGCACCACAGTGCCGAGGAACAACTGCGGCGCGTTCACGAGTTCCTGCATGGATATCGCACCTGTAAAAAGAGGACGCTTCCATACGTTTACACGAAACATGTCATGTATGGATACGGGTAAGCGGCACCACCGCGTCGAAGCCGAACGCTCGGACGCACCGATGCTCGCCCAACTCGTCCCAGATGGTATGCAGGGTCACCAGTGCGCCGCTTGATACCCCGAGTTCGGCACGAGAGCGATAGAGCGATAGAGCGAGCGACAGAAAACGGACCCGCTCGAGATCGGGCGCTGATGGATCGCGGGACGCCGCTGCGCCCCACGGGGCGAAACGGAAAAAGGACGGGTTCGTGGGCGCGCTGGTACCGCAGCTTGGCACGCGAGGCTTCCTGTGTGTACGTACGCGTAGCTTGTCGCTTGACGTACGGGAAACGTTTCGTCGAGACAGCAGCGCACAGCGTAGGTGGTCATTATCCTATTTATTCTGATATTTATTGGACAACGGATAGAATCTTTGGCGATGCGGCAACCAGCGAGTTTCACGTCGCCGCTGTGCGTCGTGGTATACGGAGAGCGGGAGCGCCCGTCGCTCGCGAGCGCACCCTCGACTTCGGAGCACAGCTCTTGGCAGGGCTCTGTGTTAGCGAGCGCGTCCGCTCAGTCGAGCGCAAGCTCGTCGTCCAGCGCAGGTAGTCGCTGGGGCGCTTCACAGAGCCTGCTCACGTACCCGGCGGTGTTTAGCGAGTCCAGGGCGGCGATTCGCGCCCGCTTCCAGGCTCCGCCCCCGACACCACACTGTGCGCGTATGCCTGACGGTCGTCTGTGCTGGTTGCGCAAGGAAAATGTGGCTCATCATTGAGCGTCAGCAGACGGCGGCTGTGGCGGTAGTGGCTGTCGTTGCTGTCGTTGCTGTCGTTGCACCCAGTTGTTGGTACGCGACGAGCTAGAGTCGTTGCCTGTCGTCGACGCCGAGGCGTTCGAAGGCCGCTCGCGCCCGTGTCCTTCGTCCATGGACTGGCGCTGCGGCTTGCTCGCTTGACTTGGACTCGAGCGAGCGGCGCCTGTGTGCCCGTCTGCGTTCGTGCTTCCGTCAGCGGGTTTCGGTGCAGCGGATGCAGGTCCGTTGTGGCTGCCGCTCGCCTGCGAAACGCGGGTCGAGTCGTTCCGCGTCGACCGCGGCTTGGTCGACTGCGAAGCAGCAGGCGCCTGCGCGCGCTCTCTGCCCTTGTTTGCAGCTGTGCTCGACGCGGGTGGACGGGATGTGCGTTCCGCTCTGCGTACCACGGTAGTTTCGGTTGTCATACGCACGGTCCGCTTTGTACCGCTGCTGCTCGTTGTGGTTGAAACCTGCGTTGTGCGTTTCTGTACAGCAGTGCGCGTAGCGTCATTCGCATCCGTCTGCGGAGTAGTAACGGGTTTGCTTCGGTCGGGTTTCGCTCGGGCCTCCAGTTCAGCGATGGTGCGAGCAAATCCTCGGCGCTGCTCCGCTGCAGATGGCGTATTCGACCAGGCAATCTCCCCGCTGGGGACTCTCTCCTGGAAATAGTTGCCCGTATCGGGATCGAAGACGTCGTTCTGGCCGAAGAGGTCGCGTCGGCGTTCCTCGCTGGTGAGCTCCCGATGCGGATCAATGGAGCCCACCGCCTCCAGCAACCGTCGCTCTTCAATAAAAGGCAGCAGAACAACTGCCTCCCAATCAAACCGCTTGCCATTCAGATCTGTACGGAACTCTGCGGGATAAAAATCACGCACCGGGCTCTCTAGATCGAGCATGAGCTGTCGATACGGAGGTGGTAGCTCGCCGCTGCTTTCAGGGGGCAAAACGCCCAGCAGCTGGGTCAGCGGCGTGAAAGGTTTCCCCTTGAGAAAACGAACCTTGTACGAGCCGAGGTCGCGGAGATCCGAACACAATGGTGCGAAATAGTACGGATAATACCAGGTCCACGACGGGCATCCGTGGTGGTAGTACTGGAGCACCCAATGCAGACCTTCGAGATAGCTCTGAATCACCTGTCCGCGTAGTCGCTCGTTCCCGTCTGGTGCATCGAGGTTCAAACGGAATTTGTCCCGATAATAGGCGACGCGGTAGCGCTCGGGGTCACAGTACTCCTGGATGTTCTCGTCGACGCCTCTGCGATTGAAATACGCGCGTTCCTCTTCCGCAAGACGAGCTGCGAATGCCTCCAGTCGGTCTGGATGGATTCGGTGCTTGTCGGTGAGGTAGCCACCCATGATGGGCAGCAGCTCCTTATACGCGCCGAAGAGGAGTTCCAGCGCACCGTCAGAGATATCCAGATGGGGAAGGTGTGGCAGAAAGTCGTTGCCCACGAGTACGCCCATGAACATAAAGTCATCGACGATGCGCTCCAAATCAACGTGGAATGGCGGGGCATCGCTTCGCTGGCGACTGGCCAATTCAGCGAACTCCTTATACAGTTCGTCGCGCAGGAGATTAATCTCCAGCAGGTGAAACTCCTCAAAGTCGTCCAGATTGGCGGGTGCATCGACAAGTCCCATGCGTCGGGCGGCAAGCGCCCGCGCCAGAGGCGAGTTGTCGCCGGACTCGCTCGCCGCAGCCGGGTTGCTCAGCGACGTTATTGGCGGCGAGCGTGCTGCTGCTCCGAGTCGCTCACCGATGCGTCCGCGGTACACGAGTTTCTCTCGAAGCAGCGCAAAGTACGGCTCGTGGGTCACGAGTCCCAACATAATCAGATCCGCATCGAGTCCATACATGCAGTGCCGGATGGGCATATCCCCGCGGTGGCGGTGTTGCCGCTTAATCTCCCGGATCATTTCCATGATCTTGTGCTCGCCTTCGCCGGGCACCTCGGGTCCACTGAAAACCACTTTGCATCCGGTCTGCCACGCCCGATCGTTTCGCATTTTGTAGTCGATCCATTCGCGAAAGGCCTGCGACAACCGGTCCATGAACGCAGTACCAGGCGTGATGCAGTTCGAATCGAAGCGTTCTTCAATGAATCCGTCCTCGAGATCGCCACGGGCAATGGCTTCTGCGAGCACTCGTTCCGCCTCTTTGGCCGAGCGGAAGCGTCGAGAACGTTGCTGGTTCATCTTTGCGCGTGGTGCTACACCATCCACAGCCAGAAAGAGGAACTTTCGTGGTTTCACAATGCGGTAAAGACGATCGGTGTAGGCAAAAATGCGGGCAAACATCTCCACTTCATCGAGAAAGATGATATCGCCGTCGTTGTTATGGGTGCAGGTGTGGATGATACCGTTCATGTCGAGGTAGAAGTTGTCGAACTCACGATCACCTTCAAGCGACTGGTTGATGACCGGATAGCGCAGTGAGAGCCAACGAAAGAAGCGCGGAATCCCCATGGTGCTACGCTGCTGCTCGGACACGCGGAGGCAGCACAGCGCCCGACGTGCTTACGAGAGAGCGTCTGCAGGCCTCCGTCTCGAGCGCGTCAACGGCTGCTGGCCCAGCGCCGTTTCCCAACGACACTTACGTGAGCAAAGATCTTGTCAAAACTGCTGGATTCGCGTATCCGTACCAAAAACACGCAACACACGAGAACAAGTTCTTTCTGAACGAAACGAAAGGTCCGACACCAGTCGCGAGCTTTCGTAGACTTGAACGAAGGGTTCAGGCACCCGAGTCTCCAATCAATTGTAGATTGGATCTTGGATAAAAAGTCTCTCTTGGTGGCCAGATCACGCACGAACACCAGTCACGAAACGAAACGAAACGAAACGAAACGAGTCGTCGAGCTTACACAGCACGGAGTCGTGCACCTCCCCAGTAGACGCTTGCTTCCTCCTTATCGTGCGAACACGACTTGCGTTTTCAACGTTTGATAGAGCACTCGTTTTGCAACGCGTTCCGAGTCTATGCTACCGCCACGACGCACAACCCAAGCGCCTCGTGTGCCTGGAACAACTCCGTCAACGAGTCGTTGAACGCTTCGCAAGCAGCGTCAGAAGCGGAGAGGCGCAGTGCAGACGCCGTACGAAGAAAAGCACCCGCACATTTGCGCCCGCCGGTGGCTGCCGCGGATGCATTTCGCCTACCTCCGTGAGCCAGCTCAGCGAGTACCAACAGCAAGGCACGTAGCCGCAGCACCGCAACGCAAAACTGACCACGGATCAGGGGACACTAAAGCCCGGACAACTGAATCTGATTGCACTTTCGGGGAACCGTGCTTGGGTGCTTTGATTGTACACTGTAAACGAGGGCATACGGATTCATCGACTGCTTGCACGGCACTTGGTGAACGGCTCGAAGGGATGCGTGGCCTAGAGTCGCACCGGCTCGGCGCGCAGCATCTCTTTCTAGGTTTTACGGTGCCTTTCTGGACAGAGAAGAATGAATCACCGAATAGGCCGACTAAGCGACAGCTTCTGGCCATTAACCGGAAGCGACGCGGCTTGTTCGGCACTGCTGGTGGGCTGCTCGCAGGCGGCGCTGCGGCGCCTGGCTGGGAGGCGGGCCCCAGGAGCGGTACACGCGGGTCGTTGCTGCGCCTGGAGGCTGCACGAGCTGCCTCTGTGACAGAAAGGCAACACCAGGGAGCCTCGGTTGTGGGAAAAACGACACCTGAGGCCGTCGCCTACGAGATCGATCGGCACGGGTCTGTGTACGCGTACCGGGCAACAAGCACGGCGGGCGCGGGGTCCCTGGAGCGGCTCGCGGACTTGCGGAGTAGCGACTGGCGCCAGCGTGCTCGACAGGCGTTGGCAGCAGCACCTGGTCAGCTCGTGCTCCAGTTGCGCTCAGTTTTCCTGCCCGAGGGGTTTCCAGAGAGCGTCGGGCCATCCTACCTGCGTTACTCGTTGTGGCGCGGTGCCCAGAACGTGGTCTCCGCGATGACCGCAGTGCTATCGACGCATGCCCTGCTCGCAGCAGTTGGTCTATCGTCGACGCCGGTGGCCGCGGCGACGTCTTGGGTCCTCAAGGACGGCATTGGTCAGCTGGGAAAGCTGCTGACGGCGCGACGCGGTCGAGACTTTGATGCCGATCCCAAGCGATACCGCCTGTCGTCGGACCTGCTCTATGATGCTGGGTTATCGCTGGAGATTCTGACACCGCTCTTCCCGCAATATTTCCTAGCGCTAGCTGCGCTGGGCAACTTTACGAAATCGGTAGCGATTACAGTAGGCATGGCTTGTCGTAATTCAGTGCTGAGCTCGTTCGTTTTGCGTGGCAATCTGGGGGATATCAGTGCCAAGAACGATGCCCAGAACGTTGTCACGAATCTGACTGGCATGGGGCTGGGGATTGTGACGGCGCGGGCGTTGCCGCCAAAGCCATCAGTTCGCCTGGGGGCCTTTGCTGCACTGACGGCCCTGTACAGCGTCCTCAATTACCAGTCCATGAAGGCAGTGAAGTTAAATGTGGTGAATCGTCAGCGAGGAGCAATCATTGCGGACTCCTTCGTGCGGAGTCATGCTGAGGATGTGCTCGATGTTGAGACCGTCAATGATCTGGAATGTATCATTCCATTTGTACCAGAGCACTTTCAGTGGTTGCCCCTTAAACTGGGCGTGTCCCTGGAGCGAGTGGGTCGCTTGCCGCCGCCCCAGCGAAGACCCCGTGCTCGCTACGTGATGTCGATGAATGAGCGGGAGCTACGCGTGGCGTTGCACGAGCGAGCAGCTCCTCGCGATCTGCTGCAGGTTCTGTTGCAGAGCGCGTATCTTCGCTACTTGGTAAGTGTGCGGAGTGGCGGTATGGAGCGGTGTAGCCCAGCACGGCAGCGAACAGCCATAGGTTTGCCACGGGTCTGTTTTCCGCTACGGCTTTCACCGGATATGGACCAAGGGCAGCTGATGGCCCAGGCAGAGGCGTATGCGGAACGCTATGTGGACGCGTTCTGTAGAGCTCTAGAGCGGCGTGGCTGGAACACAAGGGTTCTGCAGCTGGCCCCGGATCGCTATCGCTGTCGCTGGTGAGCGGCTCTAGCTCTCGGGACGGAGAGCGCTCTCGATCGAGTCCAGAAGCTTGATTTTTATGCACACAACCTGAGATCCATCCGGAATATCCTGACCCGGCTCATGGAACACTGCGTATTTGCGACGTTGCTCGGGGGCATTTTGGGCGTCCAAGTTTGGTTCTCAGGCCATGAACGCTGAAGCCGGATTCACTCCAAGCGACATGAAAGGAGCATTAGGGAGCATTATAGACGACTAGGAAGACATAGGTAGCACTAGGGAGCATTCGGATGCCCTGGAAAGCACCATTCAGGACACGCCACATCGCGTGTTGTCGCGCGAGTCCCATGGTGACGGTACATTCCGTTTGTTTACGAGATCGCTTAGCAGCCTATTGACGGCTCGCTTGGTGATCCCGAAGCACTTCATCGGAATCCGGGCAGCACGAGCAGTGTATGTGTGTATGCGCAGTACCGCTGCTATGTGTCTGGGGCGTTGCAGTGCGCACCGGCACGTAGCGTGTCGGCGCTGTGTGCCATGGGCGGGTCGTCCCTCGGCTCCAGAGAGTCCGGGAGACCAAGCTCCGTAAACGAAGCTTTTGCGTATCGTCACAGAATGGTGCTGGAAATCAGGTTTTGTGTGAGACGCTCGGAGCGTATGCCATACGACAGCTGAACAGAGATGCGTCCAAGCATGATCTGAACTCAACTATCGCTCCTGATCTCTGTTGCGTCATCGCATAGGGATCGTCGAGGCCTGCTGCCCAGCCGCCTCATACATGCGAATGCAACTTGCCATGCAGTGCTCTTTGCCTTGCACACGACATAGAAGGCGTTGGGCATCGTGCTCGCAACACATAGCCGAACACCTATTTTGTTCAGCGCTGCGAATGCAGGCCTCTCTATGATCGATCGTACTTGCGCAGTGCGGCTTGCTGTCCATGCTCAGCTGTAGACCTGCTTCGCTCAGCGAGGTGAAGGCGTCAAGGCGACCGCAGTCACCGAGCGCGTTGTCGCCCAGTCTCATACGGCCTGATGGATAAACTCGCAGTACGTTTTCAGGTCACCTGCGAGTAACTTGCCGTTACGCTTCTTGTAAGCGCTAGACGCGTCCCGCTCCGGGCGTTCAGGTTCCCAGATTGATCACGACTTGCTTACCGCCACGCGGTGGATGCGGGCTCAATGCTTTCCGCTCAACGCGTTCCGCTCGTGCTCGAACGCGCTCGACCCGGCACCGGAATATTTACATACGCACTTGGTGGAGCTTCTGCGTTTTCCACGCTCTCGGTTCTGGATGGAGCACTGGTTGTGCTCGACACTGCAGTGCCCGCGTGCCTCTCGAGCCGCCGACGGGTGCGGTCTAGTTCGTAGCGACCTTCGAGCAGGTACGTTACCCCGTAGAGACTCGCGACCATCAGGGTCAGGAACGGAAGTCCAACACGAAAGAAAGGATTCTGCTGTAAAGGCCGAAGCATGGCTCTTTCCGACTTGCGGTCAGCGTTCAATGCTTCAGTTTCTACTCCGGTTTTCAGTAACTTAATGGGCTGCTGATTCGATCCCAACGCTTGCCGAGTCCTTCGTGCCACACGCTTCCTCTTGAGCGAAGACGACATCCAGTGAAGCATCGCTCGCGACGTCTGCCCGCTGAAGCACGGCCTGATGCCTCTGCTGCCATGCCTTGCACCACTTGGCGACCGAACGGAACGGAACGTACCCGTTTCTGTTGCTTCGTGTTTGTAATTATAAATTGTGCTTGTGCCTAATTCTTGTACCGAGCATAAGTAACTACTGTTTGTGTCATTTACTGGGCCTGATCACTCTAGCGTCCAAGGCATAGCACTTGACGTCACGGTTCAGGTACAGTTTTCGAAATGTTTGCGTTTTCAGCTGCGCCTCTGCTTCGCACGGGGAAAGTCTCGTTGCTCATTGCTGCTAAACCGAGCTTTCGTCCTTGTGCCTGTAACTTGTCTGCGAATTCGTTTGGGGATCGCAGCGTTTGGCGGCGAAGCGGGCATCAGCGAACGCAGAACGCGCGTCTTGTGAGCGTGAACGCGTCACTGGACCCTGTGAACGAGAAGGACACAACGGCAGAAGCTTCGCTGCCGCCCAAGCCGTCAAAACCTCCAGGCGTCACACGAGGGCAAGTTATTGTCGGCACGCTCGTAGGGTGCGTACTTCCTTTTGTTCTGTTTCGAGCGCTGGAGCGCTTACCGGGTCAAGATGCGGTCTCGGCTGGTCGATGGACAGTCGCTGGGATCACAGTCCTAACCGTAGGCTGGGTTGCGACCTATTTGACGCGTGTGGGTACGAAGCGCACCACCTATGCTCAGCAGCTGCGGGCATACGAAGATGCTGTCCTTCGCAGGCGACTAGCAGAGCTGAGCGATGAGGAGTTGCAGGTGCTCCTAGCGGACGGCGATGATGGCGAGAGTACGGGCCCAGAGCGCTCTTTTGAATCAGGTGCAGCTTCGAGTTCATTGTCCAAGTCACCAGAGGAGCCAGATCGCCGGAAGTGAGCTACTTGGACACGAGATAGAACGCTTAATTTCTGTGTTTGCAATGTACGGGACATTGGCACACTCGGGTCGTCAGCAGTCGCTACTGGTGCAGCTTCGATGGAGCGCGCAGCGTGCTGCCAAACTGCGAATACAGAGACGAAGCATCAACCTTTGCGCGGAGGCGTCCCGACTGGATGCACATCTGCATGCAGCAGGAGCAACAGGAGCTATGCCTGTGTCCCATGAACGTGAGAGCAGCGAATGTTGTCGCTGACGCTGGAGCGAGCGCAACGCGAGGGGGGCGCTGTACCGCGTCCCGCAGCAACTGGCCTGATGATCAAAGCGCCGTACATTCGTGGAAAGACTCCCGCCACCAGACTCTGTCGATACACGAGCACTGTCGTCGCATGTATACCATGCAGCTTCTCTGTCGGAAGTCGACACGTTCATCTGTATCGAAGGATGCTCCGCAATGCGTCACTCATGGACGACACGCACGGTGCACTCGTGCAGCAGCGTGCCCACAGTATCAAGGGCGCGCACCTGAGCTCGACCTTGAAAACTGCCGAAAGCCTTTTCGTTGCAACGCCATAAGCGTTGCTGCGACGGAGTTTGCACTTACTTCTGTGGCATTCGTACCAAATGCATGGATACAACGCATGGTACGGTTTGGGGTGCTGGAGGCGTACCAGAAGCATGGCTGCGACGGAATGCGCGGTAAGTGTCGTCTCATTGGCGCCAGAAGCGTTTTGTAGCGGAATGTACGAAAAATCGCGCTCGAAGCGATTCCGCATAGCGTCTTCTGCATGAACGCTGTGCACATTATGTGGAACGTGCCGCTGATGGTATGGGATCGATGGCAACGACCAGACTTTCGCGACGATGCCCAGGTTCAGCGTCAGTCATGGATCGGGAGACCTGCGGTTCCCGCCCGACCTTTCTAGGATCCACCGTCTCTAAGCTGCGCTTCCTGTTGGGATTCCAGGTTCGATCCAGCGATGGGAGCGCTGCTTGCGGGGAGCTTGCGAGCTGCTAGCCGGTTGATGCATACCGGCACTAGAAACCTGTCGCCTAAACAAGAACGCTTCGATATAATGAAGCGTTAGATGCAAATGCTCGCTACGCTGCTGCGACCATCGCACGTGCGATGCAGGCAAGAAGCGATCCAAACGCAGTTTACCCGTTTTCTTCATGGTATAGGACGCATGTATGGATCATCATCGCAAGCGTGATGCAGGCAAGAAGCGATCCAAACGCAGTTTACCCGTTTTCTTCATGGTATAGGACGCATGTATGGATCATCATCGCACGTGCGATGCAGGCAAGAAGTGATCCAAACGCAGTTTACCCGTTTTCTTCATGGTATAGGACGCATGTATGGATCATCATCGCAAGCGTGATGCAGGCAAGAAGTGATCCAAACGCAGTTTACCCGTTTTCTTCATGGTATAGGACGCATGTATGGATCATCATCGCAAGCGTGATGCAGGCAAGAAGTGATCCAAACGCAGTTTACCCGTTTTCTTCATGGTATAGGACGCATGTATGGATCATCATCGCAAGCGTGATGCAGGCAAGAAGTGATCCAAACGCAGTTTACCCGTTTTCTTCATGGTATAGGACGCATGTATGGATCACCACCATCATCATCACCCCCGCAGGGATTCCCCAGCAACCGCAATACGAAAGTGGATCCCGCTGGTCTCTGCGGACGCAGAGCCACGGCCGGCACCAGGCATCGTCTCTGCCAGCGGCCTGCGCTGGGGTTCACCTGCGGACCGAAACAACTTGCCCGCTTCTGGTTCATGGACGGTTCCGAGAATGGACAAGACTCAATTGCGGAAAAACTACGGCGCCGACTCTTGGAAAAGATGCTCGCTGAGCGCGAAGCGCTTCGAGAGCAGGAACGGCAGGCGCCAACGACGTCGGGGCCAGCACCGTCTCTGCCAGCGGCAACGCGCTCTACCGACCCAGACGAGGCTACTGAGCCGAGGCATCAAGTAGCTCGCGAGCTGTCTATTTCAGACTCGCAGCCAACACCTGCGGAGGTCTCTCAGGGAGCGTTGCCGGCAGCAGGAACCTCGTCGGGACCCGCGCTGGCGAGCGAGCACCAGCGTTTCGAGGCGGCAACTTCGGGGAACGCTGCTTCCACGACCCGGCAGTCTCCGGCTGTCGAGTCTGCAGCGTTATCGGTACCGGGGAACACCGAGCCTTGGCTCCGCGGACAACCAGCTGGCGACGATGCGCTGCCTGCTGAAACCAGGCGCTCAGCGAGTCTTTACGGAGCCGGGTGCGTAGAAGACACCGACCGCAACGCTCATTCTGCCACGGAACTCAAAACGTCGAGTCCGTCGGCACTCCCCGACCCGGAGGATGCGCATGCCCTGGCAAGTCGCACGAGTGGGACACCCGAGTCCGGGACTTCGTCTGAGCGCTCGCTGGCCACATGCTCGGTTTCGCCTGTACTGGGACCCGCCGACTCGTCTGAGCGGCATGCAGCTATGCACTGGACAGCGGATACACCCGAGTTCTTCGTAGGCGCGGATCATGGTGCCTCGGCGGAAGCCGTTGATCCCCAGCCACTGTCAACAAAGACGCAGGACGACAGACACTCACGAGACAGACAGGGCGCGACGGAGCCCAGCTCATTACCAGGAACGCAAGAAACGGCATTCGTTCGCATGGGGTATTCAGCGGAGGAGCTACAGCGGATCGAGTGCGCTGTTCAGAGTTTTTGTGCATATGCGCTGGCGGTTGCGGAGCGCACATTTCAGCGTGTGCAACGTGCAGAACGCGAGGTATCGTAGGCTCTGGAGATCCGCTTGCGCATCACTGAGCGTGAGAAACCGGATACAATGCTCTCGTGAGCATGCCGGAAGCAACAACAACAACAACAACAACAACAACAACAACAACAACTGCTGCTGCTGCTGCTACCTCGATAGCGACGAGCGGCAACCTATATGGACCGGTGAAAGGAGACAGAATCTCGAGTATGCCGTGCTGCGGCATCATCAAGTGCATGCCAGGTTGCCGCGCTGCGCCTGGCGTTCGCGTCCAGGCATCAGCATGGTGCACCTATACACAACACTGCGCTTACCGATACCGTATCTTGCCCTGGGTTCTAGCTGATCCAGAAACGGTGGCGATTTTTCTCGGGCTGATGTTCGCAAGGGCATCACCGAGCCGTTCTGTCTCCGGCCAGCGACCGCATTGGCGGCGCTTCCAGTGTCACAGGAGGCACGCACAGTCGACTGGGCTTCTGGAGCATCGCGTCAGCGAACCTTGACCCCGCAAGGGCAAGCCTGGTCAGTAATTCGCGGAACTCGGGGGCCTCGAGCGGACCAGCTGGCACTTCCCTGGCTGCCGATTATCATCACGTACTCGGGAGATTCATGGCTTGTCTCATAAATCCAGTACCATAAACAGGTTCAATGATTTTCGCATACGGCAAGGGAAAGGTATCGCACCTGGAGCACATGACCGGGTCAGCATTCACTTACTGAACGACCAGCCAGTGCATCGGAGCCTCGGGAGCGAGTCTACATTCCCGCTCTGTGAGGCAGTGGACAAAAGCCGCGTATGCGAGCTAGGCTGCCGTGTGCGCTTCTCGCGACCACGCACCGGGTATCGCGTTCCCGCGCTCGTGGCTGGACTCCCGCGCCTCTACGACGCCTGCTGCTCTCGGTGCGGCATCCACGCCAGCAGCATGCCCGTTGCTACCCAACTTATGCTGCGAATCTACGATATCCGTAAAGAAGAATGCTAGGGCAGCCAATCCGTTGCGGGTCTCGGTGACACGAAGACCGTAGCCTGCAGGTGTCTCCATGGCCACCGCGTGGCCCATATCGACCGGCTGGTGCTCGTTCGACTTCGATGCCACTGAGGACTGTGTATCCGCACGCCACGTCCAGCGAAGCACACGAAACCTCGTCACCCGTTCAAAGTGCTCTTGTGAGCTCTTGTCCACGAACGGGGAGCGCAACACGGCGATGCGCTCGAGTTTATCGCTCGGTGATGCGACACCGCCGTGAAGTTCGCCGCCGGCTGCCCGTATGAGGAGCTGCATTCGCCTCAAAACATCGTTCAAGCGTTTTGAGCGCATATCCCACGTCATGTAACGAAACAAATAACGGTATTCGTGAAGGTCCGGAACCGAACCCTCGGTAGAGCCTCCTGCTACCGCAGCTGCCGCCGCCCGACTCGTCCAGTGCCGTGCCCCAAGTGACCAGAGCTGACGACAGGATGTTGCCGTTTCTCGTGCCCAGGGTCGTGCGAGATGCATTCCTGACGAACGTGTACCGTCTTGGCGTCGGTAGCGCGTCGCCGACACGCACCCGCACCTGTTCGTTGGAAGAAACGTCGCAGGCGACGACGATCGCTGCGCTCCTTCTTGTGGTTCGATCTTCTCCCCGACGACAGTTCCGTGAAAAGCTTACCGCAATTGGAACCACTGATACGGTAACAAGTCCGCCAGGACACCCAAGTTTGCAGTTGACGCCTCCGATTCAGCGTATACACGGAACGGGACTGAACACGAACAAGTGCGCGCTGAGAGAGCGCACTCCGCCACAGGGCCTCGCGCTGGTACGCACCGGGAGGTATTCGCTCTGCTGTCGCACAGGGGAAGCGGGAGTGACGGCCTCTTTTCTGGTGCTTCTGGCACGCTGAAGTGTCTAGCAGGGAACAGGGTTTGCAAAGCCGGGTACCGGCAAACAGGGAATATCTGAGGGCGTCTGGGTCGGTCTATCGATCCGGCAACGGAAGCAGGCAAGCGGCGATACACGGAACGCTGCCACTGTGCCACAGCAGGAGTGATCGAGCGCGTGCGATAAGCACGATGCCGTACTCTTTTTGTGATGACCTTGACTGCACGCTTTGTGATCGAGTGCTGTTGCTCGTGCTCCAAGGAAAACGCGTGGCTGTGGCGTGGTGTCGCGGGCTCGACGCTTGCACGCCGCGTATCCACTCGGGAGCCGGGGCACTGGGTCGCCCGAGTCAACACGAGTCGGGGATGCGGTCCAGCGAGCGCTGCGCTTTTCGCGGAATGACCGCTCGACACCTGTGTCCGATAAGAATGGAGCGATGAACTGTACGCTCTGTTCCTGACTTGTAACTCATTTCTGATCTTTCGTAGATGTACGACATCGAAAAGCGATGTCCTGCACTAAAGACTTTCCGATGCACGGGTTGCTTTAGGATTCGTAGAGGTGTTTCCGGAGAGGGCTCTTCGATGCTCTGCCGCTGGAACTCGATACGCCATTGGAAGCCCCGATGATTCGCGACGTTCTCGGACGAGGGTTCCTAAAACAACCGATATTATGAGGTCCTGTTGACGTATAAGCATCCGTGCGTCTCCCTGGCATACTCGTAATATGATCCAATCACGATTTCTTCCAGTTTTCGATCGATCGGTCACCATGCAACTCGTTGGCACAGCGATTCGTGCTTCCGAATGAACGTTGACCAAGCTCGACGGTGCTCCTTGACGACTTGTATACAGGCTGCTACCAAAAGTTCACTGAACTTATTACCCCAAATCAGAGAATCCGTTCGAATGACAAATCCGCATCTCCTTGTGGCCGCCGACGAACCCGGACTTGACAGCGGCATGGTGCCTCTCAATAGAGACATTCGCAGAGGGCCGTGTCTCTTCTGTTTACATGGAATGGGGTCTTGGACTCGGACGTGAGTCATCGACGCAATCGTTTCGACTAGAGCGTGGGTCGCTGCCATGCACGACAGGAACGTAGACGAATCGAGATTGGTGAGATTGATCTCTGGAGCAGTACATGGGAGCATTCCCGGTACGGCGTCTCTGAGTCATGTCACTGCCCGACGCCATTCGCGCGTGAAGGCTTTGATGACGTAGAGGCGAACGGGCGACGCCTCGAGCACCACGAGGGAGCGCTTCATGACCGGCGCTCTATCGAAGCGCATCGGTTCGAGGGAACAAAGAACAGAGACTGAACGCTAACTACCAACAAGATGACGAACTCTTCTCCCGTTACGATAAAGATTAAAACGGGAAAAAGTTTCCGTATCTTCGAAAGTTTACCTTCGAGGTGGAAGTTCCAGCGAGCCGGACGAGTCTCCCGGGCTAGTGCTTCATGCTACCACCAGTGGCAGGTGCTGTGGCGAAATCTGAGCAACTGGTCCGCAACGCCATTCATTCTGCGACAAGGGTGCCGGTAGCCTGTGCCTAGGCGTTGCGGACCAGTCCTACTGGACTCCCAGTATATCGCTTCGCGCTATCGTAGGCAGTACGTCTGTCCGCGCAGCTTGCAGACTCCCAGCATGATCATGAATCCCAATTCCTGCCGAGTAAAGCACTCCTCGAGCCGACGCACTCAGTGGTATGGCAGCAGGGTTCTGTCCCCGTGATGTATCTGCTCCAGCGGTTTAGGCGCTACAGCCGCAGCTCAGTGCAGGCACTCGGCGCTCGATAGCACGTACAAAACGACCGGTTTATCCGAGCGGAGCTATATGTAGTGGAACTTGATGATAAGCGCATCATGATAGAAGCTTTTTCGATAACCATGATCCATCGTGTAGTCTGGGACCTGTGGTCAACGTAAACGTTTTGTCATCGAAAAGAAGCAGCAGTAGCAGTAGTAGCAGCAGCAGCAGTAGCAGTAGTAGCAGCAGTAGCAGCAGTAGCAGCAGTAGCAGCAGTAGCAGCAGTAGCAGTAGCAGCAGCAGCAGCAGCAGCAGCAGCAGCAGCAGCAGCAGATACATGCGCACGTCACCGATGCGATGCATGCTCCATGTACGATTCATCCCATGATCTCTAGTTACTTTCATAAAGATACTACGTTGTCCATAGATGTGCTTGCGTTGCGCTGCAACCCTGCGCCCGACAGCCAGACCGCCCGCTACCCATCCATCGCGTAGATTCCCAGTAGTGCTGAAGCCTGTCGCCGCTGCACGTGTGCTTTTCAGGCGACCGTTTTCGTCCCGCGGGTGCGCACAGTGAGCTTGCAGTACTCATGAGCGCGACGAGTCACGCCTGCCCGCCTGCTGCTGCTTTCTTTGGCTTCATCGGAGCTGCGTCGGCGCTGGTTTTCAGCAACATGGGTGCTGCGTACGGCACCGCCAAGTCGGGAGTCGGCATCGCAGCTGTGGGCGTGCTGCGCCCCGAACTCATCATGCGCTCGATTATACCAACTGTCATGGCGGGCATTTTGGGTATTTACGGACTAATCGTAGCAGTGATTCTTTCGGGACAGATCTCGCTGCAGTCGTACCCGTACTATCTGGGGTTCGCGCACCTCTCCGCTGGGCTGGCGATGGGTCTCAGTGGCCTGGCTGCGGGCATCTGCATTGGCGTCGTCGGTGACGCCGGCGTGCGAGCAACCGCCCAACAACCCAAAGTGTTCACGGGATTCATTCTCATTTTGATTTTCGCGGAAGCGCTTGCCCTGTATGGTCTGATTGTGGCCCTCATCCTCGGAGGCAAAACTGCTCCAGGCGCTTGCACTTGAAGGGGCAGCATACCGGCGGCGAGAAGATCCCAGTATGAGACGCAAAAGCCGCCCAGCGTGTTGGTCTTGCGAGTCAGCGCTCGTTGCTTGACGGAGCTGGCACTTTCCCCGCTGGCCCGCTTCGATGGCAACTGAAGTCGCAAAATCAGGGCTTCATATCCACAGGGGTACCTGTCAAGAGCTTGTGAACTGCTCAAACGTCCATAGCAATTTTCGTGCAATATCCCGAAAAAGATAAAGCCTCGTGCCAGCGACTTTTCCGTCGAAAAGCTTTTCGACTGCTCAAGTTTCCACACCAAGAGTCATGGAACACCTGGTGCCGGATGCATCGAAGCACAAGGCATGCGTTGTCTTCTGGTGTCGGAAATCGCTGGGGCCTGCATACCTGGAAAACGGCCACGGGAGGACTACTCACCAACGACATTCCTTTAACAGTTCCGCATACAACCCTTAACAGTCCGGTTAGCGCTGATACCTCAGAGCGCACCGACTTGAAGCACGGCTCCAGAACCAAGGCCCAGCGAACGTCCGCCAGCGAAAATGCCCCTGACCGCCGACAAACAAACACACACACACACACACACGAAAGTGTCGTGCTTTCATGGGCAACTGCTGTTGATTGCTGTTTACGGGTTGTGGTTGACGCACACGCGCTCTGTGTCTGGCTCGCAACCCGCTCTTGGACAGAACTCGCTACCACCAGCGACTCCAACTTGTACACGATCTCGCAAAGTGACGGTCTCCGCTTTCGCGCTTGTCTCTAGAGGAGCACCTGCGCCGAAGCCAGCGTGCACGTCGTCACACTGGTGTGCACGTGACTGAACCAGGAACTCGCAAAGCTGCGGTTCGTGTTCTGGAGACCCAGTTCACACACCTATGGACTGGAGACGGACGCTGCGACTCTCAACCTTGACACGAACGCTGCAGAAGCGGCTATCGCTCCGCGGGGCTACCGCCCGGCTGGCCGCGTGCTCAACTGCTGGACCGCTGTCTTCCGTTAGCCTCGACGCTGAGGCCTGGGCGAAACACATTCAACATCAAACGGGGGTCGCTGTGCGCTGCGGCTTCGGTCTGGACTTTGAAACAGGACGGCTGGCTCGACTCGCCACGGGATCGGTCACCGTTCACGCTGGCAGTACGCAAGTCCTCGTGGCGTGCGTTTTGGCCGCACATCGAGCACCAGCAAGCTTCGCCCAGCTCGATGCCCTGTTGCAACAGCAGCACACTGCGGGGCGGCTCTCGGAGTGGCAACGGACACAGGAGCTTTTGCAGACGTTGCATACGGCACCGTTGTGGGTGGATGTGCGCGAGCGTGCTTCCGCTCGAGGCCTTATTCCGACCTCCTATCATCGACGAGAAAGTGCTGCAACCGAAAAAGAGGTGATTACAGCTCGCCTCATCGATCGTGCACTACGCCCGACGCTGCCGCGAGGTTATTGTATAGAAACGCAACTCACTGCCGAAGTGCTCAGTGCCGACGGCCAACTGGACCCCGATACCCTGGCTCTGAATGGCGCCGCTATCGCGCTTCTCTTGGCCTTTCAGCGCTGCTTTCCGCAGCAGGTCATGCAGGCACAGACTCGACCACGCCTGGTAGCAGCAGTCCGTATCGCTCGATTAGCTCAGACGAGCACCGCAGCGGACACGGTCGCTTTTCCTCCGTCCGAGTCGGCATCGATGACGCCTGCTCGCCCTCGCTGGATCATTCAGCCGAGCTATGCGGAGCGACTGGCTAGTGACCTCGATTTGGTCTTTGCCGGCACCAGCGATGGCTGTTGTGTCGCACTTGAGGGCGAGGCGAAAGCCGTGCCTCCCGAAGATATTGCTGAAGCTTGCCGCCTGGCAAGCGCCGCGCTAGAACCCCTGCGACAGCAACAGGAAGCCCTGCTCCAGCAATGTCGACTGGCAGCGTCGATGCCAGGGGCAGGTGCTGGACCACCTGCCCTCTTCTGGGCGATGCCGCGTCCACAAGTCGTTGCCGAGGCGTTGCGCCACAGCGGCGAGCGTCTGGTATCGATCTATGCACATGCTCCGGAAAAGACTGAGCGGGGTATCGCCGTCGCTCAGGAGAGCGCCCAAGCAGTCGCACACCTGCGCCAGCACGCGGCGTCTTTGCGGTCTGCACCTGCCACAGACGCATCGAGTGTATCGCCTGGTGTCGATGCTGTTGGCCCTGCCGAGGCTGCGCTGGCGGTGCTGGAGGCTTCGCGGGAGGCCTGGCGACAGGCCCTGCAGCGCCACCAGCACCGTGTCGACGGCAGGCTGCCACGTGAAATGCGTCCCATGGAGGCTCGCGTGCAAGTCCTGCCGTCCGATACCTGCCATGGTTCAGCGCTCGTGAGCCGAGGCGAGACGCAGGTGCTCGCTGTAGCGACGCTGGGCTTCCCGTCGCTGGCAAAGCGCCTCGATGCCTACGGCGGCGGTGCCGACACCAAGCAGTTCTATGTTCATTACCAGTTTCCACCTTACTGCAACAATCAACTGGGTCGTGGGGATGCACTCTACCGGCGTCGTCGCCGCGAGGTCGGTCACGGTATCCTGGCCGAGCGTGCCGTGCGCTCAGTGCTACCCAGTGACCTCTGGCATGCGGTGCGTCTCGAGGCGGATGTGCTGGCCTCGGCTGGCTCCAGCTCCATGGCTGCTGCAGCGGCTGGCTCTCTGGCACTCATGGACGCTGGATTACCGCTCGCGGGTCCTGTCGCTGGGGTCAGTATTGGTGGGATTCTCGCCACCACGTCTGCGGGCTCGAGCGCAACGACGGAAGCGTACCTGCGGTCGCCATTCGCACAGGATGCAGAGCCCTGCGCGGACCTCTTCCTCGTGGACATACTCGGATTGGAGGACTTTTTCGGCGATTTTGACTGCAAGGTCGCGGGGACAGAGCAGGGGATCACCGCTTTGCAACTGGACGTGAAACATCAAGGTCTCACCTTGGAGCAAGTGGCGCGAGCCCTGGAAGAGGCTCACCGTGTCCACCATGTCCAGCTGGAGAAAGTCCTGCGTGTTGCGCTGCCCGCTGGAGCAGCGCGTCCTTTCCTGCCGCCCCAGGCACCGCGACGTGGCAGCTGGAATCTGTCTCTGGCGGATCGGGGACGTCTGCTGGGTGCTGGAGGTCAACGTGTGCGGGAGCTCGAGCAGCACACCGGTTGCAGTATACAGCTGGAAGACGACGGAAGCATTTCCTTGTGGGCGCCGAACGCGCAAGTTCTGGAGCAGGCTCTCGAGATTCTGCAGCAGGTAACGCGCATTCCAGCCTGCGGAGACTCGTTCCATGGTCGAGTACTGCAAATCCTGGACTTTGGGGCTGTTATCGAGATTCAGCCCAGTCCGAGTTCGTTCCGATTACAGGGCCTTTTGCATCGGTCGGCATTTGCGTCGGCCTTGGAATGGACCAGGGTTCAGGTTGGAGACGCTTTAGTGGTGCGGGTAACCCAAGTGGACCCACGGACCGGTTCTCTGCGGTTCGCCCAGGTTGCCCCCATGGATGGTAATGGTGTTCCGAACGGCACCAGTACGCTCGATGAGCGTCGCGATGCAGCATCTTCGGAAATGCCCCGCAACTAGCAAGGGACAGACTTGACGCAGCGGCATGACGTGCATCACGAGAAGCTGGACCAGAATGACGTCGATCGTTCATCCAAATCCCCCAAAACGGTTGATGTCTCTTTCCAGTGATTCAGTAGAAACAAGTCAGTGTCGTTCATGGAACTTGAATAAACGAGGGCGCGTCTGCTTGCCTGGACGGCAAGAAGCGCTGTGTCGCTGTTGGACGAGGCGGGCGTAAACCTCGACGGAACGCCAGCGCCTGGACAACCGAGTTCTTGCAATGCCGAGTCGCTCGCCGTGTTGCTGCCCAACGTTTCCGCGGCAGCTGAAATCTTCTCGCGCATTGAGCCCAGCGTATGCACGCTCCACTGCTATTTTGTCGACATGTGCTGCCGAACTGGGGCCTCTCGAGTTCGTGGATGCGAATACAGGTGTCCGAAAACGCCACACGAAAGACTCGCGGCTGCTACGCGCTGCGGAGTCTCGTCTGGCAGTCCACTTGCGTCAAGAGCTGCGCTTCACCGAGCGACGATGCGACGGCTGGTAGGTGCGCACTCGGAACGACCTCCAGAACCTTCGATGTTTTTCTCCAAACGAGACCATCCGATGTCGTATGCAGCAGGCAAGCACAGCGAGTCTGTTTATTGTTTGCTATCTCGAGTAGAAGCTGGGCGAGACAGAGGCACGCCAGAGGTACCCGCTTGTTCCCTTGCATGTGTTTGGCGAAAGATCACCTCCTGCATCCCTGCTTGCAGCGTCCAGTAAACCTCATGGCCGCCACAACACGCTGAAGAACGTTCAGTACTTGGCGAGATGTAGCAGCAATAGCCTCGGGCGCGCTTCATTCGATGTATCGTGTCGCTTCGAGCAAACAAGGACTTTGGTCTTGGTTCGCATGGCGCTGCGCTCTGTTTATGACGGATGTGCTCACCAGAGAGAGAGAGAGAGAGAGAGAGGAACCCCCGCCCTCGCCCTCGCCCTCGCCCTCGCCCTCGCCTTCGCCCTCGCCTTCGCCCTCGCCCTCGCCCCCAAAAAAACTACCTGTATACAGCCTGTTGCGGCAGCGTTCGAACCCACGACCGTACGACATTTCGGGAGCAACCGCTGTCTTGGGGGCGCTCAGCTTGTGGATATTCTCAGCAGCCGAACGCTGGGTTTCTCAGGGCGTGTTTGCATTCGGGGAGGTCTCCGTCGCCGGTGGAGGCGGTACCCCTCGCCGTACCTGCGACCAGTCCACCTGGGTATCTTTCCCGAAGAAAGACTTGGCACCCTGACTAGACGGTGCCTTGCGAGGCGCTCGTTCGGAGGCAGGCACTGCACCAGCGTCAGCGTCAGCTGCTGCTGCTGCTGCTGCTGCTGCTGCTGCCGGCGATGGTACGCCTCGTCTGGAAAACTCCACTGCGGATGAATCCCCTGCCGCTGCAGCCATGCCTGCAAAAGGTCTCCGCCGGTGCCTCGACGAGGTGTCGTTACTCGCCGAGGCCTTCACAGCGGACGGAGGCAGCCGTCCTCTGCGACTAAAGTCTAACGTTGTCGGCTCCGTGGAGGCGCCCTGCTTCGCCGCGTGCGTCGTGCTACTCGCTGGCGGCGGGTTCATGTGCGACGGCAGCTCTTGCGGTCGTCCTGGACGGGCGTCACGAGCACTGGGCTCCGTTCGAGTGTCTGCTGGAGCATCTGCAGGAAGTGTTGCCTCGGAACGCGTGCCCTCCGAGGCTGCCGGTGGCAGTCGACCACGCTTCCCAAAGTCGACCTCCACATCCGAGGGGATGAACCCCCTAGAGGGCTGAGGTTCTGATGCTGACGCCTTTGCCTCTGCCGCAGGTGGCAACATGCCACGTTTGCGGAAATCAACGTCTACGTCCTCGACAGGCGACACCTGCGCACGAGTCGTTACCGCAGGCGGGAGTAGTCCGCGGCGTTCCAACGTTCCTTCGGCTGAGTCTGTCACCAACTGACCGAACATTTCTCGCCTCCTTTCGGGTTGGCGGCCACCAAAACTACCCAGACCTTTTTCGGCTGTCTCTAGTGCCGCGGGAGGCGCCAGGCCTCGCCGGGTAAAGTCCGGCTCTGGTGCCGCTTCGGCTTCAAGCGCCGGACCTGCTCCGTTCAAGCCAGCGGCCGCTGCTGGAGCGGGAAACCCCCGCGAGTGATCCGCATTTCGCAGCCAGTCGCGACCGCCTGCGTCTCCAACTGGGCCTCGAGGCGTCAGACCTCGTCGAGCTGCGCTCCAGTCCAGTTCGGGTTCAGCGTCGGCACCGCGGTTACCAGCACCAAACGCTCGATCGGAAGCAGCACCGGCACCCGCGAATCCACTGTCGTCATCGTCGGCCCAGTCACAGGGTGCTTCACCGAAAGCCGATCGCATTCGAGCTCCGGGACCGCCGAAACGCTCCCAGCGGTCTCCGTAACCTCCGAACGACCCACCATAACGAGCTCCGAACCCTCGTTCGTCATCGGGTCCCCGACTCCGCGGCGCAGTCGGTAGCACGGCGAGTTCGGGATCCGCCGCTACAATGGGCCCCGACCCGGGCTGCTGACCACTGCCAGCAACAAACTCGCTGAGACTAACGGTCACCTTGTTCGACTTGCTGCTCTTTTTCTTGCCCATAGACGTCGCTGAGAAAAACGAAAACGCTCAACAGCAAGCGCCCGACGGTTGCCCGAGGGCCGGCGTCGTCGACCGCGCCCTGCACTGGACGCACGACAAGTGCCCCGTCTGCTTTTCGGGGCTAGGCAGCCGTTTTCCGCGTGAGTTCCATGGCAAAGTAGGCATTGAGAGGCAACAGGTCTTTCAAAACGGGTGTACAGTCTACAAGTTAGATCGCTTTTCATGAAGTTGAACACAAGCGTTTGCGGGTTTTTTTCTGAGACGGTTTCTGTTTCAAGTCTTCGAATATCTCTGGCTTTATCTGCGAAGGTGCCTCGTTTCCCTCGAGCTCTGTCGTCAGCGATGGAAAGTTGTTCAAGGCAGCGTTAAAGTCCCGATTTTGCGCTTTTGGCTGGTGTCGACGCAAACGATGCACTGATGGAAACAGCAATCTATACTGTGCTTGCCATGTTCATGGTGTCTCCTGACACCCTCGGTGCGCCTTTTGTTCCTGTGACCCTTGCCTGTGATAGGGTGTTCCGGTGTACGTCCACCGGACACCTTGTCCTTCGAGTGCCAGTCTGTGTTGCTTAAGAGGCAGAAACCGCTGGAAGCGTATCCCGCGAAGGGTAGCAAGCTGCTGTCGAATGCGGTTTCGTTGATGGTCTCGTAGGGAATTGGATTTGTCTTTCGAGAGGAATCGGCTTTTTTTACGAAAGAGAATTTGCGAATTTTGGGCATGAGCTTGTGAACAAGTCATTCAGGGGCGATTTCGAGTATCTTTTCTCCTGATCCATCCATCGGCGCGAATCCCTGCGCCCACGAGTCGCCTCGAAACGGAAACATCGGAAGCTTGAAGCGTACCGGCCTCGGACATGCTGCATCTAAGCAAAAGGAGAAGAATGGAGGCTTGCACGTATGCGTTGTACAATGGTATCGGTTATTTCACGAAGCCTTGTCCGAGAGCGCCGCGAATCGTCTTGATGCTCGCGGCGTGACGAATTCCTTCTGCAAAGCCTCGAATTACTCACCCCGAGACTACAACCACGGATCCTGAGACCATCTCTGAATCCCGACGCACGTATTGCCGCACTTTGAATATCGAGGCTGCACATCTAAACCAGTTCGGAAATGACGAGAAAGTCGAGGGCAGAGCGAGCAATCCGGTGTTCCACCTCAATGCTGGACAGGTGCGGACTGAACCCGAGCTCGCATCGAAAGGTATGTATGTGGGACACGATGGACTGTTCACAGCGCGCCTCCTAATACGAGTGCCTCTAGATGAAATGGATCGTGAACAGGCAGCGAGAAGCGCTCGATTGGCACCTCCGATGTTTCGTTCTTTAGTTTTCATTTGAGACAGGTGCCAGTTCTATGCCGTTCAGTGCCTTGGTCTCGATGCGCGCTTGAGAGAGCTCTTGGGTCGTGCAGGGCGGCTCCTTCTGCGCAGCGTGTTTGAAAAGGAGACTTTTGTGCAATGCGCTCGATAGAAGCACTCGTCTATTGATCCGGTATCGCGAATATGGCACAGAAGCACCGCCAAAACGCCCGCAATGGAACCAGGGAGCACTGCAGCATGAATCGCGGCTGAATAAAAATTGCAGCTGCTTCCGCTTTGGCTGCGTTTGGGTGATGGAAAGCGAGATTGTCCAGGAACAGGACAGAGGAACGTCCAAAGTAGGAGCCAGGGCGTGCTGCGATGAAGGATGCGCTGGTGAACGATCGCATCCGTCTGGCGCTATCAAAGCGACAAGTTGATTCGGTCGCCGCAAGCGCTGATATTTTCGGAATGCTTGCTTGCTTGCTTGCTTGCTTGCTTCTACCAATCGCTGTTTACCCTTCGTTGAATACTCATATACAGGCCGGCCATATCACTCGAATCCATTCGCATCGAGTGAGATGTACACCTGTGCCCCCTGTGGTAAGCGCTTGCGTCTCAGTGCGGAATCGATCGTTTGTTGCTGAACGCACGACGGTCTCCCACAGAAATGTGCTCTCTCCCTTGTACGCGCATGTCTCGTTATCGTCATTCGTATCAAGCGTACGGAAACTTCACACCATATGGCTTGTTTCATAGGGTTTCGCAGCGAACATATGGACTGGAATAGACTGACACGAAGACACTAGTGTAAAATGCGTTTGATGAAAAGCGTTCTCGGTGCACAACGTTCAAAATATGGACTTGTAGAGAGGCGGTTCATCCACTTGCTGACCACAGATTGACTCACTTGCACATGCAAAGCCGATTTCGCAAGCCAGCAGTGGCTGCAGACACAGTCGGTCTGCGGTCCCGCACCAATGTACGGCGTACACTCTTTCTGTTGCATACCAGCGAGGAACGCAAACAGAAAAAACAAGTAGGACGTGCTGGCGCAGGCATCGCTGAATGCACCGCTCTGAGTAGAAGGCGTGCAGTGGATTCCCTGGTATGGTCTCAGAGCGTCCCGAAAATCTCTACTCATCTCCGAAGCGCGGGCCTTCGTTGCTACACACAGCATTCGGTACAATACAATGTAACAGAATTCGCAGCAGAAGCTGAACAAGTATCGATACGTGCGATAACTCGCTGACGAGCGCAGCAGCGCTCCAGACGCGCAAGCCTTGCCCAAGTAACTGTCTTATAGTCTGCCTGCCTGCCTGCCTGCCTGCCTGACTGACTGACTGATTCCCATACCTAGGCGAATGCCGGCTACCCAAGCAACGTACAGGCGACGCGGGAACCTGCCCTTAACGAATTCAAAAGCATTCCGGCGAATCGAAGATCCCGGTAGCATCAGCGAGCGCCGCAATTTCACTTGCCACTCCGCAGATGCGATCGGCCCGGACCCTTCCGCTCGTTTGAAGCTATTTTGAAGCCGAATGCGTTCATGGGGCCAGGCACTCGGAACAGCATCCGCAGCAGCTTAGGCTGTGACTGGGCCATGGAGCGCGCCCAAGCGCGAAAAGCCGTAATGTCGTCCTCTCCGCGGCGTGTAATCCACAGACGGAGTTGATCCGCCCGAACAGCATTGTTCTTTGCCAGAGTATTCAGCAAGGTCTGATCGTGCTTCAGTCGCTCATAGAACCAGCTCAAAAGTCGTCTATATGGTTCGTTCGCTGCCTCCCGCGATTTCAGAGTCCCGCATTGCATTGAACCTGGCCGCTGAAACGCCGGCGGGTCCTGAGGTTGTTGCCCCAGCGACTCGTTCCCCGGTTTCACGCTCTTTTCGTCACAGGAACACGTGCTTATATCCTCGTCCGTGCGTGTGAACAGGTGCAACATAGAGAGGGCTTCGATCGCCTCTCCGAGGCGCGAGGCTTCGCCGAGCTGGATATCCGCAAAGCCAACATCCCGCGTTTCCATTTCCGCCCAGTCGCGGACGACGAGCTCATCGAGCTTCGTGCACCGGGCAAAATACTCGCGAGCCAGTTCGTAGTTGCCGCAGTGGCGTTCAAGCGAGGCCATCGCGTGACAGAGATGACGATCACCGGGCGCAATTTCCAGACCCTTCTGAAAGAGCATCCGCGCTTTGTCCAGTCTACCTTGGCGCCATTCCAGTTTCCCGAGCAAGTTGTACGCTGCTGGGGCGGTATGCGGGGACCCATTCGACACTTCAATTGCTCGTTCGAAGAGCACGCGTGCCTCGTCAATGCGTCCGCGCTGCTGTTCGAGCATACCCCATGCGTGCAACGTTCGGGCATGATTTGGATTCAAGGCAACTGCTCTTTCATAGCAGCAAATTGCTTCATCGTAGCGATGCTCGCGTTGCTCGAGGACACCCCAGGTTTGGTAAAGGCAGGCAAGCTCCTTGCACGTGGGATTGATTTGCTCTACAGAAGCAACACCCAGTTTGAAAAGCTCTCGGGCGCGCGTCACGCCCAAGCCCAGACTCGCTTCGAAGCGCACCCAAGCTTGCCATGTAATCGGATCCCGCCCGTTCACTGCACGGGCGCTCAGCTCGAATAGTCGACGGACGAGCCTTGCTCCGGCACAATTGCTGGGCCGACGGCTCGAATCGGTCTCTGGACGCTTCTCGTTTTTGTGGAGCGGTACGAGTTTTTTGCTCACGGATGACATACTGCGTCGAAGCTCCTGTTGCTCGAGGAAACGCACTTCAGCAAGCGCCCAGGCATGGTAAAGCTTGCTAGCAGAGCACCATCGTCCAGCCTCTGCGTCCTTCTCGTTCCAGCCTTCAATATCGGGAACAAATTCGGTTCCGATATAGTCTGCGAACGTATGCACCGGCACCGTACCGTTCTCGTCGACGGTGGATTCATTCCATACACCGCCCGCACGAATCAGGCCCCGTCGAAACACCGCCCGAGCCCGCGCTACGCCGTGCAGACGATGGAACACGCTTGACGCCCAAGTCAGGTCGTCTACCGCAGAGAGTTCCAGCTCTGCGGTTCCGTCGCGTCGCATGATATCTCCGCCAACAAGTCCGTTCTTCTCGTCGTCCGTGTATATTGTTGGCTCTGCTAGCGCCGCCTCAGCTTCACACTGACCGAAACCAACCCATATGCGAGCATCGAAAGGGTGTTGCCAAACGAGCTCTTCGAACAGCTGCCGTGCTGCCTCAAACCGTCGTGTTTCTACATAATAAAAGGCCGTCCCGAACGTGCGCGGTGCCGGGTACACACAACTCGAGTTACGCCAGAGCCTTGGGCACCTAACTTCGTCCGCGACCTCTTCGCTAACTGTTAGGGTCGCGACTGCTGAAAACCTCCCGGGAGGCCGTCTAGAGATACCACTGCCTCGCCGCCACGCTCCCGTGCTGAACGCTTTGGGCGTACAGCGCGACACGGCAGTTACAGAGCAAAACCCCAAGTTTTTCTCTCCTATTATCCCATGAAAACTCGACATTCAACTGTTAGAAAGCCCTCAGACCAAGCGAACCGTAATACCTCCGCGAACGTCACGTTTAGACGAACAGCGAAACAGAAATATCTAGACCTGTGCTCGTGATCACCAAATAACAACCGCCATCCGTCTCCGAGATTCGCATGGAGTGGCCTCGCGCGCGCGTTTACCGCCTCGCTGCGAGCCGCCGCTGCGTGTATTTTTAGAGACAGTTAGGGAAGAAGATGTATAATATTGTGCCGATGAGCTGTCCGCGGTGCATCGCGATCACTATGCCCATAAATGAATCTTTAGGCACGTATATGGAAGTATCTCTACTTCGTTGCCAGCATCCAAGGGTACCGGGCGCATCGCGATCATGATGCCCATAAACGAACCTTTAGGCACGTATATGGAAGTGTCTCTACTTCGTTGCCAGCATCCAAGGGTACCGGGCGCATCGCGATCATGATGCCCATAAACGAACCTTTAGGCACGTATATGGAAGTATCTCTACTTTGTTGTCAGCATCCAAGCGTACCGGGCGCATCGCGATCATGATGCCCATAAATGAACCTTTAGGAACCTTTAGCCAAGTATCTCTACTTCGTTGTCGGCATCCAAGCGTACCGGGCGCATCGCGATCATGATGCCCATAAATGAACCTTTAGGAACCTTTAGCGAAGTATCTCTACTTCGTTGTCAGCATCGAAAGGTGCCGGGCGCTTTTCTCGTTTGGCGCGCATCTACGTGCGCTTTTGTCGAGAGCTGCGTGCACCAACGAACTGCGCACACCTGGTTGGTGTGCAGCTACGCTGCATGTTCCTCGGGGGCAAACTGTGAAGGCGTACCAACGTCAACGCACTTGAGAGCAGGGCGTCTCGGTCTCAGTCTCCGAAGCGCACAGGCAAGCGTTTGCCGCTTCGAAGCAGCAGGGCGACGCTCGCTCGTGCCGCCCCAGCCGTGACGGCTTGTCGCTCGCACCGGACGGCTCGTGCGAATAGAGGCCGCCAGCTGCTACAGCACCCTCACTGTATTCCAAAATCTCGTTGTGTAGGTCTACAATTCAGACGCTGAGACCGGTGCTGGTGGCGAGCAACGGTCTCAGAACCGTCACCACTTGCAAGCGACCCTGAGCATCCGACTGTGCGAGGCGGTACGATGGAATCCAGTTTCCGCGTGCGGTTGCCAAGCGCGTCCCATGTCCGTATTTTCGGAAGTGCACTCTCCTGTCTAGCCCGCTGCCAGACTGCGTATTCACTTCAGCGCTTTTCCGAAGCAGGCGCGAAGGATAATAGCGCTTTCGAAGGCATCTGGCTCGCGGCCTCTGCCTCAAGCCTAACTTTATCCATTCAGAATTTGGGATGCGTTGCGGAAATCAGTTTCCCCCGCGCATTCTTCTCACGCGAGCAGGGCGGGCGTCTAGAAGCGCCTCCAGGTCGGACGCTCTCTGTCAGTGTCGACCCAGTATTATGGTGGCCGGTGTTCCGGCATGCCGTCGGGAGTGCGGGTGCTGCTGCAAATGTCGAGCGCCGACGCGCTCACCCTGGCACACCCTCGGGCCCAAAAGCGCCATCGAACGCTTCCGGCGGGGTACCGGTCGAGCAGCTAGAAATACGTGCAGATACGCGTGATCGTGAACTGGTGCTCGATGCAGTAGCCTCCGTTGGATATGCGTTGGGTCGCAAGGCCCGTCCTCCGGTTGGATTCCACGACAACCGACATTGGCGTTTCCAATTTCGTTTCCAAGCTCTGATGCGGTATCAGGCATTGTCGCTGAACGAGCGTTCAGCACCTGAACACTATCGCTGTCGCATGCGCTTCGCACCGCGCGTCTTCCTCGAAGCGCTCTCGAATATGCATCGTCGTGTTGTTCACCTACACTTCTATTTCGAGCAACATCAATTGCGTTTAGCGAGTGCGGTAACGGAACAGCTCGCGAGACACTATGGTGAGCGGCCAGATTCGCGCATCGTGTCGCTGCATACCCAAGTGAAGATTGATGGCAGTGAGCTCGATGTGTACGAGGGCTTTGCGCAGTTCTTCCAGGAGGCAGGCACGAATCAGAACCTGGATGATGCCGAGAATCGATCGGCTTTCGAGACCAGCATTTCATCGGGCAGAACTGTTTTCGTTGTCCCGCTCCGTCCGTTCAAAGCTTGGCTGGAGCTCAGCCAGCGGCTTCAGTGCTCAGTGTGGATGCTATACGAGTCGGGTGGACAACTGATGCTGCGACTCGAGAAGGCACCTGCCACTGATTACGCGCAGCACCTGAGCGCCGCCACGGATGCACAGTCAGTTATGGGAGATACCTGGCCCGCAGACTTTACAGACGACTCTCAGCTCTTGTCATCCTTGCTTTCGGCAGACATGCAACTGAATATTCGAGGAAGCGCTAGTCTCACTAGTGCATTGTCATCGCTGGGGCAGGCACAGCATGGGACATGGCTCGTTGCTGCGAGTGCCAGAAATTCTAGCGCTGCATTGGAGCACACACAGAACCAGAACGACGCGAGTCGTGCGGCACTCATAGCAGCACCGTGCATCGCGAATGGGAGCGACCGCCTTCCATTCGGATCATCCTCCTTGTTGCACGTGGACGAGGCCGCCAGAGACATTCCGCAAGCAGCGCTCTTCGCTGATCATTCCCGAACCGCCAGCCCCGTCTTGAACTCTGGTGATAACACTGAATCTGATGACGAGAGCGAGCGTTCGGTTGGCGGCACCCCGCCGCCAGTAGCATCCTTTATCGCAGATGTCTGGCCTAGTTAGATGTTCAGCATAGCAGTTGCGTGGAAGCACCTCCGAGGCGAAGTGTCTAGCGGAAGCCCGACGCTCGCCGAGCGCACGACCTCAACGGTTTCGAGCCTGGGCACGGGTACGCACATCCCGATCCGTATTCCATTGGCGTGGCTGGTGCTCTGGAAAGGTCCCTGTTTCCAGCCGCCGCCTCGAACAAGCGTAGGCACGCCATCTGGGCCCTTGAGAGGCAGCAACTCGCGATACTGTATACACCGCGAACGTCGTTTGGCATCGTAAACGATTACGTTGAAGTCAAGTGAGTGCTGTTCACCTGTAACATTCATGTGATACACAAGCGGGATCCTATAAACGTCCCGGCACGCACACTTTTCTCTTCAACATGCACCGGTTTCGCTCTGCGTTCATAACCAGAATCTGAGAACAGCTACCTCAGCATTCCCTGAGTTGGACACTTTGTCTTCGCTCTGCGTTCATGTACACGATCTGAGAAAAGCTCCGTTACAGCGGCGGTCGAGCTGGGTGCACTCGTGCACGCCTCGCATAGGAGGAGGCGGTTTGCACGCTACCATCTGCGGGTACCTGTTCTTCTTGTGGCTCCTTGTGCAGCGTTGATGCGATCAGCCCGAATGGTTTGATTTCTACGGCGACTTCGTCACCTTTTGGCATCTGGAACATGCGATAGAAGCCCCGCATGACGCCCAAAGGTGCCGCCAACACGCACTGACTCCGATACTCGTAGCTGTCACCGACTTGGAGGGTCGGCGTCTGGCCGACCACCCCGAGACCCCGCACCGTCTGTAGCTGACCCTCTAGGTCATTGATATCCCAGTGGCGTCCGAGGAGCAGCACGGGTGCAGGACCATGGTTCTCTATCCGTACAAAATACGTGAAATGGTACATATCACGTAGACCATCCAGACCAACGCCACGTTGCTCGCGACCGAGAAACAACGAATCCACCTGAACCCGCACGCCTGCCGTCAAACAACTCGAGTGCGGTTCATAGACTAAGCGCTTCAGCGCGACAACGCGCGATTGTAGCACTCTGAGCAATCCGAACCCAAGCTCCAGTTCTCTTTCACTCGGCTGCTGCTCTGTGAAGCTTCTTTCACGCACGGAGCGACGCAGCGCTGCAGCGAGCTGCCACGGGTCTCGCGGCGCCTTCCCGGGCACCACTCGTGCGAGTTCATTTAATGCGGGACCCAGTGTTCCACAGAATATGCTCCATTCGCGGGCGTGGAACGCTGACGGGAGCACGCTCCTGCTGCTTTCTACTCGCGTCCACTCGCGAGCATAGTCGCGCAGCGAACGCTGCAAGGCTCTGTACAAAACGCTGGCCGTAGAACGCCTCGGGGAAGCGTTCCAAGTCGAACTTGCACTGTACGGGTGAGAGGGACAGCGAATGCGCCCTGTGAGCAGCCGACTAGCCATCCAGCAACGAAAGAGCCGTTACACGAGCTTTGACCTGCATCGGAACCGAGGTCGAATGAGCGGCGAGCGCGTAGGCGACAAGCTGCAGCCGCTTCGCCCTGGGCTCGTTCAGCTCTGCATTCATTCCGCAGTGTGCATGTGATAAGCCTTGATAGCATGTGGGTATTTGCTGCTCCTGTCAAGCAACCGAATCATATACAGTGGAATGGAACGATCGGGCATGAAACCTGGCGACTCTGCGGGATCCGGGTCGGTGCACTAGACCCGTGTTCGATGACAATGCCTCCCTGAACTGGGCGCTCGATTCCAACCGTTCGACTTTGGCCCAGGGTTTTCATACACAGAGTCTCGACATCCAAAGTGCAGCAATAAGCGCCGACGCATTCCTAGGTAGTGCCCGCATGCCCGATAGTCTTTTCGGGATGTCTGCTTCGAGTTGTTGCAGCACGAAGTTGTCTTGGCACCGGCATTGCGATCCTTCGCGACGTCCTCGAATAAGGGTTCGTGAAATCATCGATATCGCTATTGGATTTATACCTACAAGCCGCAATTTTATTCTTTTCCGGACATTTTGAAAACAGGAACGCTTCACGTTTTCGATTTTTTCTTCGAGGGAGCTCATGATGACGGGAATTCCCTCCGTTGGGCCGATGAGAAAGAATCTCGACGTCGTCTCGTGACGACTCATTCACAAGCTCATGCCGAAAGTTCACCGAAGATGGCACGTCAAATAATCGTTTCTATTCTATAGACGAGGCCCGACCTCTGAAAGAGATCCAGGTAACATTATTCGACGGAAACATGCTACGGCTGTCGGGATGCGCTCGCAGGGGCTCCCGTCTCTTCTGATTGCTTGGAAAAGGATTCTGGACTCGGACTTGAGTCATCGCAGCGCTCGCTTCCGGTGGGGAGTGCGTTACCGCTTTGCACCAGGGGGGTTTGCTTAGACGGAAAGAAAATTTCTCGAGAACATTTCGAGCCTGGATTCCTCGTCCAGTACTGGATTCATCATGAACAACATTGCCGTCCGCAAATCCATCATCGAATGGAACAGCAGGCGCTCGTTTTTCCAGCGAACAGCGTCGTCGCTGACGGGATCGCTCATAACAAGCCCGTACTCTTTGGGGACGCCATCAGGTGCGAAAACGGTGCACGGTATCGTGCCCGGCATTCTCGATTGGTCAAGTGCATATCCGTCGAGCGATGAACGAAGGCGTCTCGAGCCACAGTGCAGCCCATGGAGGAGAAGCTGAAGTGCTTGACATACGAGAACACCCGAACCGGAGCCAGACGCCACCGTTGCAAATCGGATATCGACGCAGTATGCAAAATCAAGATGAAAATGGCAAGAGAAGCGCAGATCGCTTCTTCTCTCTGTGCATGATATGCGTTGACAACCGGCAAAAGGGCGAAATTGTGACGTGCACGCCACCATGAACCTCATTCGACTGCTGACAGAGGAGCTGGAGGCACAGGAGAAACCAGCGTATTGAAAAACGTGCATCAGACAGAGGGAAACAAACCAGTCGCAAAAAAAGCTCGCAAAGACTGGTGTTCACGAAATCTGGAAGAGGCCCGACATTTATCGCATACAACCGAGGTAGCTGTCTGGGTCTCCATCCATTTCAGTTTGGAATGGGCGTTGTGCAATACCGCGAAACCTTGGAGTCAGCTGTACGCTCGAGAATATCGACTTTGACCTACCAGTGCATTTTTGCGAATGATGCTCATGCCCGCAGAGCGCTCTAGTCCGGGAAATGAACATGCAGTGCAGATGTCAAGACGCTCCCGGTCACGCAGCCGGTCATCGGCGGATCGTCGCCTCACGGACAATCCACCACTTCGGTGTACGAGTAGATGCAAAGTCGCCGCTGACAAAGTCCAAACATGTCGACGGATTCGAGGACGCCCTGCTGGATTGCTTGCGCTACACAGGGCCCGTACTCCCGGAGCGATCACATTCCTAGATAGTCAACCTATGTCTAGTTTCGTTGCCCCCGTCTTCGCCATCCACCACGATCCAGTCCTTTAGGGACAATAATGTACATAACTGATACCCCGCATTGCAGCAGCGCCTGCAGTGTTCCGGCGTCCTTCGAGACGCACTGCGCCTCCGAAGCCGCAGGTCGGACGCCTTTCCCGAAAAGCGTTCTTGTACGGCTCCATGATCGAGGCGACTGCCGTAGAGGTAGATCGTGAAGGGAATCATGGTCAGCGTAACCGGTGGCACCGCGTTCCAAAGCGCAGACGTCAAGCAGTTCCCGCTGCAGCGTTGAAGGAAAACGCCCAGCGCCGACAGGAGACCGCCGCGAAACGTGGCCTAGAGAGGCACGCCGAACGAGAGCGATATTTTGCCATTCTTGGATCACAGATGCTTTCAAGCTCATTACGGGACCAGTTACTACCTTCGCAAGCACTTAGTGGACACAAACGACGACGCGCCGGTCCCGAGGTGGCTTCGCACCCGCACCCGCCTGAGCGAACGGAGGCCGAACGCGCGCCGACGCCCACGGCGACAGCTCCGAAGCACTTGTCGCAGGCACCGGTTCAGAAGCGATTTCGGTCGCGTCAGCACCAGACCCCGGCAGCCTTGGCGGCACGTATTGGCAGCGATCCAGAGCCTGGTACAGACACCCCGCCCGAGTGCTCAAAAGCAAATGCTCGTACGAGCGTTGTGGTGCGGTGTGAAAGTGGTCACCCAGTTTCTATGCCGGAACCCAAAGATACACAGAATCTCTGTGAAATGCCGTCACATGCCCATTCAGATGTCATGGTGGACCGCACGGACGCTACACTGAATACACTGGCGGGTATTGCAGTGTGTAGCCCGTCGTCGGCGCTGTCCATCGACACGCGTCTTCAAACGTCTTGCGAAACAACACGCCGCGCGAGTAATGTATCATCATCATCATCATCATCGTTGATGCTAGCTCCATCCATAACAGACGTAGACAATGGGCGGACCACTGCAGAACAGACAAGTACTGGGAAACTGTCGCTCGCCTTGGTATCGCTTCCGAATCAAGGCGCATACTGTCAGCACCTGTACCAGCATCGGCAGGAAATGCTAGCCCCTGTACATCATGAAGACGACGATGGGTACGCCGCGGTGGTGCCGGTTGCCCACGGATTACCTGCTGCCGCGTACCGGCGGGATTCTGTCGCGGCGCCTGCACCTCGCTCCTTCTATGTGACACTGGAACGGACAGCAGACATCCAGACACGTCGAGCGTCTCTGCCCGTATTCGAATTGGAGCAGGAATTCATGGAGATGGTCCGCGATCGCGATGTTGTCATCGTGGTCGGCCCAACAGGCTCTGGGAAAACAACCCAGATACCGCAGTTTCTTTACGAGGCTGGGTACGGGCATCCCGACGAGCGGCGCCGACCCGGTGGTTCAGTTGCAATTGTCCAGCCACGACGTCTGGCAGCAGTCTGGTGTGCAGAGCGCGTTGCCTCAGAGCTAGGAACAGAAATTTTACGACAAACGCGAGAAGACGAGACGGGCGGCGTGAGGCAACCTGTCCAACTCGGCGTCCAGGTAGGATATCATGTTCGCCACGATCGAAAAGTCCATGACGAGCACACCCGGCTTGTTTTCGTTACCGACGGTATTTTGCTCCAACAGCTAGCGGAGGACATTGCTCTTCGACACTTTGGATGCGTTGTTCTCGACGAAGTACACGAAAGGAGCATCCAAATGGATTTGCTCCTGGGACTTCTCAGTCGAACGGTTCGCCTGCGACGTTCACCCGCCTGGCAATCAGCGTATCCAAATATCGGACCTCTCAAGCTAATTATCATGTCTGCGACGGTTGATGCAGAATCCCTGGCGCGGCATCCTAGACTCTTTACGAGCGCGACATCAGCGATGCTTGCGAAACTGCCCAGTGGTAGCGTACCGGAAATGCCGAGGTCGCCTGCGACACGCTCGGAGGCATTGCGGGTGTCATCATGCGCAATCAGCGATGTGCCTTCGGTATCGAGCGAGGCGACTCTGTGCTGCTTCGCGAAAGCTTCGGATGCGGGTGTGTCTTCACCTGATGCTGAGGCTCATCTGCTGCCAGCCGTCGCTCCACAGCATGCAGGCAGCGATGCGCTGGATACGCGTCATACGCAACCGGCGAGTGTTGCGGCACTGCAGGCACTACGCGCTGCAGCAGAAGCTGATGCAGCCATAGCGGCAGGACGTTCCGCGGGCGACAAACCAGAAGCCGGCGCTGCTTCAGCGCCAGCAGTGCTGGTTGTTCCTGGACGTCAGTATCCTGTCACCATCCACTTTGCTCGACAGACGCATCGTGACTACATCGCTGCTGCCTGCGAGAAATGTCTCAAAATTCACCAACGCTTACCTGCGGGCCATATTCTGGTGTTCCTCCCGGGTCGCCGGGCCATCGCACAGCTCTGTGCTTCCTTGCGAAAGGCGTGCCGAGGCACCTGCGAACGCCCACTTCATGTCAAACCTTTATACGCGGGAATCTCCCGGGTCGCCCAGGAGGCGCTCGAGCACGCCGTTCACGGAACGGAGCGGGTGTGCATCGTCGCAACGAATGTTGCTGAAAGCGCCATCACGATTCCCAACGTTCGCTACGTCGTAGACAGCGGACTCGTGCGGCGAGTCATGACCCATGCGTACAACAGCGAGGGCGTCTCGCTGCACCAAGTCACCTGGACAAGTCAAGCCTCTGCGCAACAGCGAGCTGGCAGAGCCGGACGCACCGCTCCCGGGCACTGTTATCGCCTCTATTCTGTCGCAACATTTGTGAACCTCTTTCCGGCAACGGATACTCCCGAAATCCAACGCATGCCGTTGGAATCGGTGCTGCTGTTTCTGAGCCGCCTCGGCATACGCCATCCATTGCGCTTTCCCTGGGTAACGACACCAGGAGCAGCCGCGCTGCGCAAAGCGCACTGGGTTCTCCGGGTGCTCGGAGCCGTCCAGGACGAGCGTGCTTCTCGCCACGTGACCAGTCCGTCGGTTGAAGAGCGCGCCTTGGCGGCACCGAGCGCTGCACCAGATGACCTGTCGCTGGAAGCGCCTACACCACTGGGGATCGCCATGGCCCGCGTACCGGTATCGGCTCGGCTGGCAAGATTGCTTTTCTGGGTGCGTGACCACAGTCCAGACGCTATTCGGTACGGGATCCGCCTTGTTGCCCTTTTGAGTGTACGTGAAATCATGAGCAGCGGCAGCGGCAGCGGCAGCGGCACGTTACCACTTGCGAACAAGGACTCATCAGAGAGTGCATCTGGGGGCCGTTATGCTTTTCGCCGAGCGCTCTATCATCCACAGAGCGAGCTGCTTACCAAACTTCGGTTCCTGGGTGCTGCTGAATACGCTTGGCGAGCGGAAGGCGGCTTCCGTGCACTCACTCGATTTTGTGCATTGTACGGTCTGCAGGAATCCACTGTTCGAGAAGCGCTCCTCATCGTGCAACAGTTGGAGCGGCGCGCAGACCGCTTCCTGGGCAAGCAGTGCTTGGATGATCTCGCTCCTAATGGAACAGCAGAAACTCGACCAGAGGGATCCGAAACAGACGGTTGCAAGCGTCCGCAGGATGTGCGAGATCTCGCTGCAGGGTGCTTTTGTGGCAGCGAGCCGGACCCCATGATCGACGATGACGATACGGAAACAGAGGCGGACAACGACAACGACGACGGGATCCCGTTCCAGGATCCCAGTGTCCACGTATCCAAGGGGCAACGACGAGGTTTCGTTTGCCGCTGGGGCGATGAACCGCTGCGGCCTCCATCACCAGAACAGGAGCAGACGCTTTGTCGTGCCCTGCTGGCGGCCTTCCCGGACCAGGTAGCGCGGCGAATGCATACAGAGGAGGCCAAGGATTGGCGGCAACAGCACTCTGGAGTGCGTACGAATGGAGTCCTTTTCCGCTGCCCGGTCTGGGAAACAAAGGATTGCGAGTCGGTCGAGGGAGTCGTGGCGCGTGTGTCACCGTGCTGCCCGGTGGATGTCTCTGGTGATGAAGTTCAGTACCTCCTGTATACCGAAGTAACGCTCGAGGAGCTGGAACCTTCACCGGACCCGGCCACAAAGTCTCCTGCTACTGTGGCAACCCTGCGAGGCTCGACGCGTATCGAACCCGCCTGGTTAACGACGCTGAATCATCCGTGCTTGGTACGCTATGGAGACGTCGTTGCGGAACCTGCTCCAAAGTATGATGCAGAAGCGGATCAGGTGATGGCCTGGGTGCGCTGTCTCTACGGTCGAGAGGCCTGGACCTTGCCCCTCTGCTGGATGCCGCTTCCAGCGTTTACACAGGACCCCTTGGACGGGCAGATAGAGGATCAGCGGGAGCGCAGGATCTGTATCTTCGCCAGGGCACTACTAGAGCGACAAGTGCTACCGCGTCTTCCTCCGCCGGCTATTCAGCATGCATTACAACCGTCACCTGCTGTGCTCACCTGGGGTCTCGAGCACGGCGAACGGTCTACATCTGGGGATCGCCACTGTAACTTGGGGTATAGGCGGCATCGGGCGGCCGTTCTCCTGGTGACAGCTCTCAAGCGGTACGACATCACGAGCCGGCAGGCGTTGTTTCGGCAGTGGCGACGCGACCCCTTCTACCTCCGCTATGAGTTTCTCTTATGGGTGCCAGCCGCACATCAGGGCATGATCCAGCAGCAGTGGACAACACTTACACAGCAAGATGCAGGTTGTTCGGTCTGACGTCTCTAAAGCGAATACGCCTGCGATGGTGTGCGGATTCCTCGTTCCGTATTTGCTTTCGAATGAGCGCAGGAATCCCGTTCAAGTATTGTGCTACGTTTGCGCGTATTCCATCTACCGTTTCACAAGCAAGTGGTCAGGGCGTGGATTTTAGACTCCTCGATCGACAACGATTTGCAAGTGAGCGCGGTGATCTCGCGCTTACGCTGCAAAACTCTCTCAAGACGCCGAACATTGATCAGCTCGCGTTGATAATAGCATGCCCCTACCTCCACGACGAATACGCAGTGTAGAACTCAGGATAATTTGGAACTCCCATGGGGTATCCTCGGAGCACCTCGGATACTGCCAAATGTGGTGCTCGGACGGTTCATGTTTGCGCGGACTACAACAACACCACGAACCGCTCGTCATTCTGGACTAGTCATCGTCCGGTCGTCGTCGTCGTCGTCTCCGCCGTCGTCCTCCGACTCGGGCGCATAGAGTCCTATTCGATAGTCTTTTAGGAGCCACGCCACGTTCACCCACGGGTGCATCTCATCAAACACAGCTGTGCTATCCTTTCCGGCCGCTTCTATGAACAGGATTTCCGCACCACCAGGGTGGAATCTGAAGTAAGCGGTTATGTCATACACAACTCCGTGGATAGCCGTCCAGGCGTCAGTAGCACTGCCATGTGACTCCAGTTCTCGTTTACTGACCCGTCGCGAGGACTGTTGGCCCGCAGCTGCAATCGCTGTTGCTCGAGGGTCTCGGGGTCGACTCAACCAGGCCAGAGGCGGTGGGGCTTTTGCCGGCTGTCGAGCAAATATTCTGGTCTTGTTGCTCCCCATCTGCGTCGCAGTAGACGCGATAGGAAGCATCCAGACCTTGCTGGCTCCTGCACGCCTGAACAATCAACGAAAACGGTGCGTTGTGAACGGTGCGGCGGCGTTGGTGCTGGGCGATCCCAGGATCCTACCTGCCACGATGGCCCCTGTTCCGAAGAGCCAACCCCGGTACTCGTATCCGATGAGCATGGAGTTATGAAGGACATGCTATGTTTCCGCCTTTTGAAGTTTTGTGGATTTGGTTTTGACGAACAATCTCGGTATTCGTCGTATGGCAAGAACGGCACAGGGATTCATACGTAATTTTCGGAGTCAAAGTCGTCGTTTCGGAGTGGCTACTCGGAGTTTTTGCTATCGAAATCTTTCACATCTCTGTGATGATCATGACTCATGACGTCTTCAAGCAAGCGTTCGTAACACAACCGATGTCAATATCGGGTTCATACACACAAGCGCCCAGTCTTCACTATTCCTTGCGTGCGGCGTGCTCAAACCACGCAATCTTCAAGTTTACAACGCTCGTGTTTCCGGGAGACGCATCGCCGGGGCGATTCGCGACCTTGGATTAAGGCCAAACAAAACCCGACTTTATCTCTTGGGGACTTGTTCACTCGTTCATGCCGAAAGCTCACGGAGCTTGTCACGTCGAATAACTAATCCTGTCCGAGAGACGAATGCTCTTCTCTCTGGGGCCATCGACGAAACAGCATTGAACGGCAGGATGATATCTCTCGCAGGGGATTTGCTCCCAGTGACTCCTGTTCCTTCTTTCCGCATCGCATAGTGTTTTGGACTCGGGCTTTTGTTATCGCAGCGATCGCTGCCGGTGCCGCGTGCGTCATTGCATTGCGCAACGCGCGCGTAGACGAGTCGAAAGTTCTCAGCTGGATCACCAGCGTGGATTTTCCCTCCCGTCCTTGTTCCATCATGGACAACATCGCTTTCCACGTGCCTTTGTTCGAATAGAACAGTCTGCGATTGCACTCTCGGAAGAGAGAGGACTCGCCCAGGGAATCGCCCAGAACAGGCTTGTTATCGTAGGGTACTGTACCGACACAGTCGGCTTCCAGGGGCATGTACCGAGCGATGAAGCAAGTGCTCGTGCGTAGTAGGGCGGTCCTCTGACCAGGAGATGCTGTGATTGTATGACAGCGCCTGATTACAGTCTAGTGTCCAGGCTGCAAATGGCCCAGCGATGCTGTCCACGAAGAACATGAAACGGTAAGCATAACCAAGACTGCAAAATTCGCATGCGCATGAAAAAAAAAAGTCTCGATCACATGCGGAAACGCCCAAGTCGAGACTTGAATACTGCCATCAACATCCTTCGACTGCTGACAACGAAGCTGGAGAGAAAGAGAGACTTAAACCCGGAGATGCGCGAGAGGAAACGCGAGCAATCGCAGATACAACCTACCAAGGCCGGTGTTGATGGGAATCAGGAGCGACCCAAACAATAGCATGGACTCCCGAATGAGAGAACTGGGACCCATTCCAGATTCATCCGATTTCGATGGACTATCAGCAGAGATGGAATATACAGGTCTAGCCAGAATCGAAGACGGCACGACGCGTTTACCGGGAAACAGGGCTCTCCGCCTCCGCTAGGCGCTGAGCTCTCATTTCGGCCTCTGTGTTGCGGAGCGCATTTCCCGTCTGGCAGTTGGAGCTCCCGCGCTGCCTCCGTTTTGAGGCATCCCTCGCTCAGAACATGGCGTCACAAGTGCGCTCAACGATGTATGTACAGCAGGCAGTGTCCAAATGGAAGTCTTCGAGTCGAGACCGGTAACAGGTATGCGGCCTTTGCAGCTGTGTTTCCCGATTGATCGGATTCTCTCGCGATCAAGCGGGGTATCGGGAAACAACCCTCGCGAAGAGGAAAGTACCAGAAACGAATTGAGCACGCGGATGCTGAGTAGAGGGATACTAGGTGACGAGTACAGTTTCCAATAGGTAGGAGTGTCCCAGGCAACGTTTCGGCTTCCAGGTGCAGGACTCCGCACGGGGACTCGGTGCCTACCGCGGAAAACTCCGTTTGCAACGTCTTCGAACCAGATTTGTGTGGAACAGACCAGTTGACCTCGATGGTGTAACAGATTTCGAATGGAGTTTCAAGTCGTATCCGCGCTGCTGGACGACAAAACTGCAGGACAATGCGATAAGGCGACGACGTTCCCGTTCCTTCCGGTATCTCCGGTAATGGCGAAAAATAAATCTGTTGCGGTAACCAGCGCGTCGAGAGAGCCACCCAGGTGCGTTCTCCGAGAACGCCTCGCGTGGTACGCCACTGAATGCTTACACTACCCGGGTGAAACGGTGTATCCAGGCTAGGTGCGCTGTTGGCGCTTTTCGAGGAAGCAGGGCGACGATGGAGCATAAACACAAACCGTGCTCGATCGCCTGGTGAAAGCAGTGGTGCCTTTGTACGGAAGCGAAGCGGCATGAGTTTCCAGCTCGACGTTGATGCTGTTGCACCCGATGCAGGGGATGGTCCTGCGGAAAATGGGGCTTTCTCCTGGGTCTCCATGGGACTGGCAATATAAGGAACGGTTTCCGGCGGCTCAAGCGGCTTCTCACTACCCTGAAACGTTGGGGCGTCTGGGCGGCATTGTCCAGCAAGCAAGTACAGCGGCTCGTGGCTTGTGTTCTGGATGTTCACGAGCCAGAGAAATGTCTGCCTTCCGCGCTCAGATCTTTTGTCGAGGGTCGTCGATCCCCAGGCGAGCGCATACCCCTCTAACTGCCAGGCATCACTGACCTGGAAGCGAAAAGTCTGTTGAAACGAGGTCATTGGCGTTGCTGTCGGTGAGATTGGTGTTGCGTTCTTCGCAAAAGCGCTGCCGGGACTCGCGCGATGCGTACTCAACTGCAAACCCGCGCTCGGCTGCGCCAAAAGCAGTTGACAGCTCACAAAGTGCTCCCCCGGTGTTTCGAACGGGAGACGAAGCGACCAAGCTCGGCATCGTTCTGGTGGAAGCGCGGTCTCGTCGAGTCGCTCGAGAAGGAGCATCGTCTCGGATGCATCCCTCATTTCAACTCGGACACGAAAACGCTCGAGCGCGTAGGGCAAGCCATGGGCCAATTCTAGACGGAGATTCGCGGTCTCCCCGGCATGCCATTCCATCGGTGATGCATCCTGCAAACAGAACATTCGGTTGAAAGAGGTCATCCCTATACGCGAATGTGTCGCTTCCGCATGCTCCCGTCCAGTAACGATTTCGCATACGCTGCCTACGAGAGGTCGAAACGTAGTGCATTTCTTGACCATTTCTGTTAGCTCCGATCCCAGCGCATTCTTCGAGACTCTCGTCGGATGCGTCATGCTCGGATGCAGGCATAACTGCAGCGGAAAGAGCCGAAATACGATGGAACATTGTCCCGCGTCAGTAGAAACGCCTTCAGATGCCTCAGGTCCGCCAACGGTGTCGTCTTGCGATGTGAGGGGAAAAGCGAGATCGGCAACCGCCTGTTCTCTGCTCGCCATGCTGACGTCACCAGCAGGCGCATTCCAAGGAGCATCCTTCGCACCATCGATGGACATCCCGGGTGCGACACCTCCTGCAGTTCCTGCTGGATCAGACGCTGCCCCTATTGGAACACGCTCGGGATCAGTATCCGTTCCGGAGCCGAGCAACATACCAGGGGCTAAGCGAGGAGAGATGCGCTCGTTGGATTTCGTTTGTCTGACGACATCGCTTCGCTTCATGAGCAAACTCGGAAACGAACTTCAGTTTGATTGATATCCTCAGTTCTGTCAGCCGCTCTACGTTCTGATGTCGAGCGATACAGGAGGTTAGGTTCTTCGCTGTATGGGTCCAACTTGCGAGGGCCGGGGTGAACCCCAACGGTCTGTCAGCTGCTCGGTGTTTTGTTCTCGAGTGATGCTGCGCTTGATGTCACTCGCTAGACGAGTACAAAGTCCGAGCTGGTCGTGCAGTGGGCAGAAAACGCCAAGCACTGCTTCTGACGCCACAGTCGACTGGTAAAAGTTCACCCTAGACGGCGTTTACCAGCATCTGTGACCAGTTCACGAGTATAGACTAGGTTGAGTATAAATTAAAATCACAGAGAAATAGCTGTTTGTACTGAACTTGAACGTAGCAGACCCGCTGCTGGCAACAAACGAACGAAATAGCGACCGTTCGACCACAGGCGGCTTCGAAAGAAAGGCGTCGGCCTCACAAAAGAAAACGTAAAGTGAGCGCGCTCCTGGTAGCTATGTTGATCACTGCGAGTTCACGAGATGGAAGCGCTCGATATAACTACAACGTTGAAACACAGACGCGGAGATACACACCAACCCCGAAGTCGTTCAAACGGTGTTTCACTGTTGTGCGCTGCAGCGCATATTCCGAAACCCGTCTGCGACTGGAATGGAGCAGGCCCGATGAGCGAACACGGGCTTACACGCGATACCCATGTCAGCATAAAATGGAACAGGTCTACTTACCTAGCAGGAGCGTACACCCCAAAGTTTTCGTCTCATTCCATCGCCATGGACGTCGGCCTTTACGGGATGTTTCTGCGACTGTTTCCCTTCTCTCTCTCTCTGTATATTCTCTGGCTCGCCATACGCCGGTTTCCCCTGTTCCTCCAGCTGCGTTGTCAGCAGTCTCAGAATGCTGTCGCCGGTGTTCAAGTCCCGAATTCATCGCTTCCGGCTGTTTCAGACAGAATTCGCGCAAAGACAGTAGTTGCGTTCTACGCCTCGGTTGCCGTTTGCACGACTTGCTTCGTGTAGATCCTCGTTGCGCCCTTCACAGTACTGACACGTGACCATGGTCGGGTATGCCCGTACGTCCTGGGCACCTGCTTCCCCGAGTGCTGCCTGCCACATGCACTGGACGCTCACCTCAGGGGACGACCCCATTTCCGTGCCCAGTGCCGTACGCGATGAACACGGTCTTCCGCGAGGCGATACACTCGGCGAGCATGCTGACTGCTGTGCGCGCTCAAACACACACACACACACACACACAGAGACACACATACAGACACAGACACATACTGACACACAGATACACAGACTCACACACGTCCACGCTGCTTCATTCGAGAGCGGATTTTTCTGGGACCCGATGTTGCTCATCGTGAGACAGGGACCGGAAGGAGCACTCACGCTGGAGAACAAGTCGCGAAATCTCGACCCGTCATCGCTGCATTCGTGTCCAGCGTCCGTCACCGCGCTGCACACACGAAGCAAGCACTGCGATGACTCAAGCCCGAGCTCGGGAAGATTCTGTACTTGAAAGCAAGCTCTCGTAGCGTACTCCACAAAACGTATCACGCTGGTGCCGATTCCCGTTTCTTCGCTAGAGAGAGACAGCGCGGGATTCACCTCCTGAAGCACATCCATCCTCTTGTCGTGACTGGCTCAGTGAGCCTTCAGCATGAGCCCGTGAACGAAACCTCAAGCGTCGGTGTCGACGGTGCCCGGTCGACAATCCAACAGTGCGAGTCGCTGCGCTCATGGCTGGCATAGGGAGAAAAAAAGATTCGAAAACTTGAAGAATCCGTAATGTAAGCATGTCGATCGTAAGGCAAGCGGGAGAACGGATGCTTGTTGATACGGGTCGGTCAAAGATACCGGTTACTTGTCGAACAACTGTTCAATAGCTTCGCGAATCGTCTTGATTCCATTTCCGTAAAAACCTTAAGCGGGACAGCGTGGAAGAGGCCACGCCCAACTGACGACCCAGCATCCTAAAACTACGCATGAATCCACACACCTTGATTGCAGCACTTTGAATATCCATGCGATGCACGAAAAAAAACACGAGTCCGGAAAGATATCGAAAGACCTGAACAGAGCGACAAGTTCTGTTCGCCGTCTTCATCGGGCTGGGTCATGGAAGGACACCGCGACCGCCGCTGCGACAACTTTCCTCCGCAGCGTTCGCCACTGGCAACACCTCTAACGTCGACTGTAACACTCGACGGGAAGGGACCGACGACCCGGTGCGACCAAAGTCCAGATCATTATGGCTACTACAAGGAGAGATACTTTATTGAAAATACAGGCAGAGGTGCAAAACTGGTGGGAACAGGAGCACGTCTTCGACGTTGACGCTCCAGAAGACTTTGATGCCGAGGGCGGCTGGTCCAGTCTCGGAGTGGAGCCTCGGCAGAAACCGACGTTCTTCGTCACGTTTCCTTACATCTACGCAAATGGACCGATCCACCTGGGTCACGCGTTTTCGCTGAGTAAGGCGGAGTTTGCAGTGGCGTATCAACGTATGAAAAGACGCCCGTGCCTCTTTCCCTTTGGCTTTCACTGTACGGGGATGCCGATCCAAGCGTCGGCGACGAAACTGGCCAGAGAGCTGGAAACCTACGGGTGTCCGCCTCAGTTTCCCGACACGCCTCAGCGTACAGGTGCAGACGCAGGCCTGGATGCACCTGTCGACGGCTCGGTGGGGCTAAAGTCGAAAGTTTTGGCAAAAACTGGCGGCCTCCGCTTCCAATACCGTATTCTGCAGGCGGTCGGTGTTCCCGACACGGAAATTCCCTCTTTCACGGATCCGTTCAAGTGGCTCATGTACTGGCCACCGATCGGTATGCAGGATGCGAAACAGCTTGGACTGCACGTGGACTGGCGGCGTTCCTTCATCACCACAGAGGCGAACCCGTATTACGACGCGTTCGTGCGGTGGCATTTCGAAAAACTCCGAGCACAAGGTCGTATCAAGTTCGGAAAACGCTACACCATCTATTCCCCGCTAGACAGGCAGGCCTGTGCGGATCATGATCGAGCTAGTGGCGAGGGTGTCCAACCACAGGAATACGTGCTGATAAAAATGCAGGTACTGGAGCCGTTTCCGGCTGTGTTGGAACCGCTCGCTGGGCGACGAGTCTACCTGGCTGCCGCTACATTGCGTCCAGAGACTATGTACGGTCAGACGAATTGTTGGATAGCGCCCGACGGAAGCTACGGTGCCTACGAGGTCAACGCAGATGGCGATGTGTTTATTGTCACAGAGCGAGCAGCGCGGAACCTCGCCTTTCAGTATTGGTCACCAGTCTACGGGGAGACACGCTGCCTATTGGGGCCCTTCCCAGGCGCGGCGTTGCTGGGTGCCGCAGTGCGCGCCCCGCTTAGCAGCTACGAGCACGTCTATGTGCTACCGATGCTAAGCATCACATCGGACAAGGGTACTGGAGTCGTTACCAGCGTACCGAGCGATTCACCCGACGATTACCGTGCGCTGCAGGACCTGAAAGAGAAGCCTGCTCTGCGTCGCAAGTACGGTCTCCGGGATGAGTGGGTGTTGCCCTTTGAACCGGTGCCCATCATTCAAGTGCCCGAGATGGGATCGCTCTCTGCTCAGGCAGCCTGTGAACGGTATCGGGTGCACTCCCAGAACGATCGCGATGCGCTCGCCAAAGCCAAGGATGAAGTCTATCTGCGGGGCTTTTATGACGGAGTGCTCTTGGTGGGCCCCCATGCCGGCCAGCGCGTTCACGTTGCCAAGCCACTGATTCGTCAGCTGCTGCTCGACCAAGGCGATGCGGTGGTCTACTCGGAGCCAGAGCGCCCTGTTGTATCACGCTCCGGCGATGAGTGTGTGGTCGCGCTCTGCGACCAGTGGTACATCGATTACGGTGAGGAGCAGTGGAAGCAGCTCGCCAGAACGTGTCTAGAGGCCATGGAGACGTACCACCCGGAAACGAAACGCAGTTTCGAAGCAGTCCTTGAGTGGCTTCGCGAATGGGCGTGCTCTCGTTCGTTCGGACTGGGAACGCGTCTGCCTTGGGACCCGCAGTATGTGATCGAATCACTCAGTGATAGCACGATCTATATGGCATACTACACCGTTGCACACATCCTGCATCGGGACTTGAACGGCCAGGTTCCGGGGGCGGCTGGTCCAGCCAGCCAACTCACTCCGGCTGTCTGGAACTATGTTTTTCTCGGTCAAGGCGATGCAGAATCTCTCCCGATACCCAGCTCTGTTGCACGAGCGATGCGGCGCGAGTTTCTCTACTGGTACCCGCTGAATCTGCGCGTGAGCGGCAAAGACCTGATCAATAACCATTTGACGTTCTTCATCTACAACCATGTGGCTATCTTTCCGCCCGACAAGTGGCCTTTGGGAGTGCGCGCAAACGGCCATATTATGATCAACAATGAGAAAATGTCCAAGTCAACGGGCAACTTTCTCACGCTAGCGGAGGCAGTACGGAATTTCTCCGCAGATGCGGTGCGATTTGCGCTCGCGGATGCCGGCGACGGCGTTGATGACGCCAACTTTCAAGTGAAGACGGCGGATGAGGCTATTTTGAAACTGACAACTCTTTTAGCGCTCGCCACTGAAGCGCAGGCTCTGCTCAAGAATGGGCAGATGCGTTCAGGTCAGCCGCTTCAGTTCTGGGATCGCGTTATGGAGGCGGAAGTGGATGCACTGGTGGCAGCCGCAGCGCACGCGTACGAACGACTCGAGTTTCGAGACGCCCTCAAGTTCGCGTTCTATGAATTGCAGGATGCACTGGGGATTTGGCGGGTCGCTGTTGGCGGGGATACCGACCTCACAAAACTGCATCATGAGGTATGGCGTCACTATATTCATGCGCAGGTGATTGCGCTCTACCCGATCTGTCCGCATACGTGTACTTGGATATGGAGACGGCTGCTCCACGAAAAGTCGCCAGCCCCGCCAATGCACTGGCTGGAAACGAGCCCTTTACTGGGGTCACCCGAACGGGTCGCCATTCGAGCTGCCGGTCGCTATCTACAGGCGCTTTTGCATCGAGCCCGACTCGTGCTGCAGAAACGCCTTGCGCATCGATCGCAACGTGCAGGGGATGCTGCTGCCCCTACTGCTTCTACCAGCACCGATGACAAGGAAGAGCGCGAGCGCGACCCCAGTGATCAAGTAGGTGCTCGAGCTGTGCGCGTACGACTCGTGGTTCGCACGACACCAACAGCTTGGCAAACTCGCTGCGTCGAACTTGTTCAACAGGCGTATGACCCTACGACTCAGTCGTTTGCAGCGGACCTGCCGAAACGCATAGCTTCGGATCCGGTCTTGCGACGGGTTGCCAAACGAGCAATGGCACTGGCGATGACGTTGCGGGAGCGGAAGGACTTTACGGTGGCGCTTGAGTTTGACGAAAAGGCGGTACTTTTGGAAAATCTCGGCTACCTAGCGCAGCAGCTGGGCGTGCATGAAGTGGAACTAGATGTCGATGGCCCCGAAGCGGAGCAGCGCGGTGTCATCATGGGCGAACCCGTTATTCTCGTGTTTGATGCATAAAGTGCCTCTGACACAATACGAGGTCGCATGTGGGCGACAATTAGACCTGCGCACGGTGCTGCTGCGAGCACTGTTATCCTAGACAGCGCAGGTGGCGCTTTCGGATATTGCCAGGAGGAGACTTTTTGTTCGTGTTTAGTTTGCAATCTGAAAGCGGTACACCAGTTCGGTGTTAGAAGCGGAAAACCCTCGCACGGACTGCTACGGATCTGTGCTGACTGGGAATCACTCGAGCGTTGTTGTTGCTCCAGAGGCGGCCTCGCTGAACCAGAACATGTGCCAGTTCAGTTTAGCAGACGTTGAGGTACCGAGCTTTTTGCAGGCGTCGCAAGGAGGAAGGACGGCCCTGCGACGCCTGTGCGTACGTCGGCACTAGACTCCCTGTCAAACGAGCATGCCGAGCGCTGAACGATTCCAGCAAACGCACGGCGATGTAGCGATGCTGCATTCGAGTATAGCACAGAATTCCCGACAGCACCATTGCGAGTATGCGAATGCCTGCCGCCCCCGCGATACCATCCCGAAGGTGTTTTCCATTGTATTGGACTCGTGTTTTGGAAAACTGATTCGGACAGGTGGATTCGTGGATGTGCGTCCTGTATCGCAGTTTATCCAGGTCTGGATATGAAAGAGGTTTCTCGGTTTCCAGGGGATACTTCCAGCGGATTCGAGGATACGGGTGCTGTTGCTCAGTCCATACAGGTTCGATTGTCGTCTGCATTCCTCCGAATGCTCATGTATGACGCTACCGCTTTCGGCAATGTTTAAGGACTCCGTTGAAATCCATGGGCATCACTCAGCATCGATAGAAGAGCGCTGTGCTCGCGCCTGCACTCCACGGTCTCCGCCGGATGCCCGTGCAGGTCCTCCATACATACACACACACACACACATACACCCTGATTGCATCGCGGAAGGAGCCAGTGCATCCTGCATCTGCGCCCCGGATCACGATAACGCCTGCGAGAATTCGTATCGTTCACTTTGTCGAGATGCCTAATGGGGTCCTGTGCTTTTCGACAGAAAAGCATACGTGACCGCCTCCCAGATCGTTGGACGAAGCATGCGGCCTCGTATTCGACGCGGACTCTGGTGTTGCATCTGCTTGACTTCAATATGCACAGCACCTTTTTTATTTGCAAGGGACCACCATGGCGTTCAGTAATACGTGTACCATAACAGTAAACCGGCCATGAAACATACTCAGTCGACAGATGCACCAGCCGTGCCGCTCGTGTCATCGCGAGTGCGCCGCCGTCTTGCAGCAGGTCCTGGTTTCCGAGGCCTCCCGAACGACCCTCGAAGAAGGGAGCAAATTGTCCAAAATTGGTTTGGATAACTGCACGTGTTTCTCGTTCGATACGGGCGTCATGCCACATATTGCGAAAACTCCATGCAGACTGCAACTTCATGACGTTTTGCATTGTATCGGGTACTTCAGCGAAGGCTCGCCAGATCCGCTCAGAGCGCAACCGACGACGGCGGCCGCCACATGCATCAGGCACTGCTATGTTGCGGGTGAATCGGCTGGGGCGTATTCGTATTCCGGCTGCATCGATTCAGAGCATTCACATAGGCCTGAACCGAGGCGGTCACCACGTCGGTATCTGCGGCATAACCCGTAAAGATGCGATCCATGCGCCGATCCCGAACGCGAACCATAACCTCACCAAGCGAATCGATGCCACTCGTGACGCTGGACACAGTATACTCGAGCAGCTCAATATCCAGTCCATGCTGCGCAACGACGGCGTTGACAGCACAGTACGCCGCATCGACGGGGCCTGTACCAGTCCGCGGAACGGTAACCTCTTTGCCGGTCTCCATGACAAGCAGAGTCACCGTTGCGGTCGGTATGCTCGATGAGCCGCACTGCACCTGCACTCGCTTGAGTTTGAAATGCTCGACCCCGATTTCCTTCAGGCCACCACTCACAATCGCCTCCAGGTCCGCGTCGGTAATTTCGCGTTTTCGATCCGCAAGCTCCTTGAAACGCAGAAACGCTCGGTTGAGGTCGTCGTCGCTGAGCTCGAAGCCCAGTTCCGTGAGGCGTGCCCGAAACGCCGCTCGGCCACTCAGTTTGCCCAGAGAGATCGCATTCGTGGTGGCACCCACGGTATCAGCGCTCAGGATCGAGTACGTAGAGGCGTTACGGAGGTATCCGTGCTGATGTATACCCGACTCGTGACGGAAAGCGTTAGCGCCCACCACGGCCTTATTCGGTGCAACGACCATACCGGTGAGGCTCGACACCATTCGACTCGTCTTTGCAATTTCTCGAAACTGAATGTTCGTCAGCTGACGATCACTATGACCCGACGCAATATCATCCCGCCCAAAAACTCTGGCATAGTAATTGCGGCGCACGTACAGCGCCATGACGAGCTCTTCGAGAGATGCATTCCCCGCCCGTTCCCCGATTCCATTCACGGTAACCTCGACCTGGCGAGCGCCTGCCTCACAGGCAGCGAGGAAATTCGCAACACTCATACCCAGATCATCGTGACCGTGCACGGAGAGAATAACATCGCCGGTCCGAACGCCCGGGACGTTCTCGTAGATGCCTCGTATGAGGGTGTACATTTCGTTCGGCGTAATGTACCCGCAGGTGTCGGGGACGTTGAGCGTGGTCGCCCCTGCCTCCGCGGCCCGACGGAAAGCCTCGTAGAGAAACTCGGGGTCTGACCGCGTTGCGTCCTCAGCCGAAAACTCCACGTCCTTGCAAAGCGAGCAGGCGTAACGCACTTGTTCCGATATGATGTCGAGCACCTCAGCGCGCGTCTTGCGCAACTTGTGCTCGAGATGAATATCGGACGTGGCGATGAAGGTATGGATACGGGGAAATGCCGCAACCTCTATGGCTTCCCAGCATCGTTTTATATCTGCGGCGGTGGCGCGAGCCAGGCCGCAAATAATCGGCGGATTGGGCCGGTTCCCAACTTGCTCCGCAATCCGACGCACAGCCTCAAAGTCGCCGTTGCTCGCAGCCGGGAAGCCGGCCTCCAGAACGTCAACACCAAGCGCGGCCAGTTGACGCGCCAGTGTCAGCTTCTCTTCGGCGTTCATGGCGGCTCCTGGAGACTGCTCGCCGTCGCGACACGTGGTATCGAAGATGCGCACGCGCTCAGGGTCCCGCCCCGTGGCGACATCGTGCGCAGTAGGCTTCACCGGTACGCGTACGACTGGGCGCTCTGCTCTAGCGCTCGCGTCACTAACCGCGTTGCCTATCATGAGTAAGCGCTGAAGCGAGTCCCTTGTGCGTAAACCTCCAAGGCCTCTGCTTCGTGGCCGCCCCGCCGCACGGGGCACACCACGCCGACTCGCGAACGGAAAGGTAAACGCTGCCCTTGACGCTTGATCCGAGACATGTCCAAAACACTCCTTACGTACGCTGGATATGGTCCTGTGGCTCGTCCATGATGGACCACAGAATGCTATGGTAGCGTACGCTTGCCACATGTTTTACACTCGCAACAGTGCACACACACACGTATACACACACGTACACACACACGCACACACACAACAGGTGTCCTGCGTGCGCACTGAACGCTCGCCGTCGCGTTGCACGCATAGCGCCCTGCGATACGTGCGCGGGATCGCCGGCGCACCGGCGATCTTTTGTTGGACAGAACGTCCACACGTACACCAGGCATCCCCGATGAGGCGCTTGAGATCAGCGCGCGTGCGCAAGCATCCATCATTACTCGTTTGACCTGCTCGTTCAACCACCGATATACTCCCTGTGAAATACTGGATATTTGCGACTTTGCATAGTCCACCGTGTCTGAATCTAGCATACAAAATGTCGCCGATATTTCCAAAGTGAACACAGCAGGAAACCTGACCAACTTTGTCATACAAGTGAGGGCATCGGCACGTCGATACCGAGATCGCCTGTTTTCATTCATCGTGCACTGACACTAGCGCATGGCACGGGGATGCAGCATGTCGCTGGCATCATTATCACCGTTATCATCGTCGTCGCGCCTCGAGCCGAAGCCCTCACTTGTATGAGAAATTTGGTCAGGTTTCCGTTCTGCGTTTGCATTGGCGCGATCGGCGACATATTGGATACTAGAGGCAGGATCGACGGACAATGGAACGTGGGAAATAACCGAGATCTCTGAAGGATCCTATGACTCATGCAAGTTTACGGATGACGGGGCGTGGAACGATGAACCCGTCCCTGACCGTTGATGTCAAGTGCGTTCCCGGGAGTCTCCGGTCCGTATAAACGACCTGCGCAACAACGGTATCCATATGGACACCGAAACGCTAGAGCGGGACCTGCTGCTGACCTGCATGTGCCACAGGCGGGGTTTCGGAGAGGCGCTGCGGCTCCACGGCGGGCGCCGCTAAGCACCCAGACGCCATCCAGCGCATGTCGATATCTTGTCAATTATGCAACGGTTATGGATCGTACTGGCTGTACAAACCACTCCTCGGCGAGACGACGACACATCGTGCATGCAAGTAATGGGCAGCATAACTTTGGGCGATCCGCTACCGCTTCTATGCTGCGGTGGTAACGAGCACGCTGAGAGTCGCCTTGTCCGTCCATCTAATCTCAGCGTAAAAGTTGCGGGACTTTTGGAGCACGACAACGCATGCTTTGCTCCCCGCAGCGAACGGTAACAGGAAACAGAGCTTCCGGTCTTCTGGTCCAGGAGCATCCCGAACGCCATCGTTGCGCAGCGTGCGGGCTCGCACACCCCCTGAAACATGTGCCGTATTTGGAGAGTATCTTGAGTGCACGATTGCTGTATGGAACCAGAGAGGAGTGCTCAGATCCCCTGCAGTTGCTTGTATGCTACATTAATTTCGCAGCGCACCCTACCTCAGGAACAAAGGTTGGATACGAATATCACCAAAACAGCGCTAGCTGCATACCATTCAGCCATTGTTCGCATGATGGGTCTCGCGGTGCTCCCAGGATATGTAGAGGGAACGCGATCCCACATCCGCAAAGACATTCAAAAGCTCTGCTGTCTCTGGTTGTCTCTTTGGCAGTGGCGGTTGCACCTTCGACGTCCCAGCAAGCACCAGAGGTGGCCTCGGTAGCCGCAGGTTTATTGGATTCATCCGACCTCGATTCTCAGCGCACGACTGCTCCGGAGTTTGTGTAACCTACTGGATACTGCGGGAGCGCAATTAGCTCCATCCTGGATACCACTTCATAGCCTGGGTGCATCCATGAGGTTGAATCTGTTTCGCTCCGTCGATCTCCCGACTAGTGAGCACCACGAGTGCGCCACGGCGCTCTGGCGCAGCCGCAACGCTTGTTCTACATCTCTACGTAGGCGGCTTCGAAGCCGTGTTTGGATGTTGGCTGTCTGGCAGTGTCGCGCACGGAACGGAACCTCAGTAGTCTTGTCGCTCATACGATATAAAAATTTCACAGGCACTCTCATCCGCTAGTTGGTAGCTGCATCCTTCAGTCTCTGTCAAGTTGGCGTCGACAAGTGGACGTTCGTGGAGCCGGCTGCTTTCCTCAGACCTGATCCAGGCGTTGCATGCGCTCCGTCTGAGCCGGCCGACCCAGGTACAGGCCACGGCTATACCTGCGGCGCTAGAAGGTAATCATGTAGTTCTAACTGCGCAGACAGGCTCTGGAAAGACCCTGGGATATGTTCTTCCGTTACTAGAGCTACTACGGCGAGACCGTGCTCGTGAGGCACGAACGACCAGCCCAGCGTCGCCGTCGCCTCAGGCACTGATCGTCGTTCCGACTCGCGAGTTGGCTGCTCAAGTCTGCCGTGTCTGGAGCGACTTTACGGAATGCACGGGTCTGACGTGCTCGCTGCTGACGCGACAAGCGTTTCAAACTTCGAATGAAGTTGCCGCATGGGTGTCGCCCGCTAGGGATACTGCTGGAAAGGGAGAACCGGCGCTCTGGACTCGCTTGCGCCATCTGCGCTACCTTGTTCTAGACGAGGCAGACAGCCTGTTTGCTATGCAGCAGCGCAACCAGCTTGCACCGCTTCCGTTGCATCGACTCCAAGGCGGACAGCTGTGGTGCGTTGCCGCCACGATGACTCGCGGCTCACTCGCCCAGGTCGAAGCGCTGGCCCGAGCGCTGACGCCATCCCGAAAACTCTTCATTGCTCGAGATAATGGGCTCCACGAACCGCCACGAATTGTGCGTATTCGTTTCGAACTAGTTCAGCATCCGCCGCAGAAGGTGACGCGTTTGCTCGAATGGCTGCAAGCCGACGCTCGTGGTCTACTCCGAGACGGCAAAAGTACCCTCGTGTTCTGTAATTCCATCCAGACCTGTCGTTTCGTGCAGCACACGCTTCGTGAGCAGGGCGTCCTTGCCCTCGCGTGCCACGGCGGGATGCCTACACGTATGCGAGACGCGGCAGTAGAGCAATTCGCCAACGGCACCGCTGATGTGCTGATTTGTTCGGATTTGATGGCACGGGGAATCGATTGGCCCTTTGTCGGGCGAGTGCTCAGCTTTGACGCACCAGCAACATACCATCATTTTCTGCACCGAGCAGGACGTCTACGTAGGGGCGGTGATTGCATCACGCTCATACGCAGAGCGCGCAGAGAGCAAGACCTCGCCATGATGATTGCGAAACGGTTTCCGGAGCGCACTCATTGGCAGGTAATGGAGCAGCAACCAAGCCTTGGGCGTGATCGGCTCCGGCCCTGAGCATCCGACGACTTGCTTTGACACATTCTCGCTTTTGGAAGAGGTGCCTGCTGTTGTGAAAGGGGTGTGTTTGGACGCTTTCTGGTCTTGCGGATACAGACGCGATTGTTCATGAGGGCTTCTGTGGTCGCAGGAACGTTTCAAGGAATTGTGTAGCTTCGATCCCGACGTATTGGTGCCTCGCTCGCCGAAAGCTAACTCGTCTTTTGCTGTGCATAAATCTGTTTCTCTGATGAAGCTTTGCGGTGTTGTACTGCGACCGCACTGAAGTGATGCGACTTGGAGGCACGTTGGCCGGTCCGTCGCAGAAAATTAGCGCAGCTTTTCCGGAAGTGTCATGAACACTCCGCATCTATGGCACGATGCAGCGAACCACCGGAATGTCACTGCTCTATCGATCGCTTCTGTTTCGATTGTTTCGCTCTGGAATTGGACATGAAAAGCGTGATGCGGCCAACCGAGGCGAATCGCATGCAGGACGCAGTCTCTCGACTTTGTCTGCAATCGTCGGCACCAGTATTTGTCAGGATGATGAACAGTGGAAGAACGACTCCGTTTTGTCGGGGTATGCAAGCCGTGTGCACGTTGAAAGATACTCGCAAGCCGGTGCGGTTGGAATCGCGGGGTGCACAATACCCATGTCAGCATAAAATGGAACAGGTCTACTTACCTAGCAGGAGCGTACACCCCAAAGTTTTCGTCTCATTCCATCGCCATGGACGTCGGCCTTTACGGGATGTTTCTGCGACTGTTTCCCTTCTCTCTCTCTCTGTATATTCTCTGGCTCGCCATACGCCGGTTTCCCCTGTTCCTCCAGCTGCGTTGTCAGCAGTCTCAGAATGCTGTCGCCGGTGTTCAAGTCCCGAATTCATCGCTTCCGGCTGTTTCAGACAGAATTCGCGCAAAGACAGTAGTTGCGTTCTACGCCTCGGTTGCCGTTTGCACGACTTGCTTCGTGTAGATCCTCGTTGCGCCCTTCACAGTACTGACACGTGACCATGGTCGGGTATGCCCGTACGTCCTGGGCACCTGCTTCCCCGAGTGCTGCCTGCCACATGCACTGGACGCTCACCTCAGGGGACGACCCCATTTCCGTGCCCAGTGCCGTACGCGATGAACACGGTCTTCCGCTAGGCGATACACTCGGCGAGCATGCTGACTGCTGTGCGCGCTCAAACACACACACACACACACACAGAGACACACATACAGACACAGACACATACTGACACACAGATACACAGACTCACACACGTCCACGCTGCTTCATTCGAGAGCGGATTTTTCTGGGACCCGATGTTGCTCATCGTGAGACAGGGACCGGAAGGAGCACTCACGCTGGAGAACAAGTCGCGAAATCTCGACCCGTCAACGCTGCATTCGTGTCCAGCGTCCGTCACCGCGCTGCACACACGAAGCAAGCACTGCGATGACTCAAGCCCGAGCTCGGGAAGATTCTGTACTTGAAAGCAAGCTCTCGTAGCGTACTCCACAAAGCGTACCACGCTGGTGCCGATTCCCGTTTCTTCGCTAGAGAGAGACAGCGCGGGATTCACCTCCTGAAGCACATCCATCCTCTTGTCGTGACTGGCTCAGTGAGCCTTCAGCATGAGCCCGTGAACGAAACCCAAGCGTCGGTGTCGACGGTGCCCGGTCGACAATCCAACAGTTCGAGTCGCTGCGCTCATGGCTGGCATAGGGAGAAAAAAAGATTCGAAAACTTGAAGAATCCGTAATGTAAGCATGTCGATCGTAAGGCAAGCGGGAGAACGGATGCTTGTTGATACGGGTCGGTCAAAGATACCGGTTACTTGTCGAACAACTGTTCAATAGCTTCGCGAATCGTCTTGATTCCATTTCCGTAAAAACCTTAAGCGGGAGAGCGTGGAAGAGGCCACGCCCAACTGACGACCCAGCATCCTAAAACTACGCATGAATCCACACACCTTGATTGCAGCACGTTGAATATCCATGCGATGCACGAAAAAAAACACGAGTCCGGAAAGATATCGAAAGACCTGAACAGAGCGACAAGTTCTGTTCGCCTTTTTCACCTGACACGAGTGCATGAGCATCGTTCTATCGCTGCAGCGGCCAAGACTGGCCCGTAAGAAAAGTTGAAAACCCGCATGCTGATGACCAGTTCGCAAACTGGGATACCCTCTCCCGCTTATGATGCTACCCAATCAAAAGATACCGTCTTGCGCTGTCATGGGTATGCGTCTTGTACAATAGCTACCAAACGCTCTTACGCTCACATGCTCGTGCGATGAATTTGGTCAAAAATAGCGTTTCAGGAAGCGCTTCCCCGATGACAACCGCACCAAGGCATCAGTTGGTGCTCGTGCACGGCTTCTGCACCCGCAATGCTGTGCTCAGGTAGGATTCGTGCATCGCACTCGAAATTTCCAGGTGCGCGATTGCCGAAGGTCAAAAACTCCATAAAAGATTTCACATTCTTCACACTCCCTTCATCGGTCCATGTATCCAAGCAAAGTGCTCCTTGAGGAGTCTCGCCTCAACCAAACTTGAATGGCGCTCTGTTTATCACCAACGTCGCATGCATGAATCGAAGCGAATGCCCCCGATTGCTCAGTTGGCTACAGTCTCCATGAAAAAGACCTCAAATCGCGCAAGTATCTCAGCATGCTCTGCGAGCAGCAAACGAATCGCCTCACATCAACCCTAAAATAAACGTGTCGAGGAATCGACGGCGGGGCGTTAAAGAGCGGCTAAACCCCACGTGCAAACATTCACTGGATACCACCCTGGATACGTTGTAGCTGACGCTGCATCCGATACTTGATGACCCTGCAATAACCGAGTTTTTTCGATCAACAGAATGTTTCGATGGACTTGAATACCCGATATGGCCGCGTACCTACCCGCCGCCACCACCAACACCACCAACACTACTAAGACCAACACTTTCACCATCACCGCCGTCAGCCCTTGGACGTTGGTGCGGTAACGATTTTCATGGGAAAACGGAGGCAGGTGGGCGTTATCTTCATCTTCTTCATCTTCTTCCTCCTCCTCCTCCTCCTCCTCATCATCATATTCATCATCATCATCGTCGGCGTCGGCGGCGGCGACGGCGGCGGCGGCGCGCATCCCAATCGTCGCCGTAAGGCTCATCGTCGTCGCCTCGCCTGGACACTCGAGATCGTCAGAAGCTGTGTTTCAGTTTCTGCCGAGCGAGAGTGGCAACTCTAGAGCTCGGAAGAGCCGTCAGTTACCCAACAGCAGCTTAGCGATCGATCATAATCCGCTCCGAAGGCATGCAGAGTCCTGCGGAAGCATTGTCGCAGCAGCATGCACAAGGTTGGCACTTCACGAGAGGACCTTTCGCCGTACTCGGCTTTGTCAACCTGTTTCCTGCGGGGGCTGGATCGAACTTTGCTACGAGAAACTTGCTACGGAAAGGTCGCTGCAGTAAACAGCAGCTGCGGGGAAAGCGCTGGTGCTGTGTGCGCGGCTTCCGAGTAGAGCGTCAGTCCCTGCAGGCTGCCGCCGAGGTGCCGACGCCTTACCGCTTCGCGCTGGGGCGAGCACCGGTCGAGCGAGCCAAGGCAGCGGGACCGATCTCGCAGCAGCATGCTCGATCAGAGGAAGAGTTGAACGAACTCGTAGCGAAGAGGTTCTTAGAACTGGTCCGCAGTGAGGGCACTGGGCCCGTTGGCGTTCCGGCTCAGCTGGTGAAGCCGGCTTGGCTCGAATGGAGCGACCGCATGGCCACCAGGCTGGCTGGTTTGGGGCAAGTCTGGCGCGTACTCTTCAGTGTGCTACTTGCAGCAACTATTGGGGCGGCTGCGGCCGGCGTAACGCCACCGGGACGTCGACGCGCTGCGGGTTTCGCCGCGGGTGCGCTTCCAACTGCAGCGCTTGCCGTGGTGATGCTCCGGCGGGGACGCTCGATTGGTGCACCGCGAGCGCTCGCAAGCGCTCTTGTCGAGAGCACGGTTGCTGTATCGACGAAGAACATGCCGAGTGCGAGCGATGATCAGCGTCGCCGTGCAGACGACAATGGCGGCGAAGACACGGAAAGCGACGACAATGGAGCGACGTCCTCAAACGCGCCACCGCGACTGGGGCTTGCCTCACACATCGATCCGGAGATGATTCAGCGTGTGGCAATACAATACGGGATGCAGCCGGACGCTCCATCGTGGAAGCTGGAGACGCTTGTTGGTCTCTATGAACGATACCTACTGGCTTTGGTGCAGACGAGCGGCACGCCGCGCGTCTCCGAAGTTCGCCAGTTGAAAGCACTGCGCTCCGCGTTTGGTCTGAGTCATGTCGATGTCGGTGACGCGCATCATCAAGTAGCGATGCGTTTTCGTAGAGAAAATTTCGTCTATATTGACGACTATATTCGCGCACAAGACGTCGACGATCGGAACTATGATGAGATCTTCCGGGAACGCGCACAAGATGTGAATCAGAAACTTTCCAAGCTACTCTTCCTATCTGCACGCGTGCTCGACGATCCAACTGAACCAGAGGAGGCTTACCGCTACGAAATGGCCCGCTTGCGCAACGTATTTGACTTGTCAGAATCAGAGTTTCAGGCGCGTGTTCGTGACATTGCCGTTCCTTTCTACCAGACCGCAGTGCGGAAGGCTGTATGGCTGCTTGAGCAAGGTCGGTCGATCACTTTAGAGAAATTGCGATCTGCTCGGGAAATGCTGGATGTTGACGATGGCACCGCTAGTCGTCTGCATCTGGAGGCGTATGGAGCGCTCGTGCAGCGCCTCCTGCAAGCACATTCGAACGAGAAAGTCCCACGTCTATCCGCAAAAGACATGAGCGTGCTCCAGGAGGCAAGGAGGCTTTTGGATATCGATGCAGGCGATGCAGATGCGCTGCTCCGCGATGCCGCAGAGCCGCTCTATCAGCAAGAGGTGGAGCGCGTCGTTGAGTCTGCAGATCTTCGCATTCCTACGGCACATGGGCGCCTAGCGGTGCGTCGGGAAGAGCTGGGGCTCAGCGTAGAGCTCGCACGCACAGCGGCAGAGAAGTGGATTCGCGGGCGTGTTACCGCTATCCTGAAGGATGCCACACGAGCGCTCCGCGTTCAGAACCTTACCATGACGATTGAAGAACTGAATCGCCTGCTGGGGCTTATCCGCAGAAGCTTGAGCATCATTCATGGCGTCGTCTGGGAAGAGGTCGTTCCGAATTCGGCCGAGCAACGCACCGTGAACGCGTCACTGGAGCGTATCATGAGTGTGCTCCTTGATGAGCTCGCGGACCTAGAGCGCCAGCAGCTCTATCGAGTGTACCTGGCAAAATGTCTTGAGGACCGCATGATTGACGCACAAGAAGGACGCAACCTCGATGATCTTCGCGCCGTTCTGCGTATTTCTGAAAACGAAGCTGCCCAAGCGTACAACCGTGCTGCTGGTCCCGTCTACCGGGAAGCTGTGCTCGAGGTCATGGCAAATCGAAGCGAGTTTACGGACGCGGATATCCAGAGCCTGAACCAAATAGCAGGCGACCTGCATATACCGGCCAAGGTTGCCCACGATATTCGTATGGAGCTGTATCGAGAGCGTCTTGAAGCGAGCACCCGCGATAATCGGGTACCATCGGAGGAAGAGTCCAGTCAGCTGGCGCGTTTGCGAGAGCTGCTCCAGTTGGATTCGGAGGCGCTCGCGGCACTGCACGCCAGCGTCTGCGCAGGCACCTATGCGCAGTCAGTCGACGAGTGCATGGGCTCGAACGGCATCATCCCGGAGCCGTATCGCGCCGGGCTGGAGCGTCTGCGACAACGGCTCTGCCTTGATGAACGACGTGCCCGAGAGCTCTTCCTGCAGGTAGCTCGTCGACGAATGGCGGGCTATGTACAGCGCGCGATCAAGCTCCTCCAGAAGAAACAGTCGTTTCGGGGTCAGGATGAAGAGCGCGATGTCGGTGACGATCCCTTCGTGCGACGAGCGGGCGCTTTTCTGGGCATCGAGGCGGGTACCATCACCATTGAGCTGAGTAACTTGATCGATTTCTACATCCGCAATGGAATCCTAGAGATGGAGAATGAACAGGCTGTGTACCCGGTGAACCTCCGGGGTGTCTTCGATCTGAACATTCTTCAGGAGATGTATCGACAATACCTCATCCAGTCCTTCGCAGCGAAAAGTCGCACAGAAAAGGAGCGCCTCTTTAACAACCTCGCACATTTGGGGAACATCCTGGGCCTTACTTCAGCCGAGGTCAATGCCATTCATTCGAATATCGGCTCCGTAATCTACAAAACCTATGCATCACAGGCGCTGACGAATAATCGGCTCGAGGAGAAGGATATCGAGTTTCTGCGGAATATTCAAAACATGCTCAGCATGGACGAGGCAACGTGCAGGACGCTGCTCCAAGAGACAAAGGAGGCGCGCGCAGGCTTCCTCTTTGACAAGATCTTCTCTCGCACATTTGGGATGGCGGAAGCGGTGGCAGAGTTTCGACGCGTGTGTCGCGAGCTTGACGTTGATCCTGTGCGGGACCTGAAACTCACCGAGGATCGTCGTGTTCGAGCTTTTCGGGCAGAGATAGAGCACGCCATTGAGAACGGACTCATTACGCCTGAGAACCAAAGTCTGCTGAAGGAGTCTCAAGAAGAACTGGGGATTTCAGCGGAAAAAGCTCGACAGGTTTTGCTCGACTGCATCCAGGATCGCTGCGAGGCGCTCATCGTGCAGGCGGCAGCGTCTCTGCGTCAACGTCGTCAAGAGGGCGCAGCGCGAGACTTGAGCCGAGCGCTGCGCTTTGGCAAGTTGCTTCCGTTCCAGGTGCAGACGCCCACGGTGACGGGTGCAGAGCGCCAAGAGCTCTACCTGGTGTACCAGGCGTATGCGCTGGGCACCGCCCGCTCTAATGCCGAGAACGATCAGGTGAAAGAGGATCTCGCGCTGCTGCGAGAGATGTTGGGAATCCAAGCCGCCTAAAGCGATCGCTCACCGTGAAGCCCCAAAAGTTCTAGGCTTCTCTGCTTCAAAGCGAATGATACCAGGTCGAAGACGTGACACCTCTTCATGTGATCACGTCCGATCGAGTACAAGCTGACGGTTGATGTTGGCATCGCACCAATTCGCGCAGAAAACTTGCGGGAGTCTTCTGTCGCAGGAAAAAACGATGCCAGGTCGGGCGTGTCGCGGGTTCCTCGCGCCAGCATTCCCGATTCTATGTTCGCGTCCAGACAAGTCTAGGTAGGCGCTTGTAGCTTACGAAGGGCAGATTCGCGTAGAAAACTTGCGGGTGCTTGCTGGAGCGCCGCTATGAGCACGAGGCGTTGCTCCGCAACCACCGCAGGATAGCGATTGAGGAGCAGGTGCACCAGTTTGGCAAAACGCAAACCCGCACGTTGCAGCGTCGGCGCATTAGCATGTGCTTCGAGGGCTTGTGCCAGCCGAGCACCAACGTTCGAGTCCAGCACCGCCGGTTGCAGTCGCTTCAACGAGCACTCGAGGACCTGAAGGGTGTGCTCGGTCCAGGGTTCACATAGTTGCCGTTCCAGCAATTCGTGGAGCATCTCGCGCCGAAACGCCGGCTCCCAGTCCCCCTCGAGGATCTGAACACAGAGCTCGGCCTGTGGGGCACCCAGCGGTTGCAAGCACGCCACGCTTGGACCCTGGCATGTAGCCGAGCAGGTCAGCAATGGATATAAAAGTTGCTCCAAGAGGATGCGCGGGCACTGACGCTGCAAGGAGCGAACGACGCCAAGCACTGAACGAGGTGCCGGTTGTTTGAGCTGCCGCACCAGCCGAAGCAGAAACGTCCGTGTCCCGCTTTCTATGCAACATACGCTTACCCTTTCGGGAAGTTTCAACATCGTCTCTAGACAATAAAGCAAATCGACAGACGAGGCACTCTGGGCATCCAGAATTTCCCAGTCGGCTGCAGTACGAAGTCGATCAATGGCTAATGGCGGTGATGGTTCCTTCGAGCCGAGATCATCCTCGCGGAGCTTTCTGAGCCATTCGAGCACCTGCTGAGCGTCTTCGCCCCGCATATTCGGTGAACATGGGGCACGAAGCGCGCCTTGGTCTGCCACGACATGCGGCGATCCAGGGGAAACGTCTTCGCCCTCATTGGATGTTCTTGACGCAGGCGGTGGCGCGTGGGCTTCGGTCGACAGCGGCACTGCCTCCGCTACTTTGATGCGCTTGCCTTGATGCATCTCTGAATCAGGCGGTTCACCGAAGCGCGTCCAGCATTGCTCCCAGAGTATCTTCATGTATGGGTCGTCTGCGAAAGCTTCGCCCATGCGATCGTGGAGACAGGATTGACAAGCTGCACATCGACCAGCTATCCAGCGCGGCATCGTCAGCGGCAGCGGTAAAGGTGCCGGTGAAAGTGCCCGCAAACGGCCCTGTCGAGGCATGCCCAGGTCATTGCGGGTCAACGCAGTCCTCGAATGGATATCGGAGAGGATCGTCGTATCATCGCCCGAGGTCTCGTTCGCGGAACCTGACCGCTTCAGCAGTGTGTCGACGGTATCGTGATAAGCTGGGTTCTCGGCAACTGGCACCCCAGCCGGTTGCTCGAGTACGAACGCTGCATTCGCTACCGCGTGCTGCGGTCTATGTGTACTAGACTGCGAGGTTCTGAGCACGTTTTCGTCGGTCCACGCACCTAACTGGCCCGACTGCAGCGGTTTTGTAGGTTTGTCTGTGCACAGTTCCCCAGGTGTCCTGCGCTGCACTTTAACGCCCGTCTGCAGCACCGCGTCCACTCGATCTAATATATAATCTTTCAGCAGAAAGTGCACTTTATCTTGACGGAAGCACTGTGGATACCGCAGTAAAATCAGAAAAGCGTGCCTTTGGACACGAGCAGGTAAAGCGCTCAGACGCACTCGTTGTGCTGTGTCTGAAGGGACTGCTGCGAGCCAACGGAACAGCGCTTCAGCGGCTGCTGGGTTCGTCTGCAGTGTTCTGTCTACGAGAGGCCAAAGAAGCCAAGGCCCCTGGAGTAGCCGGTGCCAGTCGGGGCCGTGCTTTTGCTGCATCAGCTGCGGCTATCAGCCGCAAGAGGCTGGTGCGTCTGTCTGAAGCGCTTTGTCTGCGAGGCGACAAAGCAGCAACCGCTTCTGGAGTAGCCGGTGCTAGTCCGAGTCAGGTGCTCTAAGTATGCGCCACGGATACTGACTGCTAGGTACTGTCGAGTCGAAGACAGGTCACATTCGGGGTTCCAGATGCCTTATGGACCATAACGCGTCAGTCTGCACAGCTCTGAATGACGGTATCGTGTTTCTCAAAACCAAGGAGCAAATGCAGCGATCCACAAAGATGCGGCATTGGTAGACTCATGGAAGTGCTCGCGCACAAGCAGCTGAGACGAGTGCCTCCAAGTCCCGAAGACATTTTATTCGAATCCCCTGGTTCCAAAAACAACCTACGTTGCCCTGGGCGCTGGGTCTTTTGTCCGGAGGTATTGGTGTCTAAATCGGCTCGGTCTGTCTGGGAACTTGCAAGAACGTAGTGGACGGAGCTGTCCAGACAATGCTTATGATCCCGAATTTTTTGGGATCCAGTCTCTCGTGGTACATTGCGCATTCATGAGTATCGACATATAGTCTGTGGAGTGTGGAAACTGGCGTCTGCAATGGAAGGCTGGTCGTTTTTCTGGGCACTGATAACCATCCCACACATGAGCATCCTTGTAGATTCATCTCGAGCCTTTATCATGAACAACTACGAGGTCGGCTTTTAGAGAGCGGAAGACGTCTTGCCGTACGGCTCGCTTCGCATCATTCGGTGTCGTTACACTGCCTGTGGAATACCCAGAGCAGTGATTTCGGGAATGCCCGCACCAGCATACCATTCATTTCTGTAATTTTCTTGGTGAAGATATTGAACGGTAGGAAATTGTCCTGTGGATTGGAGGGAGGGGCGGCGAGACCCTACGTTGTCAGTGCTCGCCTGCGAAAAAAACGAGCTACCTTCCACGAGTCAGTTATTCTGCTGTTAGCAGTTGAATGGACCACCTACTTCCTAGTTCCTACAACGAACGTCGTGTACTCGAAAAGCGACTTAACTAACCGGATCTAAGCATTTGCATACTAGTGAAACCAATGCCATTCAACACGTCTTGCCGAAAATATGACTAAAGAAGCCACAGGACACCGCGTCTCGGTACCGTTCGTGCGAATATTGATAAGAGGACACAAGTGGAAAAAACGGAAAATGCACGTTTCCGTCAGAGACCGTTGCGCAAGGAAACACACATGATCGAAGAGGCTCTGAAATGCGAACGTTCAAGACAGGAAAGACGAATGGAGTCCCATTACATAAGATTTTCTTCGAAGGCAATGATGGACCTGTAGATGGATACTCATAGAGGGACAGATTGCTGTTCGTAAAGAGGCGACTAGCGAGAATGCTCACGAAATCAACTGTGGCAGCGTTTGAATCCCGTTGTCTCCAATAAATTGCTGAACGCACAAGATCGTTCAAAACCTCATTTGCCGTCGAAGAATGCTTCGACGGCTTCTCCTTTCCGAATTTTTCCGTCCTGTTGGTAAGCAAAATAGGTTTGTGTCAGTCAAATGCTATCGTGGGGTACCCAATTGTGATTTGCGTTGGGCTGCGCTTTGCACCAGGCCATTCGCCCGGATTCAGTCGAGTCGAAGTCGTCGTCTCGGATACAAAACATCACTTCCATGCTGATTTATCAATAGATGAGTCGTTCGCATCCCTGAAATCAAAATATGCGGGACGCCATGAAAGATCGCATAACCTTTTAGTCGAGGGCGTCTCGCCAGCCTTCGCCAGCCCTGACGCACCTCGTCAAGAAACCATTCGTAATGGTTCCCGACGCAAGGCGGCCATTTTCCCACATTCCTCAGAGTATGGTCGATGAAATCCCTCGTACGACAAGAGCATAGATATTCGGGGCCATTTTCCCACATTCCCCAGAGTATGGTCGATGAAATCCCTCGTACGACAAGAGCATAGACATTCGGGGCCATTTTCCCACATTCCTCAGAGTATGGCCGATGATACCCCTCGTATGACAAGAGCATAGATATTCGGGGCCATTTTCCCACATTCCTCAGAGTATGGTCGATGAAATCCCTCGTACGACAAGAGCATAGATATTCGGGGCCATTTTCCCACATTCCTCAGAGTATGGCCGATGATACCCCTCGTATGACAAGAGCATAGATATTCGGGGCCATTTTCCCACATTCCTCAGAGTATGGTCGATGAAATCCCTCGTACGACAAGAGCATAGATATTCGGGGCCATTTTCCCACATTCCTCAGAGTATGGTCGATGAAATCCCTCGTACGACAAGAGCATAGATATTCGGGGCCATTTTCCCACATTCCTCAGAGTATGGTCGATGAAATCCCTCGTACGACAAGAGCATAGATATTCGGGACAGATGCTGCACTACGACCTGATCGAAGCGTCAGAGATTTGCATACACGAATCCTAGCAGACCTTGGCGCGTCGTCGCACCGTCTCGTCAGTCGGAACACCTGCAACGAAGGAGCTAAAATGAACCGAAAACTATCTTCAAAAACCCAAAACCATATGCGGGCCAATCTCGAGCGCTTCTTGAGTCGCGCTGTAGGGGCGTTGTATCCGTTGTACGGTCTCCGTACCGTCCCCGAAAAGTGGGAAATGACACAAATGATGTTTGGGGCGACGACGGAGGCAACTGACGAGCTACTGGCAGGACAGATCGATATGATAGCGAGTTCGGAGATGATATCGTAAAGAGAGCATTTGTCCAAACTCGTAGTGTTGTACTGGGCCTCGGAGCCGAGAAACTCGTAGCTCAAGGGTCTTTGGAACGTCAGCCGTGCTTTCATGGCACCGTCCGCGAATACGTGATGGTGCATAGAGCCTTCTAGAGCAAAGCGGATTGCGTCTTCGAATCCAGCCGCCCGAGTGCTCATAGGCGTCTATTCGATGTGATGCCCATACGTTACATCAAGGTCCATTCTACTTTCATAGGTATGCTGTGGTAGACTGTATGGCCTTCTCGGGGCGTCAGGGCTGGCCCGTACAAGCAAGCAAGACGCTCTCGAACAAGTTCGCGAAGAGCATTGGCGGCGCACGTTCAAGGTTCCTCTGTTTCCTGGAGGTAATGGAAAGCGGCTTACACGGATCATGGATACAGACGAGCTATCAGTCTGCTTGCTCGTTTTGAAACCTAGGCCTGCGTCGACCAAAGAGACTCGTTGTAAACGGTTGAATGTAGACGAAGAGAAAACTCTTGTGGTGAGCCTCTATCCCGCAGTCGGGAACATGATTGCTGCCGACGTGCAGAGATATCAAGGGTACAGAGCCAAAAGACCTGAATGGAAAACAGATGAAGCTTCCCAACTTCTCCAGGGCACGGGATCGTCGAGCGCCGAGTCTAATAGCCGCCAGTGGGCATCACATCGAACGGAATGAGGTCGTCAGGCCGACCCCCTGTCGAAGCTCTGCGAACCGTATCGAGTAGAGTAGGGGTGATTTGTGCGCTTCATTGAGCGCGCATATGAGCGTCCAAACCGCTCATGCAGACGGTCTGCGGCAAGTGGGCATGAGACCAGGCTGAGGTCGCCGGTGGTCTAGGTTGTGCGGGGGCAAGAATCGTGCATTCGCCGACTTGTTCAGAGAGCTGGACAAGAAACCGCCCTGTAAGGAGTGAGGCTTCATGCCCTTCTCCCTTGCTGGTCGTGTTGCAGAGCGCAAAAGCTGCACCACGATTCCGTTGAAGAGAGCTTATAACTCGTGCAGGAATCGATTCTGTACGATTCTCATCGATACGTTCAGGACGGCATATACGCAGCAGGAGAACGTCTGCACGCTCGAACTGGCATACAAAAAGAGAGCGAAAGCGTGCATGACACGCGACATGGAGTATAGCAGGCTGACCGATCGTTCAATAGCGAGGCAATCGCTCGTGAGACGCCTGCTCTGTTGCGCTTCCACCAGCCACAGTGCACCCGAGCGCTTCCTGCATCGAGATTCGATCACCTGAATCATTATCCGGAAGTATCTGGGGCCTCCGCAACTTCCAGCGTGTTTGTGTCGATCGAGCTTTCGACGTTATCGTTTCGTACCCAGTATAGGCTTTCTGCTGGAACGCTGAAGACTTGGTTTGAAATAAAAAAGATCCTTGGCCATGCGGAAAGCAACTCGTTTCCAGCCTGGACCAACGCTCCAGCACGGTACTGGTTCAGCAGTCTATGAGGCCTGGAGCACCGTATGTATACACCTGGGACAGGTTACCTGGGCAATACGTGAATGATCATAGTATTCCTTTCTCGATTTGCTCCAAATGTCCCAGGCAGCACAGACAAACTTTAGGTACGCAACGTGCGATCGAAAAGTCACAATGCACCTGCATCCGTACAGGGATCCATTCAAGCGTTGGCACCAGCTGGGCACTGCAGTGCCCCAGTTCATGTCGAGTAGTATTTTCCAACGCGAGCGGGCACGTCACCGAACGCTCGCCTATGCCACCTGGTCGGATATGCATTTGAACGCCGTCGTGTGCATCAGGCACGCTCCTCGCCCTGCATATCCTACTTTGCCACCTGGTCGGATATGCATTTGAACGCCGTCGTGTGCATCAGGCACGCTCCTCGCCCTGCATATCCTACTTTGCCACCTGGTCGGATATGCATTTGAACGCCGTCGTGTGCATCAGGCACGCTCCTCGCCCTGCATATCCTACTTTGCCACCTGGTCGGATATGCATTTGAACGCCGTCGTGTGCATCAGGCACGCTCCTGTCCCTGCATATCCAACCGGTTCGGTACAGGCACCTAACGCGACGCAGGTAGCATGTCCGAAAAAAACAAGCGACGCCTGACGTTGCGTTCATCGCAGGGATGCATCGGGGTGCGTCGTGCAGGCGCTTGCCCGCACACCTCTATCACTGCCGCCGAAGCATCCTTCCTGCTTCGTTCACCCACCGTTTACAGAGCCTCGGTGCTTTTTCCTACACCATCTGCTGGTACGGGCGGCCAGTGCATATCTGGCAAATCACCGCGAACGTAATCCTTCAGCACAAGTCGAGCTGCTCGATGACGATCCGTTTGTGCATGGCTGGTTCGAAAGCCGCGCGCCAAGGCCAAAGTATCCAGAAACGTAGCCGCATCGCAGTGCACCTTCTCGGGAGCAGTTCTGTTGAACTTCGGCGGCAACGTCAAGCTGTAGTGGGACGCAAGCTTCGATGCCGGCAACCGGGAGCAGATGAACTGTACAGCGTCCAGTAGGTCACCAGCATGATCGATAGGGATCACTCCCGCACAGATCAATTCTGCTCGACTGTGGGCCCACTGTGGAAACACAAGTCCGGGCGCATCACACAGCATGAGGTCTTCGTCTAGCGTTAGCGTTTGGAAATGTTTCGTTTTGCCGGGGTTCGGCCCGACTGCTGCTTGCGTCTTTCCCAGCAAACAATTCAACGTCGATGATTTGCCTACATTGGGATACCCAACGAAACCGACTGTACGACGATGTTGCGGCGATGTACGTGGTCCGCTACTTGTTTGTGACGGTTCAATGGTTGAAAGCAGCCTTCGCACAAGATTCATGAGTTGTGTTCGCGAGCACAAATTGCTCGCTTGTACATCGTTTTCGTGGTTCGCATTGGGCGAGCGCTTCTGCGGATCACCGGAAACTGAGCTATGCCGTGTCCGCTGGGCGTCTGGCGCCTCGCGGGGCTCGCTCCATGTCTCTGCTTCATGCGTCTGGTGAAGCGGGCTTCCTTGTATCGAGTAGGCGCTACCGTTTGCCCCAGCGGGCGCACCGTTCAGCAGCAGACTGTTCCGAATAATTTCCGTGATCCCGGATGCAGCGTGGTCGTCAGCGCAGATGCCGGACTCCGAACGAGACTCGTCGCCTTCAGCAGGCTCGAGAGTGCTTTTCTCGCCCTCTGGATAGAGGGCGGAAAAGAACCAGGCAGTCTGGTTTCGCTCAGCGAAGTAATCTTTCCAGGCTCGTCGTGCTGCCGGCGTCAACAGATCCGCCTTGTTCAATAAAAGTATACATTTCTTTTCTGGATGTCGCTTTTGCAGGTAACGTTCCAGATGTGGGCTGTAGAAGAGCAACGGATGACGAGCATCAAGAACTTGTATGACGAGTTCACTGCGTTCGAGAACTCGCCATAACTGGCGCCAAATTTGGAGGTTCTTCTCATATGGCGTGAAGAAGCGAGATAAGAGAGAACCCCGCTGCCTTTCCTGGGCAAGTTGCTGTTCAAGAGCGTCCATGCTAGCGCGCCAACGATGAAAGGCTTGTCGCTCGGATGCAGCCAGTTGCTCCGCGGTCATCCCGCGATTCCATACAGGACGTTCTGGTATAGTTAGCGGAAGCTCTGCACCATGGTCTGGTGCTGACGGCCCATCTAAAGCCGGTACTGCACCGCGCAGAGTCTCAGCGATCGCATCCGTAGAAGAAACGAGACGGGGCTCGCTGACCACGTTCTGCACGGGCAGCGCCGGCTCTGCTGTGAAGTCTCGACCTGCCAGCTCCGCCCGTGCCAGAAGCTCGACCCACTGCACTCGATCGAGAACAGAAGCTGCTGCCTCTGACTCGGGCAGCAGCAGCAAACTCGAGTCTTCCAGCTCGTGTTGCCGCTGCCGGCGGTAGGCTCGACCACTAAGGTTCTTTCGAGGTCGAGTCAGTGCCCTTCCTAGACCATCTTTGGGAACACTTCCACTGACTGCGGCTTTACGGTTCCCAGGCATGCCTTTGTAGGCAGCAACAGCAGCAGCAGCAACAGCAACAGCAACAGCAACAGCTATGGGAATCGAAGCGGTAGTTTCTGGTCTTGCATGGATTCGGAGACGGGGTTGCGGTGCCAAGCGGACCATCCTGGGGGCATCGTTGACGCCCTCGTCGCTGAAGCAGCTCATATTCTGCCTTTTAGCGGTATCGTGGTAATTGTTCTGGCAGATAAAGGTCTTGCTGATGCCACAGGTACGGAAGGCAGAGCCCGGATACGCTCTTTGATGCGCTCAGAAGAAAAGTGCTGGCGTTGAGGCAGGCTAGCAGGTTTTCATCTGACCAGCAGCGCGCAGGGGCGGAACACTAGCACCGGTAACCACCTTGTTGACCGCTTCCTTGACTCGGGCATGTGTCAAGGAGGTGCTTTGTTTTACAGAAGCTCACAGGACTCGAGATCGTGAAGTGTGGCGTTCACCACCTTGTTGCCAGCTTCCTTGACTCGGGGATGTGTCAAGGAGGTGCTTTGTTTTACAGAAGCTCACAGGACTCGAGATCGTGAAGTGTGGCGTTCACCACCTTGTTGCCAGCTTCCTTGACTTTGGCATGTGTCAAGGAGGTGCTTTGTTTTACAGAAGCTCACAGGACTCGAGATCGTGAACTGTGGCGTGTTTGCTTAGGGCCAGGAAAGACAATGTTGCAAGCCTTTCAGCCTCAGGTTTCGAAGCTGTACGCACAAACATTCGTCATGATGCCGCATACGTACGCGACAGGGCCCTGTACAATGAACAAAATCTGAAGCTCGCGATCCCTTGGTGTCTATTACGGGAAAACATTCATACCAATCGCTGTGCATTGGGCGCAACACTGCGGAACGCTCCCGCGGCTCCAAGCGTCCTCGTAAAGTCAGACGAAAACTCGGTATTCCCCGACGGAGCTGTTCAATGCAGGCGTGACTGCTTTTAGCATTTCAGCTCCAAAGTGCGTCTACAGCGGAGATACTTTCGCGCTATCCACGCGTACGGTCGCGGGCACCCTCAATTTTTCAACTCTGAGTGCTGTAGAACGAGGCAAAGCTCCGGCTTCTGCTTCACGAAAAATACCAACCCCTTCGAAAATGCTCCAAACCTGCGCACCAGTTTGGGTACTGAAGGTTCCCTGTTTGAGATAACTGCGAAAAGAGGCTCCGATTCACCTCGGAGCGGCTCCTGATCAGAAAAGCTTTCCAGATTTACAGCGCGTTCAGACTCGGCCGCAATCGAAGGCATGCTGCCGTGCAATCTTCGCTGCGTATCTGGCAACCGCTAACCTGCGCTCCAACAATAAAAGCACTCGCATGCGTTTACGCTTCGTAGCTGCGATGGAGGAGCAGTTCCCCTGTGTCGCCGACTTCGGGTGGGAGCACTTTTCCTGGGTTCATGATCCCCGCCGGATCGATTGTCGCTTTAATCCGTCGCATCAAGTCGACGGCCTCGAGTCCCAGCTCAGGCACGAGGTACTGCCGCTTCCCCTCACCGATACCGTGTTCCCCGGTACAGGTACCGCCAGCAGCGATTGCCCGCTGGACGAGACGATCGTTGACTTGCTGAGCGCGTTCCAGTTCGACAGGGTCTTTGGGGTCCACCAACATCAGTAGGTGGAAGTTCCCGTCAGCGGCATGAGCAACTAGCGGGGCGACCAGCGGCACTAGCGATCCGTGTCGCTCCGTATACGCACGGTTGGTCTGCTCGATATCCTGTTGGGTTTCGCGAAGTACGTCGGCCAGTTTTGAGAGCGGCACTGCCACATCTGTTGTCCATATTTCCGCACCAGGTCGCAGTTCGTAAGCGGACCAGTAGGCGACTTTGCGCGAGCGCCAGAGGCGCTCGCGCTCTTCCAACAGCCGACGCTCTGCGGCATCCATGTCATCGGCAGTGAGTTGTTTTCCGGGCTGCTGCGCTGGCCATGCTCCTGGTGCAGGGTCAAAAGTGGCGATGTCTTCGACGCTGGCGGCACGGCTGGCTGCGATTTCCTGACGGTCGTCGGGCGATTCCGGGACGAGCCACGTCGGAGCTTGTGTTTGACCACCAACCTCGCTGGTGCTTCGATTCCGGGGCACCGCGTCCGCGACTCTCCCGCGCTGCTCGGGCATCTGAACGGATGCTGTTGCGAAGGCATCGGCAGCCACGTGATTCGCTGTCGCTGGAGGCGGGACCTCGGGATGCTCGGCGGAGCCAGGATGCGTCTCAACCCGAGCGTCCCCTGCACCGTCCAGATTCGCTCTCAGTGCTGCATTCGTATGCAGGGCATCCACATGCGTCGTTTGTGGCTTGTCTGCTTCGGCAGGCCGCGAGAGCGACTCTAGGCAATGCGGGGCGGCTGCCATGCGCCACTCGTGAACATGGTGTCGCTCGGCGCACATCTTCACTCGGTGTGCTTGCTCTCGAATGACCTGCATGGATTCTCCGACCAGTTCGAAGAGCAGCAGATGTCGTGATTCATCCAGCTCGAGTTCCTGATTCGTCGACAGGTTCACCGCTTGGACCGCTAGTCGATCCATGAGTTCGCAGCGACCAATCGAAACGGCCAGCGGTGGCCCGAGCACGTCCTGGACAGTAGCTGCAGCATCCTCGAGGCGCTCAAATGTACATTTTGCGACACCTCTATAGGCCGGTAGCGGGCGCAAGCGCAAGGTCGCCTTGGTAGCAATACCGAGCGTGCCCTCGGAGCCGACAAATAGGCGCGTGAGGTCGTACCCCGCGGAGCTCTTCCTGGCTCGCGAGCGCGTCTGTTGGACGATCTCGCCTGTTGGTAAGACAACCTCGAGACTCAGGACATTCTCACGCATGGTCCCGTAGCGAGCCGCATTTGTTCCGGAGCACGAGGTGCCAATCATGCCACCAATGCACGCGCCGGGTCCAGGGTCAGGGGCAAAAAACAAGCCATACGGACGAAGATGCTCGTTGAGCGCCTCCCAGGGCACCCCTGGTTCCACGTCGCAATCCATATCGGTAGGCCGCACTGCGAGAATGCGGTTCATCTGCGAGCAGTCGACGGTGATACCACCAAACCGAGGCACAATGTGGCCTTCGAGGGAGGTGGCGCCCGCATATGGGACCACAGGGATGCGAAACTCCGTTGCAGAGCGGAGCACCGCAGCTACCTCCTCGGCAGACCGCGGGTAGATGACAACGTCCGGCAGGTGCGGTTCGTGAAAAGACACATCGCGAGCGTGGCTCTCCAAGTGACTCGAGTCGAGCGATATGTCGAGTTGCGGTTGCGCTTCTCGTATGCGGGCGACTGCCTTCTGCAGCCGCTCCGCATACGGGAGTTCGTGCTGCGGTTTCGCTGCACTCTGTGAGGCTTTGGGGGGCTGGTTTCCTGCGGGGTGCGGTGCCGGCCGTGTTATGAGCTTCTGAGCTCGCACGGGCTCGTTTGTGTAAAATGCATAGGTGACGAGTGCCGCGCTTCCGACGGTACTAGTTACCAAGAGCGAGCGCTGTTTCCAAGCAACACGCACCAGTTTCCGCACTGTGCTTGCACAGGCTGAAAACATGTCTTTAAGCAAGCCTGCGCCTCTGAGTTTTATGCAGAACTTGTGGCTACCCGCACACAAGGCCGTCACTTGCTGAAGTGCAGGGCGGCTTGGGCTTCCCGGCCTCCACAGCGTGCTCCGCCTCCTGGAAGCGTTGTTTCGTGCAGCCGACACCTGTTGTACACTGGGGCGGCGGCGATACTTGTTCAGGTTTTACTGGAGATACGCACGGCGTTCTCGTCTTGGACGCAAGCTAGTTCGGAAGTTGAACGCTGAAACGTAGCTCCAGTAGGTCACTTAGAGATGCATCAAATCGTATCCACAGCTCATACGAAGGAACCAACCTTGTACACGGTAGCTTTTCAGGCATGCTCGTACATTGACTGCAATAGTTCGCTGCACAGGTCACGCACAGCCAATTGACCGCTTCAGAGGGACTGTTTCTCATTTCGTAGAAGGACGACCGAATGCATCAGTCTTTTGTTTTTCAAAAGGCTTCTATGGCTGCATGGCTGCAATGGAACCAGCCTGAAGGATAAGCAGTAGAGTCCGGGGACAGCAACGACTTGCGACGCCGTACACCAACCAGTTTGCAGCGTCCGTGGCTTGCTCGGAGCCTCCAACGCTACAGCGGCTCTTTCGTGGTGCTGAGAAGGGCACTGCACGCAGTACTGCATGGTTCAGTTGAGGCTTTTGGCGTCGCTCGTGAGTCCTGGCTTGTTGCAACCGGCAAGTCACAACGCCGTTGCTTTTTTATCATCATGCACGCCAAAGCAGATGCTCAGAGTTCAACATCCAGTGCTGATCTTGGAAGCGAACATGTGCCATCAGCTTCCGAAAGTATTGTTCCGTCCATAGAATGAAGCGATGAACGTGTCTCGCCTCAAAAGTAGTTTCTTCCGAAGCGTTCTGCTGACGTATCTCAGGAGAGCTCCTTGAAATTTCGGACTCCGGTGAGTGGCGAAAACAGGTTGAACAAATACACGGCAGCTGGTAGCGGTTCTCTGCTTAGAGTTCTAGGGATTAGAGACCGCCAGAAGAACGTAGATATGCCTGCCTTGCGTTGAACAATGCTATCATTCACATCCGGGACGCGATCTACATTTGTGTCAGATGGAAATACAGCGCGGAACGGCTCGCTCTGTTCCCGTATTTCGATGTTTTCCGGCCTGGTTTAAATGGATAGCTCGATATTCAGTGTGCGGCAATGAGGGTATATGAATGCATACCTCGTTTGAGGATGCTCGGTCGTCATGTCACCTTCGACGCTTTTCCGCTGGAATTCGATACGTGATCAGAGTCAAGATGATTCGCGACGCTGTCAAACAAGGCCTCGTATGGTAAACGATACCACTATCGAATGCGTGCGCACAGGTATCCGCTCTTCTGCTTTCAGTACATGCGGCAAGCTCGATTCACGCGTTCTCTAGGTTTTGGAGTTTTCTGTTCCAAGGCAACCTGCAGTCGCAGCCAATGGCGCCTTTGAGTTGACGATGGAAATTCTCGACATCGCCCATGGACGACTTGTTCACAAGCTCATGCCGCACGTTCATTGAACTTGTCACTCCGAATAATGGCTGGCGTTCGAGAAACCAATTCGCCTTCCATTGAAGCCATCGATGAAATCTCATTGGACAACAGCTTGATACTTCTCATGGGATATGCTCCCAGGGGTTCCAGTCTATTTTAATAACATGGCAAAGAGTCTTGGGCTCGGACTCTAACCATCGCAGCGACCGCACCGGCGCTACAGGCGCCATTTCTGTCGCTTTCGGCAGGCACTAGGCACACACGATAGGACATATGAAACGACCAGAATATCCGAGAAGAAGTATAGGTCATGTAACTTGGGAGTAGGGGGTTGATAGATACTTTACCCCGCACTGAAAAAAAAAGCCAAAAAGAAAAGAAAAATGCGCAGAGTCGGAGAACGCTGGCCTAAGGAAGCGTCTTGTCCATGAAAAAAAATCAACGATGCCAACGCGCGTGACACAGCGTTGCGTGCGCCGCCTTCTTCTCCGCAGCCGAGGCAGCTGATGCACGCATGCACGGACGCACGCACGCACGCACGCATGCACGCACGCACGCACGCACGCACGCACGCATGTTGGCTCTGATGCGTGCGTGCGACGGTGCATGTACATGCGTGCGTGCGCGTCGACGGCGCTGTTCTTCCAGCACCTGCGCGGCAAAGGTCGTTTCAGGCTGTAACCTAGTTCGGGATCCTGTATCCTGTTCGGGTGGTGTCTTTTCAGGCAGGTGGCTTGGTTTCCGGGAGAGTGTCCGATAGCCGAGCCTTTGAGAACGTACGCAAGGGACGTTGGGTGGCGTTCTGCGGTGGTTACGGGCGATCCGCGTGGAGGCCTCGCCTCACTTGCGGTGTTGGGCGTGCGTCTCGACACTAGAGCGCGCTGCGTTCAGCCTCTTGCGTCTGGTTATCTTAAAGAAAACTGCTGCGAAACCAGATTCTGACCATGGAAAAGTCGAGCTTACAACCTAGCTCCGAACGGCCGGTCGGAGGTGCGCATTGTGACGCGAAGAGACAGGTGGCAGGCAGCGCGGCGACGGGCACTGGCGCCGCTGGCGTTGGAGGCAGTGCGGCACTGGGTACTCCCTCGTCCCAGAGCGGTGTGGGCGCGCGAACCTCGGGGTACGCAGCTATCGTTAGCAGAGGATCAGCTACTGGGGGTGGCGGGGCGGTTGCTTCGCATCCAAGTGGTACGACGCCAGTAGACTCGGGAGCGCCTGGCGGAAACGGGGCCGCCGTTCAGCACAAAATTTCCATAGAACCTGAAGGACCTACGGCAGCGACAGCCGTGGGGCGCTCCACCGCTGGCGTTCCTGCTGGAGGTGGAGGTGCGGCGCAAACCTTTGCCCCTGTGGACGGACGAATGCCAGTCAACCCCGGTACGATGTCGCCGTGGAGCAGCAACATAGCGCTGGCCACGAATTCTACGAATTGGGGTGGAGCAATCCCAGCTGCTGTTGCCGGTGCCGATGCGACTTCGGGTCGTGGAGGCAATGCTGCAGCCTATGGCGGCGGCATGGTGCGGGCGCCGCCACCGAGTACTGTGGGCAGCATTGCTCGTCCGGGGCCAGCTGCGCATCACGGCCGCTCACCGTACGCGGGAGCATCGAGCAGGCCGTCAGCCAGTACGCGCGGCGCGCCCGCTGCAGCGTTCGCAAGAGACGGAACCAGTAGTGCTTACGGACCGAATGTCGTATACGGAGGTGGCAGCGGTAGCGGCGGAATTTCTCACATGGGAGCGATGGGCATGACGAGCTTCAGCGGCGCGACAGCGTACATGAATCCGAATGAAATGGCTGCCTATATGCCCGATATGCAACAGGCTGCCGGCTTTAATATGTACGTTCCGCCCCAGTACTATGGGGGCCTGCGTAATCCCATGATAGGCGGCACAGAATACATCCCTTATGGCATGCCGTTTAACCCGGCAGCGAATGCAGCTGCATTTTACAGGCAGCAATATCAACAGCAGGCCAGGGCGCCCATGAATACCGGTGTTGCGACGAGTAGTGACCGTAGTGTTTCGCCCCTGGCAGGCAACTCGTCGAATACAAATGGTGAAATCGATGTGCAGACCGCTACCGTAGCAGCTCCGCCCTCCGGATCGGTTCGCTCCAATGCACACGCATCAAGCGTGGCTACGCGCGCTGCAGGCTCGACGACTTCGTCGCCCTCTAGCAGTGGCGAGGTAGCACCAGACGCCATGGGTATACTGCCAAATCTGGGTATTACTGGAGAAGGAACTGTATTAATGCGGGCTGGTGGTGAGCGAAATGTCACCGGGTTTCAAGGCTTTGCGAGCAGCGCGGCTCCGATGAACCGTGAAGTAGATCGCCCACTAGTGCCTCCGATCCCGCCAAGGCGAGAGAAAAAGATACTCAAAATTGTTGATCCGGAGACAGGCAAGGAGATCAACTTGGGCTCTGTCCAAGAGGAGCTGGCGACCGCTACGGGGCACGGGCAGCCTGCGAAGGCCCCAGATGCCAAAGCTCCAGCAGCTGAAACGTCTGAGGAAGAGCGCGCTCCACAGGTCCCAGCAAACTCAGCAGCTGAGGAGACTCGAGGCCCCGAGGTGAGCCAGATCGAAGTGGAAGACGGGCTCGCCCGTGGACCAGACGCTGCGAGCTCAGGAATACGGAAACAACCCGTTGAGCACGGCCTTCCAGCGACGCCGTTGCCTGAAAGTGAGTCGCTTGATCGCCCGAATGAAAAGGAATCTCTGGGGGCAACGCGACCGGAGCTTGAGGAATTCAGGTCCGCTGCGGTGCGCGCTCAATTCGATTCGGCAAATTTCGCAGTGCATTCAGAGACGCGCGATCGCTTCGATGTTCGCGTAGAGCATGATTCAGCATCCACTGCAGGTCTTTTGCAGCCCGAGAATACGAGTACGGGCATGGTGTCCGACGCTGGCGATGTCAAAAGCGTAGTAAGTGCTGAATCTGCGAAAGTCGATGTAAGCACTCAGAACGGCTACTTTGAGTCACCGTATCGCGAAGTATCGCCTGCGATAGCGGTGCAAGATACATTGGAGCCATCGTCGACTCGTGTTGCGGAGACAGAGCTTGTTGCCATGACCAAGGCGCTGGCAGATGTACGAATAGAGACGCAAGAGGATCGCACTGAGGCCAGTGAACAGCAAAAAGCGCCGAGCACCGCAGAGCCGTCGGCGATGGATACGGTGCACGCAGAGGCGCGCACTGCGGCAACAGCGCAGCGCGACAAGCCATCGGAACCCACTGAAGAAGCCGACATGGACTCGTCGCCACTTGAGATGACACCACATGAATCCGATCGAGAAGACATCCTCTCAACTGTTGATACAGAGCCAGTTCCAGATGACGCATCTGAATCATCATCGCTTGTGGATGACGAGGAAACGACTCACCCGGGTGTGCTCGTGTTCGGACCCGGCGAACGTCGAATGTACCCGCGAGAATGGCTACTTCGCATGCGGGATATATGTGTTGAGTGCCCGCCCGAGGTTCATCAGTGTGAGATTCGTGCTGGTGCGAGTTTCGAAAGCGTACAACAACGCCGATCTGGCGGTGGCGGTGGTGGTGGTGGTGGTGGCGGTCGCGCGCGTCACGGCACCGGCGGCACTGCATCGAGCCGTGGTGCGCCCGGTGCTGGCAAAGGCGACGGCATGGACTTGGCGAATGCGCGGGCGCGCGCTCCACCGGTTGCATCCACAGGTGGCGAATCAGACCGACGTGGTCATCGTGGCGGCGGTGGACGTGGTAATCGCCGCGGCGCCAACGCTGCCGTCATCGAGGAGGCGTTGGCGCTGCTGCCGCGAGCCGAGAATGCCTGGCGGCCCCGCAAGGTACCCGAATCGGAAGTGGAGCGCAAAGTGCGGACGGTTCGCTCCATTCTGAACAAACTGACATTGGAGAAGTTTGAACCTTTGTATCAACAACTCCTGAGTATCAACATCGACAGCCTTGAGGTTTTACGTGGAGTTGTGAAGGAAATTTTCGAAAAAGCGTTGCTAGAACCAAATTTCGGAGCCATGTATGCGGAGCTTTGCGCACGCCTAGCAGTCGACTTGGAGAAAGTAATCGAGGGGAACGAAGCGTTCATCGAAGACGGGAAGTTGCAGACCTTCAAACGGATTCTTTTGCGATACTGTCAGCGCGAGTTTGAGGGCAACTCATCGCCGGTCATCCCGGAGGGTGCATCACCCGAGGAAGCGCAGGAGATCGCAACCAAAGCCAAACTACGCATGTTGGGCAACATGGTGTTCATCGGGCATCTTTATCGGAACAAGCTTCTTTCCGATAAGGTTATTCATGCGTCGTGTTTCGCAACGCTGCTGAAATTGAGTAACCAGCCTCAACCGGACGAGGATGCCATCGAGTGCATGTGCAAGCTAATGACCACTGTGGGAGAGAAGCTCGACAACAGCAATCCCAAGTCGCGCGAGCTGATGCGCGAGTACTTTGCGAAATTCGTTGAAATGAGCCAGCGGCCGGACTTGCCAGCGCGATTCCGTTTCATGCTTCAGGACCTGATCGACTTGCGAAATAACCGATGGGTCCAGCGGCGATCAGATGGCGGGGCGCGCACCATTCGAGAAATTCACGAGCAGGTGCGTCGCGAACAGCTCCAACAGCAACAGTTGAAGCGCCGACCAAGCGGGTTGCTTTTGAGCGGCCCGTCGGGACGCCGCATACCCGGCAGCGCCGGCAACGGCCCTGGATCCACTTCGCTTGGCGGCGGTGGCGCTTCGGCGCATGCACAGACACCGAGTCCTCGCATGATGACGCCCGTCATGTCGAATGACGCGCGTCGGGAGCGCTCGAGCTCAGCGCTGCAGCCTGGTTGGGAACGCGTTCAACGAGCAGTTCCAGAGACAAAGGAAGCTGCTCGCGCGCTTGATCTGGGCACGGTGCGGCTGCGGCCTCATGGTGGTCGACGGTCGCCAGCGCCGAGTGCCGCATCGACACCATCGCTGGGAACTCCGCGCAACTCGTTTGCAGCATTGCAGGACGAGCAGATGCCGCTCTCTCCGGAGCCAACCAGTGGAACAGACGAGGTCGATTCAGAGCAGCCAGCTGCTGGAATTGCGGAGCGTTCTGAGCGGTCAAGCGCTCATCCTTCTGCGACGCAAGCCGATGAGATGGAGAAGATACCCGAATGGGAACCCAACCGAGTCGAGCGGCGGGCCAAGACCATTTACGACGAATGGATGGCATTGCGCGACGTGAAAGAGGCGCGTCTTGCGCTGGCTGAAGTGCCGCCTCGCTCGAGAGCAGCGCTCGTAGCGAACATCGTCCAGCGTTCGTTAGATCTCTCTGGCGAACAACGCGAGCACCTGCTACGGCTCTTCACCGAGACGGTGCATGCGCGACTCGTTCCCCTGGATGACATCGCCACAGCGGAACCTGTCGCGAATGACACTCGAAGCGGTGCCGATGCATCCGCACGAGTAGCACCAGATCAGCAGACGCCTCTACCCGGAGAGCATTCCAACTCGTCACTGGTGCGACCACTGGAACCCATGCACCTTCGGAGGGCGACGACGCTGATCTTGGCAGATCTAGAGGATTTGGTCATTGATCACCCGCGAGCGCTCTCGTTTTTGGCACACTGGCTTGCCCACTGTCTCGTGCAGACAACGGTTGCTGCCGATACTCAAGAGCAGCGTGCCCAGCCGCAGGGCGCGGGCGTGAGTCTCTGGGGCCGCCCCGTCACCGCCCGTGATGCCGCTGCAGCGCTACGCGAGCTTCTGCTTCCAGTTGTTGACTCGTGGCTGGCAAACGGCTCCGACTTGGCGTTACCGCTGGTTGCACACACTGCCGATGCCCTGCGGACACGCTCACCACTCTTCACCGACGACCAGCTCGCGGCGTTTTTGAGGGCGCTTGCGCTCCCCTGGGCCGCATGGGCTACTGCTGCTACTGGTGCTTCTGGTGCATCAGCGACCGATCAGGATGTATCTCGCCATATTCGCGCGGAGTTTGCTCGCGTCGGACTCGAAACCGTATGGTCCAATGTCGCCTCTGCTGCTGCTGCGGACTGAGGAGCGCTGCGACCTGGGCCAGCACCGGACTCGGCGACAGCGGATGCGGCTGCTCGCCGCCATACCCTATCCTCTAGTTGTCGCATCAGAAAACGTATAAACTGAAATTGGGAACTGGTTTCCGGACGCAGGCCTACCATGAGCACAAGCCGTGGCCGTGGAGGTGCCGCCCGAGCAACCAACTGCCGCACCAGGAGCGTGGCGGTAGCGTCCAGCCGGTTGCCCAGCAGGATGCGTACGGGATCGTCTGCCGCGTCCGTCTCATTCGCCACAAGAACGCTACTTATTCGCCCGGTCTGCGTGATGATAACCAGCCAAGCGTCGGTAAAACACTGCACGAAGAAAGTGGTTTCTGTCGTCTCCCACGCCGTTTTCCACGTCCAGTGCGGCAGATGCAACGAGTCGACGACTGGGACACGGCTTCCTGTCTGTCCAGGAGCTGTGTCTGGGTGGCAAGGCTCACCCTGAACCATCCTCGTGCGCAGTGCTGCTGTAGCGGCGTCTGCAGTCGAGTCAAAGCAGTGCACCGTGTTTCGGGGAAGAGGGCGGTGCACGCGCCCGCTCAGGAATGCGTAGATAGGTTGACGGGATATCTTTAACAAGTGTGTATTGCTCGGGGACGCATACGACTCGAAAGCGCGTGTCGAACACAGACGCTTGATACCCTGGCTATCGTCTGTTCACCCAATTTTAACGCAACCTCGATGTGATGTAGAGCGGGAGACCGAAATCACGACGCAATGTATGGAATAGATCGGAGACGAAATGCATGTAGGATATATTGATTCCTGCATAGTGCAAGGAGGACTGCTTCTCTGATTCAGGTCCGTCGTACCACAGTACTCAGACGGTTGAGAAGCACTGAAAGAAAGTAGATGCGCTCTGCTCCAAATACGGGTATTCTCGATGAATGCTTGCGGTCAACGGAAGAAAACCGACGTGTTCATCATCTGACGGGAAGCAAAAGCGACGATCGTAGCCGCAACAGGCGTCAATGATTCAGAATAGCGTATTCATGGAATCCAGGATACACTGGCAGACAGTCGCAATAGAGTCCTAGGTCACGCACGGCCGTCTTCCACCGAAATCGCAACGATTACAGCATTCCTGTAACGTCGCGATCGGTATGAGGCATAGGGAGGTCAGTTTGTTTTTCCCAGTCGTTGAGACTCGCTTTTGACGAAACGATCCGAATAGACATGAGTGTTTGCGGATAAGGGAGCCCGTTGTATGGACGATCGAACTCGATCAGAACGATGATATCTTCGTCTGGTGCGGCTGCAGCGGATTCACTTGGCGACCTCGGGTTCGCTCGCAGAGGAGACTCGTAGAACAGCACCAAGCACTTGGTCGGATCCTTGAAGATTTCGCCCTGACGTTTGACGACGTTCTTCTATTCGACAACGTGACATTTCACCATTCCCGTTGCGTTCGGGCTCTTGTCGCATCTATGTGAGTAGATTTGCTCCCCATTCCTCCGTGCACTCCGCGGTTGAACCTCATAGAACGAATGTTTTCTATCGTGAAACGTATTGATCATTCCACTGGCTGATTCGCTGAAGCGTTCTGCACTCGGTGACATCGGGGCATGTGTCGCCTTTCTTCGAGATTTCCTTCTTCCCCTGACGATGTCCTTACCTAACGGCATATACAAGTGCGTCCGATTTGAAGACATGAAAACTCTAGTGGAAACGTATCGACATGAAAGTCGGAGATCCTGGTGGGTCTGTATCGCCGGCTGTCGAAAAACAAAGAAAAAAAGCCCTCTTCTCACCAACCATTAAGAGGAGACGACCGAGTTACAAAGACGACGGACAAGAGGGGAGATCGACGACAAAAAAAAATTTTTTTCGGCCTACAGGACGATAACGAGAATCCAGTGCCACAGAGGACACGAGTTCGTTCGGGGAATCCTTGCACTGATGAGTTCCGCCAGCGTCAATTCTTGCATGGAGTTCGTGAATCGAGCCTTCAACGCTGCCATCCATATCAGACGATGTGCGGTGCTGAGGACGACCGCTGATGATATGAGGTGATCTACCTTTCTGGGGCAGCCTTTGATCCTAGAAATGCACAAAGAAATGCTAAAATCAATAGCAGGCTGCCGGGCAAAATAGGCTGGGAAGCGTCTGCGATTGGGTATTCATTTCACTCTCCAGGGACGTAGAGCTTTTTTGTTTTGCCGATCACGTGGGATCCCAACCAAGAACGTCCAATTAGACGAATGGATGCTTTACTGGGCATGCACCGCAAACGCTGCAGGTGCGAACTGTGCAGCGCTGGTCGAAAAACAGCGTCGCACAGCGTAGCAGGGCGGACTCATACAGGTCAACGGTTTTCGTGCATCATCAGCGGTCGACGGAAACTCGGGAAACACACACGCGAATCGCGGTGGCACCGGTAGCAAAGCGCTATACCCGCAACGACAGGCACCTTGACCAGCAAACGATGCATAGGATGCAAAGCAATGCATTTCGAAGTGGGCAGTTGTCCGGACGTTCCCGTACCGCCTCGTTGAACGAAACCAAAAGCGCGGTGCCGGGTATCATCACGAAGCCGCAGCACACGTCCTGATTCGGTGTCTCAGAAAGCAGCGACGATGCGCTTAAACCCTCGACTCAAAGCCTTTCACAAGGTTGCGGGTTGCAAGATCCATAGTGCCGTTTGCATGACTTCACCTCTGTTAAGAGCGTTGCATCCGGCGAGTTGCAACGAACGCCACCAGCGACACGGCACAGCAGACGCTCCGGAAGGGGTGACGCAGCGGCCAAGGTACACCGCTGGAACCATCAGATATTTTCATCACTGAGAACTATCGACGAATCGAAGCTCACGCCCGTGCATCCACGTCCTTGAAAACAATCTCAGTTCAAACGAAGCCGCCTGGAAAAAGCCGCACAGCTGACCTGGGCAGCTGCAGCACCGACACCAGCGCCCGCGTCCTCCCCTCGAAGCTATGTGTAGTGAACGTCGCTGCGGAAGCGCCAAAGAACCATAGTGTCCAGGGTATGCCGTTTCGCGAGCGCAACGAAGAACTGTTGAGAGCAAAAGTGCCTTGCCGCGTAGGCGCTCACTGCGCAGACCCGAAAAGCAGCAGTTTCAACTGAGTATCAGCGACAGCGTCTCGCCGCACCTCTTGGCTGTTTCTCGTGACGGCAAAGTCGGTTGCGTGGAGGGACTGCGTCAGAGAACGCGTCCGTCCTGCAGTTCAGCGCTTTCCTGACTTGAGGGCGGGGTTAAGGACCTGGAATGACAGACGCTGACCTGGCGGCATCGAGTCACCCGCTGTGGCCTCGCTGGAAAGGACTGGTTCGTTTTCTCCGTTCAAGCCGAGGTGCACTGCCCTCAGCGCAACCAGCGGCGAGACTACTCCGAACGTCGCATCGCTTGACCCGGACGCTAACAGACGAAGCGGATGTGCAGTTGGATGTCAGCGGGTCTCGCTTTCTGCTGACGAGGCGCATCCCTGACGTGGAGCCAAACCGTTTTCAGTGGCTCATCTACGTGGGCGACTGCAGCACAAGCCCAGGTACAGTCGATCGTGACCCCGCAGGTCATCTGCTCCGCCTTTGGACGGCTGAACCGCTAGTCCCCGCAAAAAGCTCCGGCAAAAAGCGTCGTTGGCCTTGGCAGCGGCGGGACGATGCTCCAGACTGGCGGTATGTGTTCGCTCTCGATCCTGCGGGGCGGTTTGTCTACGGTCTCGCGGTGTCCGACTGCACCTCATGTCGCGTAGACTGGGCGAGCATCGAAACGCTCAACTCCAACGGAATGAGAGAGGAGGCAGTAGCAGCCTCAGTAAAGAGTCGATGGCTCCGACTGGGCCCGGGCGAAGACCTCCCCGAGTCATCCACCCATGGCGATCGCCTCGTTCACTGGTGTATTCAACCGGCAACGCAGCACGCCAGAGGCAACGGTGAACCTGCTAGCCAGGTGGTGTCCAGTGCTGCGCCAATCGGTTGCAAAGTCGAGGAGGCTGGCATGCCTCGCGAGACTGCTGCATTCCATGTCTATACAGCAGCGGGCTGGCACGCTTGCTGGACGCTGGATCGTGTCTCTGGGACACCGTCGTCACGGCCAGTGCTGGTTGAGAGCCTCGATGCGCGTATCTGCTACGGCTGGCAGCAACAGCAATCCGAGAGCAGGTGTCTCGAGAGCTGGTTGCTTGCCTATCGAGAGCGCGATGCATCGCCGAAAGAGTGGCTGTTATTTTCTGGGTCTCCACTGTGCCAGCGTGCAGTTTGGAGCGATCCCAGCGGTTTTCTGGCGGAGGAGATTGACTTTGCGGTCGTTTTTGCACATGGTGCATTTCTGCTATGTGGCAGTCACACGAGGAAACGAGTCGCGCTCTTTGACCTGCGGCCTGGTGGATCACATCCGCTTCGCTGGACACGTGCATCAATGGAGCAAGAGCAGGAGCAGCAGGTGGCGGCATTGGTGTTATGGGCAGTGCCCTGGGGCTCCGATAGCGTCCTAGTCGCCATCTCGCATGAGAATGGAGATCGAAGCGATCCGAGTGTTGTTGGTCGCCTCGAATGCTGGCGCTGGGACTTGCTCGACCCAGGAACGACCTCTGAGCCTGAACGCTTGTTCGTCATCGACTGGACGAGCCTGGTGCGGGATACGGACGCAGATGTGGGGTCAGCGCCGCCTCCCAGCGAGTATGGATGTGCAGCATCGACGCTCGCTCCGAATGTACAGACTGGTGCAGACTCGAATGCCACCGCGAGCGCCACCACAACGACAGCAGCACTGGAAGCGCAAACACCAGCACGCCGGTATCGCTGGACGTGGCTTGGCTGGCGCGTGCCCAGGAAGCAGGCTTTAAGGCAGCCTGCTGAAGCGTTGGATCCAGCAGCACCAACGCTCGTACAGATGTGTGCGGTGGGGGCTGCACAAGCGCTAGCGCTTCTCGTCGACCAGCATCACGGCTACGTGGTCTACCTCGAGCAGCCAGATCGCGCTAGTGCCCTGGCAGAAGTGCTTCTGGAGCACGACTCAGACACTTGTACCGCGCTGATGCAAGCGATGCACATTCCAGCGCCCATGGAGGCACTTTTGCGTTGGCGATGCTCACCACGCGACGCTGATGCAGCCAGGGCACTCGTCGCTGCACTTCCGACCGAGTGGCGCTGGGCTGCAGCCTACGAGGCTATCCAGAACCGCGCAGCAACGCTGAGTGCAGCACGCGTTCTGCTGCGGGCTGTGAACGCTGCCCAGGTTCCGCGTATGGTAGCAGAGGTTGCAGGTCTTTCCGCAACGCTCGTGAGTGAACGAGCGTTCCTGATCAGTGCGCTCTCCGCGGATGCCTTATCCGCCGAGCATTGTCGCGTTGCCCTTCTGCTGCACCAGCGGGCTGGCTGGGACGTTGTGCTCGAGTACCTCGGCGCGTGCAGTGCAACCGCAGCGCTTCGAGTGCTGCTCCTCGATGAACAGGAGGTGTCGCAGCAGCAGCAGCCGTCCATCTTGGACCGGGTCTGGAAGGCAACACCGCTGACCGCGGATCCACAGCAATGCACTGCACTTATCGAGGCCAAGTTTCAACAGGATCGTGACCCGCTCAAGACCGTAGACTATTTCAGGGAACATGCCGGGCGCCTCGACGACGCCACCGGCTCTCTGCGTTTGGTTCATCGACTCCTCGCCGCAGTCATGACCGTTCTGGACGCTTCACAGGCGAGTCTGGAGCCAGCCTCATCGGTAGCGAGTGCGCGTTCAAGCGCCACCGAGTTCCTACAACAGACGCTACGCCTACGCGAGGCGCTACAGTGGGAGCAGTTGCAGCCACAGGTCGAAAACTTGTCCTTATTGGAATTTGCACGCATGGATGCGCTTCAGGTACTGGAGCGCCTCCTCAAGGCCAGTCTTCAGGCAATGCAGACCGGGCGCGCACTCCAAGAGGCGTCCATGCTCAGGGAGGTGCTCGAAAGCGACCTGGTGATGCATATGCTCGAAGGCGTCCGGGCGCTCGATGCACACCAGTTCTTGGAATCGGCGCTGGAGGCTGCGTTCATGAACGACGCAAGGCCGCTGGATACCAGGTTCGGCGCTGTGCAGATCGAGGGATGGTGCAATGTGCTCTGCGAGCTCCTGGAAGCGTCGCGTTCGTGCAAACTTTGTCGGAAACTTGACTGGCGGGACGCGTATTTCCAGAACTGGTGCTGGTCTTGGCTTGCTCGAGCGCTTCTCATCCGCGTCGCGCTGACCCGGTCGCAGGTTGCACGACTCGCTGCAGCGCTGCGTGCACACGACGAAGCGGAGCCCATGCTGGAGAGCATTGCGCTCAGTGAAATGCTCTCCAGCGATACACCGGATCCTTACGAGCGTCTGCAACTGCGACAATGGCTCTGGCAGGCACGACAGGAGCAGCTGCAGCGGCCTTCTTCGCGACTAGTCGCTGGGGAGTGGCGAAAGCGGTTGATTTCAGGTTACGCTACCGCTGCTGGTATGCAGGCATCGGACTCGCTGGATCGTTTAGAGGCGCTTCTGGAGATACATGGACTGCAGCTGGACTGCAGGGAGCGGCTGAGCGGTCTCCTGGCCGCTTATCGCCGAAATACCGCACTGGTGACGCACCTGGTTGCTTGCATCGAGCAGTGCGGCGCGAGTGAGGTTACGGACGCTGCGAGCCTGCTCTGGCAGGTGGCGCTCTTCTGCTTCAAAGAGGAATCGTATCCGGTGTCGTGTACGGAGCAGCTGCTCCAGTACGGGGCAAAAACGTGGCGAAGCGGATCGCCAGCGCTCCAAGCTCGCATACGGGCGCTCTTACAGACCGCACGAATGGTGCTCGCGCTCCAGGAGCTGGGCTTGCCCACGTTGCATCCACGGCGTCTGGCTTGGGAAGCACGTCCAGCGGCTTGGCTGTGGCACTTTTCCGAGCTCATTCAACGCTCTGAAACACGCGCCGGTGAGCCGGAGCTGCAGCAGGTTGCAGCACTGGGTCACTTGGACACCGCAACGGCATGGTTGCTGGCGCGTCGAACGCCCGACACGCCCTCAGTTTTGGACTCGATGATGTACTATCCACCCGATGCGGTTGCTTGGCTACGCAGCAACTGCCGAGAAGCAGCGCTGCACAGCAGTTTACAACGCGGCTACTCGAATGATGACATGGATGCGTCCCGTTATCGTCTATCGCGTCTGTGGGGTACGCTGGCACGTCGCCTGCTGGACGAGGCCGAGCCGTTTCGACCCCAGGTCCAGCAACTCATTTTTGACCAGCTCACAGCGAAAGGCGCTCTGCCGCTGGACCTCGCCTGGATTCAGCGCTACTACGGAGGCGAGCCCAGCGTCGACCACGCCGTGCAGGTTGCTTGCACCGCGCCCGTTTCAACGATTGCTGCAGAGGCGTGGCGGTATCGCTTGACCGTACCAGCGATCCTGTATAGGTACCCGCTGGAACAGCTGGACCCGACATCCTGGCTCGATACGAGCATCGCGCTCTGGATCCTCCGTCAGCCAGCGGATACCCCGGTGGGGCGCGCACCATTCCTTCCACCCGCTGGGGATGTGCGTCTGCACACCTGCGGCATGTTGCAGCACTGGGCAAGCGAGCCAGCTATGCCAACAGCTGCGCAAGCGCTGGTGCTCAAATTTCAGCGAGCTGCTGAGGCTTTCTGCGAGGCTTTCCGCTGGGTTTCACAGGTGATGCAGCACCCGGCGCTCGAGCAAGATACGGATCTGTGCGAGCGCTATGTCCGTCGCTTCCTTGAGGATGCAAGTTACCGCGAGACGGTCGTCGTAGCAGCACTAGCGCATACGACTGATGAGGGACGGCTTGCCGTCTTGATCCAACCGGAGATTGACGCTGCCGCTCGGCTTGGGGTATCGTCGGCGCAGTGCCGCTTGGAGCATGTTCGGTGGTGTTTCGAACAGGCACAGCGAGCTGGTGCTGCTGCTGGTGCTGCTGGTGCTACTGCTGCTGCTGCTGGTGTCGTCGACGTCGTCGAGGCCACAGCGCCCCGCTCACCGATACGCGGAAGCACGCTGTCGTCGGTGGAGTCACCGGCGCGTTGGCACCAGGAGCACGCCCTTGTGACGTTGCTGGTGCAGCACGATGGACTCGGGCAGGCGCTGCTTGCACTCACGAATGAGCATCTGGAGGCTATGGCACAAAAGGCGCCGCATCCGCTAGTGTATTTGGTGCTGGCGTCCACGGAACGACATCCGCGAGCAGTTGCGCTATCCGAGGCATTGCGTGAGCACGTCGTCGATATGGCGTTGGATTGGGCGTCACTGTGGCTACTGTTTACTGCGAATGCGGATGCATACGGGCCCCTGGCAACCTACCTGTGCGAGCGCTCCGCAACGGACCCGGAAGCTGGCCTACAGCTCTGGCGCCTCGTAGCGATATGTGTATCGACGCCAGCGCCGCTCTTGGCTGCGGCGGTCGAAGGGTTCCTCTCACGCGCCTCATCAGCGGAGCAAGTTTATCGGTGGCTTCTCGAGACCACGCGACACGATGACGATGCCGTTCGACACGAGCTTCTCGGCGTCTGGGCCGCGGCACTCGTACAATGCGGAGGACGATCAGTAGGAACAGCAGCAGCAGAGCGCAGCCGTATTTTCGAATGGATCGACGGATTCCCGCTCGATACCATGCGAGGCGGTGAGGAGCTTCAGTGCGAGTCTCAGTTTCTCGTGTTCTTTGTTCGACGTGTTCTTGAATATATGGAGGCGCTTTGGAACGATCGCGTCCTAGCGAGCGCGCGGGTGTCAGCAATGCTCTGTGAGCGCTACGCTTCTGCATGCTCAGCGGCGTTCCAGGCGAGTCTCGGCAGCGGGGAATTGTCGCCAGCAGTGCTGAACACTCAGGATAGCTCGCTCGGCGCTCGTGCAGAGCGCTCCGCAGACCGGCTGGTTGTGGAGCAGACGTTAGCGTGGCTGCGGACGTTGTCGACAGCGGAGCTGCAGCAGTGGCAACCGCGACTGCATGCCATTTTCGCTATCGCGGACGCTACGGTATCCTTGACGGTTCCCGAAGCGGCCGTTCCAGCACGTGACGAGGCACAGCGCCGTGTCGAGCAGGAGGAGTCCAACGCGGACGCATCACCCGTTTTGACTAGTGATAGCGCGTCGAACGAGTCCACGGAAGATTCCATTGTGGCAGGTATCTTACGTGGTAACATCTGGCAAGCAGGTTCGACGTTATTACAGCGTCGTCGTTGGTCATTGGTATATGGCAACACACCAGAGGCGGCGCTTGTGCTTCTCCAGCGTCACCTGGAGGAGGCGCTCGCGACGTCGTCAAGTGGTGTGGAGGCGTCACGTTTCGCGTCACGCTCTGAAGTGCTGCGTGCGCTGGCTGTCGTATCCGAGTGGCGCACGGCGCTCGGGCTACCGGATACTTGAACAGTATGAGCGCGTTGCCGAAACATAATGATGATGATGATGATGATGATGCGATGATCTCTGATGAACAGCATCTCGATACGAATTGGGTATACCCGATCGCGCACTTGATATCCAGCGATGGTGAACGCGTATCGCGAAGCTAGTTTTCTGATGCATAGCACATCTTGATACGAATTGGGTATACGCGATAGCACACTTGCTATGAACGATGCACACATCCAAAGCATAGCAGCAGCAGCAGCAGCAGCAGCGGTAACCAGGCAGCGGTTACCGGTTTGCACGACCCGTGCGCACCGTAACGCCCCATGACATGTGCGTTCCGCTTTGTGAACCGTATGGCATCGAAGGGGCGCGTGTGTCGTGCACGCACAGAGATACCCGTAATGTTCGCTTGGTGGCCTTTTGTGTGTGAGTGACCGGTACCTGCGCCCGGAAAGGAAACCGCGCAACCGACTTTTACGATACTGGGACTCTTCGACGCATCAACACGAGATCGCGGACACAGCACAGTAGCCTCGAGCGCCTTGTCATGTAAAGCACGCATTCGTTATTCTGGACCTTTTACACCACATGGATTCAGGACTCCTTCCCTAGACAGCTATGCTTAAGAGGCGATTTTCTTGACAAAATTCGCGAATCGCTCTCCCTGGATTTCCGCCAAACGAAGCTCCATCTCGCTTGGTTGCCGCGACCCGTCGGGTCCGGCAAAGGTCGACGCGCCGTACGGCGTGCCCCCGTGAACCTGACTCATATCCATCATGCTGGGATCTGCATAGCCGAGTGGAACGAAAATCATGCCGTGGTGCACAAACCGTGTTAGAGCGGTCAGCGCTGTGGTCTCCTGTCCGCCCTGCATGGTGGACGTCGAGACAAAAATACCCGCGGCCTTGCCTTGGAGCGCACCAGACATCCAGAGCCTGCCCGTTGCATCCCAGAACGCACTCATCTGCGCCGGGGACTGTCCGTACCTTGTCGGGTAACCGAATAAAATTCCGTCATATTCAGCGAGCTTCGCCGGGTCCTGAAGCACTGGAATATCTTCCGGCTTTGGCGGTGCGTTCATCTTCTTCAGGACCTCTTCGGGCAGGGTCTCCGGCACCCGCATCAGGTCACAGTGCACGCCAGCCTTTTTCACACCTTGCACCTCATGACGCGCCAACTGCGTAATGTGGCCGTACATGGAGTAGATAAGCACGAGAACTTTGGGCGCCATTTGCTGTTTTCTGTCGTTTGCCGCTGTCGTCACAGGCTGCGTCGCTGCACTCGTACCGGTTTGCTGCACAGGATTTGACTCGTGCTTTGCACTTGATTTCTTGGGGTGCGTTCCCTCGTCCGTTGATTTAGAAGAGCTGTGAACACTGAATCCACAGAGGTTCCCTATTTTGACAGCGTCAGTCTCGATACAACACCGTTGAGAAATAATCAAAGAGCAAACAAACGTTCGTTGCCCGGTAGCTGAAAAGGTCCAGCGCCAGCGCACAATGTGTTTCTGGACGCATCGCGATGCTGCGTCGATGCGCAGCCGTCATTCCTGCGGTCCATCCGGTTGCGACATTTATGAATAAAAGGGACACACAGCGGTGGTGCTTGTTCCCTGGCATTTGTGCACAGTCACGCTGAGATACCGACGCGCTTTGCAGCAGCATGACAAGGGAATGGAGATCGTGTGCATGACGCAAGCAAGCAGCCAAGCAAGCAGTTAGGTTCGTAGGCATCTGCAAGCATTTCATCATGAAATGGACCGAGTCTTCTAGCTAGGGTGACCATTCGAAACATTCGTTCTATTCCTAGTGTCACCAAGAGAAGCCACTGCGGGATTTTCAAGTGCCTGCTTCTTTCATTCCTCTCTCTCTCGTCTTCGGCTCTAAATACCGCGGTTTCTATTGCTGTTCCAGACCTGTAGTGAACTGCAGAATGAAGTTGATGGCAGCATGAACTTTTCGATGTTGCCGCGTCCGGCTGCTGTCGACGCATGCCATCCACAGGCAGTACGTGCAATCGAAGTATCTTCTTCGTATGGAGCCTGGGCGTACCCGTCGCAGCGGCGACCCGTGACTTTGAGTAGACGTTCTGATATGCCCACGATACCGCTTCCTCTGAACAGCGCCCTGTGGCGCGTCCACGCATGCTTTATTTCTCGGGACGAGCCCGTTCCGAGCTGAAAAGACACCCGTCGAGACTTGCCACCGTTTCCGCACCCGACTTGACGCTATATGATCCAGAGATTCTTTCGGAAGATCCACATGACAAACGCGCTGTCCACTGCAAGCACAGGCGCACGATGTTCTATGCTGTACAGGATTTGCAGAACGCGATGTTGTCCATGGTGAAACGAGCACCGGACGGAATATCCTGCCTGCAGAGCCAATCGAGAAGTTTCGATCCGTCCACGCCTCGTTCGTGCGAACCGGAAGCGCACCCTGCACTTCAAAGGATCGCTGTGTTGATTCACGTCCGAGTCCAAGAACCCATTTCCATGCAAACAGCAGAGACAGGAACCTCTGGAAAGCATATTCTATGAGAGGGATTACGCGGGAATCGAACGCTGTTTCCCTAATACCCACAAAGAGAGCGACTTGTGACCTTTACAATGGAATCGATTACTTCACGTTAGAAGGTTCAGTGGACTTTCGTTCTGAGCTTGTGACCGAGTCCGCAAGGAACGACGTCGCCTATCTTACCTTGTGCATCGAGCAGTGTGCACTACTGGCCCAGCACGTTGCCTTGAGTGCGAAAGAAGGAAAAATTCAAGCATGTGTGAACTGCGCGTGGTACACGTAGGCCAAGAAGCTTTGAGGCTTGAACGTATGCATTAGCTAAAGAAATTGGTCTTTTACGAACTCTTGTTAAGAGGCGTCGTGCGTCACCTCGTTACCGACGACGTCACGAATGCTGGCAGCTAGGTGTCAGAGGAGCTACCCAAAAACACAGCGGAGAAGCCTCAGACCACGTGACAGATCCGTAAGCCCGCATTGCTACACGTCGAATATCGATGCTGTACATCTACAACCAGTTCGGAAAACTCCGTCATGCAATCAAAAGTCGACTAGTTCCATGGTGCATTTTCATGTGACACGGGTATCCACTGGCGGGCACGCTCGTGCTCCCCGAGTTGCAACTAGTGCGGTGCGCTTTTCTGGTGCACGCCGGGGGCGTCGGTTCCCAGGAAACCGCACGCCCGAATCTCGCTCCTTCATACACGTCCGAGTTCTGACCTAAATCTAGTCTTCGCTTGGATGGCGAGTTTATGGATGAAATTAGCTACCCGCCGTCAGAGGATACCTATCTTTTGATCGACGGCTGTCGGAGCTGGTTTCAGGAGCACGGAATCCGAGCAGCACACCCGAGAACGCGACCTGTGCTCGTCCTCGAAGTCGGGTGTGCGGCTGCTTTCGTCTTGGAAGCGCTAGCGACTGATGTTGCTTGGCTGGACGGTCCTCAGGCGTCTTCGCACGCTGAAAACTGCGGGCTCTTGCCACTGCTTCCGTTTTTCATCGGCAGCGACGTCAACCTGGCGGCACTGTACCAGGCCCAGCGGCGACTCGCTGCGACCCTTCCCATTGATCTCGTCTGCGGCAGCCTTATGACTGCATTGCGAGCAGATGTTTTCGATTTGGTGCTTTTTAATTCTCCATACGTGGAGACCAGCGCAGATGAGCTCGCAGAAGCCCAACGGTGTCGGGACCTGCGTGCAGCCTGGGCTGGTGGTTGGCTTGGTCTTCAAGTGGCTGCAGCGCTCATTCGTCAGTTTATGGTAACGCCAACAGCGGCACTGACATCCGAGCATCATGCGTCTGCATGGCTGCTTCTTGTGACGCAAGACCGTACCTGGTGGCATCGAGCGTTTAGCAATCAGTTTGCGTTTTTCGTAAAGCAACGACGTGCCGGGGACGAGCGCTTGCTCGTGCTGGCGTTATCGCGCTCGCAGGCGAGTCTCTGGTACAAGTGGATCTGGCAGGAGTTACGCGCTGTTGACGACAGCGATCGGATGAGTGCGCTAGTTGACATGGAGTAGCGTGTGCATGCGAAGTGCGTCCTCGGGAGCGGCTCGGGCTGGCGGCGCTCCGAGCACGGTGTCGTTTACGTGGTGGAGGATTCGCGAATCACGGACGCGGCCAAGGAAGAGCGTGAAACCTGGGCATGTTGATTGCTGAGGCGTGAAAGCGCTGAGCCCGTGGCGCTTGTCTCGCGCAACACTGCGGGTTTATGGATGCACCGGACGACGCCGGCGACTGGATGACAGCGACGTGTCCGGACCGTGGCGGAACGCGCGCTTACTGCAACGTGCAGACCCTGAGCATTGCATGTGAGGAGACGACCCGCACAGGTCATCGATACCGAGGTGCTGTCTACAATCGCGTTTGAATGGTGGTGTTAGTGCTAGCAGTAGCAGTAGCGGTGGTGGTGATGGTGGTGGTTAAACTCTCGGTGATGACGTGGCGAACGGACATACCGCTTGACAGTTCCTGTGAAGATGCTTGTGAGGCGCGCGGATGCCGCGCATGCCTATACACGCGTTGTATCCAGTTTCCAAAGCGCTATCCACGCTCTCGGATTGAACAATCGAACCAGGGATGTCCTGGATGCGCGCGAGCACCACCAGTGATACTTGAACAGTCCCCGACTCGTCAAGAGATGCTATCACGTTCAGCCTGGATCGATCGATCGATCGCTACTGTCACCTACTGAATGCCGAGCATGCCGCAAGCGCTTGCTCTTGTGCTGGAGATGCTGCCGCTGCTGACCTTCAAATGCAGAATGGCTCTGCCACACCGTTTCGGACGTTCGTTCCGGGATTTTCAGGGCACGCACGAACAACGACCTAGTGCGGCGGGAGCACGGACACGCCACCAGGCACTCCGGTGCCCGCGCTTGCACTGCGTCTAACGTTCGAATGACACGTAGCTGCGCAGCCAGCATACCCTAGACGTGGTGCAGGATCGGCAGCTGCGACTCGCCTCGCACTCTCGTGATGCTTCGTCATGCTGCATGGGGAGGCGGTGCAGGCCTTTCGCGCCAGCGGCGATGCTTTGCTGGTCGGTGCCGGCTACGGGTACCGCTTCGTCGTGCACATGCTTGCACCTGGTGCACCTGGTGCCTCGTTCGACCTGGAGCCAGCGCGTTCTTGCGATGGTGCGCGACCGACAGCAGGTGTACTGTCACACGTGCGCCAGGCCGAGGATCGTGTGCGCTGCTGATCGTGTTGATGGTATCCACGGTGTGCATACATGCATACGTACGTATGTACCTACGTACGTACACTCATGCGTACATGGATGTACGCACAGCTACGGGGCGAGTGCAACAGCTGAACGCAGCGGCGAATCACCAGATCGCTGCCTCGTCTCAGCGAATGGCACATCTCTTTTGGTCGTGAAAAACGGTCCAGGTAAGCGGATCGGGCCGGGGAACTCAGCGAGATCCCATCGCTTGTGGGCTTGCTTCTGCTTCAGAATGTCGGTACATAGCAGCGCTAGCTCGTGCACGCGCTCAGTCATGATCTGGGTTGCGAGGTTCAGATCCTGAGCGATCGGTTCGCCGACAATCATACTAGAACGTCGATGACGGCCATGGGTTTCTCCGTTTCCGCCACCGATCAGCGGCGGCACAGGGGGTGGAATCTCACTCGCCGACACCAAACGAAGAAGCTGCATCAGGATACCAACGTGTTGTTCATGTTCTAGGAGTGTGTCCAGGATAAAACTGAGATACTTGCGATTGTCTGCGAATGCGTTCTGTGCATCAATAAGATAATCAGGATGATGGGCGAGCAGGTGCAGCACATAGGGCAACACACACTCTGGCATCAGGGCGAGATAGGAAACGGCCGCCTCGGTGGCAGTCGCGAGTGCCTGTTGCTCGAGGCTTCGGACTAGCTGGCGTCGTTGGCGAATCAGCGCCGTCAAGTACCAGCGCGCATTGGTGACATTCTCTCGCTCCGGATCGATGGCTGCAAGTACCAGGCCCGCCATCCAGTGCCACGGCAGGAGCCCGCACGCCAGTCCGCGGAAGAGCTTGAGCGCAAAATCGTGACGGATCTCGAAAATCGGATCCTGCATGAGTAGGCAGACCATGTGCCGCTCCGCTGGCAGCAATGCCTGGTCGATGGTGCGTATTCGGGCGAGCTTCAGGATGGACTTGGCCGCGTAGTAGCGCAAACGCGCACACGGTTCGCTATCCAAGACAGCGTCCGATACGGGCACGGGCGCGCTCACGAGTTCATCTGCGGACTTCGAGTGCCTGGTCAGGGCTTTCCAGTCGCCCTGCTGCAGGACCAGCAACAGGACTGCGTGAAGGAAACGATCCACGCGTTCTGGGCTCGCGAGCTGCTGTCCTTGAGCGGTGCTCCATCCTGCGCGCACCTGGAGCGACGAAGCCGCTGGGTCGTGTGCGTCCGCTTCCAGCGAATGCCCGTGCGCATTCGACCGCTGCGCAGACGCGTTTCCAGGCAGTGCGGTAAATCCGCTCATCAGGATGCTGCATGCGGCAATAATACTAGCTACGGTGAGAGGCTCGCCCACATCGGGTGGTCTCTCGGTCAGCAGCTGAAGACAAACGTCAAGAATCTGGATTTGCGTTGGAACTGGTACCGTGTTCGGTGCACAGCGGACGATCTTTGCCATGGTTGTCAGAGCGCAAGCACACTCGTCATAGTTCCCGCTTTTCAGCGCCTCGAAAGAACGAGATTCCAGCTGAGGAACGATTCGCTCCCAGGACGGCGTCAATGCGTCTGATGCCCAGAGTGTTGCAAGAACGCTGGCTGCTAATTTGATGCAGCGTAGACTGCGGAAGCTGCGCTCTTCCGCGACCTGTCCGAGCAGATACGTCTCCAGGCACCGTGCTAGACTGTGCCTGCACTCGATTCCCATGTTCATCAAGCACGGACCAAGTGTGGATAGGACGCGCAGCGCAGCCTGATGCGGCACTGCCGCGACGAGCCTCGTTAGCGTAGCCTCATGGAACGCGCCACCATAACACGATGCCGCCTCGAGTAGCAGCGCACACTCCACGGAAGCGGCGTTAGCGCCCTCGGGCTGGCCCAAAACGATATCCACCAGCATATGAACGTCCGATGGGCGCCCCAAACAAGGCACCATCCGAAGCAAGACGAGCGCCTGGAACCACTCAGCTGCCGCTTTGCTTCGGCGGGTCAAGCGTTCTACGGTATCACGAATCAAGGGCAGCGAATTTGTCGAGTACTCGCTGCCAGGATCGTGGAGCAAAAGACGCAGATTTTGGAATACACGTTCATCCCGCCCTAACATGACATCGAGAAGCAAACGAACGCCGCACACTTGGTCCTCAACATTGCAAACAGTGGCCGGCTTGCCCAGACTACGAGCTAGTCGATCCAATAGACTGGCAGCAGTGTCTGAGAAGCTTCTCTCCGAGAGGCGGCAACGCTGCCGCGCCTCATCACGCATATCCAAGAGTGCACGCATGTCCCGCTGAAACTGCGCGCGTGCACGCATCATGAGGCGCAGTGCATCATTCGCGGGAAACGCAGTCCATCCGTGCACCCCAAAGGAGCGATTGATCCGCTGTGCGTGCGGATCCTGCAGGGCCTCACGCCAGCACGACAGCGCATCAGCGATGCTCATTCGCGGGTCGTAGAACAGGGCTTCGATTTGAACGATCGAGCCTATCATTTCATCCGTGGGCACGTTGCCTGCGCACCCGACCTGCGTTAATTGAATATACGAGGCGAGCAACTCTCGCACAAGCTGTGATATCCACTCGTGTACCTTCGGCGGTATCGAGTCCCGTTCATCGATTGTTTCAGAGGCAGTGTTCTGGACCTGCTCGTGGTGCCATCGTAGAAACGCGCGATAGAGGCGGGAAAGTCCTTGAATCGCAGTATGCCGCACAGCAGCGCGCTTGTCACGAGCTCGGCTGAGACAAGTCGTACTCGCCAGTGGCAGGTGCGCGACAATGCGCAGCGCCAAGCGAGCAGCACGATGCTCGCTGGAGAGTACCGTTCGCACAGCTGCGAGGCGCACCTGCTCGTCTTGGTCAAGCATGCGATCCTGCAGGCCGCGATCCAGTTCGTTGAGCATCTGCTCAACGAGCGGATTCGCCGTTCCGGTGACAACTTTCGATTCTGCGGGGCCGTCCTTCACCGAGAGCGCTCCTTGATCCACATGGCGATGCAGCTGAATGAGGAGATCATGGACTGCGCACACTGTACCAGCCCGCACCCCTGCTTCGACGTCCTGGAACCGTTCCAGCAAGTCAAGGAACAAGGATCTGCTGACTGTATTGGAATCGTTGAAGAGGGTACCGCTTCCGCTGATATTGGAAAAGTGCCGAGCGAAAAGCTTTGCGATGAGCTGCACACAGCGCAATCTGGTCTGGGTGTCGCGCGCCCGTGACTCGGCGGATAGGTCCGGCAGGACACCTTGGAGAACACCCGGTGCGGTGAAGTAGAGCGATTCGATCAGACTGTATCTCTTCTCAGCAGGTAGTTCTCTCAGATACCTCACCAGCGGATCCTTAAGTACCTCTGACGCGCGTTGGACGATCTGCTCGGCAATGTTGCGCGCACTGAACCGCCAGGTATGCACGGATGATGGCTTTTCAGACAGCATCTGGGACTCTGTTGCAGCGAGGAAGACAGACGGCAGCTGAACGTTCAGGGCTGTGAGAACCGGATCGAGTACGCGAGTGATCGTATCGAGCGATCCTGTCCATGGATCCGTCTCTTGCGCTTGTTCAACTAAAGTGGAACTAATAATTTCCGCAATTTGCATTTTGCACCGATAACTTAGCGTAATGTTGCTTGCAGCGCTCATAAGCAGCTCCACGAGAGAGCCCACTTGACATGCATGCGCGAGCACAAAAACCTTAGTTTTCGCAGCGAGCTCGAGAACTCGGAGACTCCAGCGATGCCCCTCTGCAACTTCACCTGTTTGGGACGTAGGCACCGAGCCACTGCTCGCTGAGCAGGGTTCGGGGCCGTCAGCGCCTTCCGTCACCGGTCGGCCGCTTTGGTGAGTGACAGGGATACGCAAGTCCTCGAGTGTTTGGATACAGACTTGAAGCACGTCCTGAAATGTCTCGTCGTCGAACGGGATTTTCGGTGCCGAGATACGCAGGCACTCGAGAAGCACGCACGCAAGGACGCCACGCATAGGTGGTTGAGCACGCTTCAAAGGGTTCAGTGACGCCAGCCGAGCTACTGCCTGGCACCACTGTTGCCAAACTGACCGTTTGAGTAAAGGCTCCCCAACAGGCGTGTGCAGCTGAGGCACTTTACAAAGTACCGTTTCCCAAATATGAGAAAGGCGTGTGCACACTGTGTCTCCATGTTTGACGCGTCCACGATCGCAGTCGCAAGACTTCAGTGCTTCTATAGCTGCGTGTACGATTCCCTCTGTATCTTCTTCGGTGCCCATGCTTATGAGCACGAGACGGCAGTTCGTTTCTCAGCGAAGCGCGCTACTCGACAGTGGGCAGCGACCGCGTCGCGCAAACAACACGCGCGATCCGCCAGGAACTTTCGCGCCAAAATTCTCGGGCGCTTCCCAGACGATCGGGTTCAGTGTTGCCTCGGGCCAGCGATGTTCCTCTATGGGTCGACGCGCGATTTCCTTGGATCGATAACCCCGCAAAATCTCCACCATGCATTAGGCGTCAGAATCGAAGTCCACATCACCGTCGCCTGTAGGATTGCTGCTTTATATTTCAGGAAGGGCGTAGTGCTTTTCATCAGAGCACGATGCTCGTCATCTGAAGCATCATGCGTCGTATCCGCCGCGTATGCAACTCTCTGTGATCGGTGCGCTTGAATCAGACTGTATTTGTATGGGGAAAATATGCCGCCTACAAGCAGCAGTGGAACTGCGTCTCCGGAACGGTCCTATCTAGCTGCATTTGGATTGGGGGAATCACTCACCAGCGAACGACTGCAGATTTCTGCGAAAAGAGCGCTTGCCGATTGCTTCGGGGTGCATACGCTGGGACGCTACCTCAGCGCTGTTGCTAAGAGCAGCTTCCCCGCCGCCTGACCTGACGGAGTGCACGCCCGGCTCCGACTCGAATGCGACAAAAGCGAGCGCGACACCGTGCTTCGAACGCTGATTCGATATGGCGGGGCTCGAGCGTCATTGCGTTCCTCGAGCGTGGACGTATGTACGACTAGGTGCATCTTTTGGATGCAACCGAGCGGCTCTTGAGTCTTCATTTGGGATCAATTGTCATTTCTTGGATGATAAAGGGTTTCGACATGCCAGATTGCATAAGGATTTTCCATCGAGACTCCGTGTGCTCCATGCAATATTCAATACCTGGATCCCATGAGGTGCTTCGACCCGAGCGATCTCGTTTGAGTGCATATGCTCGGTGATAGTGTATATTTAGTTATAAAAAATAATGGAATACCGTTCTCGTTCATGAATGTTCCATGAAAAGCGTGTTCGGTATACATTTATGCGGCGCTCCAGTATCGCTCGATCACTGATTGCACCACCTGACTGCCGTGGTACATGCGGGAATCCAGTGCCCCATTTCCTGTCCCCTAGTTTTTTCATAGAACTTTTTCAACATTTCATCCGAATTTCTACACGGGGAACTAGATGATTCCGTCGAAATTTCGCTCGACACAAACGCTCTGAAAGCTCCTGAGGCACGTGCCATCCATTCATGTTGACGATTGAGAATCCAGTCCCGCTGCAGGAACTGCTTTCGCGCATGGCTGCTGATAGCGTCACACCATAACATGCCACTTGCCCTGGTCTCCATCACCACCTGACGTTCAGTCAGCTTACCCTACACCATCTCGTGCTTCCATCTCCGTTTCACGCTCTTCTTATCTACCGTTTTCAGTGTCCACTCGCGCTCGTGATGCGTTGACATGGTCCTCAGTTCATCAACGAGAACCGATCAGCATCGTTTCCTGCACTCGGTGTTCGCTCTCGTCGACGGAGCAGGAGCGAGTCCCTTGCGTGCTGCACCAGGTCCAGCGCCATAGGCCACGAGCGATCGACGGTGCTTAACGGTCATTTCCTTTTCCAATTCATGGAAGAACGCGGCAAGTGCTCGATTCTTGACTCCGCGCAACCGAAACCGTTAACGACTCCAGCATGGACTCATGCACTCCAACCAAGGATCGTCCAGATGATCCATTTGGACGATGATTGGCTCTCGGAGATGGGCGTACGAGGCTTCTCCGTCTGCTCAGTAGGGCGCTCAGAGCATCGAGTTGTGTTTTGACGCAGCCATTCCGTCGGCTGGTTTGCCTCCTGACCCCCATAATGCCAGACTCCCGGTCCCGCCGAGCCCTGAAACTTTGAGCGGCTTCATCTGGTTTCTGTTCAGGCATTTGTGCTCTCGTTCTAGAGTTGCAGCGACGTCCACGACGCTCTTCAACAGGGGATCCGCATTCGCCATGCAGCCTTTATCTTCATCTACTTTGAACGCTCCGAATTGAGCCTCTTCGCTCGACCCAGGTCTATGTTTCGTACTCTTCATCCAGATTGTTATTCTTGGGGTCTCTATCACCCCTGTAAACTTCTTTCCATTTCCTCGCAGTCAACGGAAGATCTTGAACGACCTTCGCAGACGCTCGTCCCGATGCATTTTGCACGCTTTCTGGTTTTTCGCAGAGGCCAGCCTCGTTTTTAACTTGTCGTTCACCCAGCGGATGACATAGTTTGAGACGCGATTCTCCAATTTTTTTTCAATCCTCGGGGTTCGTACGCACTGGGACGACGCTCGGAGAGAAACTCGCCTCGGCAATGCACGTATCCATTACTCGTCCATTACCTTTTTGTCGCCTTCTCAGGCGCGGGCACGCCAGCTGAACGGAGCGCGCTTTCGACGTCCTCACGGGCACGAGTAGAGAAGCAATACAGCATTTCAGGATTGGCGAAGGTAGAGAACTGTGCGTAGAAGAAGGGCACGGCGGATGCGAACGACTCCTTTATGAAGCCGGTAATGCGAAGACAACCTTTGGCAACTGTCGAGACGCTTTCGACGCACTTGATCGGTGGAAACTAAGCTCGTACGAAATGCAGCGCAACACGATTCTCATGCGCGAGTTGCCCCACGGAGTTTGAACGATAGAAAGCCAAGTTGTTTGCAAGCAGGACAGAGGAACCTGGAAAAGGGTATACAGGAAGAGGGCTGCGACGAAGTACGGGGTGATGAACGATGTTCTCCATTTGGCGGTGTATGGGCGACCAAACTTGTGAATCATCAACGAGGCTGTTGTTTTAGGAAAGCTCGGTTGCTCTTTCTATACCTATCAGGCTTCTATGCATAGCATGCAGGTCTTCAACTCGTGGTTTCTAGCCAATCTGCGCCTCTGGACAAGCGCAAAACGTCGTCGATCCCCAGGCCCCGGACTGGAGCACGCGCGAACAAAGGCGCGCGTCGCTCCGCGGAACGCTCGTGAACGATGCGCGCTGGCTCGAAGGCACCAGAACAGTGCTCCCGTGGACGTTTTGACTGTGCAGTGGTCCTAGCATGAGTGCCATCGAAGGTGCTTCCAAGGGCGCTATCCCCGTCGAGGGAGAGCGTGCTGTAGAGTCGGGGTCTCAGTATCCGAAGAAGCGATTCGAAGTGAAACAGTGGAACGCTGTGGCGGCGTGGAGTTGGGACCTACGCGTGGATAACTGCGCCATCTGTCGCAATCATATCATGGACCTTTGTTTGGAGTGCCAGGCTGATCCCCAGAACGCACGCGCGAGTGAATGTGTTGTGACCTGGGGTATCTGTAACCACGCTTTCCACAGTCATTGTATCAACAAGTGGCTAGAGACGCGGAACGTGTGCCCGCTGGACAACCGACCTTGGCATAAACTGAAAGAAGGTCGGTAGTTGGCGCTGGTTCTGGGCTTTTCTTCCTCCTCGGAGGTTCCAGAGCGGCAGACGAGCTGTATGGCAGCTAACTCGGTTCAGGTTCAGGGGCGGCGCGCGCCCTTGAACCGCTGACTAGCAACAAACGGACAAGGCAGCCGAGGCTGTTTCTTTGACTGGCTGCTGGAAAAGCAGCAAACATGCCAACTAAAGTGCGAAGCGTTTGTTATGAAAGCGTCTTATCATCACAGTCTGTTATCTCTTGGCGTACATGGTACCCACCGGGGAGCGAGGCGCATGCAGCGAGCATCGCATGCGCCTGACCGCTTTTCGACAGCAATGTTTTCCGCGTCCATAGAAGCATTGCTCGGGGTTGTGCATGTTATGTTGCAGTACTGCGGCCGAGTACCCGCCAGCACACCATATTTGCGTCTTGGTCACGTTCAAGACCTGCAGGTATTCGGCTTAGATGAGAATGGCAGCCGTTCCGGTACCATCGGAACGAACGCAGGCATCGCATCGAGGAACACCGCGAAACGACCTTTTCTGATGCAGTCAGCTGCGCTCATCTATCAGACCAGGGTGGGGTGACTCTCAAGGCGTCCAGGCTCTTGCATTTGGAACATAGACCTTTTTCCTGATTGCACGGGATCAAGCGGTTTGGTCATCCCCGAATCAGTAAAAATCGTTTACATGCACGCTTTTTCAAGTCCGGTGGTACCCTGTTTCCGAAGCCGAGAAGTTCAAGCCTCCGATCAGGTGACCTCTGATTTTTGCTGGAGTACGCACCAAACATCGGTCAGCTCAAATTCTTTAGCGAAGCTCGGCCACGTCCGACATCTCCAAACGGATACATTCACGCACCTGATTCTGAATACGATTGATTTCTTCGTCGGTTAGAGAGCGGTCCGGGCTCCGGTATGTGATCCGATAGCAGATGCTCCGTCGCTTCGTTTTGGGATGGACAAATTCATCCACTCGCGAAATGTCCTCCACAAGATCACCGGCTAGATTTCGCACGAGCTCGCAGAGATCATTCTCGTGGAACAGACGGCCACTTGTGCTGCCGTTCCCGTCGCTGGCCTCGGGTTGGTCCTTCACCCACATAGATACGTCCTTGTAGACGGGTGGATACTTACTATACGGTTGAAACTGCGTGATGACTCCGTCCTGAAACTGCTTGATGAAACGCTTGTCTGAGCTCCAGAATAATCGGATGTCGGGTACATCGAACAGCACCATGGCGAGTCGCTCGAGGCCGAGCCCAAACGCCCAGCCCGAGTGCTTAGCGGGATCCACGTCGCCAGCCCGCAGCACATCGGGTTGAATCACACCGCAACCGAGTACCTCGAGCCAGTCGCCTTGCCACAGCACCTCTAATTCGAGCGAGTGTCGCGTAAACGGAAACTCGGCGTCGACCCATCTGACCGGGATCGGTGCTGCATCGGCGTCACTCAAAGCGGACGTCCTCGGGGATTTGTCCGCTTCGGAGTTCTTCGGCCAGCGAAAGAGGTACTGCGCCAGCCCGTACAGCGTCTCCTTCAGGTCTTCCAGGACCCACGCTTCAGACGGCGCATCCGCAAAAACGCGCACACCATCCATTTGATGAAAGATTGGATAGTGCTTTTTATCGATGGAATCGCGTCGATAGACATCTCCTGTGACGAGGAACGCGCGGTAGCCCTGCCGCAGCAGCTCCGTATCATGTGCAGTCGTATGGGCACGCAGCACCGTCGCCTCATCCAGGTAGTACGTGTCTGTCGGACGGCGGGACGGGTGGTCCGGAGCGACCAGCAGTTCGTCAAAGCAAGCGCGCGTACTGACGATCGGCGGCAAGTCATGAAACTTTGCAAACTGAACCGGTGGTCGCCCTTGCTTCGCACCTAGCTCGTTTTCAAAATAAGCTTCGATGATTTTTCGCAGCGTGCACAGCGGATGATGCACGCGGTTGTGGAGCTTTTCTGATGGGGTTGCTTTCGCTTTCTCCAAAATGTGCGGCGGAATATTGCTCTTCGTTATGGTGGACTGTGCGCGGAGTGCTCGAGCGCCGCGCCCTCGTGACAGGTGACGGGCGAGCGTTCCGTGTGTGCTGTTCACCGCAGGCAACCAAAGTCGTTGTGCTGGGACCGTCCGCCATCGCTGTGCTACGATGAACCCAATACCCCAGTTTTCCACCATAGGAACAGCGTGAAACAACTCGAGAGCCTTGTCCTCCAGTATCTATTTACGCCTAATCGGTACCGAACGCTAACGTTGCTCGCTGTGAAACACCCCGATACAAACTGGAGTGCGTTCCCCGAAGCGACGTCTATCGTGTGTTGCGTGCCGCACGAGTTGAGGCACGGCTCACTACTGTCGATGAATTGTAGACGAGACGCACCGCCGCAAGCAGCCATGCCTCGGTCCAGTGAAGCCATGGGGCTTGCGTTCGCCACGACGGCCATAGACTCATACTAGTATAAAATTGGACAGGTCCATTTTGCGAAACCCCGACAGATACACATCTGAATACCAGCATCCGCGGACGTTTTTTCTGCGATCATTTCCTTTTCCTTTCATGCAGCTCCGTCTTTGAATGCGCGGGTCTCTCTTTTGCCTCGAGATCCATTGCCAGCAGTCGACGGATGTTGATCGGAGCTTTCAACTTCTCATCTCGCTGCTTCCACTACTGTCAATGAATCTCATGCGCAGGCGGTTACTGAGATCCGCCCTTCGCTTCCCATATTCATCTTCTTTGTATGCAGACTCGGTGTGCGCCTCGCGCCGGTGACACTTGTGTGTGGTCAGGTGTTTCGGTATGGTCAGCGTACCTCCTTCGCATCCTCTTCCGAGAGTCACCCAGCGGTACATGAAGGCTCTTTTCATCGCTCGGTACATGCGCTTTTCTAACACAGAAGGCTCCATCGGGCGCGCTACCCCATTTTACGCGCCCAGCATCATTTCCCTTGATCACGCGATTTTATCAATCGGATCCTTTCAGCCAGTATGCTGCATACTGCACGTGCGAGCGCATGCGATTCCAGTAAACAGAGGATTTGTGGCAGGGAATGTTGTCCATAATAAAAACCCTGTTCGGGAATGCAGATATAGGTTGGCGAAGCATTCGAGAATTTCCGATCTCTCTACGCGACCTACAAGTAAACCGATGACGCGCTCTCCGCTGAAAGCAATCGCTACGTTAACGAAGGTCCGGATCTAAGACTCTTTTGCCATAGAAACAGGGCAAACGACAGAGTCTGTGCTTGCGAATCCTGTAATGGATATATAGCTGCTGTGGAATCTCGTTTCGTCGACTGCCACAAGGAGCGAAGCATCTATATTCCGAACAAAATCCAGGATTTGACGTCACAAGTTCCGTGAACCTCGACCCGAGCTTGTGATCAGGTCGTTTATCGAGCGGCTCGAATGACTGCGCCATCAAGCTGCATTCAAACAAACATAGGGAACGCTTCAGGAATGCGCGATTAAAGCACGCTACGCATAACGAATTCGAAAGCATGAACGCTTGCATCTTTGCATTGGATGACGATATCGGTTATTTCAGCTTCAAGAATACGCGATTAAAGCACGCTACGCATAACGAATTCGAAAGCATGAACGCTTGCATCTTTGCATTGGATGACGATATCGGTTATTTCAGCTTCAAGAATACGCGATTAAAGCACGCTACGCATAACGAATTCGAAAGCATGAACGCTTGCATCTTTGCATTGGATGACGATATCGGTTATTTCAGCTTCAAGAATACGCGATTAAAGCACGCTACGCATAACGAATTCGAAAGCATGAACGCTTGCATCTTTGCATTGGATGATGATATCGGTCATTTCAGCTTCAAGAATACGCGATTAAAGCATGCTACGCATAACGAATTCGAAAGCATGAACGCTTGCATCTTTGCATTGGATGACGATATCGGGTATTTCACGATGCCTTGTTCGAGTGCGTCACGATTCATCTTGATTCCGGCAAGGTAAAAAGCCCTGCGGCAACTCGTCGATAAAACCAGCCCTAAAATACAACCGAGTATCCTGAAGCTGCGTATGTACCCGTACGCTCATATTCCAGAACTTCAAAAGTCAAAGCCGTACATCCAAAGCAAGTTTGTCAAAGACGTGCAAGCAGGAACAAATTGAGCAGCTTAGTGTTCGATGAGCAGCTGACACGACTGCAGGCCCCGATTTCACGTGATCCGCTCCGTGAACTCCTGCGTTTCAGGGCGATTTTTTTTCATTGACAAAACGTTTACTTAGGCCAGCGTTCTCCGATTATGCGCATTTTCCTTTTCTTACTTTTTTGTGTGTTTTTTTGCGCGGTGAGGTATCCATCAACCCCTACCTTCACGTTACATTACCTATACTTCTTCTCGGATATTCTGGTCGTTTCATATGTCCTATCGTGTGTGCCTAGTGCCTGCCGAAAGCGACAGCAGTAGCGCCTATAGCGCCGGTGTGGTCGCTGCACGGAGACAGAACGACGTTGCCGTACCACACAGAGGGCGTCGGCTCGAGGGTTTCCGGGCGATGCTCTGATCGGCCGCGCACAATGGATGGACATGAAAATCCATTTTTGTATAGTCTCCACGAGTGCGCCGTTTGCGAGCGATGAACGCTCCGGGCTGCACTGCCGCCGCAGCGACACGGAGGCGCAGCGACCTGCAAGCGCCTACAGACGTCGAAACACATTCGTTGCAGACCGAGTAAGACCATGGACGAGATAAGCACATTGCCACCAAAACGAGTGTCGCTTCAAACTGTAAAAGATTCCATTGCGAAAGAGTGGACGACGAAGGAGCTGCGCACACAGAACCTCAAGTTCGTTCGGAACCTAGCTTTTTTCATTGGAGCGATCTACGTTTTTCGCAAGTACGGCAAGTGGATGGAAATCTAGTCCAGCTCACCTACCGTGCTAAAACACACTTGTGCGAGTGTGTTCTATAATATGGAGCAGGTATCAGGGACAGAGTCGCCGGCGAGGAGGCAGGGTTCTGTTCCTCCACAGCTTGAGTCAACGGCGGCAGGTTTCCCGGCCGCAGGCCACCGGGACGCTCCGGCATTCGCAACGCTCGGCGCGCTGGCACGTGAACGCATTGCACGGACAAGCGTTTCGCACCGGCAGCTTGCCCGTGAGAGCGGCAGCGTGTCCGAAGAAAGTGAGCGGCGCCCCAGTGCTGATGCACTTGCTTGGCAGCACTGCTGCTGGCGGGCGCCGACTGAGCGTTCGGACGCCGTAGCGCTCTTCAGTTTGTCGGAGGTGTTCCTATTGATCCGGAGTGAGTACGCGCCACAGTCTGTTTATGGGTGGCTAATGCTGACGCATATGCTTCGAATGCCACCGGAAACGCTCGCTCGCGAGGCTGTGATCGACCCGGAAATCAGAGCAGAACAGGCATCAGTTGGCGACGAAAATAGGACGTATGGTGGTTTTCTGGAGCTTGTGCTTTTCATGCACGTGGGGGTCGCTTTGCGGGATGCACTGCACTCGCGAAATCGCAACGTGAACGAGGCTGCCCTGGAATGTCTGGCGCATTTGCTGCATCGTCTCTTCGATAGCGACGTGCTTGCTTTTGTTGACGGGTGTGTCTTCGAAGATGACAAGGACCAGATAGGCGACGATTACAATGAAGAGGCATTGATAGACCTTTGGGCTTCCATGGAGCTCCGGAACGACTCCGATAACCCGAGCTCCCGCGCCAAACATGGAGACAACGACAACGATACCGTTGATGAGGATGCAGAGGTCGGTGCTGCCGGTTCCACCGCCATGGGCAGCAATCTCTATGAAGACTACCGCCCTACGTCCCATGACTGGGTTATCGAAATGGTGACCACCGGTCTGGTTCCGGTTCTGCTCGGACTTTTCCAGAGCAAACTGCGACAGCATGTGATCGATCCCCGGGTAACCAGATTGAGTTACTTCCTGATATGGGTGCTGCACCCGTGTCTACGACTAGATGAGGGCGCGAGCATCTTGAAACAATTGCTCTCCATTGCACTTGCTTTGCTGGAACGTGTCGGATCCGCTGAACCCCAGCAGACTACCAACAGCGAAACGGGACCTTTGGCGGCGGCAGCGCAGTCGGCCCTGATGCATAGCCTACGAGCAGCCGCCGTACTTGCCATGGATGAGCGTCTCGACATCGAGGAATCTGTCCAACACGTAATGGAGGCGAAGCTTCAGCTATGGTTGAATCACTTGGACCTTGAAAACAAGCTGGGACGCCAAGTTGCGAGAAGCATGCAGGCGCTCGTGTCCATCATGACACGAAACCGTCGCCAAGTAACAAGTTTGTCGCAGTCCGTAAACAATGAGCTTCAGTACTCGTGAGCAGGCTCGGCGGCCTGGCAAACGTATTGCGGCCTCGGGGGCCGCAAGAAGCCGCGATGGCGATGCACGCCCGGGAAACGCCAGCGCCTTTCTGTGCGCTGCTTTCCAGCAGGAGATCACGTGGCGACTCCTGGCTACTGGCCGGTAGCCGGATACTTGTAGCTGATACTTGTTTATCGGTACCGCGCGCTTGTCTCCACTGCACCGTTACACATACCGCCCGAAGGCCGATGAGACTCACTCGACAACGCGCATCGTGGAGCATACGCTTTGCAATGCATTTCGAATGAAGGTCATGGAGCTCGCGCCCCATTGATGCAGGTACTTGAACCGCGAACCCTTATGGTGGCCATAGAATCGGTAAGGCGGGCGTTACCGACGCGAGGCATCCACGACGCTGAACGGGATCTCGCAAACGCACCTTTCACGGCGGCATTCGGATACCGAAAGCTACGAGGCGTACTCCCTTGTGACTGCGATCCCGACACGATCCCCGGGAACAAGGAGCGCAGCCCTGTTCGGACCACACACAATGGAACGAAATGCCCAACACCCGTGCCTTGTTGCAGAAGTTGATCGCGTATCAGACAGACAGGCAGGCTTCCGCGTTGTCCGGCGAAGCGCTCTCGAAAACGTCCCATAGAAACTGCTGGGCAGGTTGAACGACTGCGGAAACGGTATCACTGTGTATGGCGCTGAGGACGGCGTGTGCAACGTCACCGGCACGCACCTGCACGAATGTGGTATGCGTCTCGGGGTCGTGCGCGTTCCCGCAACCTTCCTCGACACCAGGACCTGAGACGCTTACAAGAGGGGCTCGCGTGGGAACCGCATCCTTCGATGGTTGACTGCTGGAGCGCATTCGTTGTCTGTAGAGCGCCACAAGTTGTCTTGTGGGTTGGTCAAGACGATCCAGGTAGCCGACTTGTTCAAAACTCGACAAGGCAACTTGGTGAACCAGGAAAAGTACCAACCACGGAAAGCGGGGCAGTGAACGCCACACCATAGCACGTTGCATCAACAGGTCAATGTACGTATGCTGCGCAGTGACCGAATCGTCCACAGGTTCCAGGAGCAGGTGCCAGCGCAGGATGCCGCCGCTTGGGGTGTGTACGCCCACCCCGCCAGCATCAATGCCACGTTGAAGTGGCAGACACAGAAGCGCCCCATCGAGAACACCATAATCATCTCCGCTTGCATCCAAGATCTGCTTGCATAGCGTGGCTCGCGTCAGTCGGGTGCGCGATGTTCGCGATGCCTGACCAAGCTCAAACATCAGTTGGGTAAGCAGCGAGACCACAGCACGCTTATACGCTGCTCCGTGGGCGTTGTCGAAGATGACCGCTCTGAGGGTCTGCATCGCGAGTTCCCCGCAATGCTCTGCGAGCAGGAGCGCGTCATCAGCCGCATACGAAGTATGACGCGCGTCTAAACCCTCACTAAGGCGAAATTCGTGCAAAGGACGTACCAGACGCTCATAAAAACCAGCAGCAAAAGAAGCACCCGCATGGAAAACGGCAGATGCATTCGTTTCTGCTTGCCGTGGCGGTATTCGCACATTCCACAACTTGCTCTCACTGCAGCATATGAGGAACATCAGTTCCCACGCCCTCAGCGTTGATAATCGTTGCAGCAGTCCCAGACCTGGTAACTCCGTCATGAGTTCTATGATATTCAGGAGGTCTCCGAAGTAGGCAAGTGCGCGCGTTTGATCGTCAAAAGCTGCTGAAGCGCGACGAAAGCCTTCGAAAAGCATGAAAGCCACACAAGTCGCTGAGGCAAACCACGGTGACGCGGGCTCCCTGAGTCGGACCGCCGCTCGCCACCGCTGGATCGCGATCATGCTATGCAGAACGTGCTCATGACGCCTGCACGGGACGCTTGGTCTTGCGGTTCTGTCCATGGAGCCTGAACGCTCTGCGTCTGTTAACAGACAAAGGCTCGAAACTAGGACGTGCCAAATCTCGACCAGACCAGGTTCTACTTGTAGGTTGCGAAAGCGCTCGACGAAAAAAGCGGCATCCGATAATTGGATGGCCTCTCGAAGCAGCGAGTTTAGGACGAAACGGCTGCTCATGTCTTCTGTGGGTATCGGAAAAGGTTCTCTATGCGTTTGGGGATATCGCACGGGTGCGCCACGGAGCGAGACACGTGCTCGTTCGCTGCGACTGTCGGCTATGTCAGGCCGTTCGTCCATGCTCCACGTTACGGGTAACTTAGAACCGGTCCCCGTTGCAATGGTATCCTGCGAAGGCGCCAGTATACCTTCGGAAACCTCTGCGGAATACTTTCCATGAAGCCAAAGCAGCATATCTATTGCAGTTCGTAGTCGTACCACGGCATAGTACGGTAGGTAGTAACGAGCACCCCGCAGCTGATCCCGTGAAAGCCGCCCAGCGTCGGTGCGAGCATCTCGGGGACGTTCCGATAGAACATTGAAAACTTCCTGAACAAGGCGCTGCAGTTGCTCCACCTCGGTGCCAGAGGATAGCACGAACGCAGGTGCGAGCCCTTCGGCAGACGCTTCTCGCTGCTGGGAAGCGTACGCTGCTCCTAGACGCTCACGCTGCCGTCGATAGTGTTGGCGCTCAGCGAGCGCCTCCGATAAGCGTTCTCGAAACGCTTTCAGGTGTCGCCAGTGTGCCGGGATGGAGGGCCACAGCTTGTCGCTAACACTGGCCATACGTTGCCCGACTGCGTGCTCAGTGGGCGTCACTGCAAGCAACGCTGGTACAGATCCACCGTGAAACCAGACTTTTCCAACGATTGTGAACGACGAAGTGGTGAGATATGTTTGTCCGGGTGGCGCTCGAAGCTAGCCCGCACCAGGCCCTGGACTACCGGCATGCGTCTATTGCCAGTCGCATGCGTCATTTTTTCGTAGTGCGCATCAGAGCATCCACGTTCAGAACAAGAGACGATTTCGTTCAAAGTGCGGCGGAATCAGGGCCTCGTGAATACGTGGCGAGGTTGAGATACCTGCTGCGATGGTTTATTCGTTTGCAACTTTTGCTCGCCGCAGACTACGCCTATTTCAGCGTAAAACAAGATAGGTTGCGTGATACGAATACATACGTTCAGGTGTTGGACGCTACCAGCTGTCATCAATACCAGCCTTTGCTGGCGTTTTCTGCATCTGGATTGTTTTCCGATTCCTTATCTCCGACTTTGAATGCGTCGGTCTGTCGTTTCGCGCCACGTCTCCTGTCAGAAGTAGAAGGATGTCGACGGCAGCGTTAAGGTTCTACTTCGCTGCATCCGGCTGTTGTCAACAAATTGCATACACAGACGCGAGCTGCGATCTATGCTTCGCTTGTGATTTGCCTGTTCTTTAGTTACAGTCTCAGTGCGCGCTTCGCAGCGGTACCACTCGAATGCAGGCAGGTGGTCGTTTCTGTCGACGGCACGTCATCCTCCTCCGAGAGGCATTCTGTGGTGCGCGAGGGCCTTCTTCACCGCTCGTTACGTGCCCTTGACGGAACCAGAAGGCTCATCTCGATGCTTTCCTCAGTTTCCGCGCCTGGTGCCATACTATACAAGGAGGGGCTTCTCCTTGGCTATGCTCTCTGCGAGTATTCTTCCCGCTGGACGTGCAAGCCCGCGCTATTCCACTCAATGGATAATTTATGGGTTGCTATGTTACTAATGATGAAATATGTAATGCAACGAAAATCCAGAATTACGTGGAAGAACTCGAGCAGTGTCGATCCGTCCTTGCTCCCTTCGTGCACAGCGACGATTCACCCTCGCGTGGAAGCCATGTCGGCGATGACTCAAGTCCGAGTCCGCGACCCTTTTCCACCTAAACAGAGGCGACGGCAGCATCTGCGGCATATCCCATGACAGGTACAAGAAAGCTGTGGAATGCAGTTCCACCGATGGCAGCGACGAGATGGAGATTCTCTCTTCCAAACAGGGTCGATTTTTTGTCGTGACAAGATCAGCGAACTCTCAGAATGAACTCATGTTGAAGCCGTCTAGGGACCGCGTCAATTTCTGGTCGTCAATCCAGTAGCGCGAACAGTTGCGTTCACGAGTTGCCATGAAAAAGAAAGCTGAAGCACTTGAAGAAGCGTGATTTGGGCATCTTTTTCATCACGAACTGAAAGGGGTCGAGTCTTTTACTGTTTGACCAGATGATCAGATCAGTCGTTTTACGAAGCCTTTTTCAAGGGCGTCAGGAATCATCTTGGTTCCAATAATGTATCGAATTCCAGAGGCAGAGCGTCGAAGGCGTCTCTCCGAAAAGACCACCGTGCATCGAAAAACTGCCTGTGAATCCGTGAGCCCCGATTACGGTACAAAAATCATTGGGGTTGTACGTCTAAAAAAGTTCGGAAAAATTCATTTGATATGAAAACAGCTAGCAGTTCAGTGTGCGATTTTAGTCCGACATGAATGTAGTATTCACGCCAAAAGGAAGCGTCTATTGCAGCAGTTTTCTCCGGAACGCTGCGTAATGCTAAATCTGGTTTCCGTCCTTTCCTAAAGCATCGCTATCAGTCTCAGCTTCAGAGCTGCGCCTCCATGTGGCTCCCAGAATGGAGAGCTGATTCTCTGCTGCCAATCTAATCGTGAAAACAATGGGCAGTACTTGCATTCGCCTCAGAGGGAGCCCCTCCAGGGAAGCGCATACGTTTTGGAAACGTTCAATCAGCGTGGCCGCTAGCTGAGGCACCGAACACTGCAGAACCGTTTCGGCGAGAAGTGGAGTGCTCATCCCCATCTTGGGAGTTTACACTCAGTACACGAACTCTAACAAGATAGCCACGCGAAGAGGTACACCCTCTGCACGTTTTCGACGGCACTACAAGTGACCGGCGATACCTCTATCCCAACGTTGCTTTTGAGCACGAACTTGCTCCAGCGCTGCGGCTCGTGAGACAAACGCTTCATTCGCTGGGAGCAGCATAATTTGAATTTCACTCGGGGAAACGGCTCGTGGGGCACCTTCTTCGCTCTGCAGCCTTGCCAGCTGCAAAACTCTTCACAGGTGCGACTTGTTCTTGCGAGGAGCCCTATCGCGCCGTACAGGTCGCTGGCTCGCGCTCCCGCAACTCGGAGCTCAAACTCTGCCTATTGAAACCTCACTTCTCTCCCAATTACAAGACCCCCAGATTCCACGACAAAGTCCCAGTGCCTGAAACGCGAGTCGGCACCAGTGATTCACCCAATTCACTCACTGCTTATCATGAAAGCTGGAGAGAAGGCGCACAGCGCGCGATCTCTCCATCGGCGAGCGTCAGCGAGCTGCTCGAGACGCGAACCCCTGTGGCAGAACGTCGATTGGGAACGTTCTTTGGTCTGGTGTGGCTCGAGGTATGGCGTACCGCGGACTTCACGCCTTGTCACAGCCAGCTTATTTAGAGGACTTTATAAACTCAGTTTCGAACCTTCCCCAGGAGTTACGCGACAAATATGGACGAATGGGAGAGCTCGATGCGCTCGTGCAGCGGTTGAAGAACGAAGCTGACGCGCTCGTTCGGGAGCTGCTGCGAAAGCCTGGCAGTTCAGACCCCGACCGAGGTCGCGACACCACTTCGCTGCAGCAAATGGGAACAAAACTTGAGCAGCTGCAAGCTCAGTGTGTAAAGCTCAATCAGGAGAAATTGCAACTCGCCGAGACGGCGTACAACACGGTGGACCAGCACGTGCGAGACTTGGACACAAAACTGCGGGAATATGAGGCATACCTGCGCCGGGAAGGCCAGTGGCCCGACGACCTTCAGAGCCTGGTTGTGAACACCGACCATACGAAAATGGCGTCGATGAAGAACGCTGCTGCTGCTGCTGCGGCAGCACATACTGCAGCGGCTCCTGCCACGACAGCGCGCTCGACGCAAAAGGCGCCCTCCAAAGGTCAACGCAAGAGTGGCGAACCATCGACATTGCATATCATGGATGATATGCCGATCGATCCGAATGAACCGCGATACTGCTACTGCCAGAATGTCAGTTACGGGCAAATGGTTGCTTGCGAGAGCGGCGACTGTCCATACGAGTGGTTCCATTTCGAATGCGTCGGCCTCACTGAACCCCCGAAAGGCGAGTGGATTTGTCCCGACTGCCGAGCCAGAACAGGTCGCGTTCGGTAGCGTACCGGGCAACGCACGCTGCTGAGCGTGATTGTTGACTGGGAGTATACGGCGCTCGCGCGACGAACGCTACACGCAAACGGGGCAAGCGTACCGGAGTGCGGGCAAGGCGCTTGGGTTTGGATTGCCACGAACCTATGCATCTGCACCGGCGATGCTATAAGATAAATACCCTGTCTTTAGTGCTCAGGCGAGTGCCCGTTTGATGAGATCGAAAACGACTCTGGGAGTAGAGTGAGCGTGTTCGCGCCCTGCAATCATCGAATCGAGGCAGGGAAACGGCGTGAGATTGCGCACGACTGCCGCTGGACAGGGGCGCTCGCGAACACCCTCTTTCGGACGCTGCACCGGGCGGGTCGTCTCGCGCGCACGGCATCGCAACACCTCGCAGGCACCGACGCTGGATCCGCGGATCAGGTGCTTGCTCGAAGGACAGCACACGGGTTAGGCATATCGCCTGGATGGCATCCATTTCGGGAAGCACGTCCGTGGGTGACGCGCAACTTTGCAGCAGAGCTGTACAGCTTTTTCTATTGATTCAGTGAGCTTGAAGTATCGGCAAGTCAAGCGTCTGTCACTGCAGTGTGAGCGCTTCGCTTCGCCCGTCCCAGCGGGATGCATATCGAGTCGATGCGCATACGGAATTCTTTCGAGGGCCGCGGAGCGTGTGCGTGCACCCGGATCACGTGAAGCGCTGGGATCTCGCTGCATGCGCTGATGCCTGGTTGCTCGCCATCCGGTGGCGCTGTGGCCCTGCGTGCGCCTCCGATCAGCGCAGGATGGAAGCGCGTCGCGCTGGCGACGCCATTTTGGCGGGAATATTGCAAAGAAGCGCACGCAGTATATCGACACGTATGCGTTGCATCAACGATGCAACGAGCGCCGCATGGACACCAAGGCGGCCACTGGGGAATACCTGTGCCTGGGGGGCGAACCTCGGTCTCTGTTAGAGACCGTTCACGGGGACGGTCGCCGGGGCGCGGGCTCGGAAAAGCTGGCAGCTCACGGTCAAGGGTCGCACGACCACTGGTGTGTGTGGGGCAACCAAGCAGGCCATTCCCGGTGAAAGGCGATAACTGTGGTCGATCCCGTGTTGGGAAATTTGTGCCTCGCCTTCTACATCGAGCAGGATGGAATAACTTGCTGATGACTCTAAATGCAAGTCCGCGGATTCCTCTCCGTGGCGTTCCAGTTCAAGACACTCGAGTTCGAATTCGCAGACCGGGGCGAGGAAGCGATTCTGAGCATCCCGTTGCAAAATTTGCACCGGGTCTTTGCAGCGATACGTGAGCATCTTGCACAACGTCTCGACGTCCTTATGTTTGTCGGTCAGTCCCGCCCGAACAACATTATCGCTAGTCGCCATGATTTCCACACAGTCTCCCTCTAGGTACGCGTGTGGCTCATTCGGTTCGATGAAAATGGCTTGACCAGGTTCTAACCTCACATGATTGAGCAGGAAAGCAGCGAAAATGCCGGCATCGTTTGGGTACTGCTTGAGGAGTCGTAGCGCGAGTGCATGCTCCGCATCCAGAACATCGGCGGCCTCTAACCGCTGGCGGAGCTGGTGCGCTTGTTGCCGCGAAACGTCTTCGTTTCGCATGAGGGATTCGAAGAGTTTTCGGAGTCCGTCCGGTGCAGATGGTGAGGAGCAAAACGTTTCCGCATACGCCCCACAAGCGCCACGAAACTCAGGGACCTGCTTCAGTGCTCGGACTATCTCCGCTACTGGTCGAAAACCGAGGAGCGCCTCGAACTGCCCTGGTCCAAGGCAAACACACATTTCTGGCTTGTGGTTGCCGTCTTTGTAAAGCTCAGGAAACTGCTTATGCAAAACTTTCGCCAGCGCAATATCCGGGTGCGCCTGAATAGAAAGCGCCCGCTCCACGCTCAGCACTTTCAGAAGAAACGGCAGCGAGCCTGCAGGAACAAAGATTGAAACGGGAACGCTTTCGTTGGCCTCGGTAACGACGGAGGCCTCTCCAGACGGGTGCGCGCCGAGCCAGAGTTCCGCGTAGGAAACGGACTCCGAGACTCGTTCCGACTCCAGTGTCCCTTGAGCGACTGCGTAACGGGCAACCCGCGACCCCATACCACGTCGACCCCAGGCGTAGGTCTGGACGTGGCCTCGCAGGAGCCAAATACCCTGCTGTTGGCGTTTCGCGTCCACGGAAAGTGCCACCATCTTGTGCAGATTAGAAACCCCAGAAGAAAAGTAACCGAAAAGAAGCGTAACGCGGTATGGTTAGATATTGAAGAACTCGTAGAATTGAATATGTGAAATGCTGTTGCCGCGTGAATGGCCGATGCGTTGAATCCTAGACAAAAAAGACACGTCATGCTGGAATGCCACATAGGCGCCCTCAGCGCACGCCCAAACGTTTTCAGGCTTTCTCGTGGAAAAACCGGTATACGCCGAGGACGAGTTTCACAGCGGCCTCACGGATAGTGCGAGCTGAGCGAACGCGGACTGGATTGTTCAAGGCGACTGCACCGAGCAGAAACGCGTTTCCCCGGGTAACCTGAACCCCGTTGGAGCTCGCGCTCTGGCTTTCGTGCGCAGCCAAACGAGTCTGCAATCGCACCCGAGCTTGACCCAAGTATGTGTCCTGGTGCAGAGCGGTTGGACTTGGCGCCCGGAGCGACAGATCGACGCGAACGCGCAGTCGAGTGGCTCCTGTTCCAGTCTCGGTTGCAGGAGCACTCGAAGAGAGCGCCGCTGACGCGCCCTGTGGCCCGGAGTCCTCTCGAGGAGCGACTGCAGGCTTTCCTACCGGAGATGCAAGCTGAAAACGCAGCATTGTTTGAGAAGATGCGAAAAGGCACAGCTGTCGCCGTCGATACTGACTTCAGCACAGCAGATGCGCCTGAGGACGAGTGCGATGTTCCAACTGTTGAAGTGCTTCTGGTCACAGCTTCTGCTCATGCCCAAGATACAGTAGAAGCTGCCGCACCGCAACGTCTGGTGCAAGTTCTGGGCCAGGGAGACGCCGAGCAGTGCCTGATGACCGGTGAGCAACCTCGAGCGACGCCCATGGAGGCGCCCGTCGGCAAGGCTCCACATCCAGGTGCCGCTTCACGCATGCGGAAAGCGAACCGCCATGATGAGCCTTAGGGAATCGCTTTGGAAAATAAGAGGTTCTGCGTTTACAAGAGCGGCGTTCGGAGCAAGTCGTAGCAGCTGTAGGCCAATAGGCCGTAGAGAACCGATACACACAGCAGGTACTGCCAAGAACGTCGTGTTTTCCGCGGCAAACGATCCAGAGCAAGCATTAGCGCAGCGGTCAGAATGTACCGAGCGGCGTGGATGAAGCCCTCCGCAGCAAGTGCGTCCGGAGGAACAGGCCCCCGTCGACGAGCGTATGGGTTTGTGCTCCGAACTCGAATACGCTCGCCATCCCAGACGAACAGAGGCGTTCCTTGAATGATCCATCCATGGCCACCGCCAAGCGCAAATGCGTAAAGAAGCAGCACAAAAGCGAGCCATGTTCCCGTTCGCTGATACCATCGCCACCGCCAGCCCAAATAGAGTCCAGCGACGAACAGAGAGAGTACCAGTAGCCAATGGCGTCGCAAGGTTGGCACGACGTAGACAGGTCCACCGACACGAAGGCGCAGCGGTGGTTGCCTCCCGAGGCGTTGCATATCGGCATTCACTTGCCGCATAACCCATTCGGCGAAAGCCTTGCGATCCATCCCATCGCCAGCCGGAGGAGGTCCCGGGCGGAAACGAGCGTACTCTGCGTCAGGAGCGATGTCGGCATTCGCTGGAATGTAGAGAACTGAGGGCAACAGAGGGATTTTCAGTTTCTGAAGCCAGGGCACGAACTCGTTTCGGTTCTTTGAGGTCAAGTCGACCATGAGGGTAAACACTGGGAGCTGGCCTCTAGCTTCGTACCGGGCGTTTGAGCGCTTCACGAGGCGGGCGACCAGCTCGAGGTTGTGGCGCATGTATGCACAGAGGCCGCAGTTGGACTCCTGCTCCGTCGCCGTGACGAACAACAAGACTCCAAAAGGTCGCTCTTTTGATCCGAAGACAGTACGCTCCAGGCTAGATGCTCGTCGGACAGGAATGACGCCCGTTTCATAGTTTTGACGCAAGTCCTTCAAACGTTGCACAACTTCGGTTGCAGCGCTGGCGGTAGAAGCTGCAGCAGCAGCACCGAAAGCGGCCTGGTTTCCAGGTGCGCCCTTCGGTTCCACGCTTACGCAGCACATACATAGAGCGAGTAAGAGTGCCGTCCAGCCGAAAGCTTTTCGCGCAAGCATCGAGTTTAATATGATTAGATGATCGGCAGTGTCGTTGCACAGGTAGCCTTGCGCAACTCGAGTAAACACATCCAGCAAGCACTCGGGCTTGTTGGACGTTGTCTGCCGCTGTTGGACCTCTCGTGACCCTACGCACCTTGCAGGCCTCCTTTGATCCAGCACTAGACTGACGCTTTCTCAAAAAGGCCGCAGATGAAAGCACCAGATCTTCGTTACGCTGTTCTTTCTGAGCACGCCCGACGGCGAGCGCGCCGCAACGGTTCCATCTCCAGTGGGGGGTACAACGGGGGCGGCACCCAGCGGACGTTGGCAGAGGCACGTTTCCGAAATTGGTATCAGGTGTGCCCCCGAAGACCCGAATTTCTTCCGTTCATCGTGGGAAGCATTCGTCTATCATTAATTTCATCGAAAGCGAATCGTTTCCGTTTAGAAAAGCGCAAATTACGCATCATCAGGCCATCGTATACGCGACTGTGGCGCTCTCTGGCCGGCATAGGCGCGCGCTCCGACAACGCTGCTATGGGGTCTGTTGATGCGCTTGATTGCCTCGTAGAAAGCAGTCCAGGCGAAATCCAGGTGTCGCCCAAATGGTGACGTCAGCCCATGGTCATTGCATTTGGATTAGACTGGAGGAACTAGCGCCTGCAGGTTTGAAAGTGCGCCCTGTCCTGCAGACGCTTCGAATACGACATCTCGACAGTATCGCTCCGCGAGTCATGGGTAAAGCACAGGACGAAACGCTTCAGCGTGCCGTCCATCCGTATTTCACATGATTCGAGGCTTCGTCCTGAACAGTAGCCGTGTCTGAGCGGGAGGACGCGCCTTGGTTATGTATGCTAGCGGATCAAGTCGTGTCATGCAGGCATCATCAATGCTCAGCGGACCATTGGATAAGCATTTTGGGAACAGATATGGGATAGCATCCCGCAGAAGAAGCGCAGCACTCTGGAGTACCTCTGCCCCGGTGTCCATGAACGCAGGTTCGTGGAGCGCGCTGTGCATTTCACGAAACAAACTACATCTCGACGTGCCATATGGACCCTTCCGTTGCCGATCAATCCCGCTGGCGCAGCGGTTCGTGACGTGCTTTCAGCGGGCGCGCAGACGCTACGTCCTCTACTTCACCACTCGTCCCAGTCCATGCAACTATGCATCCTGCATGTTATTCAGAGCGCCCTCAAGTTCAGCATTGATCGTGGCGAACTGATTCTGGTTAATGTGATTTTGCTCCAAGCCGGTTTCATTCGGCATGATCTGAGCGCCCATGGAGTGCATGACAGCGGCTTGACTCTGGAGACCGCTCATCATCGAAGCCATCCCAGACTGAGCGGTAGAAGTAGCACTCGATGTGCCTGTGACTGGAAGCACCGTTTGCGCTCCTGGTCCGAACCGCACAGAGAAGGCGCCCAGCGGTGACACCGACGCCCTCGGCAGCGCGCTCCAGTCCTGTCTTGCCGGAGACGGCACTGCAGCGACGGATCCGATCGAAGGTTCAGGTTGTGCTGCGGTGCAAATGGACCCGAGGTGCAACAGTAGCCACGCAACAAGCAGGATCACGTTGCGCAACGAATGGATAGAGGCCATTTGAAAGGACAGATCCTAGCTACAAAGACGCAAATAGGTATTGGCGCTAAACGAAGACCCAGAAGTTGCTTTCAACGCTGGGGCACTGACGAGAACAGGGTCCGCGCGTTCACCTGTCGTGAGAAAGAGGACACGCGTCCACCCAGAGCGCTGTCAAGCGCAGCGCACTCCTGAACGCTTAAAAGCCACTGCGCGCCCACGAGCCCGCTTTCCAAACTCTCAGCACGTTCCTCTGTGCGTAACAATGTTATTTACCAGAAAAAAACGCTTCGTCTGACTTGAGCAGCGCCTCGTCTCAAACCTTCCACTACAGAGTTTTTCCTACAAGTCGCATTTTAGCTATTTGTGACGCCCGCATCCCAAAGCGCGTTGCTTCCGTGCGCGCCCCGCACACGGATGCCGCCGCTGTTTAGCATGCGTGTCCGCGGCGTCGAATGCCGCCGCATGCCGAATGAACAGTCTACCAGCGATTGGGACATAATGGACACCGCCGCTCGAGTCGCCGCTGATCCACCAGCACCACGACATGGACCGGGGGCCTCCCTGGACTGCGCGATAGCAAGCGACATCCGGGAAGGCGCGCACCACTCTACGCCCCAGCTCCGAGTTCCATTGTTCATACTTCTCATCGGATATGCTGGTCATGTCGTGCGTTCTGTTGTGCCCTGAGTCTGCAGTGAGCGTTCACTAAAGCGCCCATAGCGACACTGCGAACGCTGCACGGAGACAAAGCGGCTTTGCCAAGCCACTGAGGGGAAGTTGGCTCGAGAAGCGGCTGCGCATCAAGCGTTACAGGAAAACTCCACTGGAGTTTCGGCAGTGCGAATACCAACATTCCTGGATCGACCAAGCCTCTGTTCACGAGGAGGCAGCATCCTCGCATTAGAGCAACGTGGTCCTGGTTCTTGGGGAGCGGAGCTTGCTTCCCTGGGCATTCGTAGCGCTCAGGCATCGGGGAGCGTATCCGGTCAGGTGTGTTGTGATGTCAGCGCCATGGGGGCAGATGGCGTGCGCGCGCTCCCGCGTCGGCCGCAGCATAGCGTTGACAGCAGGAAACTGCGCGCTTCCATACAACGAAGTCTGTACCTGGAAACACTGGTGTTTGTGTCTCGGCACCAGAGACTGAGTACGTGAAGCACTGAGGAATCTTGAATATATAGCAGTGATCCTTGAACGAGTCCAAGGTGTAGTACACATGACGGTGGAAGGCTCTTTAAAGGGCGACGCTGCTGCACCCGTGGCAGACGCGGAGCCTGCAGCGTCTCCTCGGAACGAACCGGAAGCAGCGCCTGGTCCGCCCTCACCGGACACGTCGAGGCGACTCAACCATGAATTGGCGAAACAAAATGCAGAAGTTGCAAGAGACACACAGTGGTCGACGCGTCAACGCCTCAAGTACCTGGTTTTGAGGTACGATATCTTCGCACACTTTTTATCGAGCGGATCACTCGCGAAGCAGAAACTTGTGGAAGCTGCCGGCTCCGTGGAAACCGCTTCTCCCGGAGAAGGAGCAGCGGGAGGTACTCCCGGTCGGCGTCGTCTGACGGAACGCGAAGAGGACGCGCTCCTGCTTGAAGCGGACGAGGAAGGGCATAGCGAGTCGGTACACTTGACGGTGCAGCCACCAGGCATACGTGGAACGATGCGGCCATACCAGATCGAGGGCCTAAACTGGCTAGTCCGACTGCATCAGCACGGCATCAACGGCATTCTTGCGGACGAAATGGGTCTCGGCAAGACGCTGCAGACCATTGCCCTGCTAGCGTTTCTGAAGGTATACAAAGGCATCCGCGGACCGCACTTGGTGATCGCGCCCAAGTCCACGCTCGGGAACTGGAATCTGGAGTTTGAGAAATTCTGCCCAGATTTCCGCGTCGTTCGTTTTCACGGGGACCAGGAAGAGCGAGCCCGAGTAGCCGCGTCGCAGCTCATTGTGAATCGGTTTGACGTTTGCGTTACCAGTTATGAGATTGCGATCCTTGAAAAGGCGGTGCTGCGTAAGTTTCATTGGCGTTATCTCATTATTGATGAAGCGCACCGCATCAAGAATGAGAACTCAGTACTCAGCCAGGTGGTGCGCATGTACAATTCTCAGAATCGTCTTTTGATCACCGGTACACCGCTGCAAAATAACTTGCATGAGCTCTGGGCGCTGTTGAATTTTCTGCTCCCTGATGTGTTCAGCTCTTCGGAGGATTTCGACGCCTGGTTTGAGCAAGTAGAGGGAACCACTGAGGAGGACGCCAAGGCAGAAATGGTTCGTCAATTGCATGCCGTTCTTCGGCCGTTTCTCCTGCGTCGCCTCAAGTCAGAAGTAGCGCGAGAGCTGCCGCCGAAAAAGGAGAGAATCGTATTCGTTCGCTTGACGAAAATGCAGCATGAGTTGTATCGGTCCCTGCTTAAGAAAGATGTGGATGCAATTAGCGGGCAAGGCGGCGACCGCGCTCGACTGCTGAACATCCTAATGCAGCTGCGCAAGTGCTGCAATCACCCGTATCTATTCGAAGGCGTTGAAGATCGCACCTTGGATCCGTTTGGTGAGCATGTTGTGCAGAACAGTGCAAAATTGGCGTTGCTAGACAAACTGTTACCTCGCTTGCGCGCTGAGGGGCATCGGGTTTTGATCTTTTCTCAGATGACGCGTATGCTGGACATTTTGGAGGACTACTGCTGTGAGCAGATGCGAGGGTATCCGTACTGCCGTATCGACGGCTCGACGGATAGCGAAACGCGCGAGCGCATGATCGAGGAATTCAACGCAGAAGGAAGCGACAAGTTTATCTTCTTGTTATCGACGCGCGCCGGGGGTCTCGGCATCAATCTGGCCTCAGCTGATACCGTGATTCTGTATGACTCAGACTGGAATCCGCAAGTTGATTTGCAAGCGATGGATCGTGCCCACCGCATTGGACAGAAGCGGCCTGTTACGGTGCTGCGTCTCATTTGTGAGTCAACAGTCGAAGAGCGCATTCTGCGCCGAGCCTTAATGAAGCTCAAGATAGACAACATGGTCATCCAGCAGGGCAGGCTGGTGGAGGGCCAGAAAGCGCTTGCTCGAGGCGAAGTGCTCGACATGATTCGATTCGGTGCAGATTCCTTCTTCCGAGCGGACGCACAAGACTTCAAAGACGAGGACCTGGATGAAATCCTGCAACGCGCCGAAGCAAAGACCAAAGAGGTAACCGAAAGCATGGAAGAAGAGGCTCGGAAACGGAGCCAGCATGGGCTCAACCTCATGGATTTCAAAATGAGCGATGACGTCGGCTCCGTCTACCAATTCGAGGGAAAGGACTGGTCGGCAGAGGCAGCGTCATCGGCTAAGAATTTCTTCTTCCTCGATGTGGGCAAGCGAGAGCGCCGGAACACAATCAAATCCTACGATGAAGCGGCCTACTTCCGCGAAGCACTGTATCACGGCGGTGCCAGCGGCGATGTAGGTAGCACCCAACCACAACCAAAGCAGCGCATGCGCCTGCCGCCCGAACCCAAAGTCTATGACTGGCAATTCTTCAACGTCGATCGCATCATGGAGTTGTACGAGAAAGAGCGCCAAATAATTGATGAATACAATCGAACATGCGAGAATCTGACTGAAGATCAGATGCCGCCGGAGCCGGAGCCTCTTTCGCCGAGCGAACGTGCGGAGCTCGAGCGTCTGCTTCAAGAAGGTTTCAGTAACTGGCGGTATCGCGAGTTCCAGCAGTTTCTGCGGGCTTGTGAGCGCCACGGCCGCCACAACATAGAAGCGATTGCTGCCGATCTCGCACAGGTGAAAACCTTCGACGAAGTTAAGGAGTATGCGGAAGCGTTTTGGAGACTGGGTCCGGACCATATCCGTGACTGGCCACGCCTCCTTGAGCAGATCGAGCAAGGTGAAGCACGTGTGGCCAAGCGGGAAGAGATGGAGCGAGCGCTGCGGAACAAAATAGCACGTTATGCGGATCCATGGAACGAGCTCGAGTTACCCGCTTCTGTCCAAGGTAAGGTGTTCTCCGATGAGGAGGATCGCTTCCTTCTCATTATGGTGAATAACCTCGGTTACGGACGCTGGGAGGAGCTCAAGATGGAAATTCGTCGCAGCTGGCGTTTCCGTTTTGACTGGTTGATCAAATCTCGCTCAGCTGTAGAACTGAAGCGGCGTGTTGACGTCCTACTCCGAGCTATTGAACGGGAGAATGCCGAGTTCGAAAAAGCCGAAGCTGCAGCCGCGAATCGTAAGAAGCACGCCCAGGTTCGTAGCGTACGTCGCGTCAAATCCGAGGCAAGTTCGAGCGAAAAGGAAAGCGCACACAACGACAGCCGCACCACAAAGCGTGCAGCGGCAGGGAAAGCGTCTGAGCAGAAGCCCACGGCAAACGCCAAGCGTAAGGCATCGTCAAGCACCGTGACGACCTTGGACTCCACGTCCAAGCGCTCGAAACGCCCCAACACCGACTCCGTGACCGCGACGAGCGAGAAGCGCTCTACCGGACCCATCGAACGGTACGCTCGTCGCAAAGGCACTACAAAAGCAGCCTGAATAGCTCAGAACGTTTTCCACAGGTTAAGATTGATGCGTGGTACGAGTAGTCTTCACGGAAACGCGCAGTGATCGGCAATCAATGCGTCGATTCCCGTTCCGCTCGGAGAACCAGCCCCGCACATGGTGCTCAGCGTATCCGAGCGATCTGGTGCTGCCTCTATGCTGTGAACTTGTGGCGTCAGACATGGTGCTTAGGCGTTTTATGTCCAACGCAACGACATGGCGACGAATGCGTGTATGGAGCGAGCGTGCCGCTCTCGAGACGCGTTCCTTTCGAGCAGTGCTTCAACGCTGCCGACTACCTTGCCCACGATATCGTTGACGGACGAGGGTTCATGGAACAAGAATGGTTCGCCACCATCAAGGGTAAATGTATCTACCCGCCCGCAGACGCTTACCAATCTTTTTCAACTGGCCGCCTGCTATCGACTTGCGCTTCTTTTTAGACGCTTCGAGGATCAGAGGTTGTCCCACAGAGTTAAATCGCGTCAGCTTCTCGGGTCTCGTGTTCAGCACCGCACATCGACTGATGTGGATGGCGGCGTTAAAGTCCCGGTTGATGAACTCCATGCTTTTGTCGCCTCTGCTTGATCTCATCAATAAAAGGATTCCTGGAACTAGGGCCTTCAGTTCGGGTTGCTGCTCTGTCAGCTTTCGGTGCTTTTCTATCGCCGACGCGCTCCGCGGCTTTTTCTCCATCTCGAGCTTCTGGAGTGCACGCCCCAGCTCATCCCTTGGATTGTTAAAATGAATGCATTTCATTATGCCGTTAGGTAAGGACATCATCAGGGGAAGAAGGAAATCTCGAAGAAAGGCGACACATGCCCCGATGTCACCGAGTGCAGAACGCTTCAGCGAATCAGCCAGTGGAATGATCAATACGTTTCACGATAGAAAGCATTCGTTCTATGAGGTTCAACCGCGGAGTGCACGGAGGAATGAGGGGCAAATCTACTCACATAGATGCGACAAGAGCCCGAACGCAACGGGAATGGTGAAATGTCACGTTGTCGAATAGAAGAACGTCGTCAAACGTCAGGGCGAAATCTTCAAGGATCCGACCAAGTGGTTGGTGCTGTTCTACGAGTCTTCTCTACGAGCGAACCCGAGGCCGCCAAGTGAATCCGCTGCAGCCGCACCAGACGAAGATATCATCGTTCTGATCGAGTTCGATCGTCCATACAACGGGCTCCCTTATCCGCAAACACTCATGTCTATTCGGATCGTTTCGTCAAAAGCGAGTCTCAACGACTGGGAAAAACAAACTGACCTCCCTATGCCTCATACCGATCGCGACGTTACAGGAATGCTGTAATCGTTGCGATTTCGGTGGAAGACGGCCGTGCGTGACCTAGGACTCTATTGCGACTGTTTGCCAGTGTATCCTGGATTCCATGAATACGCTATTCTGAATCATTGACGCCTGTTGCGGCTACGATCGTCGCTTTTGCTTCCCGTCAGGTGATGAACACGTCGGTTTTCTTCCGTTGACCGCAAGCATTCATCGAGAATACCCCTATTTGGAGCAGAGCGCATCTACTTTCTTTCAGTGCTTCTCAACCGTCTGAGTACTGTGGTACGACGGACCTGAATCAGAGAAGCAGTCCTCCTTGCACTATGCAGGAATCAATATATCCTACATGCATTTCGTCTCCGATCTATTCCATACATTGCGTCGTGATTTCGGTCTCCTGCTATGCACTGCAAAACAGCATTCGATTCCACTTTGCGGGGATGAAACGAAATCGAGTTGGAGTACCACAGGAAATCGGCACGTCTCTGGCTCTGAATCGCCGTGCAACAAAGCCGAAATGCAAACTGCTGCCGATGGTACTGACGTGACCACTCATCCGCCAGCGTTGTGTTTCTGTCGATGGACGCTCGGTGTGATGCGCAACATCTGTTCGAGAAACCGGGCTGACGTCCATCTGCTCAAGGCCAGCTTTCGCGATGCCGCCTGGTGCGCACGCCAGCTCCTAGTCGTCCTCCACGGGCACGAGTGACGGCATCCGACCTGGTCTCGTATCCGTAAGAAAAGCCGCTGCGGTCGGGTCATCGACTCGAGAACTTGCGCATCACGAGCGTTTTCAAATCGGGGCATACAACAGCGACGACGACACGCGGTTCACGCGGGAACGCAGAAAAAGGCCCAGGATCTACGAGGACAAGTTTGGTTACTGGAACATGGAGCCAGGACCTGGGACGATGGATGCTTTCCCGATCGCTGATATCAAGGTCGCCATCGGGTATCCGGGGTTCGCATCAACGGTTTGTCGATGAGAGAGACCTCAGGGCGTGTTGAAACAGAACGTCCACATTTCTGTCCTATATGGACATATGCACGCACAGCCATGGAATCGTGTCGTGCACACGCGCAATCCTCGCCCAGATGGACAGGCGATATTCGCAGCAGCCGTGGAGTCCGAGCCTCCACATTTGCTCATCCGATGGAGAGCACCTTTTACAGCTGCCATAGATCCCGTAGATGTCATTTCGATCACGGATGCACGCCCATTGACGCGACGATGGCGACTGCAATCAAAGCGCAACACAAACAGCGCCGATGGACGCGCAAGGCACATCCAGAGGACTGCCGTTCACCCCGACGATACCCCGCAACTGTCGTGCAAACGGTTCCACGTACACGTACCTGCCACTTCTCGGAGACAAACAGAAGTATCATCGATCGAAGCGAGCGCTTCTGATCGCGAACAGCGCCATGTCACCGATACAAGCTTCAACGAGAAGCGCGCACGACCTCTCCCCTCCCGAGATAACCGCACGTTCCGCATCCTATCCAGGCAGCAGGACAGCATCGCTGACAAAAGCGCGCGTTTCACAGGATCGCTGAAGCAACCACCACCACCAGCACCAGCACCAGCACCACCACCACCACCACCACACCAAGCTACGATCTTTACGCCAAAAGGCAGGCAGAGATAAGGAGGCAGGCAGCCGCCTCTCAGCTCTGAACGATGACGCCATTGACGCATGCGATGAGGAGAAACATCCAGATTTGGCGCGCTCCGTATGCATGCAAGGCGCTGCGCTCGCATCCGTCTGGGTAGCGTCATGAGAGGAAGCGCGTGTTCGCTGCAGCCCACTCGAACAGCAGCGGATGCGCTTTATAAGCTAGATAGACGAAAACCAACACCCCAATGTAGGCCGGGCGCAGCATCTCTTGTATTGCGACACGTGGCGACTGCTTCCCTTGCAGCATACTCCAGAAGGGCCAGAGGCTTGTTCGCTCAGCAAACGCGTCCCAAGTTGCGGCACCAAATCGTTGACGGAGTCGACGATCACCGTGCCAAGCGGCTATAAAGTGATGGCCGATGAGTGCACAACTAACCGTAATCGCCATCGAACTCCCTATCCAGGCGCCGTGGGCCAGGCACCAGAGGAACTGGCCCCACAGCTGCGGGTGGCGCGTCACACGCATGATACCCTGCTCGAAGAGGCGGACTGTTGGCCGCTTGATTGCGGATACTTGCGCTAGGTCCAGCGTCGCTGGATACAGAAACAGGAAGGATATGGCGCTTACGACCCAGACCATTTCGTGAAAGAAAGGAAAATGTGCGGGGAGGTCCTGTTGCAACCAACTGAAACTGATGCCGTCACGTCGATGAGCTAGGAAGTAGGCCACGGTTACACCAGCTGTTGGTAGGGACATGAACGCGAAGAGCACGCGGTAGAGACGCTCGCCGAGAAGCTCAGCGGCCCTGGGGCGCAATGCAGCACCACCAGAGTGCAGCACAGCGAACACGGTATACAGAACTAGCATTCTTAAGTGCGTGTCGAGGTTGACCTGGTCATGCCAACTCCAGTAGGTCGGCAGTAACCATCCGAGTCCGAAGAAAGCGCAACCCAGCCACAGTGCAACCTGTGACTCGCGTCGACCTCTTGATGTCTGTTGAGCTGCAGCGGTCTCTGCGGAATGCCCCGAGTCGACGTTGCTCATGCGGCACGGGGACCGGCTCAGAGCGAACAAGAAAGCATTCGCTTCGTAGCGCCTGTAGTGATACGATCCTCGTTTTGCTGCTGCAGGTACTGCTGTTATGCCAGCTCGTGGCGCACAGAGGAGCCAGGATCGCCGTCGACTTGCGGTGAGTCCGACTGGAATAAAGCAGAGCGCCTTTGCTGGCATCTGACCGCTGAGGTGTCGCTTCTGAGGACTCGCCCGGAGGCGCTCCAATGCCTGGGCGCTCCGAACACCCCGGCGCTCAAGCGTGAAACCTGCGCGTACGCTAAACCAAGCGCAAAGAGCGGGGCGAGTTCCGGACCATGACGTCGCCAGAGGTATCAAAGTCGGCGCTTCGCCAGGTCTGCGTTTATGCGCATTCATCCTCCGTAGCACACGGCGGTCTTCGGTACTCATATCCGGATTGCAGCAAAGCGAACCTGGAACGCCCAATATACTTCAGTCTTTTCGGTATGAAACCAATGTAGTGCAACCTATTCAGACTTCGATTTATCTGATCACAGGTTATCGGGTCCGATACAAGTGGTTGGAAAGCGAATTTTTCGCAGCGCTCGCACACAACCCGTCGCTCCAAAGCGTTTCTTCACCGTGTTCTGGGCAGTTCGCGCGAGCGCTGCTCGCTCTCCGGGACCCTGACTCGATACGTGCCGTCTCTTGCGCGCTCTGGACGCTTCTTCTCACGAGAAGCACCGCTGAGGCACGCTGTAAAGCGCAACACGCTAGTGCGAAGCGCTGGAACCGTCACTCTCGAAGCGCCTCCTGAGGGGAAACGCTTTTCGATGCGCGTTCCGCGAGCCTCCTTCGAAAAGATAACGCAATCGAACCTATTCTTCTACTACTCGGGTACCTCGGAAAGCACCGTTCGAGTTCGTCTAGTGTTCCCAAAAGTTGACCCGAGTCCCGCCTCGGGCTCCGCTGGTGAGGCAGCAGGCAGTAGCGGGAACGGCGCGACGCGTTTCGCCGCCCTCGCTGTAGCCAGCTTGCGCCATACATGAAGCCGGCATTACCAGTATCCGCTGAAGCGCTTTCTTTCGTTCAAACTTTCAACTTAGCGAATTCTAATATGTTGCTGGGCTTTGTCACCAGCCCGTGGTGTGGCACAAATACTCGCTGGCAAGGCTTTGGACTGCACAAGAGAGCTTGCAGGGCCTCGTCAGCGCACTGCGTTCAGCGGCGTACCGCAAAGCGCGCTCACTGGCGCTGCGTCGATGCGGCTCCGGTCTCTGAGCGTCCTGATCAAGAGTCATCACAACCAATTTCACAGATTATTCGGTTCTATCGTTATCTAGGTTTGGATCCGTTGGCGATGAGCGCAGCCAAAGTGGCTTACCGTCAGGCCGCGACGTATATGGGGCTTTTGCCCGAGCCGATTCCCTCCTTCAGCGTTGAACGAGAGGATTGCTTCTATGTTCTCTGGGATACGAAGGCAGGCGATATCACAGAGACCGAGTTGGGTGCCTTGCGCTGGCTACTCTCCGAGACCTTTGAGCCGGAGCGCTTCCGAGAGGGTGTACCCTTCTTGAACCAACGCGTACTCGAGTTTGGTCCGCGTCTCAACTTCCAGACAGCGTGGTCGTCGAATGCAGTGAGTATTTGCCAGGCGTGCGGCCTCAGGAACGTGCGAAGAATTGAGCGAAGCCGTCGTTATTTTCTAGAGCCAGAAGTACCATCCAATGCACTCGCTGGGGAAGCGCACCAAATCCTCTCGAGCACGCACTTCCAAGACGCGTTATTCGAACGCCTCCACGATCGTATGACCGAGCAGCTCTATAAGGAGCCTCTTCGCTCTCTGGACACACACATGAAACCCGCGGACGTGTATCGCATTCCGCTGCTGCAAGAAGGCGAAGGCGCCTTGCGACGTGCCAGCGAGGAACTCGGTCTCAGCTTCGATGACTGGGACATCCACTACTACGCCCAGATGTTTCGTGAGCTTGGACGGGATCCAACGAATGTAGAGCTTTACGACATTGCCCAGTCCAACTCGGAGCATTCACGACACTGGCTCTTCCGCGGGATCGTGGTGATCGACGGCCACGAAATGCCGTATTCGCTCATGGACTTGGTACGGGAGCCGCTGCGTCGACATCCCGGCAACTCGGTATTGGCCTTTTGCGATAATGCCTCGACCATAAGAGGCCTCGGTCCGGTGCCCGTCCTGATACCGTCCAGACCCGATGCACCATCACCCTATCTTCTACACGACATGGATTACGATGCCTTGATGACGGCGGAAACACACAACTTTCCGTCGGGGGTTGCGCCTTTCGCTGGTGCCGAAACAGGAGCCGGAGGTCGCATTCGTGATACCGCTGCCACTGGGAGAGGCTCCCTGGTTATAGCAGGAACAGCAGGGTACAGCGTGGGAAACCTCCAGATTCCAGGTTATCCGTTGCCTTGGGAAGACGGCTCGTTTGCGTACCCCGAGAACCTGGAATCGCCACTGAACATCTGTATCCAGGCGAGCAACGGAGCCAGCGACTATGGCAACAAGTTCGGCGAGCCGCTCATCCAAGGTTTCTGTCGTTCGTTTGGCCTACGGGTACTGTCCCAGAACCAGCGACGGGAATACGTCAAACCGATCATGTTTAGCGGTGGTGTCGGTATGATGGATCACCAGCACGCCCACAAACAAGCACCAGAGTGCGGCATGCTTGTGGTGAAAGTCGGAGGCCCTGCGTATCGGATCGGCTTGGGAGGTGGCGCTGCCTCCTCGATGCTCCAAGGCGAGAATCAGTCGCACTTGGATTTCGATGCCGTCCAACGTGGTGATGCAGAAATGGAGCAACGAACGTATCGAGTGCTGCGGGCGTGCGTGGAACTCGGACCCAACAACCCGATTGTGAGTTTGCACGATCAAGGTGCCGGTGGTAACTGTAATGTTGTCAAGGAGCTGATCTACCCGCTGGGGGCTCGCATCGATGTCCGACGCGTGATTCTCGGGGATCAGTCGTTGTCGGTGTTGGAAATATGGGTTGCGGAATATCAAGAGCAGTTCGGTTTGTTGCTACGCCCATCATCGCTTCCCTGTTTTGAGAAGCTCTGCGAGCGAGAGAACGTGCCCCTAGCGGTGCTCGGCGAGATAGACGGCAGTGGGCGCATCACGCTCTACGACAGTCTTCGAGACGAAGTAGTGGTCGACCTGGACCTCGAACGCGTTCTCGGCAAGTTGCCTCGCAAAGTGTTTCGCGACTCGCGAGCGTCACGTACCCGCCCGACTCCTCTGGCTCTGCCGTTTCTCAACGCATCGACACTACGGACGGAGTCGCCAGCGGAACTTTTGCGCATACTCGATCGGATGCTGCGTCTCGTGTCGGTCGGGAGCAAGCGATTCCTAACCACCAAAGTGGATCGATCCGTGACCGGTCTGATTGCTCGACAACAAACTGTGGGTCCAGTGCAGCTGCCGCTCGCGGACGTTGCCGTCGTCGCACAGAGTCACTTCAGCACCTACGGAACTGCGATCGCTATCGGGGAGCAATGTGTGAAAGCGCTCATCTCACCGGCAGCGATGGCTCGAATGGCGGTTGCGGAGATGCTCACCAATATGGCTGGAGCGCGGATCAGCGCTTTTACGGATATCAAGTGCGAAGGCAACTGGATGGCCGCGGGCAAGCTACCCGGCGAGCTCGTTGATATGTACGAAGCAGCCGAAGCGCTCAGCGACACGCTCACAACACTCGGTATCGGCATCGATGGTGGCAAGGATAGCGTCAGCATGGCTGCACGGTGCCCGGGCGAGCGTGATCCCGTCCGGGCACCTTTAACGCTCGTCCTCAGCGGCTATGCGCCTGTTCCGGATGTGATGCAGGTCTTGACGCCGGACCTCAAACGTCCCGGTGAAAGCGTCATCATTCTGATTGATCCGAGTCGCGGTGCACGTCGTCTCGGTGGAAGTGCGCTGGCCCAGGTGTATGGGCAGGTCGGTGACTCTTGCCCGGATCTTGATGATCCTGTGCTGCTGCGTCAAGCCTTTGAGGCTGTGCAGATGCTCCAGGATCGCCAGCAGGTGCTTGCGTATCATGATCGTTCCGATGGTGGCTTGTTGGTTGCGCTTCTGGAAATGGCGTTTGCCGGCAACTGCGGCCTTGACCTGCTGGTGGATGCCCAGGACGTTGGCGAGCTTTTCGCCGAAGAGGTTGGGATGCTGGTGGAGATCGCCGCCTCCGATGCGCCCTCGGTGCTGGAGTGGCTACGCTCCCTGGACTCGCGAAGGCCGCTCCCGTGTCGACTGGTTGCCCGAACCCGTCGCGACACGCAGCTGCATTTTCGTGCAGGTGCTGCTGCTGCTGCTGCTGCTGCACTAGAGCGTCAGCCGTTGCTGGATCTGGAAGTACGCTTCGCTGCGCACTTGTCCGCGGATATGCGCGACTTGCGGGCGCTCTGGGAGGAAACGTCCTTCCAACTGGAGGCGCTGCAAGCGAACCCCATTTGCGTGGAGGCCGAACGTCAGGCCTGTTACGATCGCCGGGGCCTCACATACGTCGTCCCGTATACAACCGAGCCAACGAATCTGCAAAACTATCCACGTACACAGCTCTCACCGCCACGAGTAATGATTTTGCGTGAGGAGGGCTCCAATGGCGATCGTGAGATGGCAGCAGCGTTTCAGCTGGCGGGCTTCGAGGTGCACGACGCCACCATGCGCGACATTCTTGCTCGTCGCGTTACTCTCGATGCTTTTCAGGGTATTGCGTTTGTAGGTGGCTTCAGTTTCGCGGATGTCCTCGGTTCAGCGAAAGGCTGGGCGGGTGTCATTCGTTTGCGTTCTGAGGTGGCTGCGCAGTTCGAGCGCTTTCGGCATCGACCGGATACGTTTTCGCTCGGCGTTTGCAACGGTTGTCAGCTGATGGCGCTGCTCGGCTGGGTACCGGGGCGTTTCGTACGAAACGAGTCGGAACGATTTGAGTCACGCTTCAGCTTGGTACGTATTAATCCGGATCATCCATCCATCATGTTACGAGGTATGGAGAACGCAGTTCTTGGTGTATGGGTCTCGCATGGCGAAGGTCGGGCAATCTTCCCGGCTGGTGATCGACCGTCCGTTATCCCCATGCAATATGCGGACGATCTTGGTCGTGCGGTCTCAGTTACCGACAAGAATCGTGGCTACCCGTTCTGTCCGAATGGGAGTGTGGAAGCCGTCGCGGCGGTTGTGAGTGCCGACGGGCGGCACCTGGCCATGATGCCGCATCCGGAACGGACCATACATCTATGGAACTGGGCGCATCTGCCGGAGGATTATCGTCGTAAGTGGAAGGTATCGCCGTGGTTGCGTCTTTTCCAGAACGCGCGACAATGGTGCGAGGAGCTTGCCAGCTGATCGCACCGAGGTACGCTCGAAGGCGGTTCACCTGGTGCGCTTTCGGATGCTACTCGAGGATGCAAACGGAGACGCAACGAGTAGCCCGCTTGTCGCTGCCGCCGCCGCTGCTGCTGCTGCTTCTGCTGGTTGTGGTGGATAGGGTGATGGTCATGGTGCGCACGCGCTTACGTTTCAAACGTTGCTGAGAGCTGCACCCTAAAGAGCGCCGCTGTTGCTACGATCTTCTTGGCTTCGGGGTGTGAGCGTGCAAGCCGCACTGCGTATCGCGATGCGTCCCGCTGGACACCACAGACATCAGGAGGCCGCGAGTCGATATACTTAGTGGTATGACAAAGCCGTTCTTTCTCCGTGCTACGCTCGTACGCGTGCTGCAGCACGAATGCAGATGCTCATGGACGATGCGGGGTAGGGTAAAACCCACGACACCATCAGCATCATCGACAGGAGGTCTGGGTCATGAAAGTTGGGAAACAGGGCGTAGAATGCTGCTGGGCGCTTTCCCGGATGCCGATATTCACCACGCAGCCACGAGAATACCTGGTCGACGTAAATATTCTGTTGATCGGAGAAAACAATACCAGCGTCCTCTGCCCGGCTTGTCGCCGGTATGCACCCATCGAGGAGCGTGTGATTCGGTGGAACGACCCCAGACACCTGAAGCAATGACCCGGGATGAACGCTCGAAGCTTGCCTGGGCCTTGGAAGCGCACTCGTGCCCTGGAGTCAGCATCGATACGAAGAAGAGCGCTGCATTGCCCGACTGATTATGTTGCGGCATTCGCAGCAGACGATGATTCCTGTGCGCTTCGTTGCTTATGGATTATCTGGTTCCTTTTTTCAGTGGTGACATGCTTAGCGAGTGGCAAGGTATGGTCAGCGCTGACTGCACATCACACGGCTGCATTGCCGGATTGGAAATACATCCAAGAGCGGCATGCTCATTCATGTTAGCCGGCTGGAAGAAACGCATGGAACACGCAGACGCGCGTGTGCGTCTCCTGAAACACTGCAGCAAACCGCAGCAGCTTCATGATGATCCAAGAAGCAAGCAAAATACCTGGCATGCTGTTGAGCGCTGAGCGCTCTGACGCACGAAATACCACGTGCTTGGATCGCACACCGAAGGTGTCATGATAAAGCGATGCGTCGTGGGGTATTCACCGAGTTGTCGATTTCTGTGCGAGCAATATCCGGAGCACTTGCTTTTTTCGAATTTATATATAACGATGCGGGGTCGAGTATGCGATACACACGCTTTGTTCATGGATGCTCGCTTGCGGGGCAAGTCATGTTTGGTGTGCGTCGTGCGCACGACGCTGGCGGTTGCTAACCTGTCTGTGTGGCGAGGTATCGTCGCTGTCCGCCAGATACGTGGATCGCGATGCCGTAACGCCCTCGGAAGCACGTTTCGTAGGTGCTCAGCCCTATTGAATGATGATGTATCATGAGCGTTCATGCAGAAAGCACGTTTCGTAGGTGCTCAGTCCTATTGAATGATGCAGTATCATGAGCGTTCGTGCAGAAAGCACGTTTCGTAGGTGCGCAGCCCTATTGAATGATGAAGTATCATGAGCGTTCATGCAGAAAGCACGTTTCGTAGGTGCTCAGCCCTATTGAATGATGCAGTATCATGAGCGTTCATGCAGAAAGCACGTTTCGTAGGTGCTCAGTCCTATTGAATGATGCAGTATCATGAGCGTTCGTGCAGAAAGCACGTTTCGTAGGTGCTCAGTCCTATTGAATGATGCAGTATCATGAGCGTTCGTGCAGTGCCCAGGCTGTCCGTTTCCTGAGTCTCGACGCGACGCAACTGCCGTGCTGGATTGCTGATCCGTTCGACTCTAGTGCCTGGTTCCAGACTTCAAGAATTCCCGCTCTTCACTGATGTTTTGTCATCGAAAGTCGTTACCGATTCAGCCCAGTATCCACTTTGAATACGAAATGATTCCCTCGAATGGTCGCTCTCGATACAAAGTTGCTGGATGCTCCCGGAGCACGGAATATTCCCGGATATGTTGATCGGAGCGCTCTTGTCGTGATGCAGAATGTGCTTATGTGGATGATTGCTGGTGCCAGCACAACATGGCAAGCCTCTCATCATCGATTATCTCCCTGTCTGGCACTCGGTCGGCTCACCGTAGACCACCCGGTGTGTCGGGCTGTGTTCCAATTTCTTTTTCTCCAGCAGTTTCAGCGTGCACTCGAGCGCCTCGCATCTGTACTGCATCATGAACGCATCCATGAGAATCTTCTGGAATCGATTCCTGCATCCGCTCGACGCGCTCTTCGAAGGGCCACTGGTGCAACCGATGTTTGCTATAGAGTGCCCATCGCCAGAAGCTACCAACAACGGTCGACACGACTAGCAGGTCATTTTCTTTTGCAAGTCCTCAAACAAAAAGTGGTGAATGCGCGCTTCTTGCTTCCGTGGAGCGTAAATCGTTGGCGGCTTCAGTTGCGTTTGGCGTGCCCTTGGTCGAGATCGTCCGCAAGAGCCGTTTGGACGCGTATGCACGCTCTCGTAAAATAGAGCGTACAAAGCATCCGCCGCTGCACACTCGGGTGCGTCGAGCAGCGAGCTTATTCCTCATGCCGTCATTCCAAGTGTTGGTATGTGTCCAGGAGTCTGCCATGCGCGAGGTTTGGCGATCACGTGCCCTGGAACAGTTAAGCGGTATCACGTTCCTTCCTCTTGAGGTCTTTGGTTGCGTCTTCGTGATCTAAACGCACAGCAACTGCGACGATGTTCTTAAACTCAAGAAGCCCGCTCACCAGAGAATCTTTCTACCTTGAACGGTAACCAGTGGGTTGCTTTGTGTCACGTATGCCAGTGCTTCCCAAAAAGCGCATGCAGACTGGTATTCCATTGGTCTGCACCATCCTGATAAACTGCTTCCTGTTCCTTGCTGTAACCGAGATACCTTGAACGAACGCCACCAATGCTCTTCACAATAATATCCCTGAGCTTCATGCATGCTCCTAGGGACCAGCCGTCGCTCACTAAGGAGGCGACACCGCACAGCGCAGTACAGAAGTACATACGGTGATGTCATGGACTTGGATCTGAAATGTAGGGACTCAGTTACGGGGATACTTTGGGATGCCTGGGCGCTCGCATATGGAGGCTAGGACCATTTTGCTCTGATTTTGAAGCTTACGATTCAGGTTTAGGTAGCAGGGCAAGATGCAAGGAAGGCAGGCATCACCTGGCAAGTATCCTATGGGTACAGCGTCCGTCGATGCGAGGCTATGAACTACCCGATGCGCGTGGACGGTGAGAAACGACGCTCGCTCTGGTAAAGAGGTCACTTTCGAACTCGCTACCACCTCGAGCTCTTCCGTCGCAACTTGCGCATTATTCGGCTTCATCGCCACCCGAAGAACCCGTTGCAAAACTTCACATTGTTCTTGCCTACGAAGACGAGGCCACCAAGGGCGCAACGCTGACAGCGTGCGCTTCGTGAAGCGCTCGAAATTGACCCGCATCTGTCCTTGGTGTTGATGTTGTTCTTGTACTTTTTCGTATCGTAATTGGAGATACTCCGATTGGCGTCACGATGCGACCATACGACAAGCTATTCAGGGCGACACGAGCACGACTCTACGATGCTATGATCAGGCTGTACTGCATTCCGCGTCCCGCGAGTCAGTTGTGTTGTCGGATGCGGGTTTCGTTGAAGATTTCTCGCGTTATGTGGGTATCATTCAGTTCTGTGTCAGGAAATGCTGCGAATCGTTGTTTGGCGAGCTGTTCCATGGCGAGACAAACTGGGTGAGCCTTCTTCGATCGAGAAGCTACGCGACATGTGATGATGTCATGCATTCCACGTTTAGGAAGATGCTCCCGGTTGATGTGTTTGAATAAGAAGACATTGACAAAGGTTTCAGACTGATCTCCGCAATGCGGCAGGTTCTCCTGTCCTATGCCTCCGCGGTTCGTTTTCATAAGGATCCTCCTCTTCCATCACAAGTGATCCCTTTTTCTCTTTCGCTTGGCGGCGTAGCATAGATATGATCGCTAGACACCATATCGGGTTATTTTTCGAGCGATTCAGACGCACTGGGCGGACAGTGCCACTGAAACCCGCATTTCGTATGCATATATATAGATATGTAGTATACCCTACGAAGCTTGCCGTCACCTTTCCGGTCGCGAGCACGCCCACGGACTGAAGCGCACTTCTGCGGTTCCTCACCTGCTCGGGCAGACGACCGACCCAGCAGAGCAGAGCTCATGAAATTAGAGAAGCAATTGCCCAAGAACTGCGTTACGGATGCAATCAACTCGATGATCGATGCAAGAGCATCAATGGTGCATGTGACAACAGCGAAAACGCTTTCAACTGGATTGAGTCGTAGAGAGTACGCTGGGAAGCTGTGTCGGTTTAACGCCAACCTCAGCTGCATGCTCTTTGACCTCTTCTGCGTGATAGGAAACGATGAAAACCATGAAGAGTTCGGAAGAACTCGGTAATGGGCATTCACGAAGCGGTTCCCGACGAAGATTTTGCCGTTGAACGATCCTAATCGTTGAAGGCTATCTAGGCGACCACACTGGTGATCCGCTAACTGGGCCGCTGTTGTCGGCATGCTCGCGTGCCTCTTCTTCACGAAAAGTGATTTGTTTTCTGTTTGAGTTCTCGCATACAGGTCAACCTTCTCATCCCTGTAAAGTCGTATCGAGTGAGACGAGCATGTATCCCTCTTGCAACAAGCGTTCGTTAGTCTGTACGCATTCAACAGAGTGCTTTTCAGCTTACGACACTCCCCTGTTGAAGCGCGTGTTTTTCCTTCCCGTTTTCGCGTCGCTTCATCACACATCGTGTCTACGGAATGGAAACCTCGCATCTAGGAGCTTCTTTGATGTTACCTATTAGAGCACGTATCGAAAGGAATGCGTTCACCAGGAAACAGTCGTCTACATAGAGTTTGCCCTGCTCTGTTTCCAATGCACGCCGAACACGATAAGCTCCATGAGGGGCGTGGTTCATCTACCTGCTGATCATAGAAGAGATGACGTCGACAAGAAAGCTCGTTGGTCTCCAAGCAAACCGTTATTGCATAGAGTGTCACCGCGAACTTTCTCCACTCTAAAAGATGCATTCCGTAGTTGAATACCTGCGAGAAAGAACAAACGCAAACATCAATGTCTATCTGGCACAGGCATGCCAGAATTCCGGGCCCTCAGCACACCACTTCCTGGTTTTCCTCGTGTTGAGGGATTTCCGCCAGCGTCCTTCTGCGGGGCTTGACGCGACAGCAGAGAGCCGCTTTTCTCGGAGCAGAGTTTGAACGAGAGCGCGTACCTATAGGTTTAGGGTGAACTGGATCATGAACGAACACACAGAGAGCGACACGGCGCGTGCATGCCCTGTTCCAGGAGCACTGGATCCGCCACCACGGGCGACGGCTCCGACCGCCTTCAACGAAACAGCACCAGAGAGCACAGCTTCAGGAACACTAGGGTGGGAAGTTGCCGAGCGGGAAAGCCATCCGATTGGTGAAAGCTCCAGTCGTCGCAAATCTGCAACGCTGAGTGGGTGGTCTCTGATGAACTTGGACGCGCGACATATGCAGTGGCGACGCGAATGCTTACCGCTTCTCTACGATTGGTTTCTATGCTGGCCAATGGTGTGGGTCCTTGGCGGCGTCCAGTGGGGCCCGCGTCTACAGGTGCTACGAGCGTTTCTAGCGGACGACCCGGGAACGGGCACGGCTGGCCCGCTCATAGCAGCGAATGCAACCGAGACAACCGACTCATCCGAGCTTCCAAGCACCAAGCGACGCTCAGCCAAGTCTTTCGGTATTAGACTGGAACCGATTTCCCGACTTGATCAGAGCACTTTTGAACGCCAGGAACTATACTTCAGCGAGCGCACTGGACCTACCGTTCCCGATGCACCGTCCGAGCCGAACACGCTTCTCGTCGCTGAGTGTTGTATCGCGCGGGAGAACTTCATGCGCGCTTCCGACATCGGCAATGCCTGGAATACGGATCTTTATTCGAGTTGTGGCAGCGGGTCCGGCGCTCATGACGTCCCTCTTGCGGAGAGAGCAGCATCAGCTCGACGAGCACGAGAGCATCGCGAGCACACCCTGCGCTGTCGTCTGGAGGAACTGGAAGAGCAAGCACGCGCTGCTAAGGATGCACTGGTAGCAGCGGGTATCCACACGAATCACTCGAGCGAGGACGTATCGGGATCGATGGTGTCCTCAAACGGCGGTGTATGTGCTCAGGCGCGGGCGGTACTGGAAGCCTTCGCCGAGCTCTTGCGCTTGCCCGAGTGCGAGCGTCTGGTGCGGTCGACTTCTGAACAGGTTTATCAGGAGTTGTACGATGCAGTGATTGGTAAATGCGCGTCTGAGAATGCGCTGCAAGCGAGCGTAACTAGTGGGTATTCGCTGGAGGCTCTGCGGACCAAAAGAGCACAGCAAAGCCGCTTCCACAATCCGATGCTTCCGTTCCATACAAGGGTGCCGCACGGCATCTCGATAGCCGTACCGATTGCCAACATGCGTCGGAAAGGGGTGCTACCGTCGACGATGCCGTCACCGGAACTGAACGAGGGTCATCGCGGTCCAGAGACGGAAAGTCTGAGTAGCCAGTCGGGTCCTCTTCGCGACAGCGTTCGCCTCGACTACGACGAATATCTGGGTGAGGTGATCAACTTGACTCCAGAGGAGTTCGATGACAACAATGTTCCGGTGGGGTCGCGTCGTGACGGCCTCAGCGGCATGGGGGGCATTTACGTGGTCAACGAGGATGGAAGTTCCGGCTGTTGGGCTCGTGACTCGAGCGCATTCACGGGGGGTATTGTCGTACGTCGCCGACGTCGAGCAAATGCGTCTAATGCGTTTGGTGCTGCTGCTAGTGCTGCTGGTGCTGCAGCTGCGACTGAGGAGCACTCACAACACGCTCAAGACAACGGGGTTCGAGTCTTCTACGATGAGTTTCGGGTGCGGAAACGACTTATCCATCCGGGGGAAGTCAATCGAATTCGGTACCTGGGGATGACATTCGATCCAAACGTGAATCACGAGGACTGCTTTCCGGCCGATGCTCTCGAGGACGATGTGGAATCGGAACCGGTTCAGACGACACAGTGTGCGCGCTGGATCGTCACCCATACCGATGCACCTGAGCTGATGGTCTGGAATGTGAACGAGCAGGTTCACCGACCCGATAACGACAAGTTACGTCCAAACGTACCTGATCTCGTGCTGGTTGGCCACACATCGGAGGCGCCCTACGCCATCGATACAACCTTTGGCGGGGACGTATTTCCAGACGCTTTTCTGGTGGCTTCAGGCGGCTCCGATCATCAGGTTCTAGTCTGGCGCCTAACATCCGACCTGTTGCTGGAGTCGCGCGAACAGAAACGTGCAACCGTCACCGACACCATCGACGATCTCAGCGGTTCGCTTCATCCGGTAAGGCATGCAGCGCGCTACACAATGAACGTAGCACCGACGCATCGTCTGTTCGGTCATTCGGCAACGGTGGAAGATGTTTGTTTTCATCCAATTAACCCCAGTCTACTGGCATCCTGTGGGGATGACGGGTGCCTGTTGTTGTGGGATTTGCGCGCCCCGCCACGACCTATCGGGGGCGTCCGTCGTGCGCACGCTGGCGACGTGAACTGCCTGGACTGGTCGCGAGATCGTAACGCCCGCTACATGATAACCGGTGGCGAGGACGGTGTTGTACGACTCTGGGATACGCGTGCGATGAGCAGTTGGGCTATTGAGGGCACACTGCATCGAAAGAGCCAACCCGCAGAGCCGCTCTATGAATTCATGGCGGATGATCGGTTTGGTGGTGCTGTGTCCTGTGTTCAGTGGAATCCGCTGGATCCACGCTACTTCCTGTCCGCTGCGGAGACCGAGGTCATTGTCTGGGATACCGAAACAATGGATATTCTGTTCAGGCATGCTGGCCATCGAACTCGAATCCAGGAGGCGTACTGGAATCCGTACATTCCATGGGTAATCATGACGACGAGTGAGGCTGGCGAGAGTGAGGCCGACGGCACACCCAGCATGGTTAGTCTGTGGCGTGTCCTTGATCTCGTCCATATGCACGATGCACAAGTGGCGGCAGAGTTCGATGTGTGGCAGAACACGGTGGCTCAGTCGGTTTAGACGTGCACTGGGGATTGGTAAAGCGATCTGAAATACGCTTGCTTTCGTCCATGAATGCGTAGAACGGGGTGAGCGGTACTGCCTAAGCGCATGAACTTTGCGAAAAGTATTGAGCAAGTACACCTGGAATAAGACCGCATCGGAGGCAAGGTAGTGTGTTCGTGTGCGCGAAGTCGCATTCTTTTCCTACGATGTATTGCGTATACGTAGCGTCCATAGCTCATCCTCAGGCAAGGATGCGTCACTTGTCCTGAACCCCAGCATACCGAAAGCCTCTGGACGGTGTCGGTTGCGGTGTCTCGAATCGGTAGAGAAGCATCGAAAGGCGTCAGGCAGCATGCGTACACATAATCGCGAGCTCTTCCGGTTGCTACGTTCGCTGTACTTGCATCTATTGGGTATTTCTATCCAATGTCAGGCAGCATTGCAGCTCAGTATCGTCATAGCGACTCTACTTGCATCCATTGGGTATTTCTATCCAAGGTCAGGCAGCATTGCAGCTCAGTATCGTCATCTCGACTGTACTTGCATCCATTGGGGGAACCCTATGCGATATACGGCAGCATTGCAGCCCAGTATCGTCATCCCTGGAATATTTGTACATTTCTCCCTTCCGTAGCAGGCGCATTCGCATACGCCCAACACCAGCTCGAGTACGCAAAACCGGACTGCAATCGTGCAGTGGTGCACACCCTTTGAAAGCTTCGCACGCTCTTGAAACAGTCTTGTGTAGCGCTCTGATGCAGAAGGTTCCCAACGTCGAATTCTAGCATCCCGCGTTCCACTAGTCCTTGTAGACTATGCTCCGCTTCGCCAGATACGTCGCTTCCGCTTTCGATAGCGCGTCTCGATAAACATGAAAGCACCCAAGGCAGTGATGATGACGCCTCCGATAAACGTCCCGATCACGATACCGACAATTGCACCTGTTGGCAGACCGTTCCCGAGACTACCAGAAGCGCCGACGTAGTTCTGTATTGGTGAGGTGACTGCCAGAAGCGTTGCGTTCGCATACAATACGCCCAGGCTTCGCAGCGTCTGCTGAAGCATCAGAGCGACGTCAGCTCGCTCCATGGTACTGGCGAGGTCGCGAGACTCCGGGGTGTAAACCTGCAGAACAAGAAATACTGAACCATTCGCATTGCGGACGAGCGATTGGTTCACTTGCACCCCAGCCGCGTCCACAGCGTTCGAGAGCCAGCGCGAAGCATTTGTTGGATACCAGAGAGAGATGTGCTTCCCGTGAATCCCGAGAAGCTCGACAAGCATGTCGCGCAACCGCTGTTGTTGTGACTCCACCAGCACCCGTGGAATACCGCGCACCATGTAAGCCGCCTGCACATGGACGCCAGCGCGGCTACTCGGAACAGGAGTCACAATCGGACAAGTTCGCAATCCACTCGGTTCCATGTGCCGATAGAAGTTGAAAACATATTCTGGTTCGAGTTCGGGGTGGAAGATACGGATCTGGTCCCGGAGGATCAGATCCGGCCGCAGAACACCCTGCTCGAAGATGGGGTTCGGGTCCGTATATTTTGTGGCATCAAACAGATTATCACAGAGAACTGCCGTCCAGTTCCGGGCGTAGGTGTAGTTCTGAAGCACTTGAGCCACCGTCTTCTCGGTCGGCGTTGTGATCGAAAACCCGGTCCAGAACTGCGAGCTATTCGCGCCCAACAAGGTGAGGTTGAGGCCGGTGTCCGGCTTTCCGAGCGCGATTCCGTTGTCAAAACAGTAGGCAAGTTCCTGAGGCAGTTCCTCGTCGTTTTCTCCAAACACATAATAAGCGTTGGCGTCTCGAATGAAGGTTGCTTGGTACTTGGAGCCGAAATAGAAAGTCGAGTCGTAAGCGTAGCCGTACAAAACCGAAGGACGACGCTCTGCGGTCTGCGCTAGACCTTTGGCTTCCTCGTAGCTCCGGACAATATCACGAAACTGTTCAGACGTCTGGGTTGGAATACCAAACAGCAAGCCGAAGAGCTTGACGTATTCCGCTCGACCGAGTGGTGTCGATTCGTAGTCCTCACCAAGGAAGAGAACGGATACATTTTGTTCTGCAGGACGCAGGGTTCCGTTCCGGAGAACTTGTCTCCAGTCAGCGTCCACCTGCGACACAATGAAAACGTCAATGTTCAGGCTGGTGTTCTCCAATAGGCGCTGTAGATGCGTGAGGTTTCCAAAGTCACCGGCACAGGCGTATGTGCCCGGCTCGATGAACTCCTGTGTCGTGGGTGTACAGCCAACAGCGTACGGGGCGCCGCACAGCGACCCTGGAGTGCTGGCATTACAAGCCCAACCATGGATGTATCCTACCTCTGCAAGCGCCTTAAATAAGGTGCCAGTTAAATAGTCTGGTTCCTGGAAAGCGCGAATCGCGTACGGTCGAACAATCCCGTAACCAACATATCCCGCCTGGAGGGTATCGGTGAGCGCCAGTCCGCGGGGAGGAACCGCATGGACTTGCGTGACCATCCCGGTGCTGTTAAAGTCGGGGTGCTCGGTGGTATTGAAGCCACAGCGAACGAAGGCGTGCACTTCCCAGAGTCCGTCTGCGTCGACTTGCATGGCGAGCTGGGCCCACGAGCCATCGCTTGCAGCAGAGTAGTTACGTAGCGTCTGTGCATGGTCAAACGAGAACGATGTGGGAAATACAGCATAACTTGAGGTGTCACAACGATCGAAAACATGTGCACGCGCAGGTGGAACTGTCAGCGTTGCGACGAGGAGGAGCACGAGTACGAACAGCACGCTCCTGTGGGTTTGCAGCGCGGGGCGCAGCTTCGGCTGTCGTTTGCCTCTGCAGTGCGCTTGTGGTCTCTTTTGCTGGGGATTGAGGATCATAAAGTTCGTGTGATCACGCGATCCTGACGTTCGCAGTGTCTCAAGTCCAGATCCTTGTTATAAAGAGCCTCTGGGATCCGAGTGATTCGCAAAGTTCGTCGCAGTGTCCTTCGCGGCGCTGCCGAGTAAAAGGCTGTCAGTGGTGCAACTCCAGTTTCACGTACGCTTTCAGTAATTGCTTTCGGTCTGCTGTGGTTCCTAACGAGCACAGCAAATACCCTTCGCGCGGTTGCACGACAAAACTTAGTCGTTGAGCCAACACCAGCCTCACTCCAGTTTTTACGCGCTTCCTTTACAGTAGCCCTGCTTCCTGAAAATGAATACCCTCAGTACTGCTGTAATACATACGGTAGGCGAAAGGCAGTATCAGTTTCACGGTACTTTTCTTCTCTTGTCTAAGTTGCTCGGCAGCTTCTTCAGGTTCGCAACGTGGCTGCGGCTAACGCAGCGCCACCGCGACGCTCACGGCGCTTACCGACTGCAGCGCTCCTTGTCGCTGGAAGTCTCAACGAAAACGCTTCCTCTTCATTGCGTACAAACTGGTAACGATGCGTGCTTGGAAACTCGAAATACCACCTGGAGCAGATATAAGACAACCACATGCAAAACCTGGTGGAGACGAGGTTTCTCTGGTTGAATTAAACGCATTAGGTGTGTTGTACCAGTACTTCGCACCGAGTGACTACGATAAGAGCGGGACTGAGACTCACGCTCGGTGGCTTCAGTTCCGAAGCGATCACGGTTTCAAGTACGCTGATGTGTTGGAGGTGTCTCCTGAACAGTTACCTGACTTTGAGTCGAAACTTCAGATGTTTTTCGAGGAACACATCCACGCTGATCCAGAGGTTCGCTACGTTACTGCAGGTAGCGGTTATTTCGACGTACGCGATGAGAGCGACTCCTGGATACGAATCGCGGTAGAGCCAGGGGATATGCTGGTATTACCGGCAGGAATTTATCACCGCTTCACAGTGGACAGTAGCAACTACATTCGGGCTGTGCGTCTATTCGCTGACGAGCCGCAATGGGTACCGATCAACCGAACGTCTGCTGAGCGTCATCCAGCACGCTTGGCATATGAGCAGCTATATCCGGAGCGCAGTTTCAGTACGGAACCAGAGCAACAAGCGCTGCGTGTTTGATTGCGGTCAGCTGTGTCGAGTTCCGGGTGTGGCTCGTTCGAGGTGCGCTCCCGTGTCGCTGGCTCAGAGCTATCAGCGGCGTTTGTCGGGCACAGCGCACGATCCCAAGAATGTAGCGCGCTCGGACAGGGGTGCGTCTTTCCGACTGTAACTGGCGAGCCCGCTTTGCCATTTTGTCTTGCGTTGCTGCGGTACGGCTAGCAGGTGACCGCTGCGCGCTCGAGTCTACGAACGCTGCCTGCTCTCTGATGTTGTACGTACGCGACCTTCGGGACGATCAGTGAGGATTCGGCTCCCGCTGGCGCAGAGGAAAGAAGGGAGCACGCCTGGAGTAACCCTGCACATTTCGTGAGCGGTCGTGGTTCCTCTCATCCACGATAATGATGAGGCAATCGCCAAATTTCAAATCGACTTCTCTTTCTTCTGAGAGGGTCTTTCAAGACCTGCACTGATGAGAAGCATGCGATAATTCTGAACGAGATAGAGAGGGATGCATCGGGTGACTTGTTGCAAGTCTGCGAATAGCAAGCTTGCCTGCGTCATCAGTTGAACAGCGACGCGTTTCGCGAAGTTCAAGGTCCTACGATTCCTTGGACGTGCTTGCGCTTACCGGCTACGAGCTGGGGCCCTTGGGGGCGTCTTGGAGCATCGCCAGGTTTCTGTTTGTCTGTGGACAAACCGCTCGCTGTTTTCGGTGCACGTTGTTCCAGGAAGAATCTGTCCAGTCGTCAAGTAATCACCAGAAACACAATTCAGTAGAATTCAGACGCATTGCCACCGGGAAGTGGTAGACTTGGTACACGGGAGCATCCCGTCGCGTACCTTAATGGACTGCTATCCAGTGGGCGCTGCAGGTACAGCGACTGATGCGCCAAAATTAGATGATAGAAGGGCAGTGTTGTCCGAGGAAACGGGCAGATAGAGCGCAGCATCCACAAGACATGCTCTGAGCAAAACCTTCGCCTTTGTGGATAAACTTTGAACGTTTTTGGATGCCTCCGATATCCACCCGTTTCCTCCGATCTAGAGCGTCTTCAGAAGCTTGATTATTGCCTTTAGGGCGTTTCGAAACCTGCGGAGCACGTTTCTACTCGTTTAGACGGCTTGCGTAGCTGAAGCGCAGCCCGCTGCCGAACGTAGGCGTCGGTCAGGACCACTCACCAGGACGTGAACGTAAACCAGGCACTCCGGTCAGAACGGAGGATACGTGCCCCAGTACTGGACGAGCCAAAACATCTTTTGTATCGATCGTACACATGTCACGAGACGGTAACACCGGTTTCGCCCGCCTGTTGACCTAGAAAACTGCAACAATTCGATCGCTTCTCCAATAGAGCATGTCGTACTGCGTATGGTGAGCATGACGCAACAGCGTTCTTGATCGTTATCGAAACGACTAAAATCTGTCAGAGCTGACGTATCAGCCACTGCGGCTACACGGTGTTCTGGAGGATGAGACGCGTTTCTAGTCTACTCAAGGAATCACGAGTAATTTCCCCTGTTCGTATGGACACTGTTAACTGTCTATTCACGTCTGCTCTAATACATACCTTTCGTTGCTCATTACCTATCACCAGACTAAAGAAAATCCTTTCCCTTCTACCGGTCACCAGCGATGCCTTGGCGATGCCTCGAAACGATGAGGACCCGCCCCCGATGAAGAGGCGATTTTCTCCCGTCTCAACGTTCGATCCGGATCTCGGGTTCGCACTTGCCAACCTCAATTTTTGCGCCTGCTTGGTATGCACTATATTAGGGGTCCTGGGCGTTCTCTAGATTGAGGAGGAGGAGGAGCAGCAGCAGCAGCAGCAGCAGCAACGAAGATAGCACTGTTCGAGCTTAGATACATGGAACCAGCACGCCCCGTTCCCCGTTTACGTTCAGTGCACTCGATCGCGGGGCTCCTTCTCGTAGGCACCGTTGCGTCGCTGCTAGCCAAGATCATTTACGGCGTCGAGAGTACAGGTAGAGACGGGCGAATTCGCCCTTTTCGAAAACCGTTGTTTGAGGTCTTTTCCATGTTTCTCGGAATGAGTCTGTGCCGGCTTCTGGAGTGGATCCAGCCGCCGGAGCAGCTACCACCGGCTCTTCTGGCGCAGACGACTAGCAGCGCCTCAGCGGATCCACTGGCGGACGTCCTTGTGCGCTTGCCATCACCATGGTGTGAGCTGCTGCTCAAAGCACACCACTGGCTTGGTGCCCTCACACCAGCAGCTACCCACGTGATTCTGGTACCCGCTGTGCTAGATGCAGCAGCAACCATGCTCATGTGCACAGGTCTCTTATTTGCGCCAGTCTCTGTGTATCAAATGCTCCGCGGTAGCATGCTGGTGTTCTGCGCTATTTTTTCAGTAACCCTATTGCGGCGGCGACTGCACCTGTACAATATCCTTGGTGTTGCGTTGGCTCTCGGGGGAATTACAACCGTCGGACTCGCCTCTGTGGCCGGGGAGGAGGACCTAGAAGCTCGCGGAGCGCTTCTGGTTGGCATCCTGCTCATGATTGCTGGCCAGGCGATGCAGGCACTGCAGGTGGTCGCCGAAGAGCACCTCCTGCAAAACTTGCTGCTGCCGCCCATGCAAGTGGTTTTCTACGAGGGCATCTACGGAGTCGCACTGTGCCTCTGTATCATTTTCCCACTTGCATACATTCTTCCGGGCAACGATTATGGACACCGCTGGGAGGATACGCTGGACTCATTGGTGATGATCGCCCATTCGGGAGTCCTGGTGTTGATCTTGCTCTCTGACGCCACCTCGATGCTGCTATTCAACATGTTCAGTATGAACGTCACCCAGCTGAGCTCTGCACTCTTCCGGACCATGCTTGAAACGCTCCGCACCTTTCTGGTTTGGATGATTGACCTGTGGATCTATTATCGTTGGAGCGATGGCCGCTTCGGTGAGGCCTGGACCCGCTACTCCTGGCTCCAAGTTGTCGGCTTCCTGGTCGTCGTCGCCGGCACCTGGCTCTATAGCCAGCATCCAGTATCCATTGGACCGGAGCCCGCTCCAGAAATGGAGCACTCCCGAGCTTCGACGGAAACAACGCACGCGCTCGCAAAACAGATGTTGCCTGACGAGGAACTTGAACGCCTCCTGGTCGATAGAGACCATGTTCGTTACAGCACAGGCGAGACGACGGCGGCCCCGACGAGTATGTCGCTCTCGCCCGAGGCCGGCGAAAGCGTCGGTGAAGTTGCTGAACGTGAAAGCATGCAGGCAAGGGAGCCTCGACTGCTTCGCGAACGTTTGCGCGCTAGCCCCGCGACGTCACTCTACGGCACGTCACCTGCGTTTTTCATGCACCACGGTGGTACGATTCCAGCTGTCTACGTCGGATCACCTCTACCCTTCGCTACGATAGGATCGCAACGAGAGGCCCGACTCCGGCGAAACAACCTATCCAGAACCGCATCATCGGCTTCAGTCTCCGATGAGGATTCAAATGCGGGCCCATAAATTAGTTTCCGTGGCATGCTTTTCGTTTCAGATATCATCGAGTATGCTTTTCTGGTGTAGGTCTGGATGCGTTTAGCGCAGGAGACGCGCATGGGTCTCCAGTGGTCTCGTTGCCACACTCGACGTTTTCGACGCAAAAACGGGAACGTAACGGGCGTGCTCACAAGGTGCACGGTCTCGGCAGCGGTTGCCGCATGTTTTGGGTTGAGCGTCCCGCCAAATCTGAAGGTGCAGGTGGAGTTCGTTACAACTGGAGATAGAGCCTCACGTAGACCAGAAGTGCGCGCTATATCAGTAGACACAAATACAGTACGTGATCTAGAGCAAAAGATACAGCTGTCGCATGACTTTGGCCAATTCGCAGAGCGGCAGCAGCAGGTCCAGTACCTGGTACAACCACAGTAGTTACAAACGACTCGGATGAGCGTTGCGGTAACAAACCAGATGCACCACTCGCAATGTGTTCAAGCGCTACGCTTCTTGGCAATACTGATGCTTGCCGCGTTCGCTGTACAGCTACAGTCTCGAAAAGTGCTGCAGCGTATCCACAGTGCATCGTTTCGAGCACGGGTTGCGGAGACTTTTTCTAGTCGGCGCTTACTGGCGACGTACCGTCTGTTCGTACCGAGTTCAGCACTCAAAGACGTCGTTGGTGCCAGCTCCATAAAGCTACCACTGGACGAACAACAGCACGTTCGTAGTCTTCGGCTCAAAGATGGTGCTGCGGTAGAGTTGTTCGACGGGAGTGGGCGTCTTGTGCTTGGACGCCTCAGCGACCGTGGACGTAGCGTTAATGCTTTGCAGTTGTTAGCGTCGGAGGCGGATCCAGGGGCTGAAGCTTCCGGGCGAGCAGCGGTCTCAGTGGTGTGCCTGGTCGGGACACCAAAGTCAGCACAGCGTGCGGACTGGATGATCGAGAAGTTAACCGAACTAGGCGTAGTGGCTTATCGACATGTGTCATCGACTCGTGGGGAGATCGATGCAGCGCACGTTCAAAAACGGGCTCTGAACCGGTGGCACCAGGTATCTATCGCTGCCGCCAAACAGAGTCTGCGACGGACGCTCCTGGACGTTGGTGGTCACCACTCGAACCCAGGCTCGGGCTGGCTGACAGGGGTGTGCTCGGAAGCCACGATAGCGTTCGACCACCTGGTCCAGTGGATAGAGAGCACTGCATCCGCGAACCAGGTATTCCTCCTGGCAGCGCCCGCAGCTATGCAGACCCTGATGACGTGGCGAGCAGATGCTTTTCCGCTGCGCACTGCATCCGCTTCATCCATGATGCCGCGACGTGTTGTGTGCATCATTGGACCCGAGGGTGGCCTCACCAGCGACGAGGAAGCAGCGCTTATAGGAGCTGGCTCGATCGGGGTATCGTTGGGACCGCAGCGTCTTCGAACAGAGACGGCTGCCGTGGCGTTTGCTGCAGCGCTGTTAACCCCGTAGCGGATACTGACTGTTCGATCGCACGCAGCGTTTTGAACTGCAAGCCTGTGAGCGAGCTATTCCGTTGATGAACAGTGTTTATGACTGGTCTTTGGTGCTATGCGTCTTATAAAGCGAGTGTTTGCGTACTTTTCAGAAAGCAGTCGCTGCACCGGCCAGAGGCAGTCTCCAAGGAAATAATTCGAGCAGCTGGCATCGTTTATCGCATAAGGAGCCGAACGTATTTTGCTGGCGTATTCATGTGTGCAGACGGAGCGTTGGAGAAGCTGGCGATGGTGCAGATACTCTTTGAACCCCAGTTTCAGAGACAGAGCCGCACAAATGGAGCTTTGGCGAGCTTCGCGGCGGTGTAGTCGTCCTCTGCGGGCCACAGAGAGGTTCAGAGAAAGACACATGCATTCTGCCCGGTGGATTCCTGGACACGTTGGTTTACAGATTTGGAAGGCATAGACCTGCATACGCCGGGAAAACTATCCACACGCTGTAGCAGCACGCTTTCCGGTCGACGTCGACTGGGGTCACGCCGTACGCGGTTTCCGACATGTCGATGCAAATGAACATCGGATTCGTTCTCGACAAGCTCAGACGATCGTGTCCTCGTTGCAGCGGGGCGTTTTCGTGACAAAGATGCAGAGGTGCGTTCGGCAAGACACTCGCAAGTCTCTGAAAAGATCCCTGCCGCACCATTCACGCTTCATGCTTGGATGGCGATCGCGTGTCGTTTGCAGAAGCGCTTGCAGAGTACGGCCTTTTTATGAAAACTCACTGCAGGCGTCTTCCAACAAATCTGATTTGAATCATCCCACGATGGTTTTCCAACGCAAGCACTTGCATCGTTGCGCTCGAAGGCCGGCTACAAAAGCTTGGAGAGCGTTTCTTGGATGCCGGCAAAGCAACGACGGTGAAGCAGAGCGTACAAATTATGCGTTGAGCATTGCTGCGGTATCCCTGGATGATACCTATAAATCTGACCTACCCGCTGGTCTGGCGAGGTCCATCTCTGATCAACATCCAGCACCGACGCGGACGCAAGGTTGCCAGTCGTTGGTCGCTCCAGAGCCGACAGCATCCGCCGCGTCCCGTGACAAGGCCTAGACCTGGTTGTTCACCGTTTCGCCTTCATCAGCATTGTCGGAGTTCTGAGGTCTTCGTGACATGCTCAAGAGACCGCATGGGAAGCACACGATCGCGAGAATAAACATAAGAATAAGCAATACCAACAACAGCGGAACTAGAAGCACCACAAGCAGGATAGCGACGACCAGACCAACTACTGGGAGGCGCAAAATGAAGAGAAGCCAACCAGGTATCCGAACAGCCGGCCCTTGGGCCATACGTGCCTCCCACTCAGTGTAACTCTCCGTCGCCCCCGTGCCCTGTAGGCGATCGCCCAGGTACAAGTCGTACATCTTCCGCTTCACAGGATTAGTAAGCGTTGTATGCGCAATATTGACCTCCTGGAACGCCTCCTTGGCGCGCGGTAAGTTACAGCGGTCCGGGTGCAAAAGTAGCGAGAGCCTCTTATAATTTCTTTTTATTTCATTGACATCTGCACTGGGTCTTACGTGCAGGACCAGATAGTAATTGTTGTTCTCGGATAGGATACGCTGGATTTCTGCTTCCGCGCTCGTGGGGCGCCATTCGCTCCCCTCAACAGAGGCCTTGGCCATAGCCAGACTTTAGCGCTTGAGGTCGCAGCAGCGCCCACACACAGGCGGTTTGCTCCTAGCGTACCGACCGCACGACCCGAGTGACGCTGTGCAAAGCGGCTCTTCGCCCCAGGGGCGCCCCGGGGTGCAGTCGTGGACACGGCGGCACTGCACTGCACTGCACTGCACTGCACTGCACTGCACGAGTAGGACAGGCGTGTCGCGCGCGCCTGCGCCGCCGTCGCTGCTGCGCGCCACGACGTCGTGCGGCGATGCGACTGCGCGCGTTGTCCCGCCGATGCGCGGCGTGTGCCGTACCAGGCCCCGTTCCTGGGCCGGGATTAGTGAACCAGTTCAGAGTGCCTTGGATGTGCCTGTGCTGCCAGTGAACAGCGACTAGAGTCCAGTTCCATTACAAAATCCACAGGATTTCACGAGATCCTGACAAGGATTCCCTCAGGGATGCACGTGGGAATCGCGGTGCCCGGTATCCGTTGCTTGTGCATCGCACGGATTTCTGCGGTCTCCGGCGGGCACGTCGGACTGGAGTCGTCCAAGAGCTCGATGGCCGTCCGCAACAGGGGAAGCGCAATCTGGTACCCTCGAGAAACATCGAGGAACGTGAATCACAATCTAGACGTGCGTTTTGGTACTATGGTTGAATCCTTCTCCAGGCATCTCTCACATGATGTCCATTGCGTGATGCGTGCGCGGATGCGCGCGATCGCAGGGCACGCGATAAAGTTGTATTCGCGCAGCCCTGGGGCTGAGCGCCATCTGTCGAGCTCTGGCAGGTCTAGGCATACACCGCCTGTGCAGTGAACCCAATACCTGCTGGCTGCTGTGAGAACGCTTCGGAATCGTGAGCGAACCCAGCCAGGTGCTCCTACGCCCATGCTCTCTGTATCGTACTCGACAGGTGCACGCGGTATCCAGCGCACGGATGCAGGTTGCAGTACACGCCCACCGCTTTCCATTCTTGGTGCTGTTCATCACGAGGACACATAGAAGTGGAATGCCTTGACGCAGCCCTGTCGGACAGCATGTGCGTCCATATTCTACCCAAGGCGGTCGCATGCGCTCTCCATGGATCATTGCACTTTCGTGACCGGACGCAATGCTCGTCGGCAACGGAGTCTGCGCATGCACGCTCGTCCAGAAACATCGCACAAATAGGGATCGCTGGATCTTGTAAACGACGCTGAAGCTCTCAAAAGGAAAATGCACGCTCATCTCCACGAATTGGCATGAACTGGGCAAGATGAACGCCGCTGCGTGTACGCATGCGTCCGAGTGGCGGTAACAGGGCGCTCGCACCGCAGACACCTTCCATATCGCGATACAAAGGCGTGTGGAGCGCTCCGCCGAACCTGGTGAGCTGCGCGAGCGATTTGCGCAGCGCTTGTCTCCGCTGCAAAGACAAAGAACTCGATTTGGTCTATGACCTCCATGTGTATCTGAACGCACTAGCCTTATGCGAATCGAACGAGGTCCCAGATCATGGCACGCGAATGGCTGGCTGCTCACAAGTCCAGCGCCAAGCACGAATCCCTGTAGCACCATTTCCCGCGCCAGCAGCACCTGAGCAGCAGTTTCACGACTCGGACACCTGCAGATGCCACATCGGTGCTGACGCTACCGTCTAAACTCGAAGTATCCATATGACTGTTCCATTGACTGGAAGCTTGCAATGCTGAAGCTCACAACTCTACCATGCGTCTAAGTCTTCGTTTACGAACTCGTCGGCATGGAGCATAACACACCAACGTGCGCGCACGCGATCCTGAGACGGGATACACGACATGAATGCCGCTCACAGCACGTTGAGAGCAAGTGCGTATTTGGGCATCCCTAGCCTGTATATCAAAGCTCTGTCATACAAAAAAAGGAATGAACGCCGCTCATACCATGTTGAGAGCAAGTGCGCATCCGGGTATCCTTAGTCTGTGTCTCAACGCTCTGTCATACAAAAAAAGGAATGAACGCCGCTCATACCATGTTGAGAGCAAGTGCGCATCCGGGTATCCTTAGTCTGTGTCTCAACGCTCTGTCATACAAAAAAGAATAGACACCGCTCACAACGTTCCAGTGAGTGCCGCCGTTGTCGGGCGCCGAATGCGAACAACCAGCAACCTGATTGGGATCTCCGCACGCCTGCACCTATGACGCTACAATGAGCTGGTGCGTACGAGTGCTCGGGTCAAGCGTCGCTGCTGCTGCTGCTGCTGTTACTAACGCCGCGAAAAAGCAGTTTGCGTAAGCTTTTGGTACGCTGTGGACCAGCGCTCTGCTGTAGAGGCAGTGCGGTAGGCGTTGCTTCGAGCGGCCAGGGGTGCTGTTCGCCCAGACGATCACTGGTAAATATGAGCGGAGACTCGGGTCTCCCAGCGCCAGGTCGTCGAGCAGAGGGGGCACCCATTGGCGATGTAACCGCTCCTCTCCCAAGCGAAGTGAAGCATAGTGAAGGTCAATTCGATGAGAGTCGACTGGCATCCATCATCGCGCGACTGCAGGACTGGGATCAAAGTCTGAGTCGCCTCCGCCGGTTGTGTGCACTGCTAGAGTCCGAGGGCGAACAGGCACGTGGCGAGCTGTGGGCGCTCGCTGCCAGCACCGACTCGTTGGCAAACTCAGTTCGAGCGGATCTTGCGCTGCTGTCAACTGAACAGGAAAAGAGCTTCATGAGGCCGGGCCAAGCTGGAGCCGTGCTCCGTCTCCACAAAGTTCGGCGAGACGTTGAGCGTCTCTCACGAGCACACGCGAACGTCATGGAACTTATTCAAGATTTAGAGAGTGAGGTTTCAGAGTGGGGCATGGATACGCAGCCAGAACTGGAGGTCGTCGACCCACAAATACCAGCTGTAGCGCGGAGCGAGTACCAGCATCAGACAGTTGTCCCGAGTGGGCGCGCAGCGACGCAAACGACGCCAAAGCGGACCTCCCCAGCGACGTCACCGGACCGGGCAGAGCCGTACGGAACCTTTGAAACTGACCAGCGGCGCTCTGCTGCACAGACTGTACAAGTCGCAGCGGAATCGGAAGAGGCCCAGCTGCAAGCCCGCTATGATGCCCAGTATGCAGTGCACGACATGCAAGAGCGGCAAACGCTCCTTCAACGCATCCAGAACAGCGTGCAGCAGGCGCACGCTATTTTTCTGGAGCTCGCATCTATGACGGAAGCGCAACAACAGCCTTTAGACGATATCGAAGCGCGGACGCAACGCGTGCGATGCGAACAGGAGAGTACCGCTGAAGAATGGGCACGATTTGCCCGTCGACGCCGCACCCGACGTCGGTTTTGCTTCTGGTTCTCCATATGGATGACGCTGGTACTTCTGTTTACCATTTATGTGTTGTTCCACTGACGCATATGCGCATGCAGCCACTGAAGCAGGCCCTGTTGGGCTCAGATGATCTGAGTCATTCGGAACTGCAATGGCCTCCGAGCGAACGCACCTCCCTGTCGGACGGCTTTGAGCGGCGCGCATGCGGCAACAGCTGCAAGTGTTCTCGGATGGCATGCTGCTGCTTGTGACGTCTAGCGGCGGGCAGTAGTGCCAGTCTAGTACTTTTGTGTAGGTCGACGGCTGCCGCAGACTCATGAAGCTGTGTGACCCAAGTCACGATTTGTAACGGATACTGGACAGCGCACTCCAGGCGGCCACCGAATCTCCGCAAAGTAGTCAGGACGACGGGACGTACAGTGCTGTGTGGCTGGAAGCGTTACGGCAACTGCAGTGCCCGAAGTCGTGCACTCAGATCGGCTTGCTCCTGTTGCAATCGTTTCCTCTCCTGGGCCTGAGCGAGGTCACGTTGTAAAAGTGGTAAAGTAGGGGCCGTTCCCAGCGCATGACTTAGCTCGAGGTTGTTCTCCTCTGCCGTTTGTCGAATAAGAAGAGCGACCTCATCCTCCTCGGGTGTCTGACTCGCAACCCCGGCGCTTACACGATCAAGTCCACTATTTATGAGAACGTCGCGAACCTGGACGTCGTCCAAGCGATTCTCCAGGAGCTGAAGCGAACTCTCCAAGCGCTCCACGTCAAGCACGCGAATAGCGCTATCCATGTCGGAGGCGAGAAGGCCCATTTCAGAGCCAATCTGGCCCAAGTCGCGCGCTGCTTTGAGACGTCCCACGACTGCGTCTAGACGAGCCGCCAGTCGCAGATAGGTCGTGCGCTCTCTCGCTTTGCGAACAGCGCTCTCTGCAGAGACCACGCTCATCTCCGCGTTTCCCGACTTGAGCGCTGCCTTGAGCTGCTCCACGTACCGCTCTCTCTCGCGTTGGCAACGGTTTGCTTGACGTCGCAAGTGTTTTTCCAAGAGAAGCAGCTTGAAAATATGCTCTTGGTATCTTTTTGAGGACGACTGGGCGAGTCCCATGTTTTAGGAAACAACCAAGAAAAGTTGCAGGAGAAACAAATGAGCGCACACGTGTGCTGTCTCCGAACACCGCTCCGGTACCAGCCCCATCGTTTGCGAACGGCCGCCTCTGGACAGCAGCGGCAACGGACAGCAGCGGCTAGATGGAGCGCTAAGAATCGGCCTTAACTGAGCGCGTTGATTTTTTCGATGACAAAACGTTTCACATGGGCCATGGATCTCATATCGCGGGACGGATCATGGTAATCAAAAAACGTGTATCATACTGCCACACGCTACCTCCGAGTCCCATTACTTATACTTCCCTCGGATATACTGATGGTTTCGTATGTTCTATCGATCGCCGATTACCTGCCGTGAGCACCCGCCGTAGCGCGTATACCACCGATACGGATGCTGCACGGAGACAGAACGGCGTTGCGATACCACTGAGGGCGTCGGATCGATGTGTTTTTATAGGACATGGAATCGGAATCCCTTGCCATTCTGGGAGCTTGCCGCAGCGGGGAGCGATATACCAGAAGACCACCGCGACCAGGGCGACGCTAAGACGCAGCATACCCACTCCTTGTTCCAGAAGAAACTGCGTTGTGGACGAGTTGCTCGGGTTTCGCTAAAGCAACAGCCAATGGGGCGATCATGCAACACAGGCCCGATAGACTCGTCCGGCTCGCGGGACCTTCCGCCCCGGGGGTAAACTATCGGCAATAAAGAAAGCCTTCCCCATTTTAACTGTTATCGCACAGGGGGAAGCAATCGTAATTTCGTTGCCAGTTAACGATTCGTTTCTGTTCCTTGTTCTATGCGGTGCGGTTGAGCAGCGCACCTGGAGATCTGGCGGTCACGAGATCGCGAAAAATATCGCACCTACCGCTTCAACCTTAGTCGATACGAGGGTGACCAGGATATTTACACCTACGGGGCCGTGAAGTACCTCACGAATCTGAAGAACCATTTGACGATGAACCTTGAATGTTTCATGATACGCGCCGTGTTTGCGCTTTACGCGGGTATCTCTTGCAAGGGGATATGGGCGATTATCAATGGCATCACGAACGGTCGCAGGTATGAAGATGAGGTCGCATTCGTGGACATGAGGGTATCAAACGGCAGCACGAATGAAGCTTCTGTGATCCGTGCGGTTATACAAGAGCACCGTGCGGTACTGGGGTTGGCGAATCCAACAGACAAGATATCAGCGTTGAAAAAAAGATAAGGAAAGATACTATCGCCTCGTCCTGCGCTATTTTGTGTTTCTGGACCGAGAACTCGAACGCAAGGCACAGGTGGAGCTAAGTGAGGAAAAAAATGAAGAGTGGGAGAGACGGAAGGCTGCGCTTCTGGGGAAGCGCTTCAACGTGGTTCCAATGTGCAACATCAAGTCACATTTTATGACTATCGGCTCCGGTGTCCTCTACGGCATCATGAGGGAGATCAGTCCCGAGTTTGATGTTAGCAGGGAGGAGTTCTCCGGTGAAGTCCGGGAGACGTACTGGAAAAATATCTTCAATTTCAAACGTCTCAAAATGAGTAAACAAAAGGTATTCACTGGAATGATCGAAACCGATGGGTAGCCATATGTGTACACTATCGGCGATTGAAGGCAGATCGTCCAGTTCCGCCCTCAGCTGCGCCCGTGACGAAGGATGCAGAAAACAAAGAGGCGGATTCTGCGACGCAGGAGGTCGAGGATTACGACCTTGTCGTTGACGCGGGGAAGGATGATGATGAGAAGAATGCGGATCCTGTGATGCAGAAAGTGCAGGATAACGACTTTGTCGTTGGCGCGGACCCTGGGAATACGAATATCATGAACATTGCAGTACCCAGGCGTGGGGAAGATGGTACTGACGGTAATTTACGTCAGAAAGACATGCGTTTTTTCAGGTTCTCGAGAGCGAGATACTATCGGGAATCGGGAATCATGAATGCGAGGAAACAATTCGAGATATGGAATGCAGGAGTGAAGGATCACCTGGAAGCGATGAGCGAGGTGACTAGCCGAGGAGAGGACTTTAAAGCTTTTCGGAAATTCATAGAAGTTCGCATGGCGCACTGGGATGCGCTATGAGAGGAGTATACCAAGCCCCGGTGGGCTCGTCTGCGTATGAATCTGTACTCTGGGAGGCAGCGGGCATTTGCCAACTTTTCCAATGAGTTGAGTGCCCTGAAGGACGACGAGGGTCAGAGGCTCGTTGTAGCATACGGAGCAGGGCACTGGAAGACCCAAAAAGGGACTACGGCAGCTCCAACAACAAGAACGTACAAAGAGTGTGCGCAGCGTTTGGTTACAGTATCGATCGTTGAGTTCCGAACGTCCTATACACACCATGAGCTAGGGTGTATACTTCAGAAGGTGGAGATGGAAAAGTGCCAGAGGAGCCCTGAGGATATGAAAAAGTACGGACCGCTGACGGAGGAGCAAATGGAAAGGAGAGCGAAATTTCGTGGACTACTTGCATTAGTGAGTACAACCACCAACGGCACGAAACGTACGGATTTTGTGAACCGAGACTTTAACGCCGCTGTCAATAAAAGGAGATGTGCGGTGCTGGAAAGTAGACCTTCAGAGCTGACAAGAGAGAACTTTGTTGGACAATCTCGAAAATATGAACTATACGAGAAAAAATTGGAAGCAGTAGTGGGTGGCCGGTCCAAAAAGACCGGGAGGCGACTGCACCTCGGGAAGCGTCTTGTCTAGGGCGGGCTTCTCGCCACTACTGTACACCGGGCGCGACTCGTGCGGAACGCTCACTCACTCTCTCTGGAACCTGTATGGTTCATGCGACCAAAGGGTACCTGGTGCGCTGTGATGTACCGATGAAACAACTGCTGCTTCACTTGGATCGAGAAGAACACTTCATCATCTGTGATCTCGATGAAAAACACCTTTTCGTGAAGGAGGACGCGTTGTCGCTGATCCAGCAGAGCGTGGAAGCGCTCTACGATGAAGTATACTATGGGCCCCAAGAGCCCGGACCCCGACGGCAGCGGGCAGGCGCTTCTACTGGAACCGGAACGCAAGAGTCGCTAGACTAGAAGCGCGGCCCCTGTTGGACGAACGAGGCTCCTCGGCAGCGAAGCACGCGTTGTCGCAACGAGCCGTAAGACTTTTCGTGGGACACCAGTCAGGTGAAGTATGCGCAGCGCCAGTGCCCCCAAACCAGCGCCTAGTTATGAGCCCGCAGCACTGCATAGCCTGCGAGCATTCAATCAATGGACGCAGGGTCTTAGTTTTGAGCTCGTCTTCCCTGAGCCTTGGAACGGACTAGGGCGCCGACCTGCGGTCGCCTCGAAGAGACAGCCACCTGGCCAATCGGTAGAGATGGTGGATTCCCCATATACTCGCATACGTTGAACGCAGTTGTAGTCGCTAGGACTGCTTCGAATGGAGCGCAACTGGGTTCATTTTCAGCTGAGCGCCCAACAACTCAGATGTTAGCGCGGTACGCTCTGCCTCATACGGAGACGGGACGGAGACGCGGAGCAGGCGTAACATGCCGACGACAGCCCAGAGACGACTCCGTAGATTGCGCTTCGAAGACTCGCTCCAGAGAGAAGATTGCCCATAGATTGCCTGTTGAATTCGAGCGCTTTCTCGAGTGCATGCGCACAGGTCCATTCGCTGTAAAGCCACTGCTGCATGGCAGAAAACGCGGAATCGCCTCCGAGACTGGGCACAGCGATCCTTCAGCTGGACGGAGGTCGCCGCGCTGGTTCCCATCCTACTACTTCCACTGCTGCCACCGTGGGCATCATCTTGCGCATTGGATATCGTGGGTAGTGCTGCGGTTATCTGTGCAAAACCCGAATCCGCTGGTGCCGCAGCGGACTGCGGTTCGTTGCCCATTGGAGCATCGCCCAGCCGATAGTTGGTGCCGGCTTGGTAGCGTCTCAAGTTCCGTTGCATGAGCTGGTGGCAAAGTGCTTGCCACAGGCGACCCGGTTGATGAACCCATGAGACTGGGCACAAGCGAGTCAGGAAACCTATAGGCAGCTCGAGGCCGGCAATCAGGAGACCTGCACCCCACTGAGCGCCCGACAGATTCACGATGCCGACTGACTGGCCAACCGCAGTGCGACCGAGCACCTCCACAAGGACAACCTGTATGACAGCGGAACCGAAAACAATGCATAGGAAGAGACGTGCGCGACCGATACCTTCGAAAACATGCCGTTCGGCAATGCGTCGACTGTTCAGCTCTGATACAAGTTGCAGGAATACAAATGTGTTAAAGATAAATCCATTTCGCTGTAGCGTCTGACCACCGCAAGGATCCGAAGACGTAGAAACCGCGTAACAAGGAATATGGAACAATGGAACCGTCACGAATAACAACGTTATCATCACCGCAAGTTGATACAGCGCGATGCCGAGCATGTTCCGCACCATGGCGGGCGTTATGAGCGGCGCGTTCCGGCCTTGTGGTGGCTGCTGCATGAGTGCGCTACGTGGTGCCTCTGTGGCCAGGGCGAGCGCTCCAAATGAATCCATCACTACATTGACCCATAGAAGGGGCACTGTGGACAGCGGTAGCGTCATGCCGGCACACGCGCTGAACAGGTCGAGCGTCACCGCAACAATATTCACAGTCAGCTGAAACTGTAAAAATTTGCGAATGTTCTCCAACACATTCCGACCCCAGAGTACCGCAGCAACAATAGACCCGAGTCGATCGTCCAACAGCACCACATCAGCAGCCTCTTTCGCGAGCTCTGTACCAGACACACCCATTCCGAAGCCTATATCGGCTTCACGCAGGGCAGGCGCGTCGTTGCTTCCGTCCCCGGTTACCGCCACGACTTGTTCGAGCGCTCGAAAAAGTTGCACCAATTCGAGCTTATCTGCCGGGGTTGCACGTGCGAGCACGCGCATTCGCATCGAAACATTTTGCTGAACGGCACGAGGTAGTTGGCGAAATGCGGCCGCATCCCATACCAGCTGCACTGGGGAGGATCCCGGCTCTAGCAGCTCTGCCGCCTGTGCAATCTGCGTCGCCGTTTGCACACTATCTCCAGTGACCATACGAACGAAGACACCGGCCTGTTGCAGTGCCCGCACCGACGCGGCGGTATCGGGTCGTAGCGGATCGCTCATTCCGAAAATGCCCAGCAGAATCAATTCCGTTTCAGGCGGTTCGTTCACACCCGGGAGGTTCCCTGTCTCTGCCGGTTGCTGTTGGTCCCAGAACGCAACCAGGAGCATTCTGAGTCCCTGCTCCGCAAAAGCTTCCATCGCACTGCGGTACGCGTTGCGCTTGGACCAACTCATTCGCGTCAATGCTCCGGTACGGCAATTCATTTCGAGGACACAACGCTCGAGCAGCTGATCGGGGGCTCCTTTCACGTGCAAGCGTTCCAAACGACCGTCTGGTGCGAGCTGCTCAATGCTGCACATTTGCTTGCGAGTGCTGTTGAAGAGGTAGACACGACGGAGCGAGGAAGCGGCGCGCAGCTCCCGATACGAAATTCCCATGCGATGCAGCAGCTCCAAGAGCGCACATTCCGTGCGGTTGCCAATGTACTCCACAGTGCCATTCTGTTGATCACGCAAGTCAGCTTGGCTATTGATGGCGATACAACTAGCTAACAAGCGAAGATAGATGGGTGAAATGGTGCGCCGCTGCAGCAGATCGCTCAGCGAGCCCGCCGGTAGCGCAGCCTCCGTTACTCGGAGCTGATTCCAAGTCATTGTACCAGTTTTGTCAATGTTGAGCTGCGTTGCAGAGCCCATCGTTTCGCAGGCTTCCAGACGACGCACCAGTATGTTCTCTTTCATCATTTGACGCATGGCAAAGGCCAGACTCAGCACGACGGCAAGCGGGAGTCCCTCGGGGATGGCGACAACCGCGATCGCTATCGCGGCAGTGATACTCTCCGTGAGTTTCATAATAGGCCATGAGCCGCTCCGAATGGAATCTACCAACCAGCGAATAAAGAGCACGCCAAACACGAGGAACGCTAGACCCAGTCCAATGTAACCGATGGAGCGGGCGAGACGGTTCAGTCGAACCTGGAGTGGCGTCTGTGGTGGCGTTGGGCGCAGGCTTGTCAACAGCTGGCCCCAGACTGAGTTCATGCCCACTGCAACAGTGAGCATGGTACCGAATCCACTCGTAACGATGGTTCCCGATAGCACGAAAATGTCCGCTTCTTCATGTACCGATGGTGGAGCAGGCGATACGTCGTCGCCATCTGCATGCAGCTGTATAGTAGCAGTCGTCTTAGCAGCATTACTTGCCGCGGCGGCGGCGGCAGCAGCAGCAGGCCTATCGAATGCACCTGTCTTGGACACTGGGACACTTTCCCCGGTCAAGGTGGATTCATCACAGGCGAAATCAGTTCCCTGTAAAAGGATCCCATCCGCGGGTACCTTGTCGCCAGCGGAAAGCTTGATGAGGTCGCCAACGAGAACCCCAGGGGCATCCACAAGACGCACTTCGCCTCCGCGGAGGATTCTTACGGGGAACGCGTCCTTCACCGCATTAAGGGACCGGAAGCGGCGCTCTCGCTGCAATGCAATCGTCGCATCAAGGCAGACAACCAGTACAACAACCACGAGGATAGCACACCCATCCAGATATCCGTAGCGGGTACGTTCTGACGGCAGCGCCAGGCCCAGCACCAAACTGATCAGCGCGGCACCAGTCAGCAACACGAGGGTGACGTCGTTCCAGGCCGCGAAAACGAGTCGCAGAAAACTCGGTGGAGGTGCGTACTTTAGAAGATTCGCCCCAAAGTACTGCTGGCGAGCCACAACGCTCTCTGGATCGATACCTCGCTGCAGGTCGACTCGGAGCCGACGGGCGAGCTGCGTAACACCACCAAGCGCCTCCAAGTCGCGCAACGTACGGTGCTTGGTGAGCGGCACAAGCTCGCTCACCGTAATACGGAAGAATGCTTCGTCTTCTCTCTCGTTGCCGCGTTCAAGGTCAGCGTTGGTGACGTCAAACTGCTCCATTCTCTTCTCGAGGTCTTTGCACAAGCGGCTTCGTTGCTGTCCACGGAACGGTGCGTTGTTCGCTCCAAAAACGTCAGCTGGGTGCGCCGTGCAGCCGCAGACCCTTATGGACAGCGCCGTTGGACTGAACGTCTCAGTTTTTCAGCTGAAACTGACGTGGAAGGCGGCCTTTCTTATCCGTTATGTGATCGGGTCTTTGAAAAGCACGGCACTCTATGACGCCTTCCATGTCTGCCACCAGAGCGACTACATCATGACATTATTATGGTGCTGGCTTCGAAACTGTGCTTCCGGGGTTGAACTTTCGATTATGGCACGTGCATGGAAATCGTTGGATGCATCAGTCGCAAACGCGAGAGATGTATAGACTTCCTGGTAATTTACGGCGACGCGTTACACGTGTATCGTATAAAAACGGAACGCTGAACTGTTTGCTCTGTTCACGGGTTTCATGGGTTTCCGAGCTTCTTCGTAGATATGCGTCCACGACATGCCAAATGCGGGTATAAGGACGTTGGGATTTATACGCAGTTTCACGATTCTCGGTCGACGAGTTCGGAGTGGATCCTTTGACGCTTTGCCTCTGGCATTCGTTACGTCAGCAGAGTCAAGGTGATTGGCGGCGGCATTGAAAAACGGTTCATAAAATAACCGATATCTTTACCCAGTGCATGCGCACAAGCTTCTACTCTCATTCTATCCATGTGTGTTGGATGCACAAATCACAGATTCTTCAAGTCTTCGATCGTTCTGTTTCAAGGCAACTCGTGGGCGCAGCAACTCGAGCCGCTGGATTGTCGACGTAAAGTACCCGACGGAGTCACTTGACGACTTGTTCACAGGTTCATGCTGAAAGTTCACTGCGCGTCTTACGTCAAATAGCAATCGATTCCGTTCGAAATACAAGTCCTCATCTTTTTCAACAATCGACGAAATGACATTCGACACGAACAACGCATTCCCTCTCATGGGGTAAGCTCCAACTGGATCCTGCTTCTTTCGTTTGTAAGAAAAAGGGACTTGAACTCGGACTTGAGTCATTGCAGCGATCGCTTTCCAGAGGAGAGCCCGCGGCACCGCTTGGTACGAAGAGAGCGTCGACGGATCGAGGCGTTCGGCTTGTTCTCAACCAGGATAGATTTCCTTCCAGGTCTCGTCTCATCATAGAGACCGTTCAGCTCCGCAAATCTTCTATCGATTCGTGTAGCGTGCGCTTGCCTGTGCCGCATCTCGAGAACGTACCATGGAAATCGCCCAAATGAATCTCTTTTTCGTAGGATACGGCACCGGGTACGGAAACCGTGCAGGGCATCGAGGCGAGCATGCTTTACCCGTCAACGGCATGTACCGAGCGACGAATCACGCGTCCACTTGCCACTGGGCGGTGCCCTGACTAGATGTAGTGGCATGGAACGGGCCACACCCGACCACAATGAAGCGTCACCGCCGCGAAGGGTGCACCTAATATATCTCCAAATGAGATGGAAGTGGCACGCGATGTGAAGATCACAACGTTCGCTCGTGTCGATGAAATGCGACACCAACAACCGGAAGCGGCGAAACCGCGTCTTGGACGCCCGCATCAACATCCATCGACTGCTGGCGATGGAGCTAGAGCAAGAGACTGGCGTATGCAAAGCCGGAGATGAGACAGAGAGAGGAATTCGAAGCAATGGCCGAAAATGCCCGCAAACGTCCGTGTTAATGACATTGCCACGAGGCCGAAGCTTTAGCATGTACGCCCGTCGCTGACGACCAGTGCCATTTTCGTCGGGAATAGGTGTAGGAGCCAAAACAGAGAACTGAGTTCCCCGCGCACACGCCCCAACATCCAAATCGTTCCAGAACGGCATTCTGTTCAGAAATCGAGTCTTGATCAGTCTGGCGACCACGGCGATTGCAAGCCTATCACGAACAGCGTTTAGAGCGAGGTCGGCCTCATCGTGCTGTGGCGGGTTTGGCTCGCAGCCTGCTCAAAAACCAGTGACGAGAAACGATGCAAAGCACGAGCGAAACTGCTTCAAACACTCCGCGTTTTCTAGTAGGTGTGCGCCCACTCCCATTCTCCCAGCATTCGATGCTGTTTCTCGGCTTCGTTTGAGGCGAGTTTCCGTTGAACGAGCTTGTGCAACGTCACCAAGTACTCGATATAGCTTGGTGCGTAGCTCATGCGGTCCTCAATAAGCAGTTGCATAAAAGTCTGCTCAGCTGGCGAACGCTGACTGACCATATCCGGTGACAACAGACCGGGAAACAGAGCATAGAGTCGTTCCATAACTGGCACCGGCAGACCGGCAAGGCCCGCGTACACACCCGGCACGGACTGTTGCTGGTCGGGGTTCACGAATTCACCAATCCAGAGCAAGCAATGCCAACCATCGAGCAGCAGCCACGCGCTGTCTGGCCCGAGACGTTCACTCGTGAGCGCTTGCAGAGGCGGGAGCTTTGCTGCTCCGTCGGGAGCCGCTGCGAGCTGAGCGTCGGTCTCGCTGGTTGCAGCACTTGGCGGAGCGGCTATCGCTCTGGGGCCTGCGGGCGAGTTCCACGACACCAGCGAAGGACTCGGCACGCCAGTCGCTTCCCGCGACACCACCCCGGTACCAGGTATCGGAGTGCCGACCATTGGATCCAGGACGGTGCTGTTCAGGGCATCGAACATCAGCGGGTGCATGGCAGCCTGCATCGACAAAAGCGAACTCGCCATGAACTGATGCAAGCGATATGCACGCTCATCAGGAGCAACCTGCTCCGCGCGAAATGCTGCACTCTTCAGCAGGCCCAGTGTGTAAATAGGTCCCAGTTTCAGAGCTTCTGGTAATATCAGCTGCCCAGGACTCGATCGTGATGCACAATACCGGCGATACACAAAAAGCATATCCACAAGTTGTTCCGTGAGGTGATCACGCAGCTTCGGTAGCAATCCACCAGCCTGAACGCGAGCGGCAGCACTGCGTGCGAGCCACCCCATCAGACACGTCACATCCAGCGTTCGAAAAAGCTGCCCCAGCAGCGTGGTGCACGGAGCGGCGAGCGTATGCACACGCACGCGACGTGTCCGATCACCGGGATGCGTGAACAGCACCGCCACCTGCACGCACACGCATGGCGATACGGCGCTGTCTGCCGCAGTCGATGCATGCGCTTCCGCAGCGCTCGCCTCAGCGTCATCGCCAGTGCCAGAACGCTGATGCAGAAGCGGATGCGTAACGATACCCTCGGAGAGATCGTGACGGATGGCAACATACAGGTTGGTGCTCGTGCTCATGACCGGTATGTAGATATCGGGTCTGTCGGTACCTGGTGGCCGGAAACTTCCCAGATGCTCGCCCGTGGTGATGCCCGGCGAGCAGCGTACCCGCAGGACTGCCTCCAGGGCACGCACGGCGCGAATGGCATGGATCAGATCACGCTGGAGGCCTGCTACATCGCGGCCCTGTTGGTAATAGAAGAGCTTGCCTCCGCAGTGCTCGGTGAGCGTTCGTAGTGTAGCGAGATCGAAATACGGGAGCGGACGAGGAGTCGCTGTACCCGGGAACATGCCCGGGTGGAGGAAGAGATCCAGTGTGATTTGGGCATCTGCGAGACGCTTGCCTAATGCCGCAAAAGCGTCGTTCGCAGGTTGTAACAGCCAGCGCTCTCGGTCCATGCTGGATTTCCATTTTTGGTGGCTGCTGCGAGTGTCGAGCTCCAGCCACCGATTCCGAAGGGCCAAGCCTGCACGATGCGGGCCTAGGGATAACCCACTGGAGATGGCGAGGATTTTACCGCCGCCGATCGACGGGTCCTCGAGCAGCTCCGCTGCAGCAAGCACACCGGCAAAGATATGTGAACCGGGGCTCTCCGACTCAGCAGTTGTGTACCAGTCCGTGCGCTGGATATATTCAGCGATGGCTGGCCAGTACTCAAGGTCCGGTGACTGCAAAAGTTGCGTCGGAGGCACCGGCAAGAATGGTTCCTGTATGTCCGGAAGGATGATTTCCTGGACAGATCCAGAAGGCTGGATCGGAAACAGGTGCAAGCAGCCAGCGCTCGTGACAATAAGTGCTAGTCGTGCTCGGTGGAGCGCCAGACTCTCCGCGAGCAGCTCGCGGAAGGCTGCGTAGGGCAGCAGGGAACCGAGGCTTGGTGCGTCCGCGACCAAGACGAAAACTGGTTCACTGGTCCGTCCCTGATGACCATAGACCTCCTCCGGGACGATGTACTCGACGGAGCCGTGACTCAGTTCTAATCGATTGGCAAAGTCGACAGGCAACTGAGTGACAGGATCAAGTGGTACGAAACGATCGACGTCGACAGCGTTCAGATGATGACATAGGTTACAGATAAAAGAACGGCCGCTGTCTACATACCGAATCCCGACGTTGAGATACGCCTGGCAGCGAGAGCATCGCACCGGTCCATGCGGTCTTGTATCGATGACTGGTGGGGGTTTTTCGTCTGTAGCGTCGGCAAAAGGCGCGACGTAGACTGCGAGCGGAATACCGCTGGAGCGGGCCAAGTCCGGAGTGCGCGGCACGCTCCCTACAGTCCAACGCACATAGCGTGGTCGTGCGTTGCCTCGATCAATCTGGAAGGTGTCGACGGCTTCACGAAATGATGGCGATAACGAAGGCGTCTCCGCTTGCGTTCCTCGACCGTATTCGTGTCTGCATACGAGCACGGGGCGAGAGCGATCGATGTAGTCTCGGTCGATACCGGCGGGTCGTGGAACATCGCTCGGGCTGAGCTTGGAGGCACCCGACGGTGGACTTGTAGATTGACCTGGTGACGTAAGCGGTTGTTGTCCGCCGTTTGCGGTCCATGGGTCTCTTTGACTTGGGACAGATGAAAAAGCACTCGCGTCTGCGCCAGTTGTCATCCAGCCGTGGACGGTTCCAGCTACACCGCTTCGTGATCGCACTTGATACGAGTTGGATCCCATGGCTTGCGCATTTGCTGCTTGCGGAAACGCCCCAGGGTGTCCAGGATTCCCTGCGACTGGCCACCTCATCGATTGCGCCTGCGGCAGCGAGCTTTGGATGACGGCCGCACCGGGATGCTGGCCGCCAGGGACACCTGCTCCGCGGGGGACGGCGGGCTGCGGACCCCAGTCTCCGCCGGCAGGATGTCGCGAGGTCCCCAGAGCGCTCTGCGCGCCTTGCACTGCAGCTTGCAGTACTTGACTACGCTCTCCCAACACCGGACGAAGGCGGCCAGTTAGCTGCGCATTGGGAGCTGGCGCCGCAGCACGCCCTGCCGAGAAAGACTCCGCTGGCGCGTAGTGGGCTCCCTGTACCATACCAGGTGTCGGACTCTGAACACCCCGCTGCACACCCATAGTTCCTGCCGGTTCATTGGACTGAACAGTGTCCGATGCGGGTCCAGCGCCGGGTTCTCGAGGCCTTGGCCAAGGCGGCCCGGGCGGAGCGTGCATCGTTTCCAGCAGGTTTACACGCAGCGCACCCAAGTGCCGTTACCAAGCAAGTCGCTCCACCACTTTGCGAATGGGCACTTTGACTAGGAGGCGTGCCTCTCGCACAAAGGATGTGCTTCGGAACCAGTTTTTGGCTCGTTTGCAAGCGGGTAGCACCCGAAACTAGAGCGCGTGCACAACAATGCGTTGTCGACCAGGCGAGGGTTCATCGTTCGGCAAGCGGCCTCTGCTGCAGCGCAGGGTGCCCCAATGGTGGTCAAAATGCGAAACTCTGCTTGCATGCAGAATTGGCGCGAATGGATACGCCTTTGATCGAACGGGCGTCGTTTCGCGAAGCACCTCCGGGGGGATATTCGGTGCGGGTCTGGTGCGGGTGCGTCTGTATGAGCGTACATCGTCTCTTGCACTGAACACGCGGCGACTTGCTCTGGGATAGCCTCTGAGGTCAGCGGAGCGGGTGACTGGCAGCACCTTTCCTTCCAGGGGCTGTGCTGGAACGCGCTTAGACTGGCTGTGGGGCACCGTTTCAGGTCCCTGGGTTGCGTGGCTGGCGGCACCGTGCACGGCGGACTCGCGCGGGGTATAGCGGCTTCGCGAGTAGTTCTCGATAGGGAGCGGCTCTCTTATGGCCGAGCTTTTGGGAGAGCGGGCCGGTACTCGCGGGCCCACGCTTGCGGAACTGGAGTTTTTCGCAGAGGACTCCTTGGTGACCGTGATCCCACGGGTAAACTTGTCTCGGATCGAGCTCATCGCTGGCGACTTTGGACCTTTCACCGTCAACGAGGCGTGTGCAGTACCATTGTGGCTCGCTGTGTGCTTGAAACGAGCGGGCTATTGTTCTATCGTGCCTCCGTCGTGGTTACGGCTGAAAGCGCTCACGGCCGCGCGCGAGGAAGAAGAGCAATCCCCGGAGCTGAGCGCGAGCCTACCTTTTCATTATCAACAGATAGCGTCCTTGTTACTGACCCATGCCGCTGCTGATATTCCTCAGGCTTGTCACATTCATGAGGTGTTGGAGGATATCGTGACGGTGCGTCAGGGAAAGATCCGAGCGCTTCTCCAACGAATAGTCAGCGAGCACGAGGCCACCCGGCCAGCGCGTCTCGGGTACCTCGGATCCATTGAGTTATTTCGCTTCAGACCAGCTCTTGTGCATAGCCTGCGTACACAGAGCTCCTTACACTCTGAGAGCGCAGCGGATCACCACTGGCCGGAGGATCGCGATTTCAGCTCCATGACCGGATCGCTTTAGGGGTACCGTGGTGTTTGTTTCCCAGCAACCTGCGTGAGTCGAGCCCAGTAGGTGCGATTCCACTCTCCGGCGAGACCGGCAGCGTCGATACTGTCATGGCTTGCCGCCTTGTCTCTCACGCATGCCTGTAAAGTGCTCGGCAGAAACACCGTTGATTTCGTCGTCTCTGAATCGAACAATGCTGAGCTTTCCAGCGTTTCTCTAGGGTGCGCTCCAGCGATGCAGCGAGGGGAACCTTTCGCCCTAAAGCCGCCCAGAGGCCGGTGAGTGTGTGCATTTAGACCCTGCTGATGGAACCGTTATCTTCTCTATACAGCTATTCGAGAACTAGGACGCTCCAGTGCATTGCCTGGAGTGACACACACACACACACACGGAGTATTCAGAGCGTTCCGAGGGACCTCAGCGACAAAGGGCGCTCTCTGGACAGCGGGCACCACAGTCTCTTCGCTGTGCTACTGCGGACGATGCTGAAGAGCTCATTGCGCAAACTGCTCACGTGACGATCACCTTGAGTTTTCGCTCCAGCTGATGAAATACGCACACGCGGGTTCGAACGTATTTCGCGGTGTACCTGGTCAGCATCGGTAGCGTGTCCTGAAAGCTGTTAGAATGGTGAGTCACTGCTTCTGCTGCATGCTTATTTTTCAAAGATATTCCAACTATATGATGGTTAGAGGTCTGGCTGCTATGCCCAGCGTCACTGTTTACGTCCATTTCTCGAAAAAATGGGGTGTCGCCGACTCCGAGACGCGGACCCAGGTAGAGACGCTTCCAAAGCGAGATCATGGGCGCTCTCCCACAGACCTTCTCTGTGAAAGTGCACCCACTGCCGGGATCGAATTCGCCGGCAGAGACCAAGTGCGAGCTCCCGGTACCTAGATTGCAAGCGTCGGACCATAGAATATTTATGGTCTAAATAGTCCTGAACCGTATGATGGGACAGCAGCAGCTCGATTTCCTCTCTCCAGATTGCTGATGAGTGGTCCCAGCGCCAGCCGCTGGAAACCTGACGGTGACCAAACTTGACCTGGAATCTTGCGCAGTGCACTGCATCCCCTGTTCATGCTGCAGCGTGGACGCTGCGTCAAACCCTTGCATAGAGCTTGACTTGCGGTCCGGAACGCATTCGCCACGATCCTGCGTATCGGTTCAGTGCAGATGGTACGTGCTCAAACGCTCCATTTATATAAAGTACTATCGAATCATGGAGCTCTACTATCGATCTTTACTTGCATAGGGGGCCGTTCTCAGCACGGTCACATTCGGCGCTCCAGACTGCCTGCATTGCGGACCGTCCCTCAGCAGTGCCTTGCGCTTGCCGAGCATCCAGGTCTTTCGCTCGTCGCCAGTGATTTTTTCGTGGCAAGGCTTCAACGTTTCAAGTCAACGCCTGAGCAGAGTACTTTGTGATTCCGTTGGATGTTCGCTGGACACAGAGCCCATAGATGCTCCTGAAGCACGGAGCGTTTGCGGATGTTGATGGCGGTGTTCAAGTCTCCGTGCAGAATATGCGTTCTCGCGTGGTGACTGCTAGACGCATACCATAACATGCTTCTAATTTTCGATTGTAACGCCATCTGCCGCTAGCTGAGCCTCCCAACAGCAAACTTGTGCATCCCGTGATGTTTCACACTTTGGTTTCCTTTCTACAACAGGAAGCACCTGTGCTCCCAACGCATGAATGCCGCCCAGAATGCATCCATGGGGATCGTACGGAATCGATTCCTGCACTCGTTGGGTGCTCTCGTCGATGAAGCGGCAGTGCAGCGCTCGTGCCCTACAACACGTCCAGCGCTACAGCCTATCGCCAAACAGCACGACTTGTGCGTCATTTCCTGTTCCGATTCTTCGGTAACGTTTCCGCATGCCCGCTTGTTGCTGCTGCCGCCATGGTACCGATCCCTTTCGCGATCCTAGAGCGCTCACGTATACTCCTGACAGAGAACGTACGCGTGAGCTGTTTGGATGTAGATGCACGTCCTGATTGGAGTGTACAGGGTATCTCGACCGTGTCGATAAAGCGTTCAGGGAGTCTAGAGCGATCCTGGCGCTTCATGACACGCGCTGGAATGGCTCCTGGTGGACATCATACCGAACCGCCAATGATACCGAGCCTGGAAAAATTGAACAGATCAGTCTGCTTTCTTTCTGAAGTGTTCGCCCTCGTCCTCTATGTTCAGAGGCAAGGCGACGGCCATGATGCCCTTCAAAACGGGATCCACGCGCACCATGAAGAGTCTCTCTTCATCTACCTTGATCAATTCCAAATGAGTATCTTTGCTAGACTCAGATCTTGGTTTCACAACATACATGCAGTGTGAAATGCTGTCAATCTCCATAGACCAGTGAGCGTCGTTCCATCTATTTCCTGTAAACGAGAAGCCTTGAACGAGCTCCGCCAATACAGTTTGCAGCGTAGCTCGATCATTTCATACTGTCTCGCAGAGAGCAGCCTTTTCTTCGCTTTCTATCCTACTCGGCCAGGTGGCGTGAGCGCAATAACCTAACACAATATCCATTTCTTTCTCGGGATTCAGACACAATAAGTGGACGATGCGGCCTGACCTCGCCTTTTCAATGTCTGCATGTATCTATTCTTGCTTAAGAACATTTTCGCCACCGTCGTGAGCACACAATCGGACCGAAACGCGCATTTCCTCTCCCGTCCGCGCACGCCTTCAAACCCTGCAAAGCAGATCAGAGCTGGTGAAGATCGAGAGCAAATTTTCAAAGAATGGAATTACGAATGCGAATGACTCGTCTATGAATCCGTGAGCGCCTAAAAGGTGCTCCGCAACTGGGAAGCCGCCTTCGATTGGATTGAACTAGGGAGAAGAGGTTGAAATGAAGGGCGACGCATCGCCAACCTCAGCCGCATACTCCTTGATCGCATTTGATTGATCGGAAGCGATGTTGTCTACGAGCAGAACAGCAGAATGTGCGAAGCAGAAGGTGTCATGAAAAATGCGTCGACAAAGGATGCGCTATCGAACAATGCTGCCCGTTGATATGCGAAGCAGAAGGTGTCATGAAAGATGCGTCGACAAAGGATGCGCCATCGAACAATGCTGCCCGTTGATATACGAAGCAGAAGGTGTCATGAAAAATGCGTCGACAAAGGATGCGCTATCGAACTATCCTGCCCGTTGATATACGAAGCAGAAGGTGTCATGAAAGATGCGTCGACAAAGGATGCGCTATCGAACTATCCTGCCCGTTGATCTACGAGGGAGAAGCATGTTGTGCGCTGCTGCAATCGCCTTGCCGTACGGAACAGCGTAACGTAGTGCGGTGCTTCTGCCGTCGGAACAGCGCACTCGGTTGCAGGACACTGGGCACCCCGCGGCACCATCATTGATTACTCGAAAACAACGAAATTTATGAATTCGTATGCCCACAACAACGGCAGCTTCATTGATTCGTTGTAAGCATATGACATTTACTGACATTTATACCTACAAGTGCGACATCGACATTGAATGTTTGTCAGTATGCGACATTTATAGAAATTAACTCCCTGACAATTCCAACTGGACATCGATCGCTCCGAGCCAAACCGCTTCGCACACGAACGGGTACCAGGCTACGCGCCGTCGTCGAAGGTTAGAGTTCAAGGGTTCTTTCGTTTCAATGGAAGCGTTTCAACCTCTTCGTTCCATAGAACATATTCCACCTGTGGAACGGAAAGGACCGGAGGAACGCTTCTGGGAAACCTTTGACGAAAAAGCCCGGATCCGCTTAACCGGCGCGGTGCAAGGAGTGCACTTCTCCCCGCTGGGTTCCAACCAGGTTGCCGTCACGGCCGAGTCGCGAGTAACCATTCTCAAATCGTCTACCGGGGATTTGATCAAGAGCTTCCCGCGTACGGACACCGTTGCCTATGCTGGCCGCTACCGTACCGACGGTAAGCTTCTCGTTGCCGGGACAGAGAGCGGGCTTGTTCACCTGTACAACGCACATAGTCGATCAATACTGCGTACGTTTTCCGGCCATAAGAGGTAAGTTTCTCTCTGGATCTGATTGATCACCTAATGCCGCAGGCCTTGAGGCGACCACAGTGATGTGCAACAGGATGAGTGCATCGTTCGCGGTAGACTGCCGAGCTCGGTGCGAATGCGCTCGCACACCATCCATGAGCGAAAGCAAGAGCCCCGTCTTTTGTCCCTATCTGATCTGCCATCACTCGTTGGTGCACTCTACCTGCGGCGACACGGAGGCGGTCTATAATGAGGAGCAGGCCGTCGTTTGCGTGTCACATGAACATCAACTAACCATCCTGTTGAATGACTTCACGATATCATTGTAGTTCTGTTCGGAGCGTATACTTTACCATAGACAAGTTGCGAGTGGTGTCTGCGTCTGACGATATGACCGTACGCATCACGGATATTCCTAGTGAACAGTGCCTGCTCAGCTTACACCACGCAGACCGAGTTCGGGCCCAGACGCCGTGCCCAGCATCGCCGCATCTGTGGCTCACCGGTTGCTACGACGGCGCGGTGCGACTCTTTGACCTCAGGTTGCCCAGTCAGAAGCCCGTTCGCATGGTCTGGCATGCACAGCATGGGCAAGTTGACGACGTCTGTTTCCTCGATAGCGAGAGCAGCACCTTCGTCGCTTCGGGCGGCGGCTCGTCAGTGCGCTGCTGGGAGCTGCTCCATTCTAGCAGCGATGTGGAGGCTGGTTCACAACGCGCGCTGCTCGCTGAGCTTGAACCGCATCGGAAGGCAGTGATGTCGTTAGCACTGGATGCAACCCGACGCCGATTGCTGTCCGTGTCACTTGATGGGGCTTTGAAAGTCCACGATCTGAGCGTCCTTTCAACCTTGCATACGAGATCCATTGGAGCCGGTTGCCTCTGCATGGATCTCTCTGCCGATGGGCGGAGTCTCGCGACCGGCCATGTGGACGGTCAGCTTCGCATCGAGCGACGTGGCGTGAGCAAACCTAGTGGCATTGAAAACGAGACCAATGTGGACGAACGATCCGGTGAACCGGACTGGGCGAGTCTCGCGCGAGGTCACCTTGACCGCGGTGATGCCCTGCGGCCGTACCGTCCGGGAACACGTCGCTACTTTCTGCGTGGCATGTACGCGAAGCCCGACAGCGACATCGACGACGTGATTCTTGGTGATGGCGACTCCACGAGCGGCACAAGTCGACGACGACGACGACAGCATGATCAGAAACCCTACGATCACCATCTGAGACGCTTTGCGTACGACAAAGCGCTGAGCGCTGTCTTAGAAACGAATCAGAGTGGTTTGATCGTGAGCATGCTGGTAGAGCTCGACCGTCGCAAAGGCCTCCAAAATGCGCTCTCTAGCCTGAATGAGCAGCAAATGATAACCTTAATCGAGTTTATTGCGAAGCATATCGCGGACAGCCGCTATATCCAGGTGCTTGTACCGGTCTCGCATCTAATTGTTGACATGCATCATACGAAAGATTCTCTCTCAGGCTCCTTACTTGCCGCGCTGCAACGACTCGCAGCTCGCGTTCAACAACAGGTTCATCATCTCGGCGATATGGAGAAGATGGCTGCAGCGATCGAGCTCTTCCTCTCGTGATCCCGGGTGCGACTACCTGGAAATTATGCCGTTCGCATGAATTCGAGTCTTCCTGTGCGTTGCTTGAACATGCAACGTCCGTTTTCCCAGTCTCAAAATAGAGAGCGAGTTAGGCCCTGTGTGCACAGCGGTCATACTTCGCAAAGAGCGACCTGCAGCTCTGAGCAGGCGTACGCGACTCTCCGATGATGGTGCATCGAATACTGGGGGCTTCGCCAGGTCGCTCCGGTCGAGCGTAGTGTAAAGCCACACGCCATGTCGAGGCAATCCCATGCTCTTCCGAAACCTGCTTCGCACGTTATCATTGTGCTGCGCATGATGCTCAGGGATCACGTCCATAGACTTGGCGCTGCGCTTCGCGTATACTTCCTAGTGAATATCGCACGTGTGGGCGTCTTCGAGCGTTTTCGGTCGCTGACGACAACCGCTAGCGATCGTTGTTGATCGGAAACGCCGCTGTTATTCATAGATAGCGGAAGCATCGGCCACCGCAGCGCTTGTGCTGTGTTGTGATCGCGACATGTCCCGACAACGGCTCGTGGTACTTGTTGCACGAAATCTTAGCCATCATTCACGACATGTATGCACGGTATCCGTCTGGCCACTTTGCAGACCCGGCAACCATACGCCTTTTCTAACCTATGCTTGCAAGCGAGTCGCGGTCACGCTCGTCCATACAACGCTAGGCTACGCTGCTGGAGAGCCCGGGGCTGCTTGCCGACCGTAGAGGGTCTGGGGTTCCACGAGCACCGGCAGCGCCTCCTCGGTCTGACCGTCTGCCGCAACGCGTTGCCAGAAACAAGAGTAACGACCTGTGTGACACGCTACACCGACCTGCTTGACTCGCAGCAAAAGCGCATCCATATCGCAGTCAAAGTAAAGCTCTCGGACCCACTGGACTTGCCCTGAGGTATCTCCTTTTCGCCACAATGCTTTTCGGGAACGAGAGTAGTACACAGCTCTACCGCTCTGTAACGTCTCCGAGAGGGCGTCTCGATTCATATACGCCAACATGAGCACTTGATTCGTTTCTGCGTCCTGAACTATCGCTGGTACGAGACCAGCGGCATCGAAGCGTACCCGACGCCAGGTCTCCGCTGTGAGCTCCTGCACCGAGTTGCTGACGGAAAACACCCCAAACTGTCGCCGGACCGAACGAGGCAACGTTTCCTCAACAGTACACCACTTGCAGAAACGCGCACATTGTGCACGCTCGCTTGTCCCCGAGAAAGCGCCCTTCGTTGGCGCCCAGAGCGCTGCAGCCGCACCCGAACGTCCACCAGAGCGGAAACTTGCAGCCGGGACCCACATGTTTGCTCCGCCAGTGCAGCGTACGCAGACCCTTAGTTCACTTTATCCCAACGTGAGCGTTTTCGTACGGATCGCGCCTCCACCGCTGACCTGGTTGGTACAGCTTCGAGAGCCGCTCCGCTCCAGCGAGCTCGCCGCTCCGACGACGAACGCTGTGGCGCTTGCGGCGACAGCGGAGCATGTGCAGTCGCTGCTCGACTTTGTGGCTGCTGTGATACCGAAGCACTCTGCTGGGGCATACAGTCTGACGCCGTCAGGGCACAAACGCAACGCATGAACGGTTGTTTTGCGATGAGGAGTTCATAGAACAAGAGACGTGGTGGTGCCCACTCCCGCCCATGTACACAGCTTGACGGGTGCAGCCGCAGCGGTGTCCGCTGGAGTCGGCAGCGTTGCTCTGAAGCGACAGCTGCTGTCTGCACGACAACGGGGTTGTCATCGTCGTCAGGACGCTCGTGAACGTAGGTACCACGGCTGGTGAGTCTGGCAGTTTGGTCCGCAAAAGCGGTATATAGTGCTGCAGCTAGCGCCTCCGGGCGGGATGCCAACGGCTGCCGCAGGTAGACGGAGAGCTGTTTGCAAATGCTCTCCGCAAGACGCAGCACACGTTCGGAGATGCCGAGGCGATAGCACCAAAGCGTTGCGTCCGAGGCTGCTTTCCAGGCATCAAAAACTCGTGCAAACAAGAGAAAGTCGTTATATGCCAGAGGGTCTCGTAGTTGATTCGGTTTCGTTCGACAAAAACGGGGAACTGCTTCAGCAAGACCCCGTCTGGTGAGCAGCGGGTAGCCTGTCGACAGAATCGCAACGGCACTCAGGAGCTCTCTGGTGCAGCCGAGCTCCTCTGCAGCTAGGAGCGCCCTAGCGAGCCGCGCTTCTAGGGGCATGTCCGCCATGCGTTGTCCGAGTGGTACTGAGAGCACCTCGCGGGCGCTTGAGCAGCTCTGGAGCTTACGCTCCGACAGCGCTGCGGGCGGGGCTACGGCGCTGTTTTCCGTGTCTTGTGAGCCCGTACGCTCCGCTGCTGCTTCTGTTTCTGCTTCAGCAACTGTGGTCAGGGCACCGAGGCGTCGCAGGAGCCGCAAGCTGCGCCGGACGTTCGCGGTATCCGGTGGATCCAACCAGACAATCTCGTCGAGACGATCGATGCCCATCCGCTTCAATAAAAGAAATGCGTCTGATAGATCCACCCGTTTGATTTCCGGAATCAACTCCGGCGCCATTTGCTCACTGTAAAACTCCCTGGTGTATAACCGATAGCATACCCCAGGCGAGCTTCGCCCGGCTCGCCCGGCGCGTTGCTCTGCTGCCGCCTGCGACGCTGGAACGACCTCCAGGTGATCATAGATACGCTGCTTAACGTAACCAGAGTCGATGACGACTCTAACGTTGGGTAACGTTAGCGAAGTTTCCGCGACGTTCGTAGCCAGGATAACTCGCAGCGTCCCCGGTGGAGGTCTTTCACAGCATATTCTGACCTGCTCACTGGAGGGCAGCGCCCCGTACAAGGCGACGGTAAGCACTCGCGGCTGCGTCGCTGCGCGGTTCAGAGAGTCGACACCGAGCCCTGGTTGCTTCATTGATGTCCCTTCATCGCTGCAGGAGCTTTTGTTCGTTGCGGAGGCGTCTGAAGCTCCACCAGATCGATGAATTTTCGACGTCGTCGTCATCGTTGTCGCCGGGGAGCAAGCCAACGTCTGCTGCGCCTGGTGCTTCATCAATTGTGCGGCTCGTTCGATCTCCTCCTGGCCGGTGAGGAACACCAACACATCCATTCCGTCGACGATACGATCCCGCTGGTTGTGCTTGCTCTCGCACCATTCCCCAAAGACCTGCATGACCTGGGATACGGCAGCGAGTACGTAATCCTCAGGCATACTGATCGCATACGCGATGCGGACTGGATACCTACGACCCACGATACGCAGCACCGGTGCCCCGCCGAAGAACGCAGAAAACTGATCCGCATTGAGCGTTGCCGACGACACCACGAGTCGCGGTAACTTTCTCGGGTTGTTCGAAGTGGGGTTTGCTGTGGCATCCTGCTGCCATAGGAGGCGGCGAAATAGGGCCAGCAGTAGATCTGTGGCGAGACTCCGCTCATGGGCATCATCCACCATGACGAGATCGTATGCGGAGGCCAGTGGATCTCGCACGAACGCTCGGAGCATCCAACCGTCAGTGACGTACTTGATGTGCGTTAGGCCCGGTGTCGTCTGATCAGCGAAGCGCACGCTATAACCGACCTCACATCCTAGTTTGACGCCCAATTCTGTAGCGACGCGAGAGGCTAGCGCCATCGCCGCAAGCCGCCTCGGTTGTGTGCAAGCGATCCAGTTGAAACCGCCCTGCTTCCATAAGAACGCGGGAACCTTGGTAGACTTGCCAGTGCCGGTTTCTGCGACAAGAATGACCACCGGGTGACGCTCCAGCAGCGCGCACAACGCAGGTCCAGCAGCGTCCGGCGAAACCCCGCTATCGTTCTCGAGCTCGACTGCAGAGTCCTGTGCGCAAGCCCCAGCCCACATGCCCAACAGGTGTCATGAACTAGACCATATACGAAGACAAGTACTACCTAGTTCACCGGAAATACGCGTGCTGCCTGCTGCAGAGGCGTAACACGAAACACATCACGAGTGCAGTTGCAGGGTCACCACGGAAGCGTCGAACGGCGGTGGCGGACGCTGTCGAGGAGGCGCCTCCGAAGCCCCACAAGTGCGCCTACGGCTTTTGTTGTAAACGACGCTAGTGCAGGAAGCCTCAGGTTTTATTCTTTTGGTTCTGGTGCTTCGCTATCGTTTCTCAGGTGCTTGGGGCGGGTGTGTTGGTGTTTAGGTACCTGCTGCCTCTTTGGAGGCGGTTTCGCTACCGTTGGCGAGCACGCTCAGGAGTTGCGCTGTAGAGCTGGCACACCCCGGGCGCTTCAGTGCGGCTTTTTGGCGGCATCCGAAATGGATATCGGTCTGGCGGTGCGGTCTCCGCTTGATGCTCTAGATCTACCCTCCAGAGATGTTTCGACACTGCTGAGGTACTTGTCGTTGACCCGCGTCCAGCGGGCTGCACTGGTTCAAGCTGAGCTAGTGGAGGTCGTGGCCACGGCGCATAGGGCCACTGCTCGGCTTGTTGAGCGTTTGAAGCTCGCGAGCACCCAAGGAATCAAAGCAGAGTCCTTTAATAGGGCTGTGGGTGCCATGCAGGAGATTCTAGAGTCCCTGATGGAACCAGCTGCGGGTAGGGCACTTGACGAAACGGGTCGGCGGCGTCTCGAGTGGTTCCGCCAGCACGACGACTGGGGTCGGTACGTCGACCTCGCACTGTACGCTGGCGTGCACCGGCCCGCGGGCATCCTCCTGGGAAACCCATTGACCGACGCTGAGCAGGAGCGGCCGCTTCTGGAGCAGTTCGCACCGGTGCTCGTGTCGAGTTTGTGGCAACGCTTGGGGCCTTTTCGCACCGCGCACTACGCTGACCCCTTGCTGATGGATGCGCTGCTATCTACAACGGCCTTTTTGCGTAACAGCACAGCCAGGATCATATTTAGCACGAGTAACGTCTTCCATGAGGGGGACGGAGAGCCCAACAAAGCCGCTGAAGCGGCGGAGATGCCATCAGCTCCCTCGTCTTTTTTTGGTAAGCAGCACGTCCACGGGATTTCGGCGCTCAGTGCTTATCTTGAGCAGCCAGCCGCAGCGCCTCTGGAAGTCATCTACCAGGTGTTGTTCAGTCTGTGGCTGTTGTCTTTTTCTGTGCGGGAAATCGGACCGGAGCCTTTCGAAAGCGGCCGATTACCTCTACGATTGAATGGCGTTCTGCGTGAGCTCAAGGCTCAAAAGGCGGTGCGCTTGACGCTTGCCGTTTTACGCAACCTATCCGAGGACGCGACACTCTGTCGAGAGATGATCGGTGCGGGCATTGCAACGTATCTGGGCACAAATAATGCTGCACTTCGTCGATGGAATGATGAAGAACTCCAGCTCGACGTGATGCACCTGCGAAGCCGACTAGCAGAGGAGCTTTCCTCCATGACTTCGTTAGAGATGTATCTGGAGGAGCTCCTCGTCGGTTCGCTAGACTGGACACCAGCGCACCGGGATGCAGCATTTTGGGAGGAAAACGCAAACAAATTTGAAGCGGAAAATTGGAAAGTCTTGCGTCGATTGTGTACGTTGATCCGGGACTCGCAAGATGCCCACACGCTCAATATTGCTATGAACGATGTTTGTGAAATTTTGCGGGTACAACCGCGAGCGCGGCTCATCCTCGAAACCGAGCAGATCAAACCACGTCTGTTGGAGCTGCTCACCCATTCTAGCAGCGACGTGAAGCGACGAGCGCTCTCTTGTCTACAGAGACTCGTACTTAGTGGGTCGCGAGCGATCCCCAGCATGAACTAGCCAACAGATATCGTGCAGCGGCACAGGCAGGTGCAGTCATCTGCAGGATTCACCTGAATAGTGCCGTGGCGATCTAGTTGGCCTCAGCGCCCAGTGATTTACGTGTTTCTCACTCGTGCCTGCAAGGACGCTGACGCCTGAGGTGCCTCGTTTTCGCACTAGATGACCTTAGCGCTTTTGCTGCATCGAAGCAGGGTACTGTGGTTGTTGCCGGCTCAGCGGTTTCGGCAAATGAGGTGGTGCAACATCGCTTCCCGACTCTGCTGATGTCGATTGCTTGCGTAGTGTGCCTGGCTGTTGGATGCCAAAGTCGCAGCCATTGCTGCGTAAACGGATGACGTCTGGATCAGACTCCGGGGACACGAGTTGGCCGCTTATCCTTGTTCTGTGAGATATTGCGTGACCGCGGAGCATTTTGTGTCATGGAGCGGGGTCGTATTCGGCTGCAGCGCTGAATACGACCTGCACTTGATCGGACAAGTCGTCCGTGTCCACGAGTGTCTCCATCCCGGAATCAAGGTTTTTGTTTTTATCAAACCAAGGCGCTTTCACTCTTTGGCGAACTGCTAGACGCGTGACTGGTTCATCCATGAGGCTCTCTAAACTGTGCGTCGGTGCTCGGCGCTGATATCATTCCAAAAGCACCGCGAGGCACGTGCTTTCTCCGCAAGTTGACTTGACGTTTTTTCGACAGAGACAAAGCTTTGGGATAGTTTTCGTGTCTCTCTCTCTCCAGTACCTGCACAGCATCTGTTCATAAACTGATTCAAAGTTTGTTAGACAACTGGTTACACAAACCGTGGCGGTTTGGATAGGTGCTTCGAATTCGCACCAGCTCCCTGTACCAGTCGGGCACTCTTCCTCAGCGCACGAGCCCTACGACAACGGCTTTGTTCCTTTGCAACGAAACCTTTCTGTGCAGAGACGTGCGGGAGCCGTACGCAGAAACGACTTTGCGTAACGCAACCGTTCTTGTTGTGCAACGTGTCCCGGGTCAATGGCGACTTTCCAAGGACCCCGACACAACTGCGGGCGTGGTTATGTGTTGCGCGTTACTTGTCAGTGCTGATGCGGTTGCGTTCTTGCCGCGTTTCCACCGCCTCTCGCTAGATGGCAAGGCCTCTCTCGCACTTGATAGCGCAGAACGCTACCAGAAGCAGCTCCTGTGAGGGAGCATTGACGCAGGTTTCGGCCGCGGCTGGCGGCGCGCCAGTGCTAGGGAAGCGTTGCGAAAGTGGTGTCCAGCGGGCAAGTTCTTGAATGACTTCCGACATCACCTCAGGTTTTGCAGCAGTTGCAACTGCTCTGGAGCACGAGGGCCAGCTCCGGGAGCGACTCCGTCTGCAACGAGACGAACTTGATGTTGCGGTGCGCTCTCTGGAGACGCAACTCAGTCGACTCCACTACGAGGTGGACTGGTCGGACGCGGTTGCAGGCGCTCGTCAGCAACTGCGAACGATAGGGTCAGGTTTTCTTGAGTTACAGAGCCTCGTGCCCGAGGGCATGTTCTACAAGTACAACGATCTATGGCGCCAGTGCAGCATCCACATCGTGCAGAGCTGCTTGCTCATTCGGTTCTTTGAAACGGTCCACGCACCGGGGCCCCAGTTCAGTGACAATCTCGACCAGAGTCAAGCAAACGACAGCGTCGAAACTTGCACTGCAGCTCTGGTGACAAAAGACGAGGTGCTTGAGATGCTCGACGGTGAAAAGGCGCCGACACAACCTGCACTGCGTCTCGACCTTGAGGAATACCTGCTGGGCCTGTGCGGCGGTATTCAGGAGCTCGCGCGGCTCGCGGCGAACCGGGTTGTACTGGGCGACTATGCAACCCCGCGCAAGCTCGCTTTTTTCTGCAACCAGGTCTATGCAGGCTTTCGACTGTTAAACTTTCGGAATGACTCTCTTCGCCGCAGCTACGATGCACTGAAATACGCGATTCAGCGACTTGATAGCATTCTGTATGACTTGCGCATTCGCAAGTTGTCGTGAGCAACGGGACATGTCGGCCGTGTAGATTGGGGCATCGGCGACGGGTTCTTCACCTATGACCTGGTGTTCGAGGTGGTGCGACGCTTGGGGATAGAGCGGATCCGACGCTAGAGCAGCTCAAAAAGATATGATGCCAAACCTTTGACTCCAGACTGCTGTCGACAAGGACGCCTTCACCCAGACCAGCGCTGACGGATTCCAGTAAATGCATTGGATGTATCGCAGTGACCGGGCTGGATCTTGTGCTCTACAAACGCGTCGGTACGCATCCTCCTGCTAGTAGTGACAGATGCGTGCGTGCGTGCGTGCGTGCGTGGAAGGCGTCGCCGCCGCTGCTGCGCTGCCTTCCCTTTTACGACGATCGTGGACAAAATTTGGGAATAGCTGCGCTGAGGCGCGCGGACTGTCAGAGCGTCTCTGAAGGAACGGAAACCGTTGCATTGTTCGTTGGTAGCACGCGCGTATCCTAGAGTTCTAGTGAGTATCATCGTCCGTAGAGGGAAGTATCGACATTGGCGTATTCCAGCATGGCGCGCTGGCCGGTGCCGGTCAGCGCCTCTAGAAGCATCTGTCCATTATTGTACTAGAAGGTAAAGTGATTTCGTTTTTTCCGTGAAGCGCCTCGGATCCGCTTCACTGCCATTCCCAGCGAACATCATATTTCCCCGTGTTTTCAACACATCTTTCGGCACGTTGCGTTTCGCTTCATGTTCACCGTACCAATCTGTAAACAACAGCAATTTCGGACGCTATGGTCCAGCGGCGTGCTCTGCAGAGAATCGAACATTGTTCAAGGCAAGATGTTGTCGGTGCCTTTACGACGAACCGTGTTGCGTACACCGCTGCACTGTAGCACGGAAACAACGGAGCCGACGAAACGAGCCACCGGGGTCGCAGACCCGGTCGAAGCGCGAGTACGAAAGGAACTCGAGTCAGCAGGCATTGAACTCGAGCAACTACTGAACCCATCAAAGGTCGTTAACTTAGAACGCAAACTCGCCGAGTACCAAACCAGACTCGCTGAGCTCACGAGCTCCGGGAATGCGGCTGAAAGAGACCGCCTTCTCAGCAAGTTTTCCAAGATGCAGCGTGAACTTGAACAGGAGAAACGCGCGGTAATGCGTCAATGGCTGAAGAATCTTTTCGTCGCTCAGGGCATACTTACAGCTGCGCTGGGTGGATGGATGGCGTTCGATTCTAGACTACCCTTGTATGTGCAAGCGCTCGGTTTTTGGATGGTCTGGCTATTCACGATTCCGTCTTTACGCGCTCGTAAGCCGTCTAGTGCAGAGAAGAATGCGTTGAATGTATCCTTTCTAATAGCGCCGGTGATGAACTTGGTGCTGCCTGTTTTCCTCAAGGATACCGGCGAGTTATGGCTAGCTCAAATATTACAGCTGATCGGCTGTTATCTGTACTACGGGGTCTGGACACCGTCCAGTGTCAAGGACGCACGCAAGACTGCTGTACAGCAGGAAGATCAGGGCGGTACAAAACGTCTCAACGTTCGATTACCCGCTATTCTGCGCTGGCTTGATTGGGGCAGTTGGCGATGACCGACGCTCTTTGGTGCGCGGTTCTAGAATCCTATGCGCTCAGTTCACTGTAAAGACCGCTTGAACACTTTGCGTGGGTGTTTCGCAGTCCATATAAATCTTTCCGAGCCCGTTACAGTCAGTGATGCGCTCTCGTCGAGCGCGTGCAACTCCAGACACCCGAGTTCGCTTCGCGGTCGCGTTCGTTGCGAGTTCGCGGGCGTAGTACCCGAACACTGGGAACTCGACCGCTCTCGTTTGCGGTCCCGAAACGCCCTTGGACTCTGCTGGGGTGACCAGAGGTGCTCGCAGTTTCCACTGGTCAGCGGTCTAGGGTCGGACTGCAAGAGTGCTTGTTCGTCAAGTTCCTGTTGGAGTAGCCGTTGTTGGAGGTAGTCCCAGAACTCGCTCTGTGACAAGCGACAGCCAGTTCGGCTGCTTCTCGAACCTTCAACCCTATTCGTTAGTGCAAGTGTGCATGTGCTACGATTGTTAGCAGTGCGCTCTGTGCGCAGGGTCCCTTGCATTTCCGCTAGGGTGTTGCAGTGAGCTTCCACTACCATAGAAATCCAAGCAGAAGGCGCGCCAGAGCTCGATTGCACGCGCACGGGCGCCGCCGGCACGCAACGGTGTCGAAGCGCGCGCGATGCTGTCGCACGCACGCTCTTGGTACGAACCTGCAACTGGTACAGCATCGTGAACATTGATCCGCACAAATGAGAGGATACAAAGCTGCATCCCACGTGCACATTCACAGCAATACCCGGAGTAATCGAATCTGTATACCATAAATGCAGCGGACCATATACATGAACTGGACGGAAAGGCGGTTCCCAGTGGATGGCGCATCCCGGGGTAGCACGGGTGAAGCAGCGCCCGCCCTGTCGCGGGTGACGTACGGGCGCCGCGTGTTCGCTGTTTTCGGCACGCAAGTCCAGCAGGTGTCACTTCGTGGCGCAGAGAGGTGCGTGTACCCACCATGCCTATCCAAGAAAGCTCAATGAATTTTTGGAACAGGCTCAATGCGGCGATCGCTTCGTGAGTGTCTCGCGTGTCCGCACTCGCTGCAGAAGGTTCACTTGGAAGTATCTGTGCCGATCGGGCGGGGTGGGGGTCAACAGAGGGACCGGGGTCGCATAACATGCGAACCTCGGAGCGTCAGATGCGAACAGCGTTCTGGATCTGCATAAGTTGCTCGCATTTATCGAGAAGGCTCTTATGGAGTGCATAGCGGACTCCGCGGTAATTGTGTTCGCTTACAATATGCCAGATTCCACGATGTTGCTACAAAAGGCAGGCTTCCGCTACCGTGCACGTATAAAAGTGGAATCGTTTCGAGCAGCGCGCGCATACCGGGGCTCGCACCTGCTCATCAGCACACGGAGAGTCTCAGCGTGAAATCTTCGAATCTGGCGATTGGTGCCCAGATGCGTACGTAGAGCCTTCGGGCTCTGGTTTGCTGTGTGCGTTCCCACGAAGAACAGGTCGCCAGACTCGCGTCGATCTCGCAAGCGAGGCTCAATGCGACGCATCCATCCGGGTACACACACGAGCACGCACCGCAAATCTTCTAGAATGACGGTGGATGTCGAGTCGCATCCCCGTTTCGGGATTCCATGCATACGGGGCTCGAACGCATGCTTCCTGACCGCTGAATTCCGTACGGCTCCGAGGAAGTGTGACGCTCGCTGAAGCTTGTTGCCGCAGGCCGGACACGTTCGAGTCAGCGCTTCCACAACACGATCCTGCGCTGTGCAACGTATCCCACGCGCGCGTCCGCAATGTCTCTCTGTAGCGCAGCTGTCGCCTGCCATCTAACATGCTACCCACAAATGAACCGAAACCTGCATGCAATGCAGGGTCCCAGGTCACTGGCATTGCCCCGTATGTGAAACCGGTGAAGCGGCACGTCATCGCCAAAGCGCCGCGTACGCAGGCCTCGCGCTGTTCACGACGTTCCCGCGAGGGCATTCGATTTTCGAACGCGATCGGACGTTCGTGGTATCATCAGCGAAACGCGCTGTGCCTGCACGCGCCGGACGTTAATAACTATTGTTGTCCCAGTTGTAAAAAGCAGGTAACAGATGGACGAATATTGCTATGAACAGCATAGTGGCTCACCAGGCCTCGGACGACGAAAGGGCGTACGGCAACCGCTCGGCGACGTTGGCAACCTTGCGTTGAAGCGCGAACAACCTTCAACGGCACAGAAGCGAGCGCCGATCGAGCAAGATAAGGTCGGCTGCCGCGATCGTCTTCCAGTGGTTGAAGACTCGAGTGAGTTGCGTGAAGAGGCGCGCAATTTTTTGAGGGTCCTCAAGAGCGCTCACCCCGCCCAGGAACTGCCTCGCACGACGCACTGCTCTTCGTGGCCCGTGTGCCGCGTACCCGATCCCGACGTTGATGACGAGGACGCTTCCCAAACCGATTCGCCACTGCATCCGGGATACCTGCTGCTGTGGTGAACGCACCGCCGCGCCCGGATGCGGCTTGGATGTTGCAGAGATGGTCATATTGTATAGAGAGCGTTGATACACGATGCGGCTGAGGTTGCTGGATCCCGTGCTTCCGGTTGCGGAGGCTCTGTTTTCTGACCTCTGCATCGTCTTGGACGTAATGCTCACACCATAAACGAATAGAGCACGTCAATCAGTTTTGAACTGAGACTAGGGGATATCTGGAAGCAGTGGGCGCGCATCTTAGGTTGCGTCGAAAGTTGTCGATTTTTCTTCGCTAGCCTGGATCCGTGGATCTCACTAGCACTCGCGGGATGCGCGACAGCTTCTACCTGTCGACAGAGCGATCACCATTCACCATGCAGGCGCCGCTGTGCACCATACATGCCGCACCGTGAGCTCCAGGTCCGGATCAGGGGCCTCATCCATCCAGCCGCCCTGCTGATGCCGAGCACGCCACTGGTGCTCACTGCTATGCTGCATGCGTCATCGTCGTACCGACCGCATACCTTCCGCATCCTCACCGCGCGGCGCACCTGCGTTGAGGCGACACTGCTGCACACCCGCGATCCGCTGCGTTTCGGAGCGCGCGCCTTGCCGGGACCCGGCACGAATGCAGTGCGCGCTCCGCGGCCTCGAGCACAGCTGCCGCAGGCGCTCCTGCGGAGATTTGCTCCTTGTTGAGGTAGTACGGCGGGGTAGCTATACGCAGCGCTCGCGAAAATCCGGTGTCTGGGCGTCAAATTCATTGAGTTTGGCCATAACGTTGTCTCCCTATATGCAGACGTACGGTCACAGCAATATTTTGCGAGCGTCGCGGGGGCTCTCGACCACACTGGGTCGAATCGGCTGTGCCCTGGGCCGAGTCGGCGCGAGTAGCACCAGCGCTTTACCCGAGATGACGCGTGCAGGACTGCGTGCGCCGTTTGGGAAAGTGTGCTGGCTATCAGGGAGCAGCGTGTCGGCGCCCGCGTCCAAACTGTGCGTCGTGACGCTGAATGGGGCGGATCGCCGCGGCATCGTACATAGGTTCACTGCTGAGGTCTCGAAGCACGGCGGCAACTTTGAGGAGTCGCGTATGGTACGTTTGGGCGGCGAGTTTGCGATCATGTCTCTACTGACGGTATCCACGGAACGACTCGAAGAACTGCGCAAAGCTCTTGAGGGGGCGTTCCCGGATTACAGCGTGACTTGCCGTGAGACTCGGGAAGAGCCGGTGGTCGAGACAGACGTGCGCATGCTCGAGATCAGTGTCGAAGGCCCCGACCAGCCAGGTATCGTTCGCAGTCTCACAGAGGCGTTGGTCCCATTCCAGGCTCACATAGAGGCTATGGAGACGGAAACTGTACCAGCGCCATTTGCCGGATGGCCCCTGTTTCGTCTGAAGGCCCAGGTATCCGTTCCTCGCTCGACTTCCGTTGGAACTCTAGAGGAGGCACTGTCCCGTGAAGTCGAGGAAAAATTTGATCTACTGGTGGATGTGAGCTCAATCCCGGTCCGGAAGCAGCGTAACTGGCCTAAGAAACCAACTGGTCTCGTGGATGTAGCGGCAGATGCCCAGCATGCAACCTAGACGCATCTACATGGCTACATCTAGTTTTGTACGCTGGGTGCAGAATTCTCAAGAAACTGCTTCCGGTGCCGGCAAGTGCCTCGCTCTACCAGACGCGCACTTTTCGGGAACGCGGTTGTTCAGGGCCCCAGCAGGGATCCGATGATACGCGCCGCCTCGGGCGGGCTGCTAACCTTCGGGAAGGTTCTGGCTTGTGCTCGGGTGCCGCCGTGCCGCGGGTACCGCATTATGACTGGCGTGATCCATCATGTGACCACAAGAATGGAAGAGCAAGCGCGTGCTTGGAAAGTTGCTCGCGCTCCAGGAGAGCTCAGCTTGGGTAATAGGAAACTGCGTCAATGGGAGGGCAGGCTAGTGCGCCCCGAACATGATCATATAGGTGCTGGCGTGTCGATCGCTCTGATCCGCACTCGATGTGGGGCAAATAGACTGACACTGCCAGCGGAGGCCGTAAACACTAGTCGATGCAGATTTTATGTCTGTCCGCAGTTCATCGTACTCGATAGCGACTGGGATGCATTGGCGCCGCGCGAGAGCTCGCTCCCAAGATGTCCTACTGCCGGGCGGATTCGCCTCCAACGCTGTCTGCGATATGCTTAGCCGGGATTTCTCCCGCTGACGCGTCTCTTCGCGACCCTAGGAGCGTATCACAAGCTCGTTGAATACTTGGTTCGCGCTGAGCAGCGCTCGTAGGCGGTAAGCAATGCAACCGTCAGAGCGAAACAGGTCCCCAAAGCATCCTCACGACAGCATTGCGATGATAATTGCGGGCACGATTTTCGTGCATGTGTCGCAAAGCCGTCGGGACGCACGCCCCATGTCGCTGTTCACCGCCCTGTTCGTTTCCAAGCGTTGCATAGAAATATTACAGTGCGAAAACCGGTCCGCTTGTAACGTGGTTCAGACACGGACTCCATTTCGCTTCGAAATCGACGTCGATCGTCCCTAGGTGTGATACCCTCGACAAGCGCTCGGCAAATTCATGAACTTTGGTACCACTGCCCATCGCACGCGATTTGAACGCATCGGACTCGTGCTTGCGTACGGTGGTGAATCACGCCATGACCAGCGAGCCAGCGATAGCGTTCGATCCGGCTTTCGTACCTGCATGGGCTATCCGGCAGTGGGAGCGATAGACGCCACCGCTACAAGGAGCTGATGAACCTTCGGGGAACGCCCAGGCGCTTGTCATTCGTGAGCAATGGACGTGCAGCGAGCACCAGACGGTTTTTCACGCGCAAGACGGCGGCGCAAGTCCTTTCCAGTTGGAAACATCCACCGCGCCGTACCTGCTGACGCTGGACCTCGCTCGTGCTTTTTTTTCCACAACGAACCCTTCATCAAGTTATTTACTTGATCATGGGGGTTTCAAGTAAGCGTTGTATCTCTTCGAGCGTGTACGAGTCCGCGATAGGAATATTCTCCCGAAGCCAGGCTTCCGTCACTTCCATCCCGCTGCGTTTCGCAACGGCCAGCAACTCCACTATTATGGCGTCCTTATCCGCCGAGCTCAGCTCCAGCTTCGCCTTCGGGTCGCTCAGTGTCTCTCGAAGTCTACGAAGACTCTTCCTTAAACTGTAATGAAACGATAGTGAAGAAGGTGCAACGATGCGGGCTTTCGAAGTGTCAACCGGTTGCGCCGTTGTCGCACGGATCGCGTAACTTCGCGTCCAGCCAACCCGCGCGGAGGCGGCTCCCCAGCACCTGCTCTGTTGCACGATACGACGCAACATGGACGATGGCATCGGGTGCATATGCAGATCCTTTGTGGATGAAAAAGCAGCGCACGTAGGCGGTAAACGATACACAAGCGTACGGCCTTGGCGGAGGCAAAGCTATCGCGCCCGAATCGGTAGGTAGCGCACGGCGGGCGCGACGAGAATCGCCAGTGTGCAGCAACGTCGCGTCAACGTGGCTGCATTGTGGCAAGAATGCGGAAAGTATGCGGCTGGTAAGACGATGACACAAACAGCATAGCAGTGAGCACCAGTGGCGTGCTCGGCATCTGCAGAGCGTCTGGATGGATGAGGTCTCCGGTCCAGGCCGGCAGGTCATGGTGCGGCTTGTGTGTGGTGCTAGTCCGATTCAGGGATCCAGGCAACGAAAAGAAAATCGGCAACATTGGACGCCACCTTAGATGCGGCTCGGGTCCCGATCATGCACGATGAAGGCGACTACCCTGGGGCAAGCTGGACGTCAGCGTTTGGTGAACCGCTCTATTGCCGAATTGTCTGTTTCCTGCATGGGAAACGCAAGCCGTGCTGCAGCGAGCGAATCTGGGACAGGGTTCGCAACTCATAAGGAGAACGGTGCACCTCAGGTGAGGCATTTTCGGCTATAGTCTGCAGCTTTTAGACGTACACTGTTGCGGCATCGTCGTTACAACAACGATTACGCGAGGGCAAGCGGCAGCATGACCAGCAGGTACTCTGGTCACGCGCGTCTTCAAAAAATCTCCGGAATTCGTTAGCAAATCTGTTCTGTTCTCATCGACAACACCTTTACACTGAGCTGAGAACCCCACTTGCGCCATGAATATCGGCATACTGGAGCGTACCAATCATTTCTCAACCCAACTCCGAGCTCCATCAATGAACATGCATGCCTCCCCCGAAGATACTCGTCATTCCGTACATTCCATCGTGCACCGCGCCTGTCGTGAGCGCTCCCAACTGCCTCCGAAAATCCGATACAAACACAGCACGGAGATAGAACAGCTGCGCGATATCACCGATAACGTTGGATCGTGGCGTTTTTCATCCAACATGGTGTCCGGTCTTTCCTTCACTTTCTATACAAACCTTCTATGAAGCGACCAGTGACGATGAACGCCCCGGCGCATCGCTCAGCGTGGCCCCTGCGGCTCGCGCATCGATGGTCTTGCCACCGGCTCGTAGCTCGCGCTGTTTGCAGTGAACGTGTTCGCTGGTACCGCCTGTGAAACCCGATCCTTGTGGTGCGTCTGTGGTTCAATATGCTGCTTCCCTGCGGAAGCTGCTTTTCTGGAAGCCTGACACTCATTAGGTCGCCTAATCGTCAAGCCAGGCGGAGCGTCGCGCTCATGACGGTTCCGCCGGCGACACCACCTGGAGCAGCGACTCCGCTTGTTCGCCACGCGCTTCTCGGCGCTTTGGCCACGACTGGAGCACTCTTGGCGGCAAGCTATGTATTCCGGGTGAAACTTATCGAATTTTTTATTTGGAAGACGCACAGGCTTAGGGTTAGGATTGGCTCGATTGCCCGGCGGAAGCGAGGCTCCTACGAGTTGCACCGGGTGCGTTTGCTTGCACCGCCACCGCCGGCAGGCGTCGGTGAGCGCGAAGCGTGTAGCGTGCGCCTCATTGAGACAAAGTTCGATGAAGGTGCCGCGCTGCGGTCCTTCATGCCCGCGTGGATGAAGCCGGGTAGTGAAACCGCCGCAGTGGGCGTAGATGTGGAACTTCATGAGCCACAGGCGTTCCTTGAGTTCGACAACCTAGAGCTGACGGACTCGAACTGGCGACGCCTGGCCCGCGAAGTAGCCTCGACGCGGAAGGCAAAGGCACCAAAACGCAGTCGCGATACGGCTACCGACGCGACTACTGGCCAGAAACTAGCACAGACTCGGCGCTTCGCCTTGGAGCGTCTTTCTGTTGCCGGAAGTGCACATCTTCGAGTAGCATCTCGAGCACTGAATGAGATGTTGCTACCGGACCTTGTTCTTAGTGGCGGAGAGATTCGGCTACTGGAGCTTTCGCGCTCGCCCAGTGCAGCTTGCGCGGAGTTGGAACGAATCGCGGCCCAGCGAATGCTAACCGGCAACCTGGCTTCTGGGATCAACGCTGACACGCGTCGTCGACTCGAACATTACGCAAGGATCGTACTCAGCAAGACAACGGAAGAGCTGCGGATGCGCAGCCGCGAGCATCTGGATCGAATCGAGCAGTTACTGCGAGAGACCCGAAAGACCCTGGATGGCTTTAGTCTGCCGTCCAGCCAACGAGATAAACTGCAAAAACAGAGCGAACGACTGCAAAAGAACCTGAGGCGCGCGAATGAGTGGATAGGCGGCTTGGATCGCCCCGAGAAGCTCGCATCCCCCGAAAAGAAGCCCGTTACGGAGAAAGAGGAGCCATCCAGCGTACCAGGAGGCGATGCGCAACGATGATTCGCGGAATAAATTACGAAATAGGCGTAAACAGATGCGAACACCGGGTTTTGAATGGTGCAAGCGATGCGGAGTATGGACTTTTGCCGCCATGCACTCGCGAGCGGGATATTGCATCTCGGGACTCAGCGCTGGGTATGTAGTCTCGCGGCGGAACTGAATCCTCTGCACCCTTACCTATGAGGTCCGTACGCCGATACACGGAGGCCAATACGAGACATTCTTCGGAGGTCTTCGTATTTGTCGCAGTCTTGAGCGGGAGCATCGAGGCAGTGGCGGATGTAGCACGTGTTGACGGCGAACGATCGGCACAAGATTTAGAACACGTACTCGCTCGCCAGCAATCGTTGCCAATATGATGTGTGGAACATTCCCGTTTCTATGACCAGGCATGCGAGAAACATTCCAGCAAAGCGATTACAGCCCTAGACGCCGAAACCAGCAACTGGGCGAAGGCATCCAAGCTGCGAGCAACGTCGATTTCAGCGTGGCAGCTGATCGATGTTGCATTTGGAGGGCGAGAGCGCTCATGCACCAGCAGCGCGGCTACCTGGAGCCCTGCTGAGCAAGAATATCTGCTGCTTCAGCCTTGGATAAACGTTCTTCTGCGAGTTTTCCACTCCTTTTGTATGCATTGACGGTTACAGGGTTGCTTGATCAATGCTGCAGCCCGGGATGTTCCTCCGAGGCCGATTCGCTCTGTCCACAGAGAATCCAGACTGGTAAAGTGCGTGCATTCCGGACGAGTGCATGCATCTCGCACCTTCACGATACATTGCAGATGGAAATTCTTTTCCATCTTCGTTTCTCGTCGTCTTTGCAGAGTGCACTGCAGGCTGAATGCTTCGAACATGCACCTGGGAAACCAGGGCGCCCTCTTTAATGCTGTTCGTATCATGCATTCACCGGACACATTTGCAAGGGATCTCGTTGCGTTTCGGTTTCCGTGGACCCACGGATTACATCTGCGCGAAAATAGTGTGCTATTTGCGATTCGGTAGCGCTTTCGAAGAGCTTGCAGAGCAGTCTGGATCGAAATCTTGAATGCTAGGTTTTAAGGGTGTCAGGTCTGTGAATCTGAACTGTATGCGGTGTACTCCGGGAGACGCAGCTCGGTCGTCATCGCCACGCAGAATGCAACGATGAGTGTGATATGTTTTGTAAGAGTCTGCTCTCGAGGAAAAAGGAGGACATGGGAACTATGCTGCTGCTCCTGATGTCTCTGGTCGTTAACCACTGTGAATATTAGGTTCCAGATAAAGCCAGTTTGCTTGCGGAAAATGTTCCTGTTTGCGCAGCAAGCGCAGCTCACTTGGAGCGATCGTGCTGAAGCTTGCTCTCAAGGTATGCTGCGGAGCGGATACGAGTGTCGATCGCTCCCTCTCCGATCAAGGCTGCTACCGTTCAAGCAATATCTCGGTATACTCTGGAATATTGAATAATGGAGCACCAGCATTTTCCACCGAATGTATCCGAATATCATTACCGATATCTACTTTTATGGGACGTTCGAGCATTCTTTGATTGCTGACCGTACCGCACAAGCGTCTGGCTCAAGGCGGGATTCCAACGCCTTCTCGCCTGATAACTAAATTTTCCATTGAGAAGCTCTAGCGTTTCTGCTCCATGTCCATTAAGAGTACTACACGAGTACCTCGCGAGCCCGCTCGACACAAGGCTGTTGGACGCTCCCGATGCACGAGACATTTCCGGATGTTGGTTGAGGCATACAGGTCTCCGTGCAGAATGCCTCTGCCTATGTTTGCCTGCGGAATCGCATCATTGCAAGACGCTCTTTTTCGATTGCCTCGCCAGTTGGCGTTCGATCAGCTTACCGTTCACCATCTCGTGCATGCGACTATTCACTACGCTCTTCTTCTGTGCACGGTTCAGCGTACAGCCATGCTTGTGAAGCTTGCGTATCGTCCTGAATATATCGATGGAAATTGTCCGGCATGGATTGGTGCACTCTTTGGACGCTCTCGTTGAATGAGCAGGTGCGCATCCAGTTTGACAAGTGCTGTATTGGATGCAAGGAACGTTCAGGATAAGCATGCGAAGAAGCGTGCTTCACTCATCGAAGGACTTGCGAATACCTGATTTGAACAAGTAAGGCCGTTTCATCCAATTACCATGAAACATATCAGTTCCTTTCACCTCTTTTTCCAACCCACAAGATGCATTCCTTTTGTAAAATACCCGCTAGAAAAGCAAACAAAACAAAAGTGACTCGCATACCCAGGTGTTCCACACGTATCTGTGCTGCGTCTATCGAGCGACTACCAGAGCGCTGCATCTCCAAACGTACCCAGCATCCGATCTCCGCTGCGAACAAGTCGGGGCTGCTGTTGGTGACGTTCGTACTGCTTGTGGCGGTGGCGGTGGCAGTGGCTTCCGCTCTTAGAAAGTGCTCGCTTCTCTGGTTTCTGACAGTACATGTGTCTTCGGTGGACTCTGGTTTGTTTCGTCATCGATCTTACAAAGTAAAAACTCAGGTGTCGGGTCCGGAAGCGACAGGAACGTTGTCGGCGGCTCTACCAACAGCCGAAGCAGGGGTAGTGAACCGAACTCCGCTAGGACTCAAGTTTTGCTCCCTCTGACAATTTAGAACTGACGTTGCAGAAAGGACCAGGGCTTCATTCGTTGCCCACCATGTTCCATGTGACGTACCCGTTCACGCAGAGACAATGCTTTCTCCGTTCACGAGAAGCGTGCCTTGCAACGTTGCCAGCTGGTGCTTTTCGAAAGCACCTGTGGCGCCCTTCGTGCTGGTCGTTCCGCACACGTCTTCGTAAAGAGGCGTCGCTACGGAAATCCACAGTTCTCGCTCCGCTTACTCGCCGTCTGCAGCTGAGTCTCTTCGGCCTCCCAGAGCGGTTCGTTCGCAAGTCCAAGTCGCCGGTCTCGGCAGAGTCCAGTGTCGCCACTGAGCTCACACGTGATCGGGTCAAAGATCCGACGCTCGCGAAGTACTGGGATACACTTCTGGAAATCAATGCACTGGAGGCGGAACTGGAACAACTCAAAAGCGATGAACTCAGAGCTCGCTTGGATGCCCTGCGGAGAAACGACTCGGTGCGGAGCGGGGACCCGCCACTGGCCGAGGTATTCGCCATCGTTCGAGAGGCCGCACGTCGGACGCTCAGCATGCGACCCTTCGATGTGCAGGTTCTTGGTGGCCTTGCACTCTTTCACGGTTGCGTAGCGGAGATCGCCACCGGTGAGGGGAAAACGCTCATCGCAACGATGCCGGCATGTGCCAGCGCGCTAGCGGCTCGCGGTACCGTCCTGGTCGTGACGGTGAACGATTACCTCTGCCGTCGCGACTTTGAAAACATGGGTCCACTGTATCGCTCCCTGGGTTTCTCTGTCGGGTGTGTGACCAGCGCCACAGAGCGGGCGGCACGTCAACGAGCATACGCTTGCGATATCACCTATGTGACGAATGCGGAGCTTGGATTCGACTATCTACGCGACCATCTGGTGCTGAGCGCTGCTGATCAAGTGCTTGTGAGGCCCAAGCCCTTCTACTTTTGTCTACTGGATGAGGCCGACTCAATCATGATAGATGAAGCGCGTACACCGCTGATCATTTCCCAGGCTGCAGAGGCGCCCACAGAGAAATACGCTACTGCCGCTAAACTGGCTGCAAACCTGCAGCGGGATCGGCACTACACGGTCTATGAAAAGGAGCGCAATGTCACTTTGACAGGCGCCGGTTACGAAGCATGTGAGGAGGCACTGCAAGTGCCAACGCTCTTCGCCGCAGCGGATCCGTGGGCGCCCTTTGTGCTGAATGCACTCAAGGCGAAGGAGCTCTATCAACGTGATATAGATTATGTCGTTCGGGGTGATCAAGTGCTAATCGTGGATGAGTTTACCGGTCGAGTACTGCAAGGTAGGCGCTGGTCAGAGGGTCTGCACCAGGCCATCGAGGCCAAGGAGGGGCTCGCTGTCCGCACTGAACCGCGGACTGTAGCTTCCATCTCGTATCAGTCCTTCTTTCGCCTGTTTCCTCGTCTGGCAGGCATGACGGGCACCGCTGCTACCGATGCAGCAGAGATACGCGAAACGTACGGACTCGAGGTGGTCGTTGTGCCCACCGCGCTACCTGTCGTTCGCCGAGACTACCCCGATGTGGTGTTTCGAACGAGTCGCGGCAAACTTCTTGCTGTGGTCGCAGAAATTCGACGCCTGCACCTTCGAAAAGTGCCCGTCCTGGTTGGAACCACCAGTATTGAAGCTAGTGAGCGAATCAGCGCCCTTTTGAGCGAAGGCGAACGCGTTCCGCACGAGGTTCTGAATGCACGTCCGGAGAACGCTGAACGTGAGAGCGAAATCATCGCCCAAGCAGGTCGTCTAGGAGCGGTTACGATCGCAACAAACATGGCTGGACGAGGAACCGATATCGTGCTGGGTGGAAACGTGTCCAGTCTAGCACGCGCTCTTCTCCAGAGGGAGCTGCTTGCCACGTTCGCTCTGGGGCCTGAATGCTCCTCTGGGGCCGGCGACCGCGCATCCACCGAGCATTTCCTCTCGTGTCTCGAAGAGGCGGAGCATCACCAGCTGCACTGCTTTGGAGAAAAAATCGCTGAGGCACTGCGTTCCCAGCGTTCGACGGATCCCGGTCCGCGGCTTATCATCGAATCCATGGAGCAGCTGCATCAGCTGATGCTGCAAGCTGCCGAGTTTCAAGAGCCAACGTTGCCCTTCTCTGCCGAGGCCCAGGAGCTGGTAAGAGAGGCACTTCAGTGGCTGGAAAAGCAGCTGCGTCCGCGGCTCGATGCAGAGCGCGCAGCTGTGCTGGACCTCGGTGGCCTGCACATCCTCGGAACTGAACGACACGAGTCACGCCGCATCGATAACCAGTTGCGGGGTCGTGCAGGTCGCCAAGGTGACCCCGGATGTTCGCGTTTCTTCCTGTCGCTGGAGGACCCCATCTTCAGGGTGTTTGGGGGTGATCGGATGGCTCGCCTCGCCGAAGCGTTTCGTCTGGACGAAACAACCCCCATCGAGAGCGTCCAGGTTGCGCGTACGCTGGACAATGTCCAGCGCAGCATCGAGCAATATTATGCGGGGATTCGGAAGCAGTTATTCGCTTATGATGAGGTGCTTTCCCAACAACGGAAGGTACTGTATCGACAGCGAAACCGCTTTTTGGAAGCCGATGAAGCGCTCCTATTCGGTTCGGATGCGGCAGCAGCCCGGGCCTCTGGGGTGCTTGCTGGCCTCGCGGGCGACTGGATACGAACGACGATTCAGGATATTCTCCAAGCAAATCGTCGAGATCCGGCAAAATGCGTTCAGAAATTGAAAGCGTTCTTCCCAGGGGCGCTTCTGAACGAGAGCATGTGCCAGTCCGCAGCAGCTATCGACCAAGTTGCCGCCGCTGTTGGCGTACGGCTCTCGCAACACCGGCGGATGTTGCAACAGAGCGCACCGCAGCAGGATGTTGCTGTCTTTCGCTATTTGGCACTGGTTCAGCATGATCAGCTCTGGAGTGAACATTTACGAAAATTAGCGCTTTTGCGGGACATGTCGTCTTTGCAGACGTTGCGGCAGGTAGATCCGTTGCAACAGTATCAGCAAGATAGTTTTCAGCTCTTTGAACAGATGATGGCACAAATAAGGCGCAACACTGTATACTCGTTTTTCAAGTATTCGCCGGGGCCAACGGTATCCGCGTGATGGCCCTGCGCTCCTCGAACCGATGATTGCGAAACATGGTGCAACTCTGGGTACGTTTTCTCCACATAGTCGCCATTATCGGTGGTGCGTTCATGGTAACTGTCATGCCGTGTCGGTAGAGCGAGACACGTGACGCTTGGGAGTTGTCCAGCTGGAAGCCTTCGACGAACCGCTCTCCATGGGATGGTACCGACCGACCCGATCGCACGAGTGATGCACTTGCGATCTATTGCTCGAACAGGACTTTTTCCGGGATCGTGCCGAGTCTGCTCTGCAACGTGGACTCCGGAGAGAAGATCGCTACCTCTGGTACTTGCCTGATAACTAGGGGTGCGCTGGCGAGCACCGCAAGGTTTCAGATAAAGAGCGTGCATCGAGAGGCAACCCTCGTTTGGCAGTCATGCGCAACCGTTTTGTTTTCAGAGGAAACGAGCTTTGAAGCGACAACCAAGTGAGAACACGGGCCTAGAATGGCAAGTTTCTCGGTGGAACCTAATCAGGGCGCGTGGTCTGCCACGTTCATCGCAGAGTAAGACGGAATGAGAGGACTAACTCGGACAGACACTCTAAAGTGTAGGGCTCGTCCCATTATGATTAAGATCCGTTTTTGCAGGATTTGGATGCGACTTGTTCCTTTTCCTCTCTCGCATCTCCTGCTTGAAACATGTAGTTCTCTCCTGTGCCTGCAGCTCTATTATCACCTGCAGCAGCATGTTCATAGCAACGTTTAAGAACCGATTTCGCTGTTTATGACTGTTGTTGTTGTTGTTCACACATTGTACGCAAAGGCAAACTTGCGATTTACGCTTCGCCCGGCATTTTCATCTTCCTTGTGTATAGCCTTGAGGCACACGCTCCCGCAACGACACGCGGCTTCGGTCAGGTGTAGCGCTATGCCCTATGCACCTCCTCATCCGCGCCCCGCTCTGTGGCTCCTCGACACTTGCTTTACCGCGCGGAATATGCCTTTGAGGACTGCAAAAGAGTCCTCTCGATACGCTCTGTTTCTGCGCCTGGTGACTTGCTTTGCAATTGCGGGCCTCTTCCAGTCGAATATCTCAGCGAATACTGTTTCTTCTGCGCAGCGAAGCACATGCACAGGCTTTTCCATTAGATAACGAGCTTTTGGAACGGTAAGTTTTCCTTTAGGGATCAAGTATCTGGAGAAAAATCCTGACTGGAAAACAAGTTAAGCAATCTCGATCTGTTCACGCTACCTTCGTAGGCTGCAGCGATGCTCACTTCATCGGAAGCGATCGCAGCGATAACGCAGGTCCGAGTCCATGAACGCCCTGCTCCACGCAAACAGTCGAGACGGGAGCCTCTGTTAGCGTATCCCGTGTGTGATATCAAGCAGCTGTGGAATCACATTTCGTCGATGGGCACAAAGTGAGCATGATTAGTCTTTCAAATGGAATCGATTATTTTGAAGCGGCGGAGTCATTGAACTTTCGGAACGAGCTCGAGCAGACGCCGCCAACTAACGATGTTGAGCTGTTTTTTTCGTCAATCCAGCGGCACGAATTGCTGCTTTCTCGAGTTCCCTTGAAACAGAAAAGTCGAAAACATGAAGAATGCGTGATTTGGTCATTTTACATACAAGAAAATTAGAAGAATAGAAGCATCACTCATGCACTGGAAAATGATATCGTTTATTTTACGAGCGAATGTTCGTGAGTGTCGCGAATCCTCGAGTTTTCGATAGCGCCTCGAATCCCCGACGCAAAACGTTGAAGGAACCGCAGTGGAATACGACAGAAAATTCCCTAAACCAGGTATGAATCCGTACGCACGCACAGCTGAACTTCGATTGCCGAGGCTGAACATCTAAAACCGTTCGAAATCTAATCGAAATGAATGAACTGAACGAGCAATGCAGTGTTCTACAGTATTCTGAACTACGCTGGGCGGTGAGCGAGCAGTTTAAACACTCTATGTCGCCGGCGAACTCGCCGTACTACTAGTTCGATCGACTCGCAATCCGATCCAGATATTCCTTGACGCACTGCTTTTTTTCCGACGGCTATACGGTAGAGGATAACGAGCGGTAGCGTCAAGTTCCCGGAGCGTCTGCTTCAGATACGTAACCAAGAATACCCCACACCAACGATGACATCGCTGCTGTATAGGAACCTTGCCCGTCAATCGACCAAAACAACTAAGAAAATAGAAGGCTACCTAGAGCGCGTCCTCGGGTGCAGCAGTCGCCGACATATACCGGCAACAGGTTCGCCCGGTCCAGCTCAATGAAGTCATTGAGTACACTGTATTTGGACCTGTGTGCTCGCGTGCATCTCTTCCGGTGAATACGGTGCCTTGCCCTCAAGTGCCGCCAAGCTCCAAACTCGTTCAAACCCCATAAACTCACCAGTTGAAACGAAAATAGGAAAGTGGAATGAGCGTCACCGGAAAGCGCTGCTCACGTGAATCGCGAGAGACATTCTAGGGCTCTAGGGGAACAACGAGGTCAGCCTCACGTTCCAACGTTGCAACCCAACGCGCTTCATCTCCGTCTAAGAAAGCAATTATCAAATCCAGCTGTGTCTGGAATAGCCGACTTGGGTCTTGGCGCGAGGCTAAACGAGCAAATCGAGTCACAATCCGGGGCAAACGATGCTCAAAATCTGACTGCACCTGGTGTGCAGCTCCACGCAACATCAAACGATGTGTGGCTGGCCATAGCTGCAGTGCCCGACGCTCCGTCGGGGACAGACTGCGGGAGAAGAGCTCATTGACGAGCAACAAGCTGGGAGCGATCGCGCCCGTCGGTAGAGGAAGACTTGATGCTTCTTGCGTGGGCTCACGCCGCCCTTCGTTTCCATTCTCGATCTCGGTTTCGTTTAGCAGAGGCCAGAACCACGGATCCAGTAACAAGCAACGGTGCAGTGAAAACTGGTCAGCTCGAGGCGATAACAACCACTGGGCTATCGTGGCACCTCCAAAAGAGTGTCCACAAAGCGTTATTCGCTTAGCATCACACACCTTCAGCAGCTCCAGCTGTAGCCGGTCTTCCTCGGCAGTGGCGGGTTCCGTGCCCTGGAGCCATTCCAGTAAGGTTTGGATCTCTCGACAACGCTTCTCCAATTGTTCCTTTCGTGCTCGTTTTCTCTTCCCAACAGGATCTCGAAGATTTGGTTTTCTGTAAAAAAGAGCGGTGCCTGATCGAGTAAGCGTAGCAGATGCGGTTCCATCCTGGTGTTCAACGGCTAGCACTACCATCCCGTGAGCGCTCAGCGCGCAGCACAGCTTTGCATAAGCAGTAGCGGTTCCGCCCAGTCCGTGCGATAGAATGACCACCGGCCAGCGGCGCTCTGTCGCTGGTGAAAGATCCGGATACGCCTCCATGCGAATCGACCCGAAGAGACAGCGCAGTGTCCACCAAACGGGTCGGAAGTCGATACCAAGGAAGCGAGAATAGCCGCGCACGTAGAGCGCCTGCGGACTCGCTATCCAGTGTGCACGCTCCTTCGTAGGCAGCCCGCCATCACCCACAATAGCTGCCGGATAATAAAAACGCACAAGCACCTGCGAGCATATCCATCGCACAATGGTGCCCACTGGGAACTGGATCCGCTGTTCGCCTGGAGCAGTTGCCTCACACTGGAGCGCCATGCTTCGCTCCTCGAACTGTTTGCTGATAACTGTTGTTCACCGCTAGAACGCTCTTTTTCACCAGCTTTTTGATAGTTTACAAACACTGCCAAGCCATAACACTTGTTCGAGGCTAGGAACCTCTCCTTTCCTAGCGCTTCAAATATCGCAGAAAAACTTGCATACGAACGGAACAGCGTCTCAGAAGTTGCTTCCAGCGCAAGCGCCAGACACTCTGTGAACGGCAACGAAGCCGTCACGCGTTTGCGCGTGCGTTCGCCCAGCGAAGAACAGCGCTACCCGATACATGCTGTCGAGCATCCGCTGTTCTACTCGAAGCTATGAACACTGCTGGAGGCGCGAAAGAATATATAGACCAGAAAGCTGTTGAAGATCCTGCAAGATATGGAGAGCTTGCTGACCTCTACGACAAGCGCTTGTGGCACCAGCTCACGCAGTGTGTTGTTGCGCTCGTTGAGCACTGGCAGGAAACCGGCGTTCAGAGTGAAGAGGCGCTGGCATTTTACTATCGCTTTCTACGAGATTTTGAAACTAGATTAAATCCTCTTTCGCTCACTCAAGTTGTTATAGGACTTTCTCGTTTGGTGCACCGGCAGAATGCGCGGAACGCTGCTGCGTTTCTGCGCGAGTGTCTTGGCGAGAAGGCTCCCGTGGAACACAGCGTTGCAGCGCGCACGCTCTATCTTTCCGAGCTGATCCGTCTGCTACTCCGAACTGGCGACGATTCGGCGGTAGATGAGGCGAAGCGGTTGCTGGCGGAGGCTTCTAGTCTAGTTGCTGCGACAACGGGGACGCTGGATCCTGCGGTGAGTTCCGCTTACTACCGCGCAGCCAGTGACTATTACAAGGCGATCGGCTCGGCTGGCGAGTTTTACCATCACGCGCTGGCTTTCCTATCGTGCACACCGATTGAGGTTCTCTCCGAGGCAGAACGCGTGGAATGGGCTCTGGATATCGGGATGGCAGCCCTGTTGGGCAAGGACATCTACAACCTCGGCGAGGTGCTGCAATGCGACGTCGTACGCGCTCTCGCTGAGCAAGACGAGAGGAAGTGGTTTCACCGACTTTTGCAGGCAGTTGAAATTGGCGATATTGACGAGTTTGAGCGTATAATGGAGCGCGAGGTTACGGAGCCCCGACTGCAGGAGCTCTTACGTACCAACCGAGCAACCCTATCCCAGAAGATTCGTTTACTGTGCTTTACGCGTATGGCGTCGTTCGATGCGGTCTACGCGGGAAAGATACCTTTCTCTGCTGCAGCGAAAGAATGTCGCGTAACGCTTGACGAGGTGGAGCATATGGTGATGAAAGCATTTTCCGAATGCCTGGTGCAGGGTTCCATCGATCAAGTCGATGGGACGATAACAGTTTCACGTGTACGGCCACGCGTGCTCAATCGCCAAGATGTTTCCAAAATGATTGAGTACTTGAAAGCCTGGGAAATGCGTACGGACGAGATGTTGCAGTCGTTGCAGACTGAAGCACAGGAGCTCATTACACCGAGCTGAGGCTCAGTCGCTGCCGAGAACGTCCCATCAGTCGCTCGTTGGTTGTGGTGTTGCTGAGCGCTTCGACATCCGGCACAGAGCAGGCGAGCTTGCTCCTATGAGGTCTTGCGCGCACACGTCGAGTCTATGGGGAACAGGTGACCTCACCTGAAAGCTTGCGGCGTCGGACTTGGCGACGACCGTCTAAGACCACCATCTGGCAATGATCGAACCGAGTGATCCGTCCACGCGACCTGAGCGGCAATCTAGCACATGAGTTAGATTAAAATGGATTAGTGTGCGGGTCGCTGCATTCCTGCCATTCGTCCCTTTTCCGAACGATTCCTAGATGCACATTCGCGACTGTCGAACTGCTGCACTCAAGGGTTGCGGATTCGTACGTACTTTTACGGTTCTGGAGCGTCTCTCGGAAGTGACTCCTTCGACTTCGTGCCGCTGGAATTCGTGACATCACAGCGATCGTGATGATTCGCGACGATTTCAAAAAACGATTTGGAAAATAACGGACTTCATGATCCATTTCATACGTGCAAGCTTGCACGCGTCCCCGTCTCTTACGTATATCATGCTCAAATCACGCATTCTTCAAACACTCGATCCTTCTGTTTCATTGCAACTCGCGGACGTAGCGATTCACGCCTCTGGATTGACGATTCTAGTCCTTGCTCTGGATTGTGCTTCGACGCCAGATGCGTGTAATCAACCGCAATTCGCGATATCGCGCAGATATGCGCCGGGTGTTTTCATTCGAAGAAATGAAGAATCTAAGAGAAAGCTATGGACGTGAAAGTCGGGTATCCCGGAGAACTGCCATCGTCGAATGGAGGAAAAAACTAAAAAGATCCTTTTTTCGTCGAGGTTAGAGCGAAGAAGAGCAAGTGACGAAGAAGACGGTGACGGTGAGAGATAGACGAGAAAAGTTCATCGTCCCACGCGACGATGACAAGACTGCAGTGGCACTGAGGGCGTGAGTACTAGGGATCCCTGCATCGGTGCGTTCAACCAGAGGCAATGCACGCAAAGGGTTCGTGGACCGCGGGTCAAACGCTGCTATCAATATCGGACGATGTGCGGTGCTGGAGACGAGGCCCGAGAAGCTGAAGCGATCCAAATTCGTGGGGCAGCCTTTGAACCTTGACGTGTACAAAGACAAACTGAAACCGAAAGCGGGAGTCCGGTCAAGAAAGGCTGGGAGTCGTCTGCGCTCTGGTGTGTACTATCCTAAATGGTCGTGGAACATTTTTTGCTTCGCCGATGACATACATGAAAAAATGGTCTCGGAGGTTTCCGTCTGTTCTGTTTGCGTAGAACAGTGTCTTAGACTCGAACTTTAGTCATCGCAGCGATCGCTTCGAGTGCGTAATGTGACACCGTTTTGCATATCGGGAGCGAGGACGGATCGGAAATCGTCGACCTGCTCTCCTTCCTGAATTTTCCTTCCGGTGCTTGCTTCGTTATTGAAAACATGGTGTTGCACAAAATCTGCAATCCATTAGAGCAGCGTACGCTTAAACATATATCAGACAGAAAACTCGTCGATGGAACTGTCCGGAACAAGCCCCTGAGCGAGAAGCAAGAGATCGGGCGTAGAAGCGGAGGCGTGTATCGAGTTGAGCCTTCGTTACTCACCACGGAGATGCCCCAGGCGATGAAGCGAGCCTTTGCGCGCCACAGAATGACCTCCGGAAGAGGATACATGGTTGACATCTGGTGACTCCTGACCACAGCCGGGTATCGCTGCCGTGCAGGGCTCTCCGATGCTGTCTACAGAATGGATGAAAATGGCAAGCAGGTTGTACATCACAACTTTTGCCTGCGTGTGATATGCGTCGACAACATCGGCAACTGGCGACACGGGGACTTGAATGCCGCCATCAGCATTCTTCGACCGCTATCAGCAGAGCTGGAGAAACTGGAAAGATGCGCTTACTTAGAGCCAGTGCTTAGAGAGCGAGAGGAACATGAAGCAGTCGCAAAAACGCCTACAAAGGATGGTATTGACGTCGATCGGAAGAGACCTAAATTTACGATGCACGACAACGTTGGCTGAGTGCACCCTTCAACTTCATTGTGACAAGAGTGCAATCATAATCCCCGGATGCGCGCTTGATATCGGGAATCAGGGAAGAAACCGTCGCTGCTCACCGGAATGTATACCAGGGGGCACTACGCCAGTTTCAGACCACTGTTCTTGTCCGGAAATGAGTCCTGTATCGATCTAGTGATTCCGTGGCCGATGCGCCAAGGATAAACGCTTGTTGTGAGATTGAATGCGCAGCCGTTGTGTTCAACCCACAGAGACTGGTCTCTTTTTTTGCAGCACATCTGCAGACCTTGAGGTTTTTATCGTCGGGTGCAAGTCACAAGGCGGTGTCGACAACTCCACCCGGGTATCTCATGCGTGAACGCCTCATTACTATTCATCGGTTCGCCTGGGTTTGCATCACGAGTTCTGCAGCGTCTACGACAATGGCAATCCATAAAAACTACGCGATAATTCAAGAAAGATCTCAGCAGCCCCCATTGTACGACCAACGCCCTGTGGAACAATGAGGGACTCGGGAACTGCGCGCTTCCCGATTTGCTCGATCCAGCGTACCTCCTCGTCGCGGGTGAAAAAGTTGATGCTACAGACCAGAGTCCGCACGTCGACACCCACAAGCCAGGCGAGTAAAACCTGGAGCATCCGGTGTAAGGATGCCTCAAGACGCGCTCGCCTTCGCCCGTAGGCTGTGACAGCAGCGCGTCCGCGAGGAGCTTGCGGCACCGGGGCCGGCAGGGTTCTGCGCGCCGCAGTTCGCGCCCACTGACTGGTGTAGAGCAATAAACCGGTAGAAAGCGGGGTCGTCAGCAGCGTATTCATAATCCAGCCAAGGATCAAGCGACGAGGGCCATCGCAGTAGCGGAACCCACAGAAAGCATAAAGCTTCCATACTTCGCGACACCCGAGCGGAACCAAAAAAAGTAACGCGGGCGTGAATCCAGTCAAACCAGACAGCATATAGAGCGCGCCAGTAACATTCCATGAAAAGATGAACGCGACCACAGCGCCTTTGAGGAACAAGTACGCACATAGTGCAAGCTGCGCTCCCTCCAGGCGTCGCCACGGGAGCCAGGTCTTGAACGAGACCATCCGCTAAACACGCGCACAGCCTCAATACCAAGACCTTCGGCGTATACTGGGTCCTCGGTAGCGGTATTCACCAGTGAGCCCGGGTCAAAGCGCGCTGAACGCTGCTCCTCACGAAAGTGCAACGAGTCTACCTGCCTTTTGAGCCGGACATCGATGCGCGCAAGCGCAGATCGCTGCGGGCAGCGCTCGACAATGCCACGGGGCATCGTTCAGGCTGGTCTTCGAGTTGTGCATAGCTTTTGGACGTTCATTCGTTCTGTTTTTCGAGTGCTATCCGAGCAGGTAGACGTCTTCTGTGGCGGATTCGAGTTTTGCATACCGTATACTCGTTCACTCGATCGTTTTTCCGAGTCGTATTCGACCAGGTAAAAGTTGACCAGGGCGGACTCGAGCTGTGCACACCTTTTTACGTGAACTCCTTCGTTTGTTGCTTCGGGTGCGAGTGGAGTTGGTCTTTCATTCAAGCTTCCATGACAGCAGCTAGTCTCGTGTCGTCGACGCTTTGTTTCGGATGTAAGGTGAACCAGTACCGTCACCAGTCTAAAGCACTCGGTGGCTTAGAGGCCGTTTTCTCTGTGATCACTCCGCCGGAGGTCGACGTGGAGCAATCGAAACCGACGCCTGTCGTCTACTACCTAAGCGGCTTAACGTGTACCGACCAGAACTTTATTCAAAAAGCTGGCGCTTGTCGAGCAGCTGCTCGACTTAACTTAATTATCGTTGCACCGGACACAAGTCCGCGAGGCGCTGGCATCCCCGGCGAGGACGACAGCTACGATTTTGGCACGGGCGCTGGCTTCTACCTCAATGCAACAGAGGAGCCCTATCGTTCGCATTATCGAATGTACGCTTACGTGGTTGAAGAACTCCCCGAAGTTGTTCGGGAGTTGTTCCCGTCTCCGACAGGGCAGCGACTCTGCTCGATAACCGGGCACTCTATGGGCGGGCACGGTGCGCTGGTTTGTGCACTGCGGAACCCTGGCAAGTATCGCTCTGTCTCTGCGTTTGCACCTATCGCTCATCCAACTGCCTGTCCATGGGGTCAGAAGGCGTTTCGTGGGTATCTGGGTTCCGTGGAAGCCGGCAGAGTGTACGATGCGACGTGCCTCGTGCAGGATGCTTCGATCGTGAAGGCATGCAACCTGGATGATATTCTAATCGACCAGGGGACCGCGGATCAGTTCTGGCGAGAAGGACAGCTTCGAGCTGACGACTTTGTCTCAGCTGCGAGGGATGCTGGCCAAAAAGTAACCCTGCGAATGCAAGAGGGTTACGATCATAGCTATTTCTTCGTGTCAACATTTATTGATGATCATCTTGAATTCCATGCGGCACGCCTGCGGCGGCTCTGAAACACACATACGCACGCACGCACGCACGCACGCGCGCTGCACAATACAGCATAGCACAGCGGTCTACAGTGCTAGCGATTGGACTGGCTGACGATCCTGGTGGAACGGCTACTGCGGGCGATGCCGACCCCAGTTCGCGTCTTTTCATCCTGGTCGATAACGCCAGCGGCATCACCACCCGGAGCCTGTGGTCATACGTTGAATCCGGTGATTGGCCGCGTCGTCGGAACGATGTCCAACGTTGTGGCGAACAGGCGTAGAATGATAATCAGTCATGGTTGCGATGGTCATCGCATGTAGTAGATCTTTTTGGCGCATAACCATGAAGGATTCCACCACGCGGCTGCAGTGCCGACGCAAGCCGTCCAGAACAGTTTCTTCGGGAATGAAAATGTGGTCTACGAATCCAGGCGAGACGCCCAGGTTTCATTTGGGTACGATAAAGATCGGGATCTATTTGGGTAGTCGTTGTCCGTGTGTCCATGAATGCTGGCAGCCTGGACCGGAGCTTTCGGGCATTTCCGAGCATTCGCCTATGAACTGAGAACGCATGTTGGCATGACGTGTTTCGAGGCCGATGGATACCTGTTTCGAGTAATTGCATTCAGAGGCGCACTCCCCGTCCAATACAGATCCAATGAAACAAGAGCGCATGCTTGCATCGCATTTACTTTAGCGTAAACTACCCTGTTTCCGAGATGCAACGGCATCGGGCGCCGCGGTTCCGCCATTGCGGCATCATGATGCACAGCTCGCTGCGCATGCCCGGGCATGTGACCTTGGAAAGCCATGGAGAACGCAGCCGCCCGTCTAGACAAGAGTAATATGACCGATGCCCCTTCGGAGTCTTCGTTCAGGAGTATTGTACCAGGGGATGTTTTGCAACCACCAGTTGCGGCTGATAACCGACTGCACTAGAAATACCGCTGACGAGCTTCCGGAATGTACCTGCGGATTTGAAGCGCTCATTGGAGCGCTCTGAATGCCTCCTTCTCGTCGCTATGCTGCAGGATTAACGACTAGCCTGGGCCTCTGCGTCACATCACAGTGCGACTTGATACTGGCGAAGTCTGAAGCATGGGCGTCCACGCAGAAAGATAGGAAGCTTTTAGGGAGCGTCTAGACGAGGATATGGCAAGCGCGCGGCAGCGCAGCTGCATATCGCGACGCCAGAGAAGAGACCCTGCTGTCGCTACAAACGCTTCATGAAACCCGCACTGGAATCTGCCACAGCGCCGAGGCACGCAAGTTTCTCGCGGTCATAACCGCAGGCAACATCTGACCCGCTGCACTATCAAACGCACTCTTCTAGAGGATCAGAACTCCGAGCCCTGAACGAGTTCATGAGGATTCTGAGCGCTCCATGCAGCGCGCATGCAAATTTACCGCTGAAACTGCGCATACGGCATGCTCCGCAAGGTAATGTCTGTATTGTCCTGTATACTACAATTAGAAACCGTTTCCAGCGTCACATGGGTGCGGTGCATCGAGCACCGCACGCTTCAAATGGCATGACCTGTATTGTCCAATATAATCTAGCTATGAACAGTTACCAACTTCACATGGGTGCGACGCATCGAGCACCGCACGCTTCAAATGGCATGACCTATATTGTCCAATATAATATAGTTATGGACAGTTACCAACTTCGCATGGGTGCGACGCATCGAGCACCGCACGCTTCGCATGGTAATGTCTGTATTGTCCTGCATACTACAATTATCAACTGTTTCCAGCGCCACATGGATGCCCTGGGAATATCCGCAGCCTCTAGCGGTTAATGACGCGTCACCTGAACGAGATTGGTTCAACCTGCACCACAGGTGCGCATCGCTGGCGAGTACTGTCCAAACGTGTGATGACCATCTCGCACGGTTTGCAAGGTCCATTCCGAGGAGTTTGCTCTTCTACAGAGCGTATATCGTTTACGCTGCAGACTCATGTTCGTTCCTGCCATATATACTCCCTGTCGGTTTGCTGGGGTTTGTGCTCGTTCTAGCATAACCAGCATATGCACTCGTTGTGATACTCGTTGTGGAGGGCCTTTCGCTCGCCCCGCAACGAACAGGTTTCCGCTGCCCGGACGCGCTATCCGCCGTATGAGCACTTGGAGAGTGGCATCGGCTGCATTGTTTGGTGAGGCCGATCTAAACGCGAAAAAGGGCCGGACGCCTTCCACAAAAATACAGGGCATCAGGGGGCTCAAGTCTTCGGGAACGCAAGATGAGAGCTCGGGAGAGTCGTTTCTAAAAGACTCGGGGGAAAAGGCAGAACGCGCATGGGAGTCTACAAAAGAGTCGGCCAAAGACACAGGGGAAAAGGTAGAACGTGCATGGGAGTCTACAAAAGAGTCGGTCTCTGATGCGTTTACCTCGGCAGGCGAGGCGATATCAGATAAGTTCCGTGATCTAACCGGCCAAAAGTCCGCTCAGGAGAAGGCCGGAGACAAGGCTGGCGAAGCGGTGGAGCATCTGAAGGAGACGGGCCAGTCAGTAAAGAAGGGTCTGGAGAACGCCGCAGAAGCCGTTTCGGATAAGTTCAAGGAAAGCTGAATCGAACAAGTTAGAACATGGGGACAAGAACAACGGATACAGAACAGGAAAGATAAGGTGTATAGCCCAAGAATGACGTGCGATACAAGAGCTGGCCTATAGCCGCGAAGCTCGTAAAGAGATTTTTTTGGCAACGGCAGTCATCTGTAATCGTCAACACAGCCCTCGAAGAGGATGCGCTGCATACCATAGTTATATCCATTCCTATTCCTATTTCCATGCACATCGTTGTGCCCGCCTCATCTGCGTGTGATCGTCTGTGGTCATTTAGACGCGCTTTGCACAGGCATCCGCAGCAAAACGTGAGACGAATGGAGCAAGAGATGGCCACCTTGTAGGCATTCGGCGGGAAGATATCCTAAGAACTATCCGCTACGCAGCTACGAGGTGCGTCTTTTCTTCTCGACGGTAGAGTATGGACGGCAGAAAATATTCGTCTTTGACATCTTTACCTCCTGGGCGGAAAGTCCCACAAACCGGACGAGTCTGGGGGGCAAGTGGCCGGCGCGACCGCCCTAACCAGTGCAGCTATAACGTTAATGACACGGGCGGTTCGGACGCAACTTTCCGTGGACGACGCGAGGGGCGCCTCATCGCCCAGGCTACGTCCTGGTCGCTGTTGCTCTTGAACGCGTCGTTCCACGCTGGTGGCGCTCAGACTGTCCGAGTCTGGAGGGACTACGAGCCCCAGTTCCGTGTCGGGTTTACAACGCTTGGAGCGGGCGCTTGCAAACAAGCCGCGGAACCTTGCTGGCTTTCAGCGGCACCCGCAGCGGTGGCATACCGAAACGTTGCAGCGAGCGTCTTGGAGATGCGCCGTACCCAGCAAGTCTACAGTTCGATCTAGCTTGTGCTGTTTTCAGGGACATGCTGTCCTATGGAGTGCCGTACGCTGCACTGTATGCGGAACAACCGAGGCCTCTATCTTCTGTAACATCGAATCATGCAACGCGATGATCGCTCAGCATTTGCCCGAGCGGATCATCCTCGGAGCACGTCCATAGCGCTCTGGCCTTGATGGATTGCTGACTCGTACCACGCGAGTGGCTTGTTCCAGGCGAGAATCCAATACCCCTTCTGCAGGCCATTCATCGTTATTCATCGCAAGCCGTCAGTTTTCCAGCGCAATGCGCATGCAGTAAGTACGAAACGATTCCATACAAAATCCACGCGACATAGCCGCCGAGCGCTTTGAAAGCAAGCGACTTTTCCGAATGTTCATCCGGGTATGTAACGCTCGATGCCGCAGGTGTTTGCTCGCATTGCTGCTGGTGCGATTACGCTGTCATAAGCCTCTGACGTTCAATTCCATTGCCATCTGACGTTCGTTCAGCTTACCGAACACCATCTCGCGTTTCCATCTCCAGTTTATTCCTTTCATCTCTAACTGGTCCAACGCCCGCCCGCACTCGTGATGCGTTTATGTCGTCCTGAGCAAGTCGATGGGAATCGAGCAGCACCTATACCTGTTTTCGTTGCACGTGCTCGTCTCTCCCGCAAGAAGCGTTCGCGTTTGTGAACAAAATGAACAGCAAAGGGCACAGAGAGCTCGAGTTCGAGCACTCCATGCACTGATGCGTTTCATCAGAGGTAAGAAACGCATGGAGTTCGTGAACCGAGACTTTAACGCTGCTATCAATAGCAGACGATTTGCAGTGCTGAAGACGAAACCCGAGGACTGACGCGAACTAACTTGGTGGAGCAACCTCTCAGCTTCGAAGTGGACAAGGAGAAGCTGAGGTCGATAGCAGGATGCCGGTCAAAAAAAACCTGGGACGCGTCTCTAAGTGGATAGATATATTTGTACCCTGCACGGCCGTGGGACAGTTTCTGGTTCACTGCATGCAAAAATGTGCAGCAGCGTCTGGACATTTCGAAGCCATCACTAAATCGCACGCCGAGATTCACAACGCTGACTTTTAGCTCCGCTGCACGTCCTTGACGTAGGACCCTAAACCGGAACGCTGACCTTCCAGGCGGTTACATGTTCGTTATCTTCGGTACGGGTTTACGACGTTGCACAAACCGCTTCACGGCTAGCGGGGTCGTTGGTCAGTTGCCACACAAGGCCGAGCGCAGTGCCTGTCGGCAACGCAGCGCAAGAACGTTGGCACGGCTCGAGCAGCGTCGACGCGAAAACGTTCCGGGCGACGTGTACGTTACAAGTGGATGCATCGACTGTGATACCTGCCGGTGGATGGCGCCGTCGATATTCGATCGAGTTGGCAGCCAGTCAGCGGTCGTGCACCAACCCGAGACGGACGCTGAACGCGTTCGGACGCTGCAGGCTGCGGCGGCGTGTCCGGTCGGAACGATCCGGACGGAGAGTCCACCGCCAGCCGGTCTGTCGAAACAGGCTCGGGAAGCGTTCCCTGAACTCATAGCAACAAGCGGTGACGAACGCTCCGGAACTCGAGTCTATCACCTAGGGTACCACTCGGCGAAGTCGTTCGGAGCAACCTCGTACCTTGTGTTGCCAGACGGTGACCGTTGGAAAGACGCAGCTTTTATGACGGATAGCCCGCGCTATTTTCGCCCACTTGCTGATCAGATTGAGCAGCTCCTGAAGCGAGAGGGTCGTCAACTACGGTATATATTTCTGACCCACGTCGATGACGTGGCCGATCATGAAAAATGGGCAGAGCGTTTCCAAGTGCGTCGGATCATGCACGCGGATGATATCGATGATGCAGACGAGCGAAGCACACTTGCCAGCATTGAGATTCCACTCACCGGCTCTGGTCCGTGGTTACTGACACCAGAGTCGGTGACAAAGTGGCCTGCCGGAGCCGCGTCTCCTGCTCCCGACAGACACGGCGTCAAGATCATTCATGTTCCGGGACATACACGCGGCTGTATTGCTGCGATAGTGGACAATTACGTTGCGTTCACAGGCGATCACATAGCATATTCGGAGACGCGAAACGCGGTGACCGGCTTTCCTCAGGTCTGCTGGTTCGACTGGAGCCTCGTTATTGAATCCACCGCGAAACTCGCAGAGGAAGCATTTGTATGGATCATGCCAGGTCATGGTCGCCGCTATCACTACGCGAGCGTAGAGGCCATGCGACAAGGCCTCACCGAGTCGATTGCGCTCATGGACAGCGATCTGTACTGGGCCATGGTGCCCTACCGAGCGCGGGGCCGTGTTCGGTCATCGTGATGGATGCCAAATGCCAGGCAGCAGCCACCGTGTCCATGGTCGTAGGCGACGGTGGGCTTCAACGTGCCTGTGACCAGGCTCCTTGGTATCTCGATGACCTATACTCAGTTTTACGGAATAGCGGGGCACCGTTCTTGGCAGCAACTGACCAGAAGAGCCGTTCCCGGAATACGTGTTCGACGATTTAGCGTATCTGAATTGCTGAACCATGCAATACCCGTGCCGTGCTCCAGGCGAGAATTCAATATTCCCATTCCTTGCGTCTGATTTTATTCAGCAAAAGTCGCCAGCCGTGCAGCACAATGCCCACACTGCGTACTCCCGAATTTCCATGGATGCGTTCACGACGACAGACATGCATGACGAGCACGCATGCACGCTAACACTAATACAGAAGAAGCGCGTGAATTGCAGGCAGATGCAGGAGGTGGTGCACGGTAAGCTTAGCGAACGCCGGACGCTGAGGAACCCGAACCTGAAATGCTTAGTACGTTCTTATGCCACCAAGAGCCGTACGGCGAGGCGCTTCCTGCATGGCGACTGGAACGCCGCGACCGGCATGCAGGAACACCAAGCGCTCTCCGAATGTCCAGCGGCTTTGTGTCTCGCGAACTATTGAGGGAATTCTTTAGTACGGAATGCACATGTCGTGCTCAAACGCTGAAGACATCGGATGCAATATGTTCAGTTGCGAACAGAGAAAGCCCTGAATGCTCGTCTGGGGCAGGGTACTGGTATGGTACGCTTCAGCAGTTCAGAAAAGCTGGATCCATCTCTACCCGTATACCGGGAACACTTTTCTGGACGATTGCTGATCGATACCAGCGTTCCACTATTCCATATGACGGAGTCTGCGGCGCAACAGCGCCACAGCGCATACATGTATCGCCCGCGACACGCATCTGCAATGCGGTGACGTGGCGCGCGAAACAGCTGGACACGCACGTGGCAGCGCTGCGAATGCGTGTCGCCTTCTGCCTCGAAGTGCCATAAGGTTTGTAAACATGAACCTGGGTGACCGTGAGTAGTTTTCGGCCTATATAATGGTGCCCGCAACCGTGCCAGCATCCACCACCTGGAACAATCCCGTACATGGGACAGGGCTCCGAGGCCAAGAGGCTGCTGTCTGGCGCATTGCACGACTGCATGAAACATCGGCATGCTGGCGCTTGGTAGACTTGTCAAGGCGTTTCGCAGGTTACAGGTAGCGTCTCGTAGCGGCAAGGTGGTGCTCGACAAAGCAGCGGTGTTGCGCAGCACAGGCGCTTCCGAACGCGCCTCAAGTACCGAACTGTATACATCGTTCGGGAACGGGAAAGAATCTATCGTATGCGAGGACAGTCCAGCGGCGATCGGTGCAACACCTCAGGCGTATCACTCGGAGATATGCTTCCGCTGGTCGCACCGTGAGGCTGTCGTATGCATGTTGTGCTCTTGGCTCTGAAACCGGCAACGACCGTGACTGCGGCTATTTCTTCTGGGGCAGAGACATCCGTATCCTGGCATTGCAGGAGACACTACACTCAGAGAACACAAAGACGTATGATCGTCTGCATATCCCAGGCTACAACACGGTTGAACCAACATACGTAGACCCTACGGACAAACCAATTTTGTTACGCACACGTGGTGTTGCGCTCACTGTCGATCGACGCCTCACTTGCTATGCGGACGGCAACCCGTCTCCATGGATGGTCTTTGTGAGTGTGACAATTCCAGGTCAACCTGCACCTTGGCTTGTGGGCTCCATTTATATACCACACGCCTGTGAGATGCGCCAACAGGCACTCAAAGAGTTGGCCTCCAACATCCAGCGATTGAAACGCCGCACACGGAATGAGGAACCGATGATAATTATGGGAGATTTTAACATGTCGGCGGGCCACCTTAGGCAACACCTACAACGAATGAGATGCGGATTGCTGTCGGTGAATCCGTGTAGAGGTTCACCCCTGACGTGGCACCGCATTACCGACCAACGTTTGCTTCGCTCATCGATAGACCACATCTTAAGCGACCGATGCGACCCGGCACTCCTACAAACTGCCGTTGACTGAATTTGGGATGCCTCAGATCACTGGCCCATCCACTGCAGATGGTACCCGCACCCGAGGAACCAAAGCGCTGAACCAGCAGCCGACACGACTCAGAGCGCACAGCAAGGGTTACCAGCAAGTGCACCCTCAACATACCAAGCCCGGATACTAACCAACAAGTCACTTGCAGCCTGCCGAGGAAAGATAACGAATTATCAGTACATTAACGAAGAAGAGACAACAATAGAGGGATCTACAATAGGAAAAGAGACTCAAGGCGATACGGAAGGACAGACACGATGGCATCATGATCCACGTACCAGAAGAATAACCAGAGAAAGCAGCTCAGGAAAGAGCCCGAAGAAGAAAAAGACCAGCAAGAAAAAAACAGAAGAATAGAAAAAAGAACTCCCAAACGAGCCCATCACAAGGTATCCCCCGAAAGGGCACCCCAGCTGGAACTCAAGAAAGCTGCCGCCAAACTCAGTCACCTACTCACAGCGCTGAAGATCCGAAAAGCTGTGCATACAAATCTTTAGACCAATTGGCACGCGAGTTTGTAGATGGGAATCAGAAGACTGCCAGAAAATTGGGACTGCTTGCACCAGATCGCAACAGTTGCAAACCTCAGTTCCTGAAACGACGTACCAAAACTCGGATTGATGAATACCGCCGACTCTAGAAGATCGTCACCCGCACCGCCATACGCGCCAAAGCCGGAGACGAGGAAGCGAAGGCAGCGCTACCGGCGCTACAGGCGCAACATGAGGAAGCTATCGAAAGAACGAAGAAACGTTCCAGAGAAGACAAACGAGGGGATCGAAACCGCAGAATCGCCTCCCTGGCGAAATCTGTGCTGGAGAGCACCACCGAAGATGAGACCTGGCGCTACATCCGATCGAGACTGGACGCACCAGAAAAGTGCCTGGGGCTCACACCAATCGTTTATGAGGAAGCGCTGAGGACGGAGCGTGCCTCAGTGAATGAGGCCTGGATAAACCACGGGATAGAGCTGCATGAAGACGCAACTGGGCACTGCCGAAACCGAAACTATTGGCACCAATATGCTGCAGAACTACCGCGCCTCGAACCGGTACCGGAATGGAACGACCCAATCTTCTGGCCTGAATCTGTTCGGACCCTCTTAAGGTCATGCAACCGCAAAACACCTGGCTTTTACGGTATCCCTGCGGAGTGGATGAAACTGGCGATACCAAAAGACGGGACAACAGGGACACCATCGATACCAGATGAACCTGACACAAGCTTAGGCAAACGCCTTGTGGAGCTCATCCAACGCATGTTCGAAGAGGCGTACATCCCGGATGTACGGAGGACTGCCGAGGTCGTACCGATCCTCATGTATGCTTCATCGACTTTCAAAAGGCCTTTGACACGGTCCCGCATGAGGCTCTATTTCTGAAGATGGAACGCGCCGGAGTCTCCGGAAAGTGCTTAGCGTTCTTCCGTGCGCTCTAGGCAGACTCGTGGATGCGCATCCGACTGGGCGACGGCTGAAGAACCCCTTCGGTAAGAGTCCGCCGTGGACTGCGACAGAGCGACCCCGCATCCCCGCTCCTTTTCAACATCTTCATCAACGATCTGCTGAACAACTGCAGACAATACGGACTTGAGGTGCCGTGGATAGACTGTGGAGATGCCCGGTGAGGAACGCCCACATGGGAACCGCCTCGCAGGCCTTCTATTTGCGGACGATGTCGTGCTGTTGGCACCCGCCCCGGGAACGCTTGCGGGTAGCATGGAACAAGTCAGCGCCTGGGTCGATCGCTGGAAGATGAACGTAGGAGCATCGAAGTGCGGCGTCATGGTCATCCATGGAGACTCGCAGCGCATTCGCAATCGCTCGTGGCGGTTGCAGAATCAGGAAATTCCGATCGTGGAAAAATATCGCTACCTGGGGGTCTGTCTCACGCCGACGATCGACGAAAAGGCACACGTCGACGAGATGATCGCCAAGATGCATAGACGTACAGCGATCGCACGCCCAGTCCCATCCGACCCCTCTATCCGCTTAGCAATCCGTACCAGCGCACCAAGGATGTGTATCATCCAGCCTGCGACCTGTGGTGCTGAATGGTGCGGCATGAAGCACACAAATGCTTCGCGTCTGCAGACAGCTGCCAACGGGGCAATGAGACTCGTTGTTGTTGGATGCTCAATGCAGAGCAGAGCAACCAACCCGTTGACACTCGGACTTGAACTCCAAATACCCTCGATAGAAGCGATAGCAGCAGGCTGCCGGGCATGTATACGGGCCAAAGGGCCCACTATGCGCACCTCTTTGAGTCGGATTTTCATGCAGACCCCAACGCACCGCAAAAACACTTGTATGAAATCGACGCAGATTGGGCTGAAGCGCCTCTTAGGCGAAAACACGCTCCAATCGTTCCCCAGGAATATAGAAGGCTCCCGCCGCCTCAAGCGAACGGTCCAAACAACAATATAGGAACGAAGAAACGGAACCAGGAAACCGATGGAGTAGCCCTGTGTGTACACTATCGGCGGCTGAAGAAGGATCGTCCAGTCCCGCCCTCTGCTGCGCCCTCGACGAAGCATAAAGATGAGAAGGAGGCGGATCCTGTGACGCAGGAAGCAGAGGATAACGACCTATTCGTTGGAGCGGCGGAGCATGAAGAAAAAAAGGAGGCGGATCCTCCGACGCAGGAGGTGCAGGATAACGGCTTTATCGTTGGCGCGGCGATGCATAAAGATGACAAGGAGGCGGATCCTGCGACACAGAAGGTGCAGGATAACGACTTTGTCGTTGACGCGGCGAAGCATGAAGATGAGAAGGAGGCGGATCCTGCCCTACAGAAAGTGCATGTGAACGACTTTGTCGTTGGCGCGGACTCCGGAAACACAAATATCATAACCATCGTTGTGCACAAGCTCGCGGAAGATGGTACCGACGGCAACTTGCGTCAGAAAGACATGCGTCTTTTG